GTTCAAGGTACCTTACCGCCTTTACCACTCGCCAAGGCACCTTCCAATGGAAAGTCCTGCCCTTCGGGCTGAAAGTCGGGCCAGCTTGGTTCCAAGCCTTTATCAATGCACAACTCAACGAGTTACTGGACCTCTTTGCTAGTGCCTATGCTGATGACGTTCTGGCCTATTCAGAGGGCGATAACGAGGAACACTTCGAACACGTTGAGGAGATCATCTATCGACTTCACAAGGCCGGACTCCAAGGCGATATCAAGAAGTCCTCTTTCAACGTGACCGAAGTCGACTACCTGGGTATGATTCTGGAGACCGGAAAAGGAGTACGAGTGGACCCTGCCAAAGTAGCCGCCATCCTGGATTGGGATTGGGACGACTTGACGTCGAAGTCCTCTGTTCGATCATTCCTAGGCCTCTGCAACTTCATTCGGATCTTCTGTTACCACGCCAGCCAAGTTGCCGAACCACTCACCAGGCTGTTGAAGAAGGACGTTGCCTTCGAGAAGGGACCCGAGCAAAAAGCCGCCTTCGACGCACTCAAGAGGCTTGCTACCGAGGCCCCAGTTTTGGCATTCTACAAGCCAGGTTTCCCAGTGAAAGTCGACACCGATGCTTCCAATAACGCCACGGGCGGTGTGATCTGGCAGCAGCAAGAAGACGGAGAATGGAAGCCGATCGGATACTCGTCCAAGACAATGTCCGTCCCAGAGCAAAACTATCCCATCCAAGATAAGGAGCTCTTGGCTGTGGTCAACACCTTGAAGGACTTTGAACCGGCTCTGTGGGGAACCAAGTTCTTTGTACAGACTGATCATCAAGCTCTCATCTATTGGTCTACTAAGAAACTGCTGTCCGCCCGCCAGATTCGCTGGTCGTACTATTTGGCCAATTTCGACATTACCTTCCGTTACCGCCCAGGCAAGGATAATGTGGCCGCCGACGCTCTCTCTCGCAAAACCGTAGACAACCCGACGGTCAAAGCACGAGAAATCCAAGACAGAACGTTCGCCTTGATCCCACCCGAAAAGATTGAAGGGCTGCCGAACGACGGTGCGAGATCAATCAACGCCCTGACCTCTACGGAACTTTGTGGAGCGGATTTGGTCGATACTATCATTGCCGAGAACGCCAAGCAGAACTTGGGTCGTAAAGAAGGATTGTTAGTTGTTCCGGAGACCACTGCCGACGGAAGCGTCTTTCTACGGACTGCCCTGATTCGAGAAGCCCATGAACCTAAGGCATTCGCTCACGCAGGACAGAACAAGACGGTCGCCCTATTAAAGAAGGAATATTGGTGGCAGGGCCGTAATAGCGACATCAAACGGTATATCCGAAACTGCCAGAGCTGCCAAAGGAATAAGGTCAGACACGACAAGACTCCCGGACTTCTCCATCCGCTGCCGATCCCAAAGCACGTTTGGGAGCATGTAGTAGTAGACGGAAAGAACATGCCAACGGACGACGAAGGCTATGACTACGTTTGGGCTTTCATCTGTCGTTTCAGCAAGCTAATCGCTACCCTGGCCGGACGCAAGACGGATACCGCGGAGATATTAGCCGCCCGGTATTACCATTATCTTTACCGCTTCCTGGGAGTCCCTAGCCAGTGGATTAGCGATAACGCCGGACCTTTCATCTCCGAATTCCTCGATACCCTCAACAAGCTTACGGGCACCAAACATCGCCACGGAAGCTCGAGACACCCTCAAACGCAAGGAAGTATCGAGATCACCAATGCGGAGTTGGATCAAAAGCTGAGGTTTTATGTGGACAAGTACCAGACCAAATGGCGAGAACACTTGCCTGCCTTGGACCTGGCCCACAATATAGCCTACCATTCGGCTATTGGAATGTCTCCGTTGGAAGTAGCGTTGGGAACCAGCCCTCGGAATCCCTTGTCTCTGCCATTGCCCGAGCTAGACCTGTCTACCGATCAGCAGAAAAAGGCCTTGGATATCGTCAAGCAAACCCAGCGAGCCCAAGACCTGGCAAGACAAAATGCCATTGCCACACAGGCCTTGATGGAGGCTCAAGCTAACAAGAAGCGTCGCCCCGTTGACTTCGGTGTGGGAGATTCAGTGTATGTCAGCAAGAAAGGATTCTCTACCGAAGCACCAACAACTAAGCTGGATTCCCAGAACGCCGGACCTTGGACTATAGTCGACATGAAAGGCCACAGCTTCGTCCTAGACACCCCGTCATGGTACAAGGGAAGTAAGGTCTTTCACGCTGACAGGCTGAGAAAAGCTTCTGAGGACCCTTTACCTCAACAACGGGCAGAACCGGAACCCCCTGTGGAGATCAATGGAGAACCCGAGTGGGAAGTCGAGAAGGTTCTGGCATCGCGACTGTTCGGTCAACGAAAGAAGCTCCAATACCAAGTGTCTTGGGTCGGCCTAGATCCCGACGAAACCTGGTATCCAGCTGGCGACCTCAAGAACTCTCCATTGCTGCTGGAGTCCTTCCACAAAGAACACCCGGAAGCTGCTGGTCCGCCAGTGAGATTACAGCAATGGATACGAGACGCGGCAGACGATGCTTTCAGTAGCGATCATAAGGATGATGAAGTGGCGGAACACGATGCGACGGGGGGGAGGACAAAGAAGAAGCATGCCACCAGGCATACTTGAATTGCCCCCGCGGTACTCTTTCAAGCTTCCTGAACGCCAGGCGCTCAGAGCTTGGAAGGGGGTAATGTGAGGACCCGTCCACCAAACTGGCCCTGAAGCAGCCAGAGCCGCCCAGAACCCACGGGCCTATCAGAAGCCTCCTCGAGGCCCCACCTACCCCACTGATAGATGCAAACTTATTCGCGAGCACGCGACGCGTTGTCGGACTTTTCCTTCTTTCCCTCCTCAGTTTAGAATCTTCGTCGATAGCACCCAATGGACTGAGTTCACCTCAATGCCTTGCCCTGGTCGTGACACGAAGGTCTGGCTAGCGTTTGACGAAGTTGTGAGCCCAGAGTTTACCGACAGGGGACGCGTCGCGTTCGCGTATGTAAGGAAAGAGCACCCCAACACACACACTCCCTGACATGCGTGCACCCTGTGCGCGCCCACCACCTGCTACTAGCTGGCAACGGATCCACACGGGGCACCACGCTTCCACGAACACATACCCCACACACTTCCAGATTATGTATATAAGTAGTGGCCCTCGCCCACCTCTCTCTGCGAGGGCCAGGTTGAAGTCTTACACCATTGCCAGTCATTGCTCACCTTCTTCTTGCCTCCATTGTGACCACCTTGATCCGGCGTACCTGCCTTTCCTTACAGCGTAGTAATCGGTTGGCCATATCTTCCACATACGCAAGCCGGGGATGGAATACGCGTACACACAGCTCAATTATATACCGTACAATCGTTTGCTCTTCCAAATCCGTAAGTTTACGCGAGTTGGGTGGAATATCGCGTCTTACAGGTCGACCAGCGCGTCGGTAGCGTAGTATTACTTCTGGAATGTTGTATAGCTGAGCTATAGGATAGATCTTAGGATTTTCGGCTTTTTCAATTGCCTCAAGGGCCAAAAGCATCCTGGCTTCTTTTGAGGGGGTAGCCATTGTCAGAAAAAAGTGGGTTCTGAAAGGTACTAGGATCATAGATTTGTCACTGTTGCCACAGACGACCTCACCACCAGGCGTTGCCACAGACGACCTCGCCACCAGGCCACCTGGCTGCAGTTCTGGCCACCTGGCCGCAAACTGGGCCAGGCCGTCAGTTATAGGCAACAGGGCCGCCAACAGGGCCAACGGCTGTCAGGAAGCCCTACAGGCCTTCAACACTGGCCAATGCAGGCATACAAGCCAGTATAATAAAGGGACCCTTTTCCTACCTTTGTATTTACTGGAGGAGAATCAAGCAATTACAACCCCATTCCACAAGATCCAGTGTGCAGTGTTTCTGACAGCCATAGCTTGTCGTAGTAAGATTGAAGGTTAAAGGTGGAGAAGTTGCGTCGCGTGAAAAATTCGTCGCTCGCTTATAATGCACGTTAGTGGACCTCAAAGACTCGAATCCCGAATTGGATTTAATTGCCAGACAGTGTTGCTAGGCTGGCCGCCAGTCAAGAGCCATCTGAGTGTGGGGCTCGTCCAAATATAGAGTGCAGTCAATGAATACCTCCACACGCGGCCAATGGCCGGGCCGTGCTCGCTGGCCTTGGCTTCGGCCCTGGTTTCAAGACATTCATCTGAACGCACCACACCACGATCGCCTGCCCATTCCGCCGTTGAGCGGCAGATTCGGTAGAGTGCGGCGCTGAGTGGCTCCATGGTGCTGGCCCCGCTCACGACCGCCCAACAGCGGGCGTATGCGCGGCCAAACGTGCGTTTCAGGGCCCGTATTTATGGGGAATTCATGGGCGTACAGTCGTGAAAGACTTTGCCGTCGGGGAAGTCATGGGCGTATAGTCGTGAAAAACTTTGCCGTCGGGGAAGTCATGAAGTCTGCCTGCCTGCACAGTCCCCACTCAATTATCGTCTAATTACTGGCGGCAAGGTCTGAAACGCGACGCCGTTTCACTCCGTCCCAAAGTTGGAACCAACCTGATCCGCGCATCCGTGTATTGGGCGGTCGCGGGCGAGGCTAGCACGTTCATGTTGGATCCACCTCCACATATTTTGCTGGCCGACCAATGAGACGACGAGTCGGCGGCAGCAGGAGCAGGGAATGGAGTGGTCTGTCGATGCATCCATATGGCCTTCATTTGGCTTCGGCCTTACGGCCCTTACTTGAGGGCTTGCGGAACTTCGACTTGGCTGTCAGTCTGATTGATTAATGTGGATGGCGAGGGCTGCAGCCGTGGTGGACTCCGGTCCTGCGAGCCATTGTCTGGGTCTCCTCCTACGATTTCAATTACGAACGAGCAGCTTTTCTGCTCCCATTTCCATTTCCGTCACCTTTTTTCACCTGCAACCATCACGGAATAATTACACGACAATAAAACCCAACCACCTAGCTTGAGCAGTTTCGCTCTCAACCTCAGTGATTGTTCCTAATAAAATGGCGTCCACCGCGAGCACGTCGCAGGGTCAGCAGGGCAAGGCTCAAGTGCCCGCTGTAGAAACCATAAAAGGCAAGCCGTTACTCTTCAGGCTGATCGCAATCAACGCCGCCGCAGTCGAGATTTGCAACCTCAACAAGCGGCTCGTAGTTTCATCGGGACTGGACGGGCTCGAGGCCGTAACCAAGCTGCCAGACATGGCGATTGGCGTGTCGCGGGAGTGGCAGTCGGCACGGGCGGGTGTGCTACTGTCGTTTGGGCGAGACAGGACGGTAACAGACGTCCACCTCCCCGAGACAGTCCTGACCTCTCTTTCCGCCCGCTTGCTTGCGAGCAGCAACCTTCCGGCCCTGCCCTTCCTGTACGGCGCGCATCACTGCAGCCTCGTCCTGGCCGCCTCTGCCAGCAGCAGCGAGGTCCTACTCGTTGACGAGATGCCCGTCCCGAAGAACAGCAGCAAGAACAACCCGGCGCCGCAGCCGCACACCGAACTCGTACATTATACCAACAACGGCAAGTCCTCCGCGACCGTTGCGTGGCTGCCAGCAGGTATCCACCGCCGCCTCGTGGTTCCGCAGACGAGAGACCTCGAATCGCACACGATTTTGTTCATCGAGGATGCCGAGTTCTGGTTGCTGTGGGAGGTCCATAGCCCAACGACGGCGACTGTGAGCGCGAAGCCAGCAATAGCAACAGCAATGGCAACGCAAGACTTAGCACAGAAGGTAATGGTGCTGGTTATCAGGTCACGGAGATCGCGAAGCATTTAATAAACTATAATCCAGACACAGTGTCTCCGATGATGGCTTTTATGAAATGGTGATTGATTACCTCGGTAACCACCCCTATTGATTAAATGTATTGATACCTGCCCGCCCCTTCTTTATAAAATCCACAAGAGTTGGTGGGAGTGAGCACCTGCATGGAGTTAAGTCATTAATTAGATTAAGATAGATAGACAGACAGGTTGGAGCAAGGGCTAACTGATTCCTTGGGCGGTTGATTCAATCAAGTTAGGTAGTTGGGAAACGAGGCAATGGTGCATGGCCCCAAGTCCTTCGAGCGCAGCGAGCAGCCGGCGGCAGGCGCTCCCGGAGGGCCGCCGGAGGGCCGCCGGAGGCAAATGTGAGATGAAAGCAAGAGAAGGTGAAGCTCAACCCAAATTCTATCAGAATTGTCACTTTGGCCTTCGTCCAAACAGCTTTTTCAAGCGCATCCCCAATTTCGGGCCTCTCTTCCCTTACTCGGTCGGCTTCTGTGCCTTAGGTACTGCTCTGCTTTCCGACTCAGGTTGGCGCCCCGGCTTGTCTGGGGTGCCGGACGATTGTCGTCTTGCGATAGAATCATCTGGAAGGTGAGCATTAATCATAGTAATCACCTGGCTAAAATACTCGCGCGACTCACGCTCCAACGGAGGGTACGTCGTAGCAATATTTTTAATCTTACGCAGCCTTTCAGTCCAGGAGCCGTCATCGTCAATACGCAAGAGAGATGTAAGATGTAAGGAAACCACCCTCGTAACCACCATGGCCACCGCCACCAGGGCCACCCTCGCCACCGTCGCCACTATCGCCACCGCTAACAGGGCCACGCACTATCGCCACTACCACCCTGGCTACGCAAGGATGACTCGTAACCCCTTTCACGTGTATATAGACCATGGCCTTCGCACACCTCTTTAGCTCAGGCCAGGTTGAAGTCTTACGCCAATACCAGTCATTGCTCGCCCTGCTTGTTGCTCCTATTGTGACCACCTTGATCAGGCGTACCTGCCTTCTCTTACAATTCTTCAACCTCCTTACTGTCACGGCACGGCGGTAGGCGCTGAGGCCCTACGGGTGCGTGACCATACTATAACCCACTATAGAATTGCAGCCTGACGGCTTGTAATTCTGGCATCCTTTTGGAAGGTGTGGTGCAGCGGTAGTGGGTGTTGCTAAACGCCGTCACACTTACCTTCCAGTAACGATCGAGCCGGTCACTATGGTGAGCAACACCCGCGGAAGAGACAGGAGCACCCCTCAGCCCGGCCCGTCACGGAGAACGGCAACCGAAGCCCTTGAGGACTTCGACAGCCAGACCCAAGATCGTCAGAGAGAGGAACCATTCGAGACAAGGGACTTGCCCCAGGAGCCCCTAGCAGCCGTTTCCTCCACCATGGACCCCCAGCAATTCCAGGCATTAATCATGCAGGCTATGACCAACTTCTCCGCTGGCCTCGGCGACCTAGGCACTACCCTGGCCAACCTAGGAACCAAAGGAGGACCCTATCGATCGAAGGACGACCGCCCTCCTACCTATGCGGTCAGCAAGCTTAAAGTCGACGCCTCCTTCCAGGACAGAGAAGACTGGCTCCTAGCCGTGGAGCAAGGAAATACCACCCGCCAAGACCGCCCTCAATGGCTCCAGGTCCAATGGGCTAGTACCTGGATGGAGCCCGAAACGCAGCAACAATGGCGGGCCTACCAGAAGCAGCTTCATGATGGGGACTTCGAGCGGGTCATGTGGCAAGAGTTCAAAGAATACGTCAATTCGAACTACCTAGGTAGTGTGACGGCGGTCCACAGCAGCTAGGAAGAAGGTCGCTAGTATTACTATACCATTGTCTAAGGATTCTAAGATAAGGAAAAGAAAGGAAGAAATTCTACAAAGGTGTGATCCCGGGCTCGGGGAAGTGGTGGTTGTGCCAATTGCGCCCCACCAGGTCCCCAGTCCCGATTGGGGATAGTGCCAGGTAGAGCCAGGACACAAGTCTCTAAGCACTGAGATTTTGGAATCTTGTGCTACTGTATAAGAGACAGATTGTATTGTGAGATTGGGGAGTCTAACCCGAATATAAACCCGAAGCTGGGCCATATTCCATAACTCCCTTACACAGTTTATCCCGCCATCACATGATGCTCAGATCAGGAAGTCTTATGTTGTCATAGTAGGTGCCAGATAGGTGGTAAGAGTTGGCACACCCCAACCGGACACACCTGATTTAGGATGTGGTCAATACATAACCCCACCACGTGACTCACAACTCAACCCACTTCTCTGCGCCCCGCGCAGCCTTTAGAACTTTCTTTCCTTTTTCTTTCCTTAGCTTTGAATTCTACGAATACAGCGACCATATTGCAGCCCTGTTTCAAATTAGTTGACTGCGCGGTGACACCCGTTTGATATTTGCTTTTTTCTCTCAAAGATCCAAGGCACGCTCACCTCGACCAGTCGTACCGCAAGTCGTCGTCCAAACCCTTGCGCCTTCTGCCGACCAGATTGGCCAGCCCCACGCACAGGCCAACCCCATCGTCCTCAATTGCGCAAACCGCCACCCCCTGATATATTACGATATTTTGGTCGTACGATCCTGGAAATTGGTATTGGGATACGCCAGATTGAGCGTTTTCTATGCATGCAACTTGCAGCAGTTTTGACCCCGAAAAGTTCATTGCAGCGTACTCGCAAAGATTTCATTGCAATGTACTTCACTGCAAAGGGGAATTACGGTTAGGGCCAGGTTGAAGTCTTACTGTTCGTGGTATTCCAACCACGTAGGTGTTCCAACGGGTCAAAAAGTGGTAGTACTACCGGGGGGGGTGGGGGGGTGTAAAGTTGTTCTGATTCATGTTCTCTCCGGAACTAAGGTAGGTTCTGCTTGCGACCGGGGTTTTTGTGTGTGTGTGTGTGAGAGGTCCGCGCGCCGCACGTGCCTACTTGCACGTGCGTACTCGCGCGATCTCTGCTTCCTCCCTGCTAGTGTGCGGTCACTAGTATCGCTATTTCAACACTTACACCAATACCAGTCATTACTCCCCTTCTTTTTTGCCTACATTGTGACCACCTTGATCAGGCGTACCTGCCTTCTCTTACACTCTACCCCCTGCCGGCTCCACCCGCTAAGTTGATACGGCTACACTTCTACGAGCTCTACTATAGCTCGTCGTGGATTAGGGGTTAGGGATTAAGAGCCAGGAATAATATAAGCCAGGTTTTTAAAAGCTCTACAGTAGCTCGCCCGGTTAATAGCCCCTGAATGTAAACCAAAAAAGCGGTCCATCCTCATCTCAGGGTCCACCCTATAACAGCTACTTGTCTGCATAGTCTGGGAATGCGGATGCTAGGGCCATCACCTTGTCCATATAGAGCTCTTCGCAGTTCATGGCTCCGTTCTCCCGGAGCAGATCGACCATTGTCGACGTCTGCTGGTTATACTCGCGCTCCTCCCGATGCGTCCCGCCCTGCATTCGTTGCCTTCTCACAAACGCCTTGTCCTGCTCAGGCCACCCCTCCAGTGACCTGTCCCAGTCACGGGTTGTTGAGAAGTCGAGCGGTGTCTCACCGTACAAGGTGGGAAGTGCCTTTTGTGCCAACTCGCGTGACGACGATTCCAGCGCGTCGATTCGTCTTTTGCGCTTGATTGCCGCGATCTCTCGTTGGAATTTTTCCATTTGGCGCTCCACCTTTGCCTGCAGATGCTGGATACCCTCAATTATCGCCCGTATACGCTCAATTTTTGCCTTTACACGCTCTGCTTTGCGCTTTGTTTTTCTTCTTCGTAGTATGATTAGTTTAAGGAGCGTGATTGGATTGAAACTTTTAGCTTTCAGGTCCTCGCCTTGAACGCTGTCGTCTTCGGAGTCCTCGTCTCCGGGGTCGTCATCCTGGAAGCCCTCGTTCTGAGAGTCCTCTGCCTGAGCGTCATCATCTTGGGACGCCTCCGCTTGAGCGATCTCCGTCTCCAGCAAGACCTTCACCCTGCTCATGACTACTACCTCTCCCAGAGATATACCCTCATTTGCCCAGGTGGACCTGTCGGGCCGCCGCATCTCTACCTGAGCATTCACATTGGCCCCGGCCCGTAGCAAAATCTTGGCTACTTCCACGCTTCCCCACTGGGCGGCGTAGTGGAGCGGCGTCCCCTTCCAATTAGGAATTTGCTCATCCAGCCGAGCTCGCAGCGCCTCCTCGCCACGGCCCGCGTCGATGGCCCGAGTGCGCTGGATTAACTCGGCGAGCAAGCTGGCAACCTCCTCGTCCTTCTGGAATCTGGTTGACGCCGCGAGGCCACGGAGGTAGTTCGAATCCCAACGGCACGCAATCGACTTGTGCGCTCCTGTTGCCACTTCCGAGGGGGTATCCGAGCAGGCGCAATTCGTCCTCGTTGGAAGGGGCGTACAGAGGGTGTCAGGCCGCCGCGCAAAGAGGATTCGCAGCATCTTATAGGAGAGGGGGCCACCCTTTATGATGCACCCTTCGATGGCGTGGCCGACGTCCTCGGTCGAAAATTGATTGTCGGCGCCAACGACGTCAGGGTCCAGCAGGACGTCGATAGCGGCTTGGTTGTTTGACACGGCGACTACTCAGAGTGACGCCGAACCGTCGTCGCCGGTAGCGTGGATATCGACCCCGCTCTCGACAAGCATCTTTACGATGGCGGCCGTATGGGAACGAGGCTCGGGCTGGCGAAAAGCCAAACTGTTGAGCAGGGGGGTGCCGTTTGAGTGGCGGGAGGGAAGTGGTCGGGGCATATATTTCAAGATCGTTTCGATGACTTCCCTGCTGTTGACCTTGAGAGACTCGTAGAGCACCTTTATAAGATCCTCGCTCATTTCCACATCCTCGGCGAGCTTACCAAGTGCGCGTTTTGACATCTTGGTCAAACTTCTGTCCTCAACCCCAAGTTTCCTCGTGTAGTGGTCTAACAGCTGGGCGTCGTCACTTCGAAGCGCCGCGATCCAGAGTGCAGTGATGAGATCTTCACTCATTCCAGCATCTCCGGCAGGTTTTTCAAGTGGGACCTCGAACAGCTTGACCGGAGTCTTTGGCCCGAGCACGGACTTTCTCAGAATATGCAAAAGCTTCTCGGCGCCATTCAAGTCCTTCCTCAGCGTCAAATTCAAGAGCTCGCGAAGTTTGACTTCGATGCCCGCATGTTGCATGAGGGCCGCCGCCCGAGAGGGAAATTTGTCCGGAGGCTCCTCTGTCCACCAGAGCTTCTTTATCAGGGGATCTGAGTCCCGATTGCAGAGCTCTAGATAAATCCTAGGCTCAGGCCTGTTATCCCCCGTGACGGCGTATCGGAGGAGAAGCTTCAGTAGAGGTAGTGAGTGGTGCTTGATGGCAATCATCAGCGGACTCGTCACCTGGTTACGCCCGTAATCTATCTGATTAGCATCCCCGCCCGCTTCAAGCAGGACTTCGACAGCTGGAAGATTCTGTATCGTGGTAGCGAAATGCAGAGCACTGCCTGCAAAGTCAAGGTAGTAGTCGTAGCAATCCGGCAAGAAGTCGTCCGTTTTGTGATCCGCAACGGCCCGTACATCGGCGCCGTGCGCGAGAAGCAGTTCCAACATGTTAGTTTCTTGCTTATACGACAGCAAGGCCATGTGGAGAACTGTCAGTCCGTCCTTTGTCTGTGCCTTTGGATCCGCGCCCCTTTCCAGTAGGTACCGAGCAACGTCGCATTGTGCGTTCCGTGCGGCGAAGTGGAGAGGGGTCTCCAGCTCGTTAGAACGTACATCGATACATCCCGCGTAATGATAACGTTCGACGAGATATTTGCAAGTTGACAAAGATCCAAGGTAGACGGCTTGGTGCAATGCTGTCACCCCAGGACGGTGCAAGACTCGCTGTGCCGCGGGATCCAGTGCGGAGAAGTTCGGCCGCTCAAAAAGAGCAGAATATAGAGGAGGGGCGTGCGGCAACTGCTCGGCGTCGGTGTCCAGTTCTTCACTGAGAGCTCTTCTTCCCTCTTCAATAGATGCCACAGCTCCTTCAAACGCTTCCACGGAGAGGCGCTGGAGCTCGATCCTCGCGATGCGGGATCCCTCACGCATCGAATTGACCAACATATCGACGACCGTCTCTGTGTCGATCTTATGTTTCTCATCTAACAAGGCGATCATTTTTGGCACAAGGCTTTGGGCAAGTGGGTTGCCGAGCTCGGCAGATTTGAAGATAGCATCTTCTGCCTTTGGAAGTGGGAGGGTGTCCGGCATCCCTTCCTCGCCAGGACCGTCCAAATTATAGTGAGCCCCTTGGATGCGGAAAACACCCAAGGCCAGGTATGCCCAGGCCTTTTCCTGAGCTGGCGGAGAGTTTCGAACCCGCTCCAGAAGCATCTCACCAACTAGGGCCCGGAAGCTGGGGTGCAAAGAGCGGAGGCGATGCATGTAGACTGGAAACTGCCGATCACGAATGACATTAGTCTGCCGATACCGTGGCCAAATGAGTACGCCCATTTCGACTTGTTTACCTTGGGAAGTGATATGCTGAAATCTCCGTAGTTCAGAGGAGCCGGCTCTAGCCTGGAGAGTATCTCAGTCGTTGCCACCTCCAACTTAAATACGGGAAGTTCTACTCACGCGGATATCTTTGCCATCTTCTCTGCCCCGTTCTGAAGTTCGAGGTCGACTAGACCGCCGATACCAACAGTATCGATCTTTGATCTTAGTCGATCAAATAGTCTCATCAACGCGTCGATCTGTAGATAGCCACCTGGGTCGTTTGGCTGCTGACTATGCGTAATATTGTAAGCGATAGCAATGAACGACCCTCCTGAGAAAATTCTTTCCATTTGTGGTGCTCGCGCTCTTCCCGTGGCGGCGCTTTGTCTACAGAATTAGAGCGGAACTTGGAATTGGCTTGGGGCTTAGGATGTGTTACCTAGAGACTCTGACGGCGGAAGTCTCCCGGCATACCAGATTTCCAGGATGGTTACGAGGTTTTTTGCTCTGAGTTCCGGATCGAGGCGAACAGTCGATCTCAGAATAGCCTCGGCCTTGGGCAAGTCGACGTCGCTCGCTTGTCTACCAGAGATAGTGTCGACGATTGCATCGACGAAAGAATCGTGTGATTTTCTCATTCTGTCGTACTCTTCATCATCTATTGGCGTTATGTTTGGAGTGTCAGAGCAGGACAGAGTTTGGGCGTTCTCTGCAGAACGAACAAGGCCGCGAGAGAGCCGATGCCATGGTTTCTTTTCTCCATTACACATGACTTGCCATACCATCAGTCCGTAGGAGTAAAGGTCTACCCTCTTCAGCTCAAGTGCGTCCATGGGTTTGCTCGCCTCAGGGGCATCCCAGTAGGTTGTGCGGCCCCTGAGCTGTTGCTTTGGGCTGTTGGAGCCCTCAGTAAGTCCGATAAGAGAACAGCCTGCCCAGCAATCAATCGGTTAGCACACTGGTTTTAAAGCGCTGTTCTGCAGAAAACAGTATGCGCAAACGTACCAAATCCGAGACTTTCGCTCGTATATGTTGTTCATCTTTGAGGAAGAGAAGAACGTTCCTTCGTCTGTCAGCTCCCAGTCCGATCATCACTCTTTATGACTCCTCACCGCCAAGAGAAGCACATTTCTTAACTTACTGGCTCTTCACATCGCCATGAATAATCCCACTCATGTGCAGAAATGAGAGGCCCAATGCGACGTTCTCACAGATCTTATTCTTGGCCCCCGCATGCAAGCATAGCCGATCCGGGTCCTGATGATCAGACAAGGATCCCAGGTTCGCATACTCCAGGATCAGTGACGGAGCCACCGTGTCTGCCAAGTCCGCATGTGTATCCCAGAAAATTTCCCGGAGATTGACAATATAGGGATGGTTTCGCAAAGGGCGGTGAGTTAGCACACGAAGCTCCGTCATCACGTCTCGCAGCTTCTCTGCAAATCCGGCACCAACCCGCCATTCGTTGACAACCGGCTGCTTTACAACGACGAAACCCGTAACCCCATATTCGCGGTGATCAACGACGCGGCGGACGGAAAACGAGCCACCTTGCGCGATCATGCCGGCAACTCTCAAAGCTGGATAGCCCATGCCAAAATTGAAGGGCGCAGCGCGTCCCTCCAACAAGGGCCCATAATGCAGAGTGGTAAAGCTTTCGAGATAGATCAGTTCAAGGATGCCGGGCTCCGTAGCTTCTGCCCCCTGCCCGGCCTGATCATCAGGCATCTCGGCCGCTTTGGCTCGAACAAGCGCTCGAATGCGTTCCAGGGTTGATAGCTCCGACTGCTGCATTTTCTGGAGTCGGGGAGGGGGCGGTTGTTGAAGGTACTCAAACTTTGGCTCTGGACCGGGGGACTTGGGTTGAGCGATCATGGAATTTAGGCCATTCAAGGATGATAAAGCAGAAAGTGTCTGGCTCAGACTTGTTTCATGGCTGGATAAGTGTTGATAATCTAGCACTAACTCTTGATCCTCTCAAGCCTTGTCGGCTGGGAGGTCAGGGCTGTTAACTAACGTCCAGAACGCCAAAGGCTCCCTTAGTTTTCCTGTCAGCAGGCCAGTTGGCAGCCAAACGTCCTGGTACACTGCTGCCGGGCGGGAATTAGAATTGCACATTTTCTCGTCAGGTATGCGCTACGCTGCGGGTGGGTTTAGGCATCCATGCTTGATGGAGGGGGGCTTGTGAATCTGATTGCTTACTAGGCTTGGTGTTGCATGGCTCCGTACGATTGCAACTGCAGCCCAACTCAGGTTGTAACCTTATTACGCAGCAAGGCTCTCTCTCCTACTTCAAAACCAGGATTGATAGGCAGGCTACTATCTCCTTCACCGGCATACCCGGTGTTGCAATTTTGTTATTTGCGTGATTTTGGGAGCCTTAATCCAGCTTCTTGAATTCGTACCATTCTGGTATCCATCCTGGGTGAGAACTCCAGAATCCGGTGTTGATCTCATGGATCCAGCCACGGCAATCCGAATCACTGCATCCCTTGTGGATCTCGTGAAGCTCTGTGGGGAAGGCTACGTGATCGTTTGGCGCTTCGTCCAAACGATTAAGCATATGGGCTACGACGTTGAGGATCTGGACCAGCGGTTCAAAGAGGAAGATATCAAGTCACGGATCTTTGCCCAAGCCCACAATCTGATCGTGGATGAAGCACGTGGCAAACGAGCAGATGTCGCAATTAACCAGCCCCTTTTATGGACACAGACAGTCTTGGATCACTTCGTCCAGGTCAAAGACCACCTGGAGATAGCGGAGAAGATCGTCAGACACTATTGCGAAGGGAATCCAAATCCATCGAGTCCCCAGAGCATCGCCTCTCCGCTTTCACCAGCTACAACGGATGCGTTGAGAGTATCAAGTGTGGGTGCCGGCGGGCCAGTTGAGGGCTCTGATGCCCTTCTGGATTTGACAAAACGGCCCACAGAGAATTCCCGCGTGCTGGATGCCGAAATTGCATCCAAAAGGAGGATCCACAAGCTACTGAAATCCCCCTTCACGGTCAAGCTGAAATGGGCTCTAAAGGACAAGTCGGCACTGGAAGACGCCGTCACCAAGCTTCGTGCCGACAACGAGGCGCTACTATGGCTGACTATGCCCAATGTCCTAAATCTTGTCTTAGAAGCCATCTCGAGCCAGTTTGCCGCTCTCAGGATCGAGATCAATGAGCTCCACCCCCTTTGCCACGCCGCGAATTTAGACGGCCATGACTCCCGTTGGCACCGTGAGAAACAGCTCTTCGAGAAGCGGGCAAAGCCGCAGCAGGAGGCTAGGGAGCTCATGGCCTCGCTCAACCTCGAGACTGCCGAGCGGAAAGAGGCAAGGGGCCTGGAGCTGGCCAGGCTCCCAGAGATCATGGCCAAACAAGATTGGCCAGACACCCGAGAACGATTTTCCACGATGCTCCGGAAATCCGAGCCAAAAAGCAGCGACGAAGTCCAAGTCCTGGTCGAGTGGAAAGAATGCAACCGAAAAGTTCTCACTCGCGACGAGACCGTTGCACGGGTCAGCAATGTTGTCGCCATGCTTAGCTCGCGGCCCTGTATTATCACCAACGTCCTTACGCCCCTTGGCTTCGTCGAAGACAGTCGGGCCAACTCCCGGCAGTCAGGCTGGCTCGGCATCGTCTATGATACCTCGACACTTGGCTACGACCCTCCGCGCCACACGCTCCGTAACCTCCTCGCCAGCGCCTGGAAACCGCCGCTAGGTGACCGGTTCCGGCTTGGCCAGCGCCTGGCCGAGACTCTACTCCAGGTGCACAACTGCCACTGGTTACACAAAGGACTGCGTCCCGAGAACGTCGTTTTCTTTGATCGGGAGAGGTCGATTGCGGAGCCGTACCTGTTCGGCTGGGACTACGCACGGCCGTACAGGCCGGGACAGAAGACCGAGACAGTCATGACGGGGGTGGGGGATTCTGAGCTGTACCTGCACCCGGACTGGTTTCAACAGGCCGTACCCGAGGCGTCTAATGCGGCGGGGACGCCTGCGTCTCGGTGCTACGTCGAGTTCGACCAGTATCAGCTTGGATGCATACTTCTAGAGATTGGGTTGTGGTGTTTGATCGGAGACCTGAGGGCAGCAACTAAGCGGACGTTTTCTGACGATCAAGACGGCCGAGAGTGCTGGAGGGAGTATTTAGAGACGAAAACGACGGCTTTAGAGCCAGAGGTGGGTGCTATTTATGCCGGCGTTGTTAGGAACCTTCTGTCAGGGCTTAAGGGCAAGGGACTCGAGTTCTGGCATGCGGTCGTCTACCGCCTTAGCCAATGTCAGGCCTAGTGGGGAATTTTAGCACAGTATTAGAAGATTAAAAGTATAACTAAAGGCCAGCTATAAGCCGCTTCTCTGCAGTTGCGTTTGTTAGATGTAAGAGAAGGCAGGTACGCCTGATCAAGGTGGTCACAATGTAGGCAAGAAAGAAGGGAGCAATGACTGGTATTGGTGTAAGACTTCAACCTGGCCCTCGCAAAGGAAGGTGGGCGAGGGCCACTGTTTATATACATGGCTGGCGGTTCAATCTAGTATGTGTCTGTGGAGGCTTGGTGCCACGATGTGGCGCTAGGGGCTTGGCCAGCTGGTGGCGATTAGGCCAGTTGGTAACAAGTGGTGGGCGCGCACCCTGTGCGCGCGTGTGCGGGTGCTCGGGGTGTTCTTTCCTTACAACCTGCTATTTATATTACAAGATCTACGAAGGGGCGAGGATACTACAGCAAACTCCACGCCGATTCTGCTGGCTTTTGACAAAACGGCAGTATTTCTGGATGTAACTTTTCTGCCATTTTCAGGGTTGGCCCTGTGTGTTGTTAGGGTTATGTATGGGGATTATAGTGGCTTATAATAATCCTTATAGTGTATTCTTTCCCTGCACCTCAAACTCTCTAATCCGCTTATGGTGGGAGTTGGGAGTCTGTGATAGAATGAACGGCGGATTCCGTTGGGTATTCCGATCACGCTGGTGAGGGCAGCAGGACTTACTGTAGAGCTAATCTGCAAGAAACATTTTTGCGATGCTTAATAAGTCAGCCTTAGCAACAAAGGGCCTTGGGGGAAGGCTCAAAAATTCCCAAATCTAACCAATAAAGTCAAGCCTAGAGAGCGCAGGATTTCGACTTTGATGGTGAGGCCGGCGGCGACGTGTGCTATGAGAATTACGAGATGCGACTCCTCTTAATGAGTCGCTAGACCTTTATTGATTTAGAACTGTATGATTCTAAGCCTCTTCTGCTTACTCCTGTTCTATGTGCAGTGGAGGAGCTACTTACTAAGGGGAACGTCTAGGGTCATACAAGCCCCGATTCGCGCCTGGCTGGCTAGATGCCTGGAGTAGCATTCTGAACGGAGAAACTAGATTGCACGAAAGAGCAGTGCTGGGCCAACATCGTTGCGTGGTCCCTGCCTCCTCCCTCTCACGGCGTGAAGCCCTGCCACGCCAGTAGAATCTTCTAGCCTCCTTACCAGCGTCAAGACACAAATCCACGTCATCCATTCCTTCGGCATCGCCGGTTATTTGGCTCACATAGACGATGCACCCTCAAGTGTGGCGGACGCAGTCATACAAGGGCTAATGATCTGATGCTATTGCCCTTAGCTTCCTATTTTCGGCCCATATCCGAATGCCCCTAAGCTACCCCGCGTAATTGAATCATACTGTAGATGGATCACTGTCTTTGTCCGGATGGCCCTTTTGGCGCTAGCATCCTGGGCCGCAGCCGCACAGCCAAGATCTTTCGCCTCTCATTCCCACTCTTGCTTTCAACGAAGTTCTCTTAAGGTACGGCTTATGTCTGGGGTTAGGCAGACGCTTCGTGCGGCCCCTGTTCCGTCCGCTCAGTAGCGAATCATCCACTTGTTCGCAAGCTTGCGTTGTGGCGACGTCGATTGGACTGGCGATCAACGCGACTCTGACCGCAACTCTGCCGGTCTCTTCCTCATCCTCTTCCTTCAGAGGCGTAGGCTCCCAAGTCGTAGAGACACCGATGCGATGATACCCATGTCATTGCCCTTGTTTTCCTAGTCTCGGTCCGTATTTTGATGACTCCTGGCCGTCCTCAGCGTAGATCATACGGCGAATAGATTCCGCCTTTTCCGGAATGCTCATGCGGCCTGAGCCCAAGTTGGGGCCTCTTCTTATCCCCCTTCCCCGCTCCGCTTCGTCAACTCCCTTCCAAACACCATCTCTAGGCAGCATCCACCCGTATCGGTGAACCCCGGTTAGGCGGTCTCTTCCGTTACTTCTGAGCCCTTTCTGGCGTCACTATCCTACGTAGTTACGCAGTCAAGTTCTTTTCCCTTCTCGTCCTAGTTTTTGTCTTCACTGAGGTTCCCTTCAAGGCACACTTGGCAGGCGCTTGCCGCGACCTTGTGTAGCATACAACGGTGCAAGAAAACGTATTCAAAAGAGTGCTTGTATTAGGAAGAAGAAGAGCGGCCTGTATAGCCTAGGTGCGCTGCTACTTATGATGAAAATGAAGCCTTTGTTCCAAAATGTAGATCAGGCCACAATGTGGCCGGAAATGGTCAGTTACGTCACGTAGCGCGACTTCTTCCGACACCTTGTTCCGTCCGCCGATGAGTGAATCATTACCATATTCGTGAGCATGTATGATGGTACAGGTGGACCGGGAGATCAACCCAACGCGAGAGCAAGCGATGGTGACTGCGACACCGCCAGTCTACCTCATCCTCTTCCTTTAAAGGCGCGGACTCCCAAGTCGAGACGCTATCCATTGGACGCCATGAATCTTCGTCGGAGTTCTAATATTCAGTCCATTCAATCAGATGCTTCAGCGTCCTTAAGGTGAGACGTCGTCCGGTCCGAGGTGCGGGTCTGTTTATGAGAAAGCGCAAAGCCACTCATTGACTGCGGCGCTTCTTGGCTGTAGGACGTCTCCAGCTGCTAGGCAATAATATGTCTGATGTCGTTTCCAGTAGCTATAGTTGGTTGGGGTGGCATCGCTAGTCGCTATCACTCTCGGTCCAGGGCTCCTGAGGGTAGTACGAGGTCGGATAAATGACAGAGTGGTACGGCGGTCATCAACCCCGGCAGAAGCCGAGTCTTCCGCGACCTTTTGGTAACATCCCTTATTGTGCGGGTAGAGCTCGTCGTAGTAACTAGTCCACGGCCGGCGATGGCGGCGGGGCGCCGAGGAGCACTGTCATCCGCGGCGGTGGGGGGGCCATCGGCGGGCTCCTTCTCCTAATGGCCGAGGTCGTAGGCTGCGTCTGCTGCCGCCGCCGCCGCCGACAGGACGACGGGCCGGCTGCGGTGCAGCGGTGGAGCGTCAGGTCGGAGTTGCGGGGCGACAGTAGCACGGCGGGGGCACAGCCTGAACACGCACAGCGTGCTCAGCGGGTGGGCGGCTTTCCGGTGCAGACGGAGCCGGCGGGGCACGCCCGTGCCTGTGTTTTCGCCGGAGCCGCCTAGAAGGGAGTAGTGGGAGGCGGGCCACCGCGTCGTGGCCATGCCGAATGAGGCGACGCTGGCATTTGTGTAGAGGGGGGGGGGAGGAGTTCTGGCATCGGCAGAGCGTGAGTCCGAGGCCGTTATCACCTAGGTAGTGGGTAGCGCTTGTTAGCGTGGGGAATTAGCGTCAGCTTGAATCGGAATGCTAGTTTAGAGGATATAGAGGCGGGCCCACTATCTACATGTGGTCAAACATGTGTACACTGCTCTAGTTTGAACCCAGGGGCTCCACTCAAGCAAGAACACCTCTTCATTCGCCCCCTTCCACGCCTCTGCCTCCCCATACATCATCCCATGCACATAAAACTCCCCTACCAACCGGTACCTCCCACTTCCCAACCGTCTGAGCACGAACGGCACCCTCCCCCCTGGAAGCACAACAATCTTGTCCCCAGCCGTCGCCCCGTCCGGCACCATGCCCACATACAACCTCTCCGTGCCCGCGAACCGCGCCGGCTCCGACGAGCCGCTAAGCCGCCGCGAAAACTCCACCGCCGTCTCCCAGTACCGCTTGTACAGCGCCCGCACCCGCGGCGCCAGCGTCTGGTACCGCCGCCCGTCCGCGTCCAGCTGCACCACCGCCATCGCCTCGTGAAGCTCCGCTTCGTCCCGGCCGCCACCGCCGGCCGCCGCGGGCCTGCTGAGCTCGGCTTTTACGGTGGTTCCGTTGGTGCGCGGCGGCTGCTGGAGAGGGCCGTGACGTTCCGGGCCGACAGCATGACGTCGACGCTCGCGTGGCGCTGCGGGCGCCGTGAGCCGCCGATTGGGATCTTGCACAAAAGGCCTTCGGTCGACTCGCCGGTGGGTAGGCGGTCCCGTTGCTAGGGAGTAGGGCGGCCAGGGCGGTCTGCGCGTCGTGGCTGCGGCGGATCGAGAGCTTGCCGTGGAGGTCGGACTGGGCGGCTTGCGCCGTGCTGGCAATGCGGATGGTGTCGACGAGCCAGCCCCTGATTCGGAGCGTTCCACCGTCATTGTCATTGTCGTCGACCTGACTCTTACGAGAGCATACGTGGGGAAGGCATCTCGAACTTGATACATAGTTTCCAGACACTTCATTACTCAAAGTTGGCGGCAATAAGCTTAGGCTCCTCGCTGATCTTGTCTCTATCGACATGAAGCTCAAATCTCAGGTCCGCCGGCTCTGCAAAAACTTCCAGAAGCTGAAAGGGGTAGATATAGAGAAATGTATCCCTTGAAGAAATTACATGACTTTCTCTTCTTTTGCTCGGTTAATCGGTCTTTTGGCACGCCCGCCAGACTAATAAGATCGCTCGATACTTTGCCCGCGGGTACTGACCCCGCTGGAAGGTGAACAGTGGTCAGCAAAATGCAAATGTAGTGAAATATCACAAAGGGATCGAATGCCACTGTTTCGTACCTTTCTTTCGATTGGACAGTAGGTCGCACTCCTCAAACTCAGACTCCACACCCTCAACGGACCAGCTTGTAGACTAAGCGTCGGGGGCAAAACGTTGCAGAAACCTGTAGGCTTCTGAGTCCTGGGGATGGATAACATCTCCCTGCAACCCGACGGTTATCGGATCTCGAAAGCTCGGAGGGCGATTTCCTCTGTGCTGCCCTCATTAAAGACGAGGCAGTGTTCGAAGAGTTCTCCGAACATAACTCCATTCACAAAAGCTTGTCCGACAAGTAGGTAATGCCCTTGGTAAGGTCGTAGTACGAGAGGAACATCTCCACCAGCCATGATAGTAACTAGGTCGCCAGGCTTAGTAGTCAGAGGTCCAAACCCGATGAATCCGGTGTCGGTTCGAAATGCGTTTCCAGCGTCAATTGTTTTTGCACACACTTCCTCGATTTCGTCGTAGGAAAGGTTTGCATATTTATGATGCTCGCACACGCCCGTCTTCTTCTTGATTCGATCTTTGGCGGCACCTTTACCTTTCCTGGCGTCTTTGGTCTGTTCGATGCTGCTGCCAGCGACTCCTTGTCTTTTGTCGCCCTCTGATATATACCTCACTCCCGCGGACATTGCCCTGTTGATCTTTTCCCACGGAGGAAGTTCTGAATCAGTATCATCAATCTCGCTATCATCCATCTCGCTGTCGTGAATCTCGCTGTCGTGAATCTCGCTGTCATGGATCTCGCTGCCGCACGTTAATAAGTCGTAATGATCGTTCTCAACCTTTTCTTTCGCGTTGGCTCTGCAGTGATCTCCTTGCTCAACAGTGACCATTGAGCTTTCCAGAGCTTGGGCTACGAGATCCGTATCTTTGTCGTCTTCAGCGGCTTCATCAGAGCCAACATTATCGCACTCGACTCCGGTTAATGCTTGTCGGCTCACTGGGCGATCTTCTTGCTTGGTCTCCAGGGTTGAGACTTCCCCGGCCGCGGCCATATGCAAGGCTCTAGGCTGAGCCAGCATCTCAGCATCGGGGCTGTGTGGCTCGTTGCGAGTCAGATCCAGCCTGGAATACCGCCTCCTCTTCGGCGCACTTGACTCTAAGCCCTCGAGATCGTAAATATGTGCGCGTTTGTTATTGCAGTCATCGTAACTGTCGCTGTCGTTCTCGCTATCGCCCTTGCTGTCGCTGCCTTCGTCAGAGAAGTTCAATCCCGACCCTTCAAGTGACGTCAGCATTGCATTCATGAATACATATTGACTGAAGAATAACATACAATTCATAGTCGCATACAGGTACCTTATCACAGCTGGGATAATAGATATTGGAGCTGGTCGTGGTCCGTTACCAGCATAGGTCCTGTCAGCATGATCACCTATGATCGTGCGACAGATTGCTTCACCGGCGTCTTGGCAAACAGAATATGTCCAAGAAATGGGACGATGTCGATCGCGTCTTAAATACCACGGCGTGTTGTTGGCCAACTCTTCGTTCCGTATGCATCCGCAAGAGCAAACAACGTCCGGTAGTTTCAAGTTCGAATGAGAAGATCGATCGCGGCCACCACCAAGGTGTCCCATGACCATTGCCACCAAAACTTGGACTTTTTCGGGACAAATAGAATACACCATGCTACGAGGAGTAGGCGGACGCGCTTTGGGGTGCTCTGGTGCGACTTGGTCTTCATCAGCTTCTGATTTGTCCCAATGGTCAGGAAGCTCCACCGTGACGGCTTTGAACTGTCTGAAAAGAAGACATTCCCTGCAGTCGCATGAAACCCTAGCGTCATTCATGCGTCCGATTATGAATCCGAAATCATCGGTGTCGTTGAAACCCGTAAGCCCGCTGTTTGGATCGGGATCATACACATGTTTTTGCTCCCCGGTGTTCTCCTTGAAGGCCTGCTCGAAACATGCCATAATCGGTGCAAATTCAGGCTTTGCCCAATTGTTGAGTTGGCGAGGAACAGAGTCAATTGCCTCGGCAACCGTACCGATAAGGATCCCGAAGAGTGTGAGGATGGGCTGTTGGGGATCCGACACCATTATGTGATATGGTGGAAGATTCCTCGATGCATTGTAGGGTGCACCTTGCGGATGACCTGATATGAGCATGGGATTGGAAAGCCGAAACTGCCGCTATGGTTCGTCAAATGTCGGGAGCCAGGTTGCCCAACTCTCATATGCTGGATGGTTTTCGACATGATCGCGATAATACATGCCGGGTGATCTAGAGAGAATCTGCAAACCTGTTGCCGAATGAATGAGGTTTCTCGTCGCCTCCACAAACACTTGTTTCGGTGACTTGTCGTAGTCGACAATGTGCCTGTCTCTCACATCACGGTCTGCCATGCCCAATAGCCCGTAGACTTTGTCTCTCGAATCCGTGCATTGAGAACTTCTTGAAAAATCGAGAAGAAGTTGCAGCGGAACACCCCAGCAGCAGAGGCAGCTACCTTCTGAGCGCCCTCCCCCAGACTGTTGATAAGTTTCTCTGAGGCGCGAAATTTTGTTCATCGGGCTTTCGTAATAGGCGTTGAAGAAAGACTTCGCGCCTAGCGGCGCATCTTCTACCAAACGGGTCCCAAGCTCCGCGCGAAACGGTAACAACAAGTAGTACTTCAGGTAGTACATTAGTTTTTATAAAATGATCCCATGAAACAGAGGACGCTCCGCACATGATAGCAGGCGTCGTTTTCGAGAGGACAACCCCCTGAAGAATCCAAGTCCTCTCCCACCAACTACGTTTGAGGAGGTTTGTCGCCCCGCTCATGAGGGTTTCTCTCACTCCTCTTTCTCTAATCTCGTCGAGCGTCAAAAGGGGCATTGGTTGGCAGGAACACATGGAAGCAGCGCACGGAGGCCGTCATCTTAAGAACGATGGAATTTCTTTCATCCACCCAAACTCTTCTTTCTATTCATTTCCCATAAGGATTACATGCTGCCCCAGCCAGGTCCAGCACTCATTCCTTGGCAAGCAGATCCAGATACTGGTCCGTCACCTCCTTGACCATCGTCTCAAAGTCGGCGGACTTGACACCCAGCACCTTCTCAGTCTTCATTACAAGCAAAGTCAGCAACTGTCCCAACTCTCCCCTCGCTGCTCCATTCGAGCGAGACACCGGCCATGTACCCGCCCACCTCCCGCACCCTTCCCCCGCTCAGCAAGCTTTACACCCCGGCCCGCCCAGTTTGTATGTCAGCGTCTGCGGCGGCGGCCGGCATGCCGGGCACGGCGCGCACGGCGAGCCGACGCTCAGCGTCGTCGTGCAGCCGTCGATGCGCGTCACCGTCGTGCGCGTCGGCCGCGGCGCCGGCGGGCCCGGCTCAGATTTAGAGTTAGCTCATGTTGAGCTGGCTCATAGTTGGAGCTGGCTCATGTTGAGCTGGCTCCAAATATGGCCCAGCTTAAAATCTGAGCCACCTCATAATCTGGGCCAGCTCAAAAAATGAGCCAACTCAAAATATGAGCCACCTCAAAAATAACCTAACTCAAAATGGTCCAGCTCAAAAAATGTGCTAGCTCACCGATTCGTGGCTGAACATGTGGCTGAACCTATTGATCAGCCACACTCGATCTGCGTTCAGGCTAGATGGCCAGTCATAGAGATTTAAAGGCCCGATTCCAGGCTCAGGCCTCTAGGCCATGTTCTAGAACCGCAAGTCTAGGAGGCCTCTAGGGGAGAGGGGGACGATATCTGAGACTATTCCAATTTTGGAACGAATGTATCTGCTTAGTATTGTACGTCTCAATAATGGGAATAGGCACTAGGTGGTATGGTGGCGTGAGAATCCCCGTGGCTCTTAGGGTAGGTTCCTCTGTCTCTTGCATTTGGATTGATCGTGTTAGGGAAGCAGTGCGTGGTTCAGTATGATTGATTTGCTACACGCATAGAGATTTGTCTACCGCTACGCATACGACCTCCTCTTCCAATAAAACATGACATAAATGTGAAGGAAATGGTGGAAGAGCTTCTCAATTAAGCTATCAATCCCGAGGCGCTGTTTCGCAGATTGAGGATGGTGGGTATATAGTCTTATGGTGTGAGTAGGAGGCGCCCGACGAGGAAAGAAACGGCTTCGGGGACCCGCTGGAGATAGTAAGAGGGGAAATGTGTTGGTGCGATGTACGCGGTGCCTACACAGACGAGGTCGCCGGGGTTGCAGATAATGAGTGTTTTCTCGAGGGGGTAACCCTTGATTCGTCCACCGTCCTGGAGGGCTTGCGTGTCTCCCAATGTGACGATGCCCGCGATGCGGTCTTTAACGTATTGCGGCAGACTTTCCACGGCTCGATGAGTGATAGCTGCTCCTTGGCTGTATCCTGCCGCCACAATTTTGGACTGAGGGCAGTAGATGGATGCGCTAGCGAGGAGGACCTGCATCTCGTAGATTCCGTATGGTGGCCCGCCGCCAGGGTAGAAATTGGTCTCAACTAGTGCCAGATAGTCGACTCCCTGGCTAGCCACGTTTTGGGCGCCAAAATATGTCTTGAGGCCGTTGGAGAGGGCCGGTCCCACGGAAACACCCTGCATCGCGTGAGCCTAGGTTTCAAGGGGCACTAGGTCGATTTGTCTCACCATATTCCCCGGCGCCGAGGTCTGTCGAGCCCAAATGAATATGACCGGCTTGCATCCGGTGTAGCTGAACTCCTCCGACCACATTCCTGTCCATGTTTGCCGTTTCTCGGATGCGACCGGCGCAGCGGAAGCTAGAATGGCAATCCACGGCACGAAAAAGACGAGCAGCAACATCATACCAGATGAGGTGTTGCTCCTTCGGTCCCAGGCTTTGCAATGCTTCTAGAATGACCGCTTATATTCTCGCAGGAAAGCGCAAGTGAGGCAGGCGCTGACAACTACAAATGCCTTACTGCGTGACCGCTCCACCAAGGAACTGGCCAATTGTCTTCCCCTGAAGCTGCTCTCATTTACATCTGACACTCCCCGGTAGATGATCCTCCGCCTTAAACGCCAACCAACAGACCCAGCAGCTGCCGGGGAATATCGGCAAACTCCGGAAGCCGGCAGTTTTCTCGGAAACGTCGGTAACCCCGCATATATCAGCCTTCTAATAGCAGCAGATCTCTCTGATCGTCCTCGCTTATTTGGGTTATAGCACGTCTGCTATCAATTGCCGACGGTTCCGCGGGAGACCCCTACGATTTGGAGTAGGAGCCGTGAGGTTTGAAAAATTGATCCGCATCTTGGAAGGCAATTGGATTCGGCAGTCTGTTATCAATTGCCAGTGTTTAATCCTCGAGACCAGTAGCGCTAAAAAGCGAACATGTGTGTGACACCCTCCAAAAGCTCAAGCTCATAGTTGACGAAGTACGAAATGTGTTATGGAACCGATAGACAGAGACAAAAAGATGGTAGTCGATTTGAATCTAGCTACGGGCAGACGATGGTGTAGGCGTTGGGCGCGATAACTTCAAGGGACTAAGGAATGTCACCTATTGGCCGCGCGCCGACAAGGCCGACAAGGCCAACAAGACCGGAAATTAATCTAAACAGACGGAACATGGTTTATGTTTGTTGGGTTGGGCTGGGCTTGGCGATAAGCTCTCTCTCTTTTTCCAAGCCTAAGCCTTAGATCGAGATCTCCCCAATCCTTCACAGTTGCCCCTTAATATGTTATTTCGAACAGACATAGTTTATATATAGCTTCTAGAAATAGAGCTGGTTCTATAAGTACTGGATTCACCAGGGTACCGGTACTGGGCTCAACAGGGCGTGGTTGCACGCCGAAAACTGGTGGTTCAAGTGATGGATTGTAGATGTCTATTCTTCTTTCCTGGCAGTGCCAGGAAACCCCCTTCTTATACTACTATTGTGGTGGCGAAGTAGGCCGCAAAGTAGGCCGCGCAGAAGGCCGCGAGCCTTCTGCCTGGCTCCTTTGAATCCTTTGCCTGGCCACTTCGAGACCCACATTCCAACACCATCTTCAAAAGGAGGCTGCCATCCTTGTCACGGATACGGCCGTCAATTTGCTCTGAAAATCACATGATAATTAGTCGTCAACCATCTTTGCACTTTGATCATTAGGCTAGCGCTTACCAGAAAGCCTCCGTGTCGTACCAGAGAGGGCGTCAGTGACGACCTCAACACCCGACTCATCATAGTAGTTGTACGAGTCCTTGACATTCTCGAGCAACATAATCTCGTAGAAGAGGCCTGTAGCAAAGGTGGCAAGTTAGTACGTATACGTGATCTAAGTCTGGATGTAAGTAACGAACGCTTTAAACGATAGACCTTCCTTAACCGTAAGCGGGTCATCGAGGTATATTCGGGCTATAAGCGACTAGCCCTACAATGAGTAGCGCCGTTAGCATAGCCGAGCCCTGAGATGCCATAGGGCTAAGGTATTTACAATACCGTAGGCTGCTCTCAAGATAGTTGCTGTCACGGCCAGCTTGGAATGAGGGCGGAACTCCTCTATTGGGCGCTATAGACGAAGATTCTAAACTAAAGGGAAAAGGGAAAAGAAGCTCAAAAGCCTCCCCTCGCGAGATTCTTCCAGGGCGTCTCAAGGTGGGGCTCTGGCTGGTCGAGTGGATCCACCCAACTGGCGTCTGATTAGTCAGAGCGTCTGGGAGGCCTGGAGGACCAGGCCCTCACAGTTGCCTCGAGAGAGGTCTTCGCTTCCTTAAAGAGCTCAGCATATTATTACAAACCACTCGACTGTTAGGGTCGTCTGTCTGTAAGGGAGCACGGGCTCCGCAGAATGCTGGGGTTGGTAATTATGAAGATAGAACAGAGGGCAAGCTCCTTCCGCACGGGTAATACAGTCAAATCGGAATGCCACTCGAAGTGTATGAGTGCAGTGAATGTGTATTGCTTGCTTGAAGAACCAAGCAAGAACTATTCTAGGACCGTGGCTACGGTCGTTGTATATATCTAACTACTGGACCAATTACAACGGGTCCCGCTGTCCCGCGGTCCCGGCCCTGGAGGTCCCGGGACGCCGGCCACGCGGGACACTGTCCCGCGTGCCCGACCTCAAGCGGTCCCGACCCTCGGGCCCCGGGGACACCCCTAATTGGTCCCTTTCACGGGACACTCCTGATTGGTCCACCCCAAACAGAGCGTGCCCCACTACTGTGCATTTTGACAAGGATTCGTAACACATATGCCCGTGCCTCGGAATCGTGCTCCAGAATCACGCTTAGGTCAATTCCAAGCTTGCGGAGGATCTTGGCATAGGGTATATCACCGCACAGTCGATCGAATGAGACAAGGCTGCATTTACCGGGCTGTATTCGTAGAATCTAAAGCTAAGGAAAGAAAGAAGGAAGGAATCGAAAGCGGCCGGGTAGCCGTGGGGAAATAGTTGTGGGCGCCAGGGATCACGTGTAAGGTCATGTGCTAGGGCAGTGGTGGGGAGTGGAGCTCCTGCAAGAGCGCACGAGCCACAAAGCCTAAAACCGATGCGCTCAATCAGCGGGTTTTGGCCCTGCCGTGACAGGGTACCTCAATGTAGGCCTTGAACTTCTCAAGTCTCTGTTCTTTGTAGTACTTGGTCCCGGGCTCGATCCTGCCATTAATTTCCTGCTTGACCCACTAGCAGTTGTTCTGCGGTGGGAGACGAGTTTTAGCTCAGTTACTATAGTTGCGTAGTGACGGCCACAAATATCTTTATGTATAGCTTCAGAGCTTCGGGATTCTTCAGGTCTTGAGGATAACGCGCGAGGCCTAGAATAAGGGATTGAATCTCATCTAGTTATATGCTTTGGACGCATTCGGCGAGTCGAGAACTGATCGGATATAGTAACTGTAAGACTGCTCGATGTCGCTGACAATCTCGCTGCTAAGAAATCTATCCCCAGTGGTGCTCACCCTTGGATACTCCTCTAGAGAATTACTTGCAAATACGACGGTACCATCTCGAAACTCCTCCCGGCTTAGAGGGGCGTCGTCTCTGCTGTACAAAAGGAAGACAGCACCTTACTCTTGAGCGCTTACATGCGGCGAAGCTGGTTGCCTTCGAGGTTTATCAGAAATTCGAATAGCTTGTAGGGACGCATGTGACGGGCGATGCCCTGGCCGAGAAAAATCGACAGACTGGAAATCTTGTGGCCTCGCTATCTGGCGCGGAGTGGGGTCTCGTTGGCGGGTTTTTGTACAAGGGCTGAGCAAGTACTTCGTCCCGTAAGAATGACCTCTATAGTATGGCCATAATAAGTAGGAGCTTCGGCTTCTATGTTTGGGTCCTAAATCTGCCCTTGACCCCCTTGATCACGTACCCGGCCATACGGAAACATGTCTCTCGAGCCCCTGAATTGCGTCCTCGAGTAGCATACGACAATTGACACGTATCCTCTCGAGCCCATCAAAATCGCCCGGGGGCACAGTCTCGCCGAACCAATAGACTATGCATCCGTAGTGGCTGTAACGATTAAACGAGGTATCTCCGTCTGCTTCCTCGTCGGAGCGGACATACTTTTGCAGCGTAGCGCCTTCAGATGTGGTGATTTTCACATCTTGTCGGCGAACATAACCCCACATCGCGCCGTACTTGTAGCACACGCCGCGCCAGAAGACATATTCTCGCGAGCCACGGCGTCCACCTGGCCGTGGCAGCACTGTATACCTAGCCTTCTATTAGCCAGATTAGGCGAACTAGACTCGATTGGTGCCTTCATCACCCTCACGCTTCTGCATTGGGACATGGGCTCTTTCTGAGTCGATTTTACTTTACCTCCGCAGAGCCGCATTTCATTTCAGGTTATCCAAACAGAAGTCCCAGCCTTGTCCAGAAGACCTATTAGCACACATCACTACATCGACGCACGCAAACCGGGCGTCATCATCCCTGTCACAGAAGAACAGAGCCTCAAACTCCTTGGTGCGGTTCAGGAGCAGAGCCTCAAACTCCCTGAGTAGGCAGAGAGAGGAGCAGAGCCTCATGGTTGCCTCGGCGGTTGTACCGAGTCAGGAAGTCGATAAAATGTCGTTCAGGTCCGGCAATTTTTCTCAGAAATTCGTCCTTCTTCATCTGTGTCACTCGTCTCCAGTACCGGGTCAACACTCATCACGGTAGAAGAATTAACGGACAGTGGATGAGAAGAAATATGCCCGTTTTGGTATGTTTTATATCTTCGTTTTGAAGAACTTCGCTAACTAGGACGAAAAATCAAGAACTCGGTGGTCCTTTGCCAACTCGGCCGGCGAGAGATAGCGACCGGCGGAGAGACGACCGGCGGAGAGACGACCGGCAGAGAGACGACCAGCAGAGAGACGACCAGCAGAGAGACGACCGGGGGAGAGACGACAGAGCAAGCAAAGAGCAGACTGCAAGCAGAAAACTGTCTGTAGACACCGAAGAGGCAGTGCAGCGTGTCAATTCGGGTATGTTTAGTTCTTAGTTTGAAGACTCCTAGCTGACTGAAACGGAAATCAAGGGCCAGATGGTCGTTGGCCAGCACGGCCGTCAAGAGATAGAGATTGGACGAGAGACAACAGAGCGAGCAAAGAGCAGACGGGAAGCCAGCTGTCTCCAGACACTGAAGAGGCAGTGTGCCGTGCAATCAACTATTGGAGAGAGGCGGCCAAAGAATCTCAGCAGGAGGTGGTCCTTTTGAGAGAGAAAGTGCGCTCACTGGAAGAGGAACTCCGTTTAATGAAAGAAGATGGGAACGGGCTATTGGGAGTTTTGGAAGGGATTGTTAGCATGGCTAATACGTATATAGGGAGAAAAGAGGATAGAAAATAACATTCATGTCATTTTATCCGAATAATAAGGGACATTTATAATCATTCTTGTCTAGAGACTTCTCAATATAATGTATAGTTGGTATCTCTGAACTTGACATTAAATATCATGAATTCACCTAATCTACCTAGTAGCGATATACGGGAAAGGTCCTCACTAGTTTTAAGTAGCATGTAACATAGGCAGCTCACACCATACATAATCAGTGCTATAATTAATAAACTAAATATCATCTATAACTCCCGATTTCTAATTAACTTGACAAGTTATTACATTATATACGCCCAACCTAATTCATACACACCTTAGCCATCCCCCCCATTACCTTCCTTAGCTAGGTTACTGACGCCCGCCTAAACCCGTCCACCAACCCCGTCCGCGGGTCCCGAAGCACGCCGCCGCCGTACACCAGCCCGCTGCGGTCGCGATGCAGCTTAGCCAGGCTCTCAATGACGGCGTCGTAGCTTCCAAAAAAGCCATACACCCTAATATCGCTCGGTACCACTCTTTTATCCAGCGGCTCGACTAGGCCGTAGCCGAGCGTGACGCCCTATACACTACCGACCAAAATGGCGTACCCGTCTAGGTCCGCATCCCGTTGCAATAGGACCAAATATATGAAGCCTATATACCGGACCGGCCGCAGGCGTACGACGTTAGCAGGGAATGTCCAGCCACTGCATACGCCTTAGTAGGGTAGCAAGATTGGATGTCACGGCGTGACCAAGAGTTCGCTACTACTACTGCTGCTATCGCCGCTTATTCTAAGTAGATACATCTCAGCTTGGACCACGGGTGTCTACAGGACTACTGACACTCGCCGCGGCCCCTTAGGCGTCTGTACTTACATTCCTCGGCGTAGTTTGCTAATAGGAATACACGATCCCGCTAGGTTCCTCTCTACCTGCTAAGTTTTATTTCGGAAACCGGTAGTAGCCGTAGTTAATGAAGATAATAGTACCATTGCAAGTAAGACTGGGGTGCAGCCCGCGAAGCACGGCCCGTCGGCCCGGTTGAAGCGGCTCATACTGATATTGACGCCGGAGCCGGAGTCGCTAGATGAGTTGCTCGGCTTGGGAGCGGGCAGCGAGTTAAATGCCGCGTCTAAACGGTCGCGGTACCGGATGAACAGCGGGCTGTGCATACCGTACATGAGCGGGCCGGAGTCCTTGAAACTGTTGCAGATTTGGCGCGCATGTGCCCCGGCTAGGCTCGCTAGATAGTGTCTCCCCCAACGATAGTAAAAGTCTGCCCGGCTGAGCGCCAAGGAAATCTGTCCCCGCGGGTCTACGCCGCAGAGATCCTCGAGAAGAGACAAGCAGCACTAGTGGCGAACTCGGGCTTGCTAGCCAGAAGACTGGCGATGAGCTCCCGAAGACGCGCATCGAAAAACCCCGGTACATCCATTGTCACCGGTTTGTGCTCTCCGTTGCTGCAGATAGGGGAGAGCGAGGCCAGAAAGCATGATTACAGACCGGGAAACATGATAGGCGATCTCAGTAGCACTCATGCTTGTTGTGGGCTCCAGTAGCGATTTGAGTACGCAAATTGTTTCGATGACTGGGGTGAACCGTTGGTACTCGAGCTCGGCGGTTACGACGGGCGCAACCTCTGCGTCGAACCCATAATCGACGGCTTCTTTCAGCGCACTGTCAAAACGTAGATAAATATCCCGTGACTGGCCATACTGTAGAGTATTGAGAGTAATAGTCAGCTGCATGTGTGTACCTGGTTCGCTCCCTTCTAATTTAACGGGTTCCTTTTGGCTAACAGACTCTCCTGTCGTCTCTTCGAGTTTCAGGTACCACGGATATGTCAGCCGTAGTACCGCATTGTTGGCAAAAGTAGATTGAAGATTGGCCATCGCGTGAATAAAAACGGTACCCTATTAATAGTCTATGTCAGAAAAAAGGGGGGGTTCTAGAAGGTGCTGGAATCATGGATTTGTCACTATCAGAAAGAAGGGAGATTCTAGAAGGTGCTAGAATCATGAATTTGTCACTATTAGCCACAGACGCGCAATAACCTCGCCACCTGGCCATGGCTATAAGAAATGCTCTCTGGCAGAGCCAGAGAGCCTAGAAAGAGGGCAATAGAATCAAGCAATTGCAACCCCATCAATTCCACAAGATCCAGTGTGCAGTGTTTCTGACAGTCTACTTAGCATCATGGAAAAGTAAACTGAAAAGCCAAGATGGAGAATTAACAATCATGCCTGCGTCCGGAATGAACGAGTAATTACCTCCGCCAACTTCTGCAACAATTCAATTTCAAGTGGGAAATCTCACTAGTTCTGGCATTATAACTCTAAGTCGTACAAATTCTTCGCCAGGTTTAGATAATTCTTTATCTTTAGTATCTTCAACACCTGTGGAACAATCAGAGAGCCCTCCAATCTTCTGCACCACACTGAACAACTCGACTGCGGTAAATCCCAACTTTGCTAATACAACTACAAATTTTAATCCTACGAATGGATCTTTACCCCCTCGCTTCTTTCCTACTCCAACGTTAACTATCTTTCCTTGGAGATGTTGAATAGAACTGGCAGTTTGTGCCAAGTGCTCGCCCTCCACCTTAAGCAAGTACTATCTCCCCCCACTTGTCCGGATCCTCCTTGGACTCTCCAAGGAGCTCCCCCCTCATAACCCCGTGAATGTAAGCCGCCCCGACCAAGTTAAAAGCGTCCCCACCTGCTACCGGGCGCAGTATCAGCGGCATAGAGGATCCCGGCAAGACGCAGCACACATCGCCAGGCCGGGAGAATCGCGGCACCAGAGCCAAGGAGCCTGCGCGTGTTGCTGCCAGTCTCTCGTCGTGTCTGAAACTGATTTCATGAGAAAACCGATACGCCTGCTCCAAGACATCCCGCGGCAGAGGGTGGTGGCCCCCCTGAAGCTGTCGCAAGGCGCGGCGGAACGCATGGTACTGGCCCCGGTATTTGGCTAGCCGCGACCCTGTTGGAGGACTAGCTTCCTCACAAAAACCCCTCGCAAGAGCTAGGAAAAAGGCATCTTCTAGCTTGCCCTGCTCAAGATCGGCCGCTATCGACGATTGCGTGACAAGGTTCCGCTGCGTTGTGTCCCACAGATAGTCAAGGTAGGTTTCGCCCGGAGAAGCGCGCCAGGCGCCTTCGTCCCACGCCCGAGGGTCGAGGGAGAGATTGGTCAGCTGGATAACCTCCGAGGTCCAGGATAGCCGATCAAAGAGTAGCCCCCGTAAGACAAGCTTCTCTTCTCGGATATGGGCCCGAAAGCTTATCCCCACGCCCCCCGCTCGATACCAGTAGCTGGGGGAGCTCCCTAGGTGCTCCGCCACGCCGTTATCCCATCTCGGCACCCAGCTAGGGCAGTCCCTACCCTCGACATCCGCGCCGGACAAATGGACCACAAACGGCAAGACGTGGGGCGCATCTCTAGGGTTTCTCAGCATTGTGCAGGCCGCCTCCAAGAAGACTTGCTCCACCGGCTTCGCGTAATCCGGTTCGATCATAGACACTCTGGGGCCACCGCCGCCGCCGCCGCCGCCGTCGTCGTCGTCGTCACCATCCAGGCCGACACCGTCCGCTAGGGGGTTGCCTAAGAAGGCGTAGAGGTGATCGACGTCCAGCGTAGCCCGCAGCGACCTTCCTGCGCGCAGCACGTGTACCATCGACCACTCCCGGTTGGCGATATACCTGTCCTGGAACGTCTGGAGGAATGGGCTCGCCCTCCAAGTCCCTTCGCTCCCGTAGAGGCCGTAGCCGAAAGCGGCGACGGTGGCGTACGCCCCGATGTTGAGGCCACAGGCCTCCCTGAGATCTGTCCGGTACTGCATCCATATCACCAGCTCGACGAGATGGACTATCGGCATCTGGCAGTCGCCCCATGTCAGAACGCACTCCCTAGCGACGGCGACCTCCTGGACGACCCACACCCTGCTGAACCAGGGCAGGCCGAGGAGGCGAGAGGCCGGCTCCCACACAATAGGGCGGGAAATGGGGTCCGGGAGGTTGATGACGGGGATGGCGTCCATGTCATCGTAATCCCTCCAGAGCCGGCCCAGATAGGTGCCTGCGGCCCAGATGAGGCCAAAGCACGAGTCGGCAACGCCCTCGGTATCGGCACCAAGCCAGACGACCACGCGTCTGGCGTTCCTATAGATGGCGTCTATGAGGCGGACCTGGCGGCTTCTCTCGGCGTCGTCGCGCTGGTTGATACAGATGGCGTCGGCCCAGATGATCCGCGGGCTAATGGGGTCGCGAAGCGCATGCAGCGCCTCGAGGAGGCTGCGAGAGATGGAGACGACGCAGGCGTCATCGCACGCGATTGTCACCTGGTCGCCCGTGTCCCCCCAGACGTACGACAGGGCCTCGTATGGGTGGTCGACCCGCATGTCATCGAGGCCCGCGCTGCGCAGTCGGCAGCGCATCCCATCCTGCGCGCTGCCGGGGAGCAGCTCCAGGAGTCGGATCGATCGGTCTCCTAGAGGCCGGTACTGGTACCAGAGCTGATCCGGTCGCACGGATTCGGCAGCCATCTCGCTCGCGAAAACCAATTGGAGCCCCAGCGGGCGAATAGCAGTACGGCAGCGGCGGCGGCGGGGAGAGCGAGTGAGGCCAGCTCAGAGTAAGGGACGAGTTATGCAAGGGCACATAATGTACCTACTTGCACAGACCCTACCAAAGGAATGGCTCACCGCCTTTGGCGTTTCATATCCGGCAGAATTGGAGGCGCTGAAAGTTTAGTGCTCTCGGCCGCTAACTCCACGAGAGCGTGGCGCCTTATCGGCATCGCAAACCTCAACATTCGAAGCCGCAGTGACGCACACGGCCAGCAGAAAACGTTGCCGGCTATGACCACAATATAAGATGCCTGCAATGGAGGCTCGTTGCCCCCGTTCTTCCACTCTTCATCGCACATCAATCGCGCTGAGCAACCGCAACCAAAGACATCGCATCATCAATACAAGCGTGAGTTCCGTTAATAGTTATATAATTAAAGAATTACCTTATACTTAAGACCGCGAACACGCCCGGTCAAAGTTTGCTTGGCGCGTCGCAGTCGGTCGTGCGGAGATCGCTGAGCCATCCCCGCCTGACATGCTTAGGGCCTGATCAGCTCGCCGTTGCGGTGTCGTTGCGGTTGGGAAAACCTGCACAAAAAAAATCGCAGGGGGCCTTGCAAGGCCACTAACCCCAATCAAGTGGTAATTTCCCACATTTATCGACCAAATTTGAGGCCGAGCGCCCGGAACGATCCGTCTCGATTTATGCAATGTATCTTCGCGGGGCTCTTCGTGACACCCTGGTCAACGCCCTTCATATGGTATAGTGCACAGCCAAATCTAGTATGGTTGGCTTTTTCCCAATAGTACGGCAACCCTTCTTCGAGAAGGGTTGCCGTACCGTCGAGATCCTACGTACTGCTGCCAATGGCTTCCATTAATAACCCTCTGCTCAACGCCGTCATCACGAAAGCTGTAGTGGATGTAGCCCTACAGTATGTTGATCGCCGTCGACTACTAGGGCCACGCGACTGCGATATTATCCACCCAGAGGGGCCCTCGGGGGCCTGCCATCTTGCTGAGTCGATTCTCAGTGGCTCAGATACCCAATTCGTTGATCTTTTTCGTATGCCAAAGGCCGCTTTCCATCGATTGGTTACATGGCTACAAGAGCATACCGGGCTTAAGGGGTCCAGATACCTGACAGCCGAGCTAAAGCTTATGATCGTGCTATGGATATTCGCCCACGACGAGAGCCAGCGTAATGCTGCCCACCGGTTCCGAGTCAGCCAGTCTACTGTGAGCTCTGTTATGACGGATCTACTGGACAAGCTCGTATAGCTCCACTGCGCATTCGTCAAGCCAAAAGACGATGACTGGCTCGACCCGTCTATCGACGATGCATTCTACGGTTGTATCGGGGCCATTGATGGTACATATATCCACGCCTTCATTCCAGAGCCTCAGCAACACCAGTGGCGAACCCGGAAAGGCTTTATCGCACAGAACGTCTTCGCCGTAGTCCGATTTGATGGTGCGTTCTCGTACGTACTCGCTGGTGCTGAGGGCTCAACACACGATTCTACGCTTCTTAGCATCGCTACTGCGAATGACTTTGCGGTCCCCTCGGGCCGGTTCTACCTTGCAGACGCTGCATTTGGTGGGCATGTAAGGATTCTTACACCTTATAATGGTGTCAGATATCACCTCGAGGATTGGAGGAATGCCAAAAACCCGCCGACCACAGCAAAAGAACTATATAACATCCGGCACGCACGCCTTCGGGTTATCGTTGAGAAGGTATTCGGTATTCTAAAGAGGAAGTGGAAGATTATCCGAGCTACTACGCCAGAGTACTCGATACGAAACCAGGTCCAGATCGTGTACGCAGTCACTGGTATCCATAACTTCCTTCTTGACACCAGCGATGAGGAGCTAGTAATTGAGGCTACACAAGAGGCTTGTCGGTATGCTGAGCAGATAATTAGGAGTCGGTATAGTAAGGATATCCGGGATGCTATTGCAGAGGTTCTATGGAGGGAGCGGGATTTCTAGCTAGTCTTCCATGACTCGGTCAGAGCCTCTTTAATATCCCGGTCTACAGTGTTCCATACAACAGCATTTGAGTGCTCTTTTAGCTGCATGATACACGTTACACGCTCTGCGGGGCTTAACTGGATAGAGAAGTTGTGTATAAAGTCCTTGATCGCAAGCCGGATCTCATCCTGCCCTTTCAGGCGAAGCATGGCCTCAGCCTGCTTAACCATAGCTTCTGCTTGCTTCATAGAGGCCTCAGCTTGCTTATCGAGGCTCTGGGCCAGTGCTAATACCTCTGGATTTGTATTGGCTTTCCGAACCCTCCGGTACGACGGCGCCACAGAGGGTTGGCGAGAGTTAGCATCAGTAGCTGAGCTCGTACTCAGGACCATGGCATCCTCGGTATCGCCCTCGCCCTCGCCCTCGTCGTCAGGCGTCGTAGTAGAGGGGCCAAAGGCATTACTCGCGCGGATAATGTTACGGCCATGACCAGACTGGTTGGCGTATATCGTCTCATAGTCTGACAGAGTAAACCGAGCAGTCCGAAGCCATCCAGCATCCTTATATTGCAAAAGGAAGTTATTCCAGACTTCCACAGAGCCTTCCACCATCCTCTCTTCTTCGTTATATTTCGCACCTGACTTGTTAAGGAAGGTCTTGATCGTTCGGAATCGCTTCTTCTCGTTATCGTACTTGTCCCTGATCTTCTCTGCTGACCAGTGGAAGTCTGGAAAGGATTCCTCCATTGTAACAGAGATCCTCTGGAATGCCGGCCGCGTCTCGGTCAACTTGTTGATACGGAACGCTCCAGCGATAGCCTCGTCTCGGAATAACTCGATAATCTTCGCCTGCATTTCGGTTGTGTAGATGATTTTCCTCCGCCTCGTACGCGGGGTCGACGAAGGCGCGTCAGGTGTCGGCTCGGAAGTAGGGCCGTCATCGGAGGCTTGCAGGCCGTCGTCAGAGGGTAGGTCATCGGCTTGAACAACAATAGAGGCCTCAGGAGCAGGAGACTCTACTGCGGTTGCCCTGATGCGGGGTCTTCTGGGCATCTTGACGATAGGTGGGTTGCTGTCGTGGCTGTATTTTGGTCAAAAAATTGCGGGAAGACAGGGCGGAAGTCACACGGGACTATGATTAATTAGGAAAAGCCTAGTTACAGGGGGTTTCGGGGTACATTGGCTGTGTCTCCACTTTAATTATGCACATGGCTCGTATCTTTTCCCAACCGCAACGACACCGCAACGGCGAGCCGACCAGGCCCTAATAAGTGGAGACCCCCCCACCCCTCAAACGCCTTCACTTTATAGAAACTTGTCGGCGGTCTTTAGTTCGGACTCCATGAGTCATGACGCATCAGCCAGCTACTGTAAGGCGAATGTCCAGCAATAGCTTTAAGCTATCTGCTGCCACGTTTTACAGACGCTAGTCAGCCTTGTCCAGCCATACCTTTACTCTCCTTCTCCGACTTGCCCTTATTCTCGTTCACTCCGCCACTCTCGGCTTCGCCGGAGCTCTGCTGCCTGCTTCGCAGCAGTCATACTTCCAGAACATGCTGTCTCTGAGCTGAGGACTAAATCGATTGCCAAATTAGCGGTGGCGACATTGGCCAGAACAGTACTTTGCGAACCAGATGATCAATTGCTTGGGCAAGGCAAAGCCTAGACCTTCCTTTCCTAGCCTACTCCGCTCTTCTTTTCGCCGACCCCACGGCCCACTCCCTGCCTCTGCGCGTCTAGTGACCTAAATACCTAGTTCTTAGCTGAGATCCTGCTCCTCTTAATTATCTCTATAGTGATGACTCACTGTCGTATTCGTGTGCATATCTGGCGGCATAATTTCGGGCGATTAGCAACCAGCGCAGGCTGAGAGAGGCAGCTCAAGTGTATCGCCCTCGTCTTGGGCCCCTACTAGGGTATTCTGAGTCTCGGCTGCGACTCCGCTAGTCCGGACTGTCCCCCTTCCTTTCGATGTGTGGGCTCCCAAGCCATAGACTGATGATCTATTTCGTGTGCCCATACCATGATGACGATACAGGAGATTCAACTATCATACGCCGCCATGGATCTTCGTCGGAGTTCTATCTGTCTATTAAACTAGGTGTTTCAACAGCTCTTAAAATACGATATGGCTCTATAAACAATTGTAATACCTCTCTATTTTTCATATAAATATCTACTATACCGATGCCAGAGCCTTTGAGACTCATCGTACTTGTTAGGCAGTGGGCCTTCAACGAACAGTCTCCACAGTAAAATCGGGATCCAATGGTGTGTGCCCAGATGTAGGTTCACGGAAAATACCCTGAAGGTTTTTTTGTCAATTTTGGTAAATGGCAACTTTAGCCGGGGTGGCCAGAAACAAGGCACGGGGCTGCGCAATACACACACACACTAGAATCACCACAGCTCAGGGTAAAGCGGCGGCAGCTCAGGGCTATGCCTGCCTATGGTAAATACTGAGGGCAACATTCGGGAGGCGCATTATGTTGTTGTTACCACCAGCTGTTACTACCGGGTATTGCAACTGGCCGTTACGACTTGCTGTTACGACTTGCTGTCACGACCTGTTGTTATGACCTGGTGTTTGCGCCGCGGGCCGCGGAGTTAACGTACGGGCCGGTTGTCAACTCGTATTTCTTTATTCATTGGTATACTTGGAAACACGACGTGACCGTAGCATAGCAAGATCCTGATAGCCCTGAACCCTCTGCCATAAAAATGCCACTAGTTCACCCCTTTTTTCTCGCCACTCCAAGCTGCTGAACTAGGTATCATTCACGACCCGCCATCGCACATGGCCCTCCTATCATACTATGTCGTAGGCGCGCTATCTCCCGAGAACTTCAATATCGAGATCTTGACCGACGGCGCGTATCACAAGGTCCAGACGCCACCCATCCCTCGTGGCCCATGCCATACTGCTAGACCGTGGTCATGGCGGTCGACCCGCGCCTCAAAATAGAGAGCGAGATTGCCACGCTGACACTGCTGCGACAGAACACCACGCCGCATTCGGATGATTACAGCGATGCAATTGGCTCCCCATGGAGTACGGGCCCAGTCCTGCCATGCCCAGTCCTGCCATGCCCAGGCGGAAAGCGACCTCAAAAGAGACGGGATACCTTATGACCAAGGTCCTCGGCTTATCTACCGACGTGCAAGACCGGAATCTAAGGCACGAAGTAATCAGGTGTCAAACGGGATCCGCTAGAGCAAATTTGGCCGTCGACCTCGAGTTGAAGCTACCCTAAAGCCTCCGAATCGTGCCTGCCAAATATGTGGGTAGGTTGAGGTGAGGTGGTATGCTCCTGTCAGATCTTGGCAGACTCAAGATGCCCACCCTTGGGCTTCTCCGGCATCGAACAACCCGATGGAGGAGGGGCTGTACCCGTTGGGCCCGTAATATATTAAGGTCAGAAACCGAGCCTGCTTAGTATGCTTAGAAATCTATCGCAAATTCTGCATTTGTTAGCTCTGTTGAGCTTGTTAGAAGTAATTACGACACTGGACTCTGCTGCTGTGGAACGGTTTTCTGCCTTTGCTCGTCATCCCTCCGCTCTTGATCTATCTCCACTTCACTCCTCCGCTCTTGATCTATCTCCTCTTCACTCCTCCGCTCTTGATCTATCTCCTCTTCACTCCTCCGCTCTTGATCTATCTCCTCTTCACTCCTCCGCTCTTGATCTATCTCCTCTTCACTCCCCCCCTCTTCTTCCTTCCCCTTCTCCCAAACCCGCGGTCACCCTCGTCCTCATCTCCCGCGCTAGCCACAGCCGACTTGGTGGGCACAGGCGCCGCAACAACTGGCGCGACAACCCCCACGCCACCACCACCCGTCGTCCCAGTCACCGCCGGACACGCATCCCCATCAATCTCCCCATTCGTTGCCGTCACCACGACGCCCGCTCCCTGCTTTCCACAATACTGCGTACACCCATTAAGCTCCCCAGACTTGTCACTCGCACTATCGCGCAGCTTCAACACCTCGCTAAACCCGAAATTCCCCAAACTCCCACCGGCCGCCGCGTCGACCGCGCAAGATTTCTCAAACTGCGCCGCGTCCGCGCCAGCGGCTTTGCACTGCGACGCGCCAGCGCTGTCGCGCAGGCTCGTCGGGTACTCGATGGAGAAGATGGGCTTGCCGGCGGCGACGTAGGGCTGGAAGTCGGCGCAGAACGCGCCGCCGGCCTCCTGCCGCAGGTCCTTGCAGTCCTCGAGCACGGCGAAGTCGAGCAGCGGCGCCAGGATAGAGACGAGCTTAGCCGCGTTCTTCTGCCCGATCATCAGCGGGAAGCCGCGTTTGGTAGCCAGACTGTGCGCGAGGGTCGCGAGCTCGGTTACAAAACGGGTGTAGTCGGCCGAGGTGGTGGACCAGCCCGTCTGAATAATTAGGTTCGTTAGTACCTGTGAGGGGGCGATGGGAAAGAAGGAAAGACGCACGCCGCTGCCGCCGCCCTCGTCCCCGGTGAAGCCGTCAATGTTGTCCGGGTCGACGCCGTCGCAGCCCAAGTCGGCCGCCAACGTCACGCGGCGCTTGATCAGGTCGACGGCCGTCTGGTTCTTGATGTTGATCCACTTCTCCTCGCCGAACGGCGCGTCGTAGCTGTTGCCCAGCAGGCCGCGGAACGCCGCGCTCTGCCACGTCGTCTCCCAGTCGCAGTCGCTGGGCTGCGCGAGCCCCGCGTTGAAGTAGCAGATGACGCTGACGTCGGGGATTTGTTTCTAATATCAGAAGATTAGCGTGGGGGCTGCGGACGTGAGAGAGTCTGGGCAGGCTTACGCGGAGAAAGTCGACGATCTCCGGGTGTCTCTGCAGGTGGAATAGGTCGAGGTCCCACACCACGGCGTCGGCGGGGACGAGCGGCTTCGTGACGTCCAGCGTGTTCATGATGTCGATCTGCCACTTGGCTCCGGGGGCGAAGCCGGGGGGTTTGGTGCCAGCGGCGGCTGCTTGAGCTGCGGCTCCCGTGACGCCATAGCAGGCAAGGGGGAGCAGAAAAGAGCAAAACTGCCTCATTGCGACAAAGACAGTCGGACTGTGTTTTCGAGGCTCTCTTGAAGTCAGGAGGGTGGGTAGGTATGTTGTGATTTCGAATCAGAAGCGAGAGTCCAAACGTGCACTTCCCGGCAACTGTCAAAAATAACCAGAAAGGGGGGAAAACCAAAAGAGAGGACAACACGCCAAAGATGGCCTGAACATGTCGCGGACACCGGTGTACATTTTATCGTCGTCCGATCCAACCGTCCAGAGCCGGCCGTTCTAGCGCGCCAGGGTCCCAGCTCCCGCGCCATGTCGGTTGTTGGGTTGCGAATCCTTGGTGGGTGCCAGCGCCGCACGCTTGGTCGATGCCGCAGGGCTTGCACGCGCCATGGGCTAGGCTGCAGTGCTGAAAAATCAGCATTAAAGGGAGAAGACAGCCCACTCTTCCTGTTCCTCCGCTCCTGGGAGCGTGTTGGCCCTGTTAATCCATGCCCGCTAACTTCATGCCCGCCGACTTCATGCCCGCCGACTTCATGCCCGCCAACTTCAAAGTCGCAGTCGGGGAGGGGCTCAGGTCGAGCTAGTTGATTGAATATAGACCAAATGGTTTCAGTGCTGGGATGCTGACAGCTGCAGGAAGATGGAATGTCTTTGGGAATGGGATTTAGGGCCGACTGCAACATATTCAAGACCAATAAAGACTCTGTTTTGAGTTGCTTCTTGCCGCGACTGGTGTTGTTGAGTCCCCTGAATTGCACTGGTGGGTTGTGCGCCTTATGCATTATTATGCCAGAGTTGTGCACGCTTGTGCCGTGGTTGTGCACGCTTGTGCACACTATCCACGCGCCGCGGAAGCTATCCCTCCCGTGGATATATCCACGCGCTAAAGCTCGAAGCCGCCAATACCGGGGAATTGTGGTGGCGGAGAGGTGGAGTAAAGGTCAGGCATGCTCCGGCTGTAACCCTGCGGGACTCTTGGCCGCCGTTGAGATCAAGAAACGGGCGGCATCTGGTGACGCATGCACCCCAACCGTGGCTCTGATCTTGCGGGCCGCTGCACCCACTCGGCGGGAGCTCCCTAGAGGGTTCTTGGTTCCTAGTTCTGTAACCAGAGGCTCCTCTCACTTGACAGCAGCTACTGTTACTGTGCCGTGTCGACTGGAGCCGGAAGCCCCAAGGCCCCGAGAGCCCGAGTCAGTCGCGTGTCATGTCGATGGAGATGCTGATCAGGGTGGCTAGTCTGCCCAGCGTTCGAGATTGAGATGGGCGGCCGATCGTGTCCGTCCAGCGTCTTCCTTATAAAAGCCGCATCATCTCCCACAACCATCGACGAGGGTTGGTACTCCTCACATTGTCTGATTTCTGACCTTGGCCGTGAATGTGATGCTCCGCTGCGCAGAGCTACAAAACCCAACACAATAACAAACCCAACACAACAACAAACCCAACACAACAACAAACCCAACACAACAACAAATCCAAAACAGGCCACCATGGCAACAAGTGCAGGAAGCTTCAGCGTCCCGAGTTCGGTGCCCTGGGCCGACTTGGCCTTCAAGTCGATGCCCGACCCGTCGGCCAAAGCACTACCCTACCTCATCACAGCGATCCTACTCGCCTTTGCTGTGTACTCGCTCAGCCACAGCAGCAGGCTGGGGTGGGCGGACGACGGCATCCCGCACCTCAACCCGCGGGGGCCGCTCGAGTTCACCGACGCGGGGCCCAAGAAGCAGTTCGTGGCGGGCGCGCGGCAGCTAGTGGCAGCGTGGTTCGCGGCGCACCCAGACCGACCAGCGCGCATGACGAGCGACTTTGGCGACGTGACGCTGCTGCCACCGAGCCTGGCCAACGAGATCCGCAACGATGATCGCCTGAGCTTCTCGCGCTGGACCTACAAAGCCTTCCACGCCCACCTGCCCGGCTTCGAGGGCTTCCGCGAGGGCAGCCGCGACTCGCACATTGTCCAGGCCGTCATCCTGAAGGATCTCACAAAGTACCTAAGTAGGTCTTGCTGCTACTGCTGCTGCTGCTGCTGCTGTTGCTGCTGTTGCTGCTGTTGATGCTGCTGCTGCTGTTGATGCTGCTGCTGCTGTTGCTGCTGCTGCTGCTGCTGCTGCTGCTGCTGTTGCTGCTCACAGGAGTGAATACGGAGACAGCTGACAAGTGAATCCCGGCAAACCAGACAAGGTCACGGCGCCGCTGTCCGAGGAAACGGGGCTGACCCTCGCTGAACTGCTGCCCACCGGGGATGGCAAAGGTAATTCACCCCTCGATACCCTACCCGGACACAACTCGACAGGCTGACACGAAACAGAATGGCAAACAATCAACCTGCGCGAGACCATGCTGCGAGTCGTGGCGCGCATCTCGTCGCGCGTGTTCCTGGGCGAGGAGCTGTGCCGCGACGAGGCGTGGCTAGACGTGACGCGCAACTACACGCTGGCGGCGATGGCAGCCGCGGCGGAGCTGCGGCTGTGGCCTTCGCCTACACGTCTCGTCGTGCACTGGTTCCTGCCGTCGTGCCGGCGGGCGCGGGCGCTAGTCGCAGCAGCGCGCCGCGCCATCGAGCCCGTGCTAGAGCAGCGGCGGCGGGCCAAGCGGGAGAATGCCGAGTCGGCGGCCATGTTCGACGACGCGCTCGAGTGGTTCGAGCGGACGGCCGGCGGCAGGGACTATGATGCGGCCATCGCCCAGCTGTCCATCTCCATGGCCGCCATCCACACTACGACTGACCTCGTGTGCCAGGTGCTGCTGGACTTGGCCGCGCACCCAGACGTGGTCGAGCCACTGCGCGAGGAGATTGCCGCCGCGCTTCGTGACGGCGGCTGGCGCAAGACGTCGCTGTACAACATGCGCCTACTAGACAGCGTCATCAAGGAGACCCAGCGCCTGAAGCCCATTGGCATTGGTGCGTACTCACCTTTCCGTGAGCCCCCCTTTTTTTTTAGCTCACCCAATTTGCTAACCATCACCACAACACAGTGGCGATGCGCCGAGTCGCTCTCTCAGACGTGACGCTCTCCGACGGGACGGCGATCCACAAGGGCAGCGTGGTAGCCGTGTCGAGCCACGGCATGTGGGACGAGGCGGTGCACGCCAACGCAGACACGTGGGACGGGCAGCGGTTCCTGCGCATGCGCAGCGGCAGCGGCGGCGAGCACGCGGCGCAGTCGGTCAGCACGGGGCCGGACCACCTGGCGTTCGGGCACGGGCGCCACGCGTGCCCCGGCCGCTTCTTCGCCGTCAACGAGGCCAAGATCGCCCTCGCCCACCTGCTGCTCAAGTTCGACTGGCGCCTGCCCGCCGGCGCGCCGCCGCCCGTGGCCCGCGCCATGGGCTTCAACCTCGCTGCCGACCCGTTCGCCAGCATGCAGTACCGCCCGCGCGAGCCCGAGGTCGATGTTGATGCCCTGTAGATGGTCAGGGACTCAGGGGGTAGCGCAAGGTGGCGGTTACGAAGAATCCGTGGTGGATCCAGGTCATCTTCACTTGGTTTGGTTGGCGTGGTAATGACTCTTGGCATGGTGATGACTCTGACCAGTGGGCAACGATGTAAGGAATAGGCGGTACTATGTTGTCAGGTGTCTTTCAGACGTTCAAACACCAGGGCTAATTCGAAGGATGTTGGGAGTTAGTCATCAGGCAACAGTTCATAACTTCATTCTGTCCGCACACTGCCCCGCTCGAGGGGATTGACACAAGTTTGACACAAGTTCCATGCGCAGTCAAAGTCCCGCGAGGCGTGATGTCTGACTCGACGACAGATGTGGTGGTGGCGTAATTGAGGATCATTTGTCAGAGCATCAAGGTGGTGGTGGTGGTGGTGGTGGTGGGGGAGGTGAAGTAAATCTTGGCTTCACTCTCAGTCCTTATGTCCGAAAAACAAACTTGTTTGTCATCTGATGTTTGTTTCTCAGCGATCGATCCACAAGCCGTCTGATGTCAGATACGAGACAATCGGCCGAACGCGTTGCTGTGTCCACCGGGAGGGTACGCAGCTTGTTTTAGGCAGCGCCTTTTTCGACATCTCAGTTTTCCAGTTCGGTTCCTGTTGTGTAACTGGCCCGTAGGCAACCGTCTTCTGTTTATTCATGCGCCAGCTAACCCCTCTCGAACCTTTGAAACCCACAGCCACCTGGGGGGGGAGGGGGGAAGTCGTGCGGCTCAATTGGCCGACCGACGCCCAATCGAGTCTGGATGGGAGGCAGAGGTGCAAGGCGTTGTGGGTTTAGAAAAGCGGCACTGCGTGGTTGGTTTGAGGTTGCGCTCCAATACGTGTACCACGCAACAGACGCGTCAGCCTGCCAACCCCTCAGGGGCCCAGCATGAGCACCCAGTTCCAAACATCCAACCGTCATTCCAAACCGTCATTCCATCACCCACATTCAGAGTGTCCACCATTCAGAGTGTCCACCATTCAGAGTGTCCACCATTCAGAGTGTCCACCATTCAAAGTGTCCATGCATGTCTATCTGTCTTTGTCCACATTGATATAAGTGAGTTTGCCCTAGACGTCCTTGGCTGCTCTTGTCCTCCATCCAAACCCCATCACCAAGACTCTCCTCCGCACTCCATCCGATTCACTTGTCATCCGTCAGCAAGGCGCCGACTACTTGTCGAAAGAACCAACAGACCAAACAAAAACTCGCCCACCATGGCAGACCCCGACCGCCAGTTGCGCCGATTGCGCATGCTCTGCATCGTCACCTTCCTTCCCGCCTTCCCCCTCTGCCTCGCCCACGGCATCGCCTCGGAGGGCATCGCACCGGCCATCGGCATCCTGCCCATGGCCTTCTCGGCCGCCTTGTCCTGCTTCCTCCTCTGGCGCATGAGGAAGGACCGGGCTGCGGCCGCAAAGGCCTTCAACCACCACGCCCACCACCGCGGCATTGACGCCGAGGACGCCAGCGACGAGGAGGACGGTGGCCTGGTGCTCGTCGCCAAGAGCGCCCCTGCACTGTCTTTCTTTGTCTTCCTTGCCGACCTCATCCTCGCCCTGTCAATCCTGACCGCCTTGGTCTTTACCTGGGTCGACGTCAGCATCAACCGCAACCAGTGGAGGAGCTACTGGCCCAAAACACAACATGGGGACATGGCCATGCTCGCCGCTTACGGCACGATTCCCCTGATGGTCAACTTGTGAGTCCAAGTCCGCTGCTCTCTCCCCCCCCACGGCACTTCCTAATTCACAACCACCTCCCCCCCCCCCCCCCCTAGCGGCATCCACACCTTCTTCGCCCTGCGCTCGCTGTACCGCGAGATCCACCAGCTCATCGACCTGAGCATCGCCGTCGCGGGCGGCCACCATCGCTCCGCCCCCGTGCCCGCGCAGTGCCCGCACTGCGGCGAGGCCGTTGTGACTAGCGCCGGTCCCTCTGACCAGCAGCCCCAGCCCGTGCCGACCTGGATGTCGGGCGGCCGCAAAAAGGCCGGCGTGGCGTACATGGCCGTGCCCTCGGGCCCTGCTGCCGCCGGAGCCCAGACCGCCGGCGTCACCTACGCCGACGACGCCGACAAGCCTGCCAATAAGTCTAGACAGGCCGATGCTGTCCTTGTTTAGTAGAGTCGTGAGGCTCGAGGGGGGGCACGGTTCGCCTTTGGACTGCTTTGCTTAGGTATCAATGCTCGCGCCCCCTTGCTGAGGGGGCGTGGCGGTTGAGAGGCTGAGCCTCGGCTGGCATATTATTTAACGATGGTTGCTGAGGAGAGAGAGGAGAGAGGGAGAACACGAGATCATGCCCGTCGGTCGGTTTCTTTTCCTATTTTCGCACAGTCTCTCATAATCAGCGTTTCATTTTTTTTTAAATATTATTTTCTACATTGCCTTTTGTTTTGCTTTCCCAGCAGAGCTGTCTCTGCTCTGGGCTGTACTCTCACCGGGTATGGTATTTCATGTTGACGAAAAATCAAGGCTGGCAAATGAAAATGACCACATTCTTAAGATGGTAATGAAAGGAGAAAAAAAGACTAGAGTGTATAAAAATAGCATCTTAACAGATGCGATAATTCGGGGCCGGCTACAATCAATGTCCACTACAGTTAGATCGCAAAGAACCATATCTAACCTTTCAGCCCGTCGTGTTAATCGATTAAAGAGAGCCACACAAGATGGCAATCTTGACAACAAACCCATGTTTCACAAACTCGTCACCGACCCCAACCCTTCTTCATTCGGCTCTCGGACTCTCTGGTCAATATTGGTTGAATCTGTATGCTGCCATGCAGCCAAAACAAATGTTGCTGACAAGACACGATCACTGATTGGCTGCCACCACGCGCATTGGGATAGAGCTGACGCGGCCCAATTTTTGATCGTACGTAGCGCCGAAGACGCGTAGAAAGTAGAAAGGAAGGGGCTGAGGGAACTTTCTGGGGGCGCACTGATTGAACTGTGAAAAATGGTGACACGAAGGGCTGGATGATTACTTCTCAATCGATTAGGATCTTATCTCATCCTGAGCCGACTGTCAGAAGTTAAAGGGCACACAATGGTCTCAAGATAAAGTTGATAGAGGTATCAAAGAAAAGAATCCTAAGTAATGCTGCTCTTTTTACGCTCCGTAACGTTAAAGTGACGCTCGAGCTGTCATTCAAGAGAGGAGCCATTGGCGCAGATCCTTGACTCATCTCGCACGTCAGGACAGAAGTGTGAGATGAAATGAAAGATACGTACCTACTTAGGTAGGTACGTTGTTAGACCTATCACTTAGGTTGTAACCCTTGTGTCTTTCCGACGCGGGAATAGCCTCATTCGTGCATGTCAACAATTGACATGCCCGGCACATGCACGTGACACTTGCGCACCTGTAGATTACATCAGCAGCATGTACGAAGACGGGCAGAAAGACGGCGTAGACCAGCAGTATAATACTGCCACAATCGCAAGGCATACCCTAGCAGGCAGCCACACCCGCTACCTTTTCCACCTTTAACCTTTTCCACCTTTAACCTTCTACACACTCATTTTGGTCACCACTAGCCATTTTCCCTATCACTTTCCCAGCAAATCATAGTATAATTGGCCCTGATTAAGTCTATCATAGAATATTCATCCAAGAAGGGATGTCTGTCTCCTGATCGTCTTTCGATCCCCCAAGTCGCCGGAATGTGTCTTTATCAAACCGACTCTCTCCCAACAGCTTCCCACCTTGTCGACAAGAATCAGGTACGTGGCGGAAGAGCGAATGTCTCCAGAGGCCCCCACCACAATATCAAGCCAGCGTTCCTCGGCTAGTCCGCGGGCGAACTCGCCATCGCCCGTTGGATCTTTGCACAAGTGCAGAGTGCCGTCGCTGGCATCATTGCCATTGCATACGATAGCTCGCCAGCCCGTTGTGTCGAAGGCCGTTTCCTCATCCTCTCCTCCGTACTCACCACGAAGTCCGAGTTCTTCTCTCCCTGCCAGACGTCAACCTCGCTGGCAGTAGCCGACGATTCGTATACTTAGCGATCAAGGGCCAGATGCTGGTCTCCTCCATACGATAAGATCTGACGCCTCCGCGCGGAGACGCCCGTTCTTGATTCTTCAATCGCCGCCGCGAGTGCGGCGAAGCGGGGACCTTGTGAATGCGGAGCGTTTTCTCCTGCCCCAAAAATACATTCCACTTCAAAAGAAGATGTAGCCATTTTTTGTCTCGGGATTTCAGACCCTTGGTGGCGGTGCATGGACTTCCTCTACCAGGACCGGCAGGACGCGCAGTGCTGTGCTCACACGCAGGGCACTAAGGGTGGGCAGGAGCGCGGAAGCAAAGATTGGGCAGGTCGGAACAACCCGCGCGAGAGGGGTGAAAGTGAAACTGACTTCGGCTTGACTCCTATATACCGACGCCCTTCTTGTTGTCTTATTCTGCCGTCAGGTCTCGACAACAGCAAAACTCGGCTCAGATCAACCCAGCGGCAAGGCGTAGAAGTGGAATCGCTTCCAAACCCGCGGGTTTCGTTCACTTTGGCCGGATTAGACTTTCCCTCATGGCTAACATGGCTAACATACGGGGTACAAAAATATGGACTTGTACGGAATATCGTCCTCAGTTTTATAGACAAATGGGTGGTCTTTGTGACGAAATATCCCCAGCGATGGTTAGGCTTACTCCGTTCTCCATACGTACCTATTCTTTGTTATCTCCGATGTTCCCGACGCCAGGGCGGTTGGCGTGAGGTGATTGGCTGGTTGGTTCAACCTGCAGAACTGCAAGGATCCGAATCCCGCGGGTGCTTACAACAGTCCGTGAGCGGATCCCGCGGCATCCTTTGCCAAAGCCCACGCAATATGTCGTCCCCGCGCCGTTGACCGCACTAAGAGCAAAAGCGAACGTCAATACGCTGCCAGCGGGATTCCAAACCCGCCCTCCTGTTGCGACTGCCGGGCTCGATTTTTTTTACGTGGGACCGGGACCTGACCGGGTCTACCAGAAACCCACCGCGGCCGATCTTTGGCCTTCTGTATTCGGCATGGCGCCCGCCGACTCTCAGTTCCCGCAAGTTCTGCCCGCCTCGCAGGCGTTTGACTCGGTCAGCCCAGCACCCTACGGCCGGGCATGTGCGGGATGCTCGCGTGCCAAATGCAAATGTTTTTATCGCACCGACGGGGCGGAATGCGAGCGGTAAGTTGAGTCCTCGCCTCGGCACATGATCCGAGACGTAAACAAGCCCCTATCTTACAAGTTACCCCCCATCTCTCGCACACTCAGCTGCCACCGACTGGGAAAGGCCTGCGAGCCGCCTGCCCCAGTCCGAAAACGCAAAGCTCGCACTCCGCCGCCGCAGCATCCGCCGCCCGTTGGGCCGAATTCGCGGCTCGAGGAGAAGCTCGACGACTTGGTCTCGCTGCTGCGCTCACAGGCCGGCGAGAAGCAGCCCCAGCCCCAGCCCCCGCCTCAGCTTGTCTCCACTGACCTCAACACGCCCTCGGCAACACCCGGCACCATCTACACCAACAACCAGTCCCTACCCGCCACCCCATCAACGTCGGCCAACTCACAGCCGCAGGTCACCGTCGACACCGACACCAGCGTCATCCACGTGCTCCGGCCGGCGCCCGACTACCCCATGTCGCTCTCCCCCATCCTCGAGGACGTGTCGGCGCACCACTTCCCGGCCCTAGCAGCCGACGCGCAGCTAGATCTGTTCCGGCGGGTCTTCCTGCCCACGTTCCCGTTCGTGCACCTGCCGGCGTCGATGACGGCGGCGGACCTGCGGCACCAGAAGCCGTTCCTATGGCTGGTGGTCATGTGCTACACCACCAAGAACGCGGCGCGGCAGTTCGCCATGGAGGAGACGGTGTGGCAGGTCGTCTCACGGCGCGTCGTGGCGCAGCACATGGCTGACCTCGACCTGCTGCTCGGCATCGTGTGCTTCGCCTCGTGGTCGCACTACTTCAAGAGGGACAAGCCCTTCATGGTCATGCTCGCCCAGCTGGCCCTCGCCATGGCCGTTGATCTGGGTATTGATCGTGATGCCCCGCCGGCTAACACCACCCGCCACACCCGCTCCGGCCGCGTCCTCACCCAGCAGGCCCCGCCCAAGCCCCAGACCGCCCGCACCATGGAGGAGCGCCGCGCCATGCTCGCCGTGCACCACGTGGCATCTGCGTACGTTTTCCCCTATTCCCCTATTCCCCTATTCCCCTATTCCCCTATTCCCCTATTCCCCTATTCCCCTATTCCTCTATTCCTCTATTCCCCTATTCCTCTATTCCCCCATTCCCCTGGCAACTATCAGCGGAAGTGACTAACAGCCGCTAGCATATGGTCGGCGTACCGCAAGATCCAGCCACTGCGGTGGACGGCGTACATGGACGTGTGCCTGGGCATGGCGGGCGAGGGCCGCGAGACGGCGCTCGACATAGTACTGGCGACGCAGATCAAGTGCCAGCTGATCACGAACCACCTGACGGTGAGCGAGGAGGCCGACGAAGCGGCGGCGGCGGCCACCAAAACCCCCGTGTCGGCGGTGCTGGTCGCGGCGCTGCTGAGCCAGGCCAACGCCGTGCGGCAGAGCGTGCCCGCGCATATGCGGTCCCACAGTGGGTTGTTTCTTCCTTTCACACTCTCCCGCCTCCCACGTCTCGCCCTCTGACACGTCTCTCCCAGAAATCATTCAGCTGTACCTGTTCAACACGGACATCACAATACAAGAGCGGTACATCCACAACAGCACCAACGCCAAGGCGGCCACAGGAAGCGGCGGCGGCGTGGCGGCGGGCGGAGGAGACCACAGCGGCATGGCGCAGCTGCGGCGGGTGCAGGAGCTCGACGCGACACTAACGTCGATCGAGCGGTGGCTGGCGGCGTTCCGCGGGCTGTCGATGGAGGAGTGGCTGGGGGTGACGGTCGACGTGTTCGCGCAGATGATGCACACGATGGTGGTGCTGTTCAAGCTGACGACGCTGGCCGACGACGGCGACGGTGAGGCCGACTCGCTAGCCGTGAGCGGGTGGGACGGCGACGCGGTGCGGCGGCGCGCCGACATGCACGAGATACTCGACACGTGGCTGCGGCGTGTCGAGCGCATCCCCGCCGCGCTAGGCCTAGTCGACGCCGACGGCCCGCGCCGCGGCCTCTTCTTCAAGACGCCGTTCCTGCTGCGCGCCATCAAGGCCCTGTTCATGGCCGAGACGGGGCCGCCGCGCCGCGCCGCCCCCGCCAACAGCCATGTCCAGCAGCAGCAGCAGCAACAGCAGCAACAGCAGCAGCAGCAGCAAGCTGTTGACATCAGCCCTGGTCCCGGTCCAGATAACAATAGTGCGGCAACGGCCGGTGCTTCGACTCCCCCGAATTTTTTGACGCCCGAAGGCAGCGGGCTCGGTGCCGACGGCGGGAGCTACTACAACGTCAACGCGTCGTCCATGGCAGAGTTTGGCGAGGACTTCCTCATGATCCCCGACGACTTTTTGTTGAACTTGGTCAACGAGCCGTATCTGTCCGACATTGTCATGGGCGCGACGTGGGACACGAGTGGCAATAATATGCAGCAACAGCAGCAGCAGGGTGATTACCAGTATTATCAAAACCCTTGACCAGAGGCGCACAGCATGTGACCGGTCGTCGGGATTTTCGGACTAGACTTGCCCTATTGGTAACAACTGTCGTTCTCGTGGGGGGTCTTATGATGGAAGAGTTGAACTGTTTTTCATCTATTTCTGTACCTAATTGAATCTTCCCTTAACTATTCTGTCCCTAGCTAACAATATACAACAAACGGCGAGTTAGTTAGTGTTGGATTCACCAGGGTACCGGTACTGGACTCAACAGGGCGTGGCTGCACGCCGAAAACTGGTGGTTCAAGTGATGGATTGTAGATGTCTGTTCTTCTCTCTCTCTAGCTTTCTGGCAGTGCCAGAAAGCCCGTTCTTATACTACTATTGTGGTGGCGAAGTTAGTGGCGAAGTCTCTATCTAGAACCTTCGAGGCCCTTCTGCTTGACAAATTCCAACAGTTAGATTGATCTACCTATCTCGTCCTTGTCAGATGTTTTTTGTCTTCATAACTACAGCAAGAAGAGCCGGGGCTTTCAGCGGCTGCATTTACGCGGGGCCGAGCAACTGCTGAATGCAGTACACGATTTGACTCCGCCCCCCCCCCCTCCCCCCTTCCCCCTCGAGGATGTCTTCAGCAGTGCTGGTAAGGTTCCGGAATCATCAGCCTTGAGGGGTAATGAATGAAATTGCCCCACAAGTTCGTGTGGCTCCTTGCAGGATCGCCTATCGATGGGTCTCCAGGCTTCCCGAGTCGTAGCCCGAGCCGGGCAGCTTTTGGGCGCTCCCCGCATCGTCAATCGGGCGCAAGATACTCTCCAGCAGCCCGTCTCCGTCGTATCCGAATTCGTCGTCACCCATGACGACGAACGGGTCCATATCCAAGAGAGTCAAGTCTAACCCTGCGAATGGATCCTCGTCGCCAGGCTGACCTCCCAGCTGTGTGTCTAGTAATAGTTGGTCTTCATCATAGTGTTCTTCCGCTGCATGTATCGCTGTATCTCCGGGTGAAGGTGTCATTGCCAGTCGTGGCGCGTGTTGTGTTTGGTCTGCTCTCCTGTTGTCCTGGCGTTGGATCTTGGCTTGGGGGATCAGAAGTCGAGCCAGAGCTACCCCTGGCTTGTAAGAGCATGGCCTTAATCTTGTTTGTCGCATGCTGGACAATGCTCTCGATTATCTTGTATTTTCTTCGTCAAGGAAAGTCTCGGTAGTGACGGAGCTTCCATCGCTTCTTGGCGTCTGGGAAGATAAGGACTCCGAAACAGCCGCTTTGTCCCTCACTAGCGATAGTTAGATAAATGTTAGCATAATGGAAGCAACTGACCTTGGGAAGATATTTGGAGGTGGGCTCCAAAGTGTAACACTGGGTCTAGGTGATGGAGGGAACTTCCGAGCGGGAGATGGGGGGCTCCTATCGTACACTCAAGGTGATTCTGGGGTTTCCATCTTGATGTTGGTACCGCTCCTGACATCCTGGTTTATCGAGAGGGGACCGTCCCTAAATGAGAAACCGGAAGTGGTGTTGATCGAAACGTCGGCATCTGGCGACTCGACTCTTGATTCGCGAGCGGGCCTGCTCTTGTCGATATTGCTTGGGCCGGGGTCTCTCACTTTCTCCCCACAACCTTTCACGAGCCTATGCCTCTAGAAACGCACAATTAGGTTATAAGCATCGGTGTCTCAAAGAAGGTCGGTTCAGCACGTACCTTGAGCGCGTCTTTTTGAGAGAAGCTGTTGTCGCAATTATGACATGATAATGGTTTCACAGTAATATGGACGCGTTTATGTCTCTTGAGATCATGGTTCCTGTTGAAAGATTGAGGACGTTGGTCGCACTTGAGCGGTCGCTCTTGTTGTGGAGGTATGGGTGGGAGATGGGGCATGTAAAGAGAAAGACCATATTGAGCCAGGTAGGGTAACGTTCCTCTCTACTATACTGAGCGGAGCAGCTGGGTTATACACGCTACACCATCTCTGCCCTCTAAATGTTTCGGGGACGCTGGAGTTGGGATGCTTCTAGATCGGGACCAGACGAATTTTGCCTCCGAGTCGACAACATGACCTAGCGCTCTGCCAAAGCCCTCAGAACTGAGCATTGAGAATCGCGAACTACAGCGATGATTATGATGATATTGCTCAACCACGAAATGAGAAGATGGAAAAGAAAAGCCAAATTTTTGTATCTCCAACGGAAAATATAACTAATACCCGTCTTCAGCCGTGGTTCCATGTGCAATTGTGCATTCCACCATTCAACTACGATTAGCTTCTTAACAGCACATCAGCCGTTCCAAACCACTAACACAGGTACTCAATGAATACCTCCAAGGCGAGCCGGGCGGCACTCAACCCTCTGCTCCTACCAGGAATTCGCGATAAGCCCAAGCGGCGGTAAGTTCCGGCCACCCTCGCCTTCCTTCACCACACCACACATCCCTAGATGCGAATGCCGAACACTAACTGAACACCACACTCTAGACCAGACGAGTTCTCCGCAATGCTTCAGCACTATCTGAATGAAAAGCCCACATTGGTTGAAGCAATGGCTATGGGACGGGAACCGATTGCAGAGAAGGACCGGGTCGCTTCTGTAGGTGTGACGCTGAAAGATTTTGAAGAGAGATGGGAGGTTGCTCGGAGAAAGACTCTGTAGCCAGTTTTGGTGTCTAAGGGAGCCTGCATCAGTCTTTACTGACCCGAACTTGATTATCTTTACTTCATATACCTTGGGAATCGAGTCGGGCAGGGGTTGGGGGGGGGGGGGGGAGTGTTGTTTCCTCACAGGCCCTAGCAGACAATATGCAAAGAAACGTGATTACCTAAACAGACTTGTCGCGTCTTCAGTTTCAAGTCGCCCTTCACCAACCTCAACCCTGAAAGCATTTCATCAAGGTTGCCATGCCAGCCGCTTCCATCAACAAACCATCACAATTCATGGTTGGGCTCTTGGTAGTCACGCTCTTGGCCCGCTTCCTGCATTTAATAAGCATCCCGGCGGCAGCGACAACGCCCGAAGCCGAGCTTGCCGGCGCTGCGTACCAGGCCCAGTTCGTCATGTCGGCATCGTCGTCATCGTCGCAGCTGCCCGACATCAGCAATGCGCTCGTGACAGCCGCGAACCCAGCCCGTTCCGGCGGCGAGCACCCGGCCCTGAACCACGTGCGCAGTGCAGCGCTGCACAACTACATTGTCGAGTACGGATGGCTGGCGTCGGGGCGCTCGCTCGACGACTTGCCGCGGAACCGCTCCTTCTTCGACCGCTACGGCGACGAGGCCGGCGCGCTCCGCGGCAGGTTGAGTCCCAGTGTCACCGCGTTTCTCGACTCCATCACCATTGTCGACGGCGTCGACATACCGTTTTTCTTCTGGGTCAGCGGCATTTCGGAGCCCAGCGAGCTCTTCCAAGCCAGCGATCTCCTGTTCGAAGAACAGGATTGTGTGTTCGGGGAAGCCGGCGATGCGGCGCTGAACGCAACCAACAGCGGCCCGCGGTTCTTAACACTCTACCCGACTCTCTCAGGAATGACATCGAAACCGGCCGGGCTGGTGTACGACCAGCGGCGCCACGTGGCCGTCGTGGCGCTCGACATGTTCGACCTCGACTTCTGCACGCGTCAAGGCGACGACCTTCAGTTGGTCATCATCGAGGACCTCTGGTACCCGCTCGAGACGGTGCTGACCAACTGGATCCACCTGATACACATCGGCAAGGTGGCCGCCGTGGCGCCCGACGTCGACGACCACCAGGCGCTCGGCGAGAAGATCGGCCCGTGGGCGTGGCGCACATACAGCGCGGCCCAGGTTGCCAGCGCCGTCCCCGCGTTCGACCGCCTCACGCATGCCATCGAGCAGCGCATGACGTCTGCCGGCTGGCCGCTGCTCCCCCTCCTCGGGGACGAAAAGACGCGAATCTCCTTCTGACGGACGCTGACCCAGATGCCGCGTCGGTGCCGCCCGAGTGTTTTATCCGCTCCGTGCTCACGCAGGTGCGTCGACCGCACTTCCGGACCATCGCGCCGGGGCTGCTCGTCCCACTTGACGCGGCGGCCTTTGCGGCCAGCCAGACCTTCACCACCACGGAAAAAGCCAACAACAACAATGACGACGACGACGAAGACGAAAAGAACGCACAAACCGAGCCGGGAGACCCCGTTATCCCGCCGGTGCTGATTTTCCAGGCGGCCGACGGACGCACGGCCCACCTGGGCTGGAAGAAGTCGCGATACGAAGCCGTGAGCCCCTTCCATCCCCGAGAGTTTGCACTGCGCGATGACCAGCGGGTGCCGGCGGGGCTGTACAGCGAGTCGGTGTCGCGGCCGCAGCCCGACGGCGCCGAGGAGGGGTTCCGGCTCGTGCTGCCGTTTGCGGTGGGCGCGCCCCACGGCAGCGGGTGGGAGGCCAGCGCGCGCAAGAGCGGCGGCGAGCGGCTCGAGCACTGGACGCTGGCCGATCTATTCCAGCACGGATTCAAGCCGTTTGGCGGAGAGCCGTGGCGAGCGCAGCGGCTCGAGCGGCTGCTGGGCCGGTGGCGTGAACTCGTCGAGGACGGTGTGTGGACCGTCGGTCCCGGTGGTGTTGAGGGGTCCATTGACACGTTCAAGGACGCCAACTATGGAGAGCAGTGGCGAGATTACTGGATTGCGCCGACATGGTGACGGCCTGGGTTGTTAAAATGGATAGCGTGAGTGGTGGTCTTCGTCTGAATGAAATGCAATTGACTGGAAAAAGAAAAGAGTAACTCGCCATGTTCTCATTTTCTCGCCTGATATTCCTGAATTTCTCCCAACGTACGTTGTACCCTCATAGAGTAATACCGCCGCTCCGACAACGGCCAGAAGCGGCTTCTGCAGCGCTCAGAACTTGATTTTCAACTCCTGGAAAGCCTTGTGCAGTGGCCAATCTGGTACAGGTACATGCTGTACCCTGCTACATGCGTGCTGGGATTCAGAAGCCGGTCGTTGACAACGCTGCAAAGCATGCAGCTGGTAAAGAGTCTAGACCGCAAAAATTGTTAACTGATTGCAGTAATTGGGCGACCATGCACAGACCCCTTCGAATCAGAAAAGGGGTACGGGATATGGCGAATTGACAATGATCCAGGATTAGGGCATGTGCCAAGGCCATAATCGCGCGGCTCTCACACAGCTGAAGACTGGATACAGCATAGCAACGCCTCCTTTCAGTAAAGCAGACGCCACCGCAAGGCTTCATTGGGCGCCACCGAGTTCGAGCTGGCAAAAGATCGACCATGTCAAACCCCATGTATTGCCTTGGCAGCGCTCGATGGCTGCTGGTGAGGAGATTACAAGGCAGAATGGGCAACAATCACTTTCATGCTGGCGGCTGGTGCCGTTGCGGATATTTGAGCCTAACATCCCTCGTGTCTCGGACTCTCGTCTGTTCCTGTCGCTAGATTTCGTGACGCGTCAGGGCTTGCAAGCTTGTTCACTTACACAACCACTACTCGTTGATCCCAAGACAACAATTCACAATGAAGACCCTGGCAACACTCGCCCTCGTGCTGTCGTGCGTTAGCACTGCGGCTTCGTGGACGACAACTAACTACTGGCAGACGCGCACCGTCACGACGGACCCCAAGACGCCGACTGTGACCTCTGTCGCCGTGTTCCCGACGGGCGCCGTGTCTCCGACAGAGAGCAAGACGTCCACCAGCCTGTTCACGAGCGTGGGCTACACGCTCAAGCTGACCGTGTTCGACCTGTTCCTGGCGCCGAGCGCAGCCGTGTGCACGCTGAGCCGGCTCAACTGCGGGCCGCCCGTGGTGACGCACACGACGGGCATCATCACGACAACATACTGGGCGGCAGTCCCCATCTCTAACCCATCGTCGTGCACCGAGACGAGCTTCAGCTACACGGCAGCATCGACCATCCTGTTGCCGTCCGTGTGGATCCGCGACGCGGCGACGCAGGCGACCCAGTCCGAGAACGCACAGCTCGTGACGACGACGGTCAAGACGATCAGCACCAACATGGGCGGCCAGGAGGTGACAACGACCGTGTGCGACGTGTACCTGCGCAGCGAGGGTGTGTTCGGCGTCACCTACGTCGCCGAGAGCACGCTGCTGACCGAGTGCGTCAACCCGCGCGTCTACTCGTGCTCCTCGTTGTCGTCGGCTCTGGCCGCCGGCGCCGGCATCGTCGGGGCCAAGACCACCTGCGTGGACCCCAACCTCGGCTACCCACCGACGGGCATCGCCGCCGCCGCAGGCCCCGGTCCCACTACCGACAGCAGCGACCCCACCAAGGCGGCCGGAGCACCGAGCCCCACAAAGAGTTCAGGGGCAGAAGCGTTGGGCGTCTCGGCCATCGCCGTCGGAGGCGCGCTTGCAGCCGTATTCGGGTGGTTGGCCTAAATGGCGCCGAAGGAACACACAATAATATTGCATGGGCCTGAAAGAGCTAGACAAGAAGGGAGACGAGGTCGAGAAAGATTGGGGAGCTGTTTGGCTGTTTCGCAGTTATACTCGCCGACTAAATTCTCTTTTGTGGTGGGCTGATGGTGCACAAAACCCTGTTGGGCTTGGATTATCTGTTAGTAGACCTGTGCATTGCTTATTACGCATATAGCTCGCATGATGAATGGGAGTCATTGGATTTGCACTGGTCGTTTCGAGCTCATTTTCCGCAAGTGGTGGGCCGGTACCAACCAGGCAGTGATAATGTTGCTCTGCCAGAAAATAATCAGAATGGCCAAGCTGGGATTCGGACGAGGCTTGGGAAAGAAATTGCCCACTGCTGACAGAGGCAAGCGCAGGTGACCTTCTTTCCCATTGAGGAAAGAGGAAAGAGCAGTCCCTCTCTAGGAGCTGATGGGGTCGGTTGAGTCGGAGTAGGGCCGGAGGCTGGCGGTCAAAGTCCAATGCCATGCCGCGGTGGGTAATTGACGCGACAGTCGAGGCAGGAACGACAAGAACAGGTCGGAGAATAAATCCAAATCGCATTTCACTCAATGAGCAAAGGTCAGAGCTTCGGTCTTGGCTCTTTAGGTTTCGGAACCTAGACCCATTCCGAATCCCACCCCTTACAGTCGGTTGCAGGAAGGTGGGGGCGACGGGGCGGCGTCACTGCATCTGCCAACCAAGGCGAGGTCTCGACTCGACCTATTCTGGCATACACCCCCCAACGTCGCTTGAGTTGGAATAATTATTTCTGATATTTATCTATTCTATCTCTGTTTTTTTCTTTCTACATCTTTTCTCGTGGTCGTCTCTCCGCCCGACATGCCTGCACAGCAACCCAAAAAGATTATCATCATCGGTCAGTGCCCCTCCTGTCTAGTTAACCACCATTTCTTTCGTTTAGTATGTCTACCTATGCTAGGTAGTCTAGTTACAAAGACTTATTTGGGCCACAATGCTTCCATGAACAGGCGGGGGCATAGTGGGAAGCGCTACAGCGTACTTCCTCACCCGCCATGCCAGCTACGACCCGGAGCTCCATTCCATAGTCATGCTCGAGGCATCTTCGATTGCGACAGCATCGTCGGGCAAGGCTGGCGGCTTTCTCGCTTCCTGGGCAACCCCCAATTGCCTTGCTCCCCTCAGCTTCAAACTGCACCAGAGTCTGGCCCAACAGCACCAAGGCGACGAGCTGTGGGGATTTCGCCCCGTCTATGCCGCTGAAGTCGAGCTGGAAGCCGACGAGACAGATGCGGACAACCTTCACCTTCCACCTCGGCCCGGAATATCAGACGACAGGCCCAGCGACCTGGACTGGCTCCTTCCGGGAAGTGTTAGGGAGTACACTGAGATTGGCACCCCGAGTGACTCGGCCCAGGTTCACCCCTATCTTCTCACCAACAAATTGGCCCAGTTGGCCGAGGCGAGCGGAGTCGCCATCGTCATTGGGTCCGCCACCTCGATAGACTACAGCCCCGACGGCTCGTCTGTTGCGTCGGTGACCTATAGCAGCCGAGGCGAAACCACTGTACTTGAAGCCACAGACGTCCTCGTTGCTGCTGGTCCGTGGTCATCCAAACTCCTGCCCCAAGTCAAGCTTCTCGCACCAAAAGGACACAGCATTGCCATCCAGCCATCCAAGGACCCCATATCTCCATACATCCTGTTCCCCAAGATTCACGCTGCCAACCCTATCCTCTCTCCGGAAATCTATCCACGCCCGAAAGACACCATCAACGACTTTGAAACCGTCTACGCGAGCGGGCCCGGCTATTACGATGTCCCGCTCCCTGATCTCGCTGCCCAAGTCACCACGGAGCAGGAAAAGTGCGACGACGTGTGGCAAGCCGTGCGGAACGTCTCCCAAGAGATCAGGGACGGCAAGATCATCATGTCTCAGGCGTGCTACAAGGCCCAGATCAGGAAGCACGCAGACGGCGAGGAGGCTGGTCCGGTAGTAGGCCCCATGCCCGTCACCGGCCTCTGGCTGGCCACTGGCCTCGATGAATGGGGCATTCAGAACGGCCCCGGCGTCGGATTGGTCATGAGCGAGTTCATCTTGGAAGGCAGGACCACGAGCGCCAGTGTTGAGGCGCTCGACCCGAAGCATTGGATATGATTAATCGGGGAGGAATGGCAGTCCGGTCAGGCGTCCAAGGGTTAGTGTAATCATGGTAGATTGTCTCCGGGGTGGGCAAGGTGGTTGCCTCATGATTATGAAGAGGGAGCGGTTGACCTGGCATTTCGTGGCGATTTTCTCACGCTTGAACAAAATATCAAGAGCTTTATGATTTCTTTCACTCCCGGAGGCTCTTTCTGCCATCAAGGGACCACGGTAGCAGCGAACTATGAACCTTGTATGTCTCGCTTCAGCGATGGGCCATATCATGTGAAGCCAGAGTCGTGTTTGAGAAGGTACTTAATATTTCTCAAAACAGAAATATCACCTTGATTTCTCGGTCTCGAGGAGCTCAATGGGTGCATGTTCTAATATCTGACTACTCTGTTGGAATGACAGAACAACGCATGGAAGAGGGCCTTGGATGCTATATTGAAAGAAAAACAGTCGAGACTTTTTCTGAGAAACGACACAAAAGTGGTGATGTTCCCCAAATTTGATGAGTAAAGACGGATGACACGATACTGTGCGCGAAGTCAGTGCTGCAGCGGTCACTGAAGTGTGAAGCAAAAGTCCGGAATTGACAACGGTCCGTGTCCACGACCAGACCGACACGGACTGCATTCCCTTCAATATTATCACGTCGGCGTGGCACTAGGAAAGCACCAGCATCGGAGTACGGATAATTTTACATGCGGCAACATGGTGCATAATCACTGCAACAAATAGGTGCCTGGTGTAGGCAATAAATTCAGAATTAGTTATCCGCGTCATCCTTTCAAAACTCTAGGCTCAACTCTAGACTCCTCTAGACTCCTGGAAATGAATCCCCAAATTACTCACATTGGCAAAACCTTATCCGGTGTCGGGAATCTGACATGTCCGGCCCGTGTGTGACATCCCTGCTTTGCCATGCCATGTCATGGTAGTACAGCAAGTGGATCGCCGTCTCGGGCCGTATTAGATCGCGGCGGCGGGTATTAATTGCGCTGCTTCGCTACCTGGATGGAATTGCACAAAATGGCCCTGGTCTGGCAATTAATTAATTAAAGAAATTCGCGCCGCCCTTGAGGATCACGAAGGAACTCGTCAAAGTCGGACTCCGGCACAAGATTTGCAACTGTAAACAAGCCACGGAGGTGGGACGGGCGTCTCTAAAACTGCCTGCAAGGGAGGCGGGGCGGCAAACAGGGGGATTGATGCAAATTGGCCGACTGACGGTCCGAGATTGATCGGGGATAAAGCGATTGACTAACTAGCAGCACGTTTCTCGGTTTTACAGGAACTGCCAAGTAGTCAGCCAAGGGATAGCGGAGGCAACCACGAGATTTCCACGAGGCAGCCACTGAAACCAACGTTTGTCCGAGGTGGATCGGAAACCAACAGGTTGAGGCTGACAAGCTGAGAGCGGGATGGAGGCTGAGGCTGACGTCACGTAACGAGAGACAAGTCCCCTTCCGCACACCCTCTCGTCTGTTGGCACCAGAATTTTCGGGGGAGGCGGATCGGATCACGTGTTTTTGTCTTCGATTTCTTGGCCCCTGGCAGGCCGAAGGAGTCTCAAACCCAGACGCGTAGCATTGCGTTCTCTACATCAAACGCAATGGATGTGCGGGAATTGCGTGCGAGGCATCTTTACGGATAACACTGATAAGCAGCCTTCTGCAGTCCGACGGGATCGGATGGCGGGGAAACCGACGAGGACAGGAGGGCCAAGAGCACAACCTGGTCCTGCGCAGAAGAAGCCGCTCAACAACTGCGAAGTGGGGGGAGCGACGCTGCAAATAATTATAGTCAGCAACAGGCATCTGCCGAGCTAAGCTCGAACCAACGTTCCCGATATAGAACGCGTTCCCGGCCGCAGCCGAGCGAGATCGCAAAGTAGAGCAAAGCTGACAGTGCAGATGGAGGGGGGTCTTGGTTGGCTGCGCCTGTCCAGCAGCGCGGAGGGCCCTGACTGCGCTGCCCGCAGCTGCACTTCTTGCAGGGACGAAGGCAGGGGACTGACTGCAGCAAGTGCAGACCGACCACTGAAAGTTGGCCAAGCCTGGGACGTCTGGGCGCTCGGGGGATAAACAGCCTCGAACCTCAAACCCGTGCCCTAGCACGGGCCACGGGTTGCCGTGTAGCATCCTGGTCTTGGAGCCCCTGTAGGTAACCTCATCGGCGGGCTCGAGGCGGGGTGCAGCGTCTCGCAGCTGGATTACCAAGAGAGGACAAGCGGGTGTTGGTGGCGATTGGCGATCGCATCGCGACGGTGAGTGCGAGCGGCGAGCGACGGGACGCATGTCCTAAGGTGCCAGGTAACGGCAGTGCAGGATTGAGTACGTGGCCAATACAAACCCGTGGTCAGTGTCCCGACTGGGTGCAAATGTGCCGACTGGTTTGTACAGCAAGGTACGGAGTACCGCACGGCAGTGTTGGGTGGCTTTCCCAAGCTAGCACTACAATGAAAGTTTGGTGGCCTAACCCGCCTGTTTAACACCTGGCATGCATCATGAGCACGGACAGTTGCGGTGGCGCAGAGAGAGGGGAGACAGACTTGGACATTTCCGAGTTCTTATCTCGCCCGAGTTTTGCACCACTCTCCAACACCGACGGCCGAAAACATTCGCGTTTGTGGGGGCGGGCTAGGTTATCGTGGGGTCGGCTACGCCACAGAAAGGTCAGCAACACTTCCGAGGGGTAGCTGAAAACTGTTTCCGGTAAGGTGCCTTGCCGTGACGTGCTGTGCCGCTGGTCTTCTTCCTTCCGTTGGGCTTTGCTAGGCAATGGCGAAAAAGCTGCTGCCAACAGCAGACCAGGCGAGCCTGGATCATGATTGACGCGTGCCCATCTTGCTCATCGTTTCGCGGAAACGACATGCGGCCTGCAGATCAGGCCCAGACCTCTGGGATCCGCGTTTGTCGTGTTGCGAAACATGTTTTGGGCCTGGATTGTCGATGATAGCTGCATGTCTGGACCGCACAAGACATGCAAAGCACTGTGACATGTACGTCTGTGCCGGCTTCCTGCACGCTGCGCGCTGCACAAAATTTTAAGAAGATTAGCTCTATTCCGCCTCGAACCATGACCCCCGGCCAGAGTAGCAAACCGTCCGTCAAGACGCCCGAGTGTAGCTGAAGGCCGGCCGTCTTGTGCGGGTCCGTTCGAACGAACCATGTAAGCGTCCACAGTCATACGCAGCGGCACGGCACCACTGGCTTCTCTCACTTCCATATTTTCACCATGTCCCACCACCTGGCTTCTTACCACCACCGGGCTACCTTCGCAGTACCCTTGTTTCCCGACCAGAGAGGTCCGTCGTCCTGTGACCCGCCGTCTTAGTCACAAAACATTGCGGGAGCGGGCTTCCAGTACTATTCACCAGCCATCTGTCCGCGAGGCTTCGTAGCCGGCCCCAGCTACCGAGTGACAAAACCACGAACCAACGAGAGATTCCCCGTCATCGCCCCCGGAGAGACGGCTGCGTACTGCGTACCCAGTGGCCAGACGTGCGCGACAGACACGAGCGACATCCGCGGCAGTGTATGGGGATTTGCACGCGCGGCGACCGCGGCTGGCTCTCCCGTGACACTTGGACCTGCCTTGAAGACTCGATGGGTAGAGGCTGATCCAAGTATGCTGGAAACACACCCCCTGACGCCCGGCCTGAAGTTCGCGAGGACGGGACCGGCGGCCGCTGAAGCAACACATGTATCGACAACGACCGTCACCGAGCCATCGACCACCTTCGTCTCGCTTGTGACATCAGTCTCGACCGAAAGCGGGAACCCTAACGTTCTCATCACAGACAGCAGAACCATCGACCCAGATGCAACGGCATCTATAAGATTCACCACCGACGGCACTAGCCTGCCTGGCCCGGCCACCACTGCTGGTGCGATTGCCGGTGGAAGCAGTGGGGGTTTAAGCAGGAACATTACCATAATTATCGTCGTGTCGGTGACGGTAGTAGTTGGGATTGCGCTCTGGGCCCTAGTTTTCCTTCTCATCCGACGCTACAGGGCAGGCAAGCTCAAAGGGCGCGGCTGCTGCTGCTGCTTTGGACTTGGGAGAGGAGATGACATCTATCACGACGACAAACGCTCGGCCCGGTCATCCCACATGCTCGGCAAGCAGGACAAGGACAAGATACCGGGCGCCGAGTTAGGCATACCTCCAGGCTATTCGGAGCTCGACTCGGGCCCGATGCGTGGCAGCACGCCCAACCCGGCCGAGCTCGATGGGCGTGGTGTTGGCGAGATGCCGTGGAGATCGACGTGGGTGCCGCAAGTGCCACGCATCCTCCACCGAGGCGAGCAGTCATCTTCACGCTCGTCACGCTCGTCGCCGCGGCGGACGGTGAGGGAGTCATTCGGAGAGAAGATCAACGACCCAGCCACAGCACTAGGCAGGCTGCGCATTTCCCACTCGAGATCGATGAGAAAGGGACAGTCTCCAAAGGCGTCGCCAGTATCGATACGGCCAGGACCGTTTTCGAGGGCTTCGCGCAGCCCGCCCACCTCGAACCTACCGACCATGCCGAACATGAGCCCACCGAGCAGGAGCCCGCCAAGCATGAGCCCCATGATACCAAGCCCCCTCAGCCCGAGTCCCGTCAGTCTGCCATCGGCAACTGCATCTCGGGGAGGAAAGCTGAGCGTGCAGAGCGGATTGCCCAAGACATTTTTCAGGTCGACGTCGGCCACTTCGAGCCCAATCAGCAGCGTCAGTCCAGCCTAGGTCTAGGCCTGGAGGCCAGCCAGCCAGCGGAACCGACTTCCTGGAGTTTAGGGTCTAGACAGCAACAGCATCGAATGTTGCGCGTGACGCGAGCACACGATGCGGCGCAAGGGGACCGGATGCCAATCGATGGTCGAGACGCGGCTCTGGTGGAGCTTTTGTTGGGTTGTTCGGGATCTTTTTGCAGACCGCAATTGGGTTTAGGAGAATCACGGACTGGCGCCACGCTGGCAGCCAACCAGGAGCCGCCGTCAGGAGACAAAAGCTATGACCCGGCTCCACCGGTGAGGCCATTCCACTGGTCGCCCGCCGACCGAGACCCCCGGAAACCTGAAAGCAGTCCACTACCCCGCAGAACCCACCATGTCATTGCCTACGGGAAGGAGCAAACTGCAAAGATGCTTCTAAAAGTGGCAAGATGGAGAACATTCGGGGAGAGACCGGAGGACTCTGCTGTTCACCTGGCTTTCATCCCGTACTACTACTAAATAAAACGTCTGCTTCCGTTCACACTTGTCCCCCCTTTGCTATTCTCGTTCTCAATCACAGAAATCATCCACCAAAACTGAACTGGCAATCTCCATCAAACCACCTAGGCATCGACCTCACCTGCCAGTGAAACCAATTACCCACTTGATCAGAAGACGAACAGTGCGCCACTACAGTCAAGTACTGGCACTCAATTCACCCGACCTCAATTGCGCTTCCACCACCCCCGCCGCTACCGCGCTTAGATTTTGGCGCAGCACACAGCGCCAGTCTCACTTCAGCACAGCGCCAGCCTCAGCAAAGCGAAGGAGTTTTGGAGCTGAACTACGGAAGACGCCAAAAAATCCTCCAATCCACCAGGACCCGTCATCTGGCCTCGGTCTCTGACAAGACAAAAATCGATTCTCGCAAGATACCTAGCGTCTGCCATATTCTAAATACAGACACACCCGCCTCTCGCCCACCTGAAAATGCAGACAGGCAGCAACAGCACCGCTGACGACATCCGTCTTGCCGGCGGCGAAATTCCCCAGTCCAAGAGCCCGTCCAACATGGACACGGCCGACCTCGCCCAGGCGCTGCTGGACCACGCGGGGCCGAGCAGCCCAACGTCGCCGCACACTACGGCCGACGGCGAACGCGCAAAGAAGAGCATGGACACGTGGACGCCCGTCATGGACCGGCGGCAGTCGTGGTCGGCACAGGAGTGGAAGCACGAGCAACAGAAGCCCATGTATTCCCAGACGGCGCCTATGCCGGCTCCGAACCACTCGTCATCCACTGCCGGATTCACCGAGAGCCGCTGAAAGGTCGCACCACCATCACTGCACGTGCTGCCCAGACACACTTGCTAGACATGTTCCATTTCAAAACCCCCCATTTCTACACTTGCTTTTTTGTCTGACCATTTATGGCAACGCGAGGTGGATCCGACAGCGGAGCGCAAAACGGCACATCTTACACAATCCGCTTGTTGGATCTTGCAGTGGCGCGGGGAAGTGGGAGCCTCGAGACCAAAACAACCGCTGCGGTGGCGCTCTCGCTGGGAGGAAAAAAAGACAGACGCTCATGACGACATGATGTGCAAATACCTACTTTGCGCTCACCCTCTAATCCCACCCCACAATCGCTTCCTACCTTACCCGTCAATATGTAACAACACCACACACACACATGGACCTGCAAGGAATGGACGATATCGAGCGGACGGGTCCAATGCATCCATGTTTTCATTTCTTACCTGTCCTTTCCACTTTCCATTTTTCTACCCTTTTGTATATTTTCCTGCTCCGCCCAGTCGAAGAGACTTGGTTGGAGGGGATGGATCCAGGCGGCACACTTGTTTGGGTGTGGGTGTCTCTGGCGCTCGTGGGAACCAGTGCAGGGGGGCGCAGTCCCCACCACACACAGCACACCATGGTGAGCGGGGGACTCTATCAAACCCGCCGCTCAGAGAGTGACGGGACAGAACGGGAGAGAAGAGACTGTGTGTGTGAGAACACTTGCCTACCTACCTGCGAATACCTGCAAACAAACCATTGATTTTAGTAAGGCGGCGTGGACTTGTCTTACTGGTAGCAGAAGGAAAAAACCCGAACAGGCAGAGGTTGGAAGAAAGCCACCGAAACGCCTCGCATGTAAACCTACTTAACGTGTAACGATTTTATAATGAGGAAACACAAATGCAAAACCAAGATTAAAGATCATCGAGATTGCCGTGCCTTCGTTTGCGGGCGCCAAGGTCGCGATCCAATATATCGGCACTGATCAGGCATGAAATATGTCAAAACGCGTACGCAGGGTACACCCTGTCCCGGATGGGGGAGTTCACGAGGTCATGTTATTTGTTTGGCGGGCGACAGGTCATGAACCCCGCGCGATGGACATGGACAGTGCAATGACCACAAAGACTGTGACCGTGGCTCCCGAGGCACATGGGGGGCGCAGACACAGAATCCATTTCGAATTCGGCATGCCGGGACAGCACAACCAATGCAATGCGGAGCGGAGAAGGGGGGAAATTTGACTTGTGGCAGTAATAAAAACGAACGCAAGATACAGATTCCCTGAAAGGAGGGGAGATAGTCATTCCACCCAGCCATAACACCAAAACTGGTGTGCACCCCGAGCCACCCAGGCAACGAAGATAATTAGGAAGCCAGAAAAGGGGGTTAATCCCCCTAAGGATTGGTCCCAGATGTAGTTGTCTCGCAGCCGGTTGCTCGATAGTCCTATAGCCTGGAACGCAGAGAGCCCCCCTAAAAACCGGATATACCAGATCAAATTGCCGTCCATGCATATGCGTTTAACCCTTTGAGTTGGGAGTGGGCGTGCGTGTGCGGCGTGAGCGTGGGCGTGTCAGGTCGTAAGATGTCTTCGTGTACGCCATCCATCCATCATCGGCCATCCACCGCGTGTACCTGCCTGCCGCCCAAAGACAGCACAAGGAAAGACACCGAAAAATTCCCAATGCAAGAAACAAAAGAAAAGAAAACAGGAAGAAATGTGACAGACACCGTTACCAGGCCACTCTACTTGGAAGCGAAGCCCTTTGGACCTTTCCCATCTGAGCCGCCCGTCTTGAAGTAGTCCGCAACCACGCCGAGTGAGTAAGAGATGCCCCCGACCCAAGCAGCGCCGAGAAGAAGCCGCTTGGGGAGACTTCTCGTCTTTTCTTTGGTGTTGCCAGAGTATTCGGTGGTTGTCTGCCCGCTAAAAACAGGCTCTTCCCGTCGTACATCAATGCCCGACTCGAAGCGAGGGCTTTGTGGGGCCCCAGCCGGGGGCACCGAGCCTAAGGGCGGAAGGTCGTAGTTAACAAAGCCAGTAGGGCTGGCGAAGCGGCCAGCGGCGATGTTGTAGTCACGGGTGCCGCCGGTCATGTCAATTGGATTGATAGCGGGCGGAGGAGGGTTCGTAGGTATCGGTGAGTCCAAAGTTTCCGGTTCGGGCATGACGACCGCGTCTCGGACCTTGCGAAAAATGAGAATGTCCCCGCCACCAGACACAATCTCAAAACCTTGAGCTTGGAGGGGCGCAAAGTGAGGAAAGAACTTTGCAGGGTTGGAGATGCGAAGGAGAACCTCAGCCGGCGTCAGCGGAGCAGCGATGTCGGGGACGATAGAGGTGGTTTCGCCAACATCAATGCACTGCATGGTTGGGTCATAGACGAGAATCTTGTAGACCGTTGTCGTGGCTTCCTGAACGGGTATGCAGGGAGACTGTGCCAGCGAGGCTAGCTCTGGCTCGGTTGGAGAGGGACCAGTCAGGCTGGAATCACTTCCGGAAATCTGTTGCCCCGTCACCCCCAACCGGTCTAATGCGGGCTGCAAGACAGATTCTCTTTTGCTCGGAGAGCCACCATCAACTGTATCTGAGGTTGTACCTTGCATCTCCTGCTGTTTGAGGGCAATGTTGGAAATATCTGAACTCCATGACCGGGCAAAGTCTTCTGGGAAGTCACGAACATAATTGCCTGTCAAAACCTTGGGCACTGTCTCACGGTGTGCTGCGGTATTTTCCGAAGGTTTAGTTGTTGAGGGGGTGAAATGCCGATCCGTGTCAGTGTGAACCGGCTCGGCCGCAGACCGCGCCATCAGCGTCTCCAACATCTGCTGGTAATGCGTCTTATCATCTGTCTTAGGCTCGGAGGACAAAAGGTCTTCGCTACTTGGCGGCCAACTCTCGCTCCCTTGGCTTCGTGCTGGCGATGAACTCGTCTCCGAATCCTCGTAGCCATATGCCTCATGGTAGCCGAGGTCCGAAGCCTCGCCGGAGGTTTCGGCGGTAGGCTCGGCGTCCGCGGCGTACTTCCCATTTGGCTCGTAGCTCCGGACGGCTTGATATTGACCTAGCTCGGAATTCTCCGGCCCAGAAGTCGCTTTTTCGACAGCGTACTTCCCGTAATCACTGAGATCTGCTGGCTCAACATCCGGCAAGTTGTTTCTGGCAGCGTATTTTCCATCCGGCTCGTGGCTGCGAAAAGCCTGGTACTGATCTAGATCGGCCATATCATTCCCCGTTTCAGCGTGATGCGCAGCATAAATGCCATCTGGTTCATGACTCAGGAAGGGCTTGCTGTAGCTGGCCAACTCTGCGGCGTCTGGAGCAAGTTCTTCCAAGTTGTTGGCTGCATACTTTCCATCGGGCTCGTGGCTGCGGAATGGCTGATACTTGCTCAACTCCTCTTGGCTCACCATTGGATCCGAAGTAGTGTTGTAGTTTCCATCCGGTTCATGCGACCGAACAGCAGTGTAGTCGGCCAAGTCGTCGTGATCCTGCGGGGCAGCTTTATCGGCCGCGAGAGCATCATTTTCCGGCGCAGGTTCGGGTTTGTGAAGGCCGGGGTATTGGCGATTTCCTGGTCCCAGCATCCAAGAGTCGACAGCTCGGATCTCAGACGATTGAGAAACGGGGTTACTCCAGAGCACCCACTGGTCATCCCTGTTTCCGGTTTTGGGAAGACCGGGTATAGGGGGATCACCGTGGTTTGCCACGCACTCTTCACTTTCTAGGACAGGCTCAGAGGCGGCAGTATTACCGGGCTGGGAATCGGCTGAGCCGCTTTCCGATTCCCACGGCCTTGAGTCCAGTTTAACTTGACTGTAACTCTTCAGCTCGGCTGCAAGTCGATCGGAACTGTGGGAGTCGGCTGACAGGGGATTACTGTCACGGCAACTTGGATCCTGAGCATCCTCAAACTTTGAGGCAGATGAAGGCGAAAATAGAGACGTGTCGGATTCGGGCGCTCGAACTGTGGGAGACTCGGCTATGCTGTCAAAGATGGGATAGGTGGTGCCAGTGGCAGCTTTGGGAACTTTGCGGTTCGTGATTGGATCAATGATGTAATCAGCGTCGGGCTGGTAAACAACACTAGGTACAGCACTGGAAGGAACTTCTGGGTTGGAATGCATATCCTCCTTCGGCCGTTGGTTGTACATATGCATTGACCACCAGACTGTGCGGGAAGACTTGTTACGTTTTCGGCGGCGTCTAGCTTCCCTACCAAAAAGTAGTATGTGGTTCAAGGGTTCCTGTTCAACATCTTCAGTGTTCTGCCCTGGCCGGATGTCGGCGGGATTGCCCGAGGTCCTTGGCTGGGAATCGGCATGTACACGACTCCCCCCAGCAGCGCCATCTTCATCTTTCGGCTGCCAGAGGTCGGAGAACAGGCGACTGATTGCACGCCGTTCGTCTTGTTGGTCGTCTTTGGTGCCATTTTTTCGGTCGCATGACAGTCTTGTATCGTACATGTCGTCGAGCTTGCTCCATAGCCGGCGTTGGCGACAGGATATGTCGCGGGGCAAGTCGGGGTCGATATAGGAAGGCCAGCGACGACCGAACCGGAATCGGCGGATTTGCTGCTGCTCTAAGAGGCGATGAAGCTGAACGGCCCCTGCGAGGCCCAGTGCATGGGGGGAGGCAGAGTTGGCGCATCGGGCGCGGTGGGCAATTTTGGACGCGGTGATCAACGACATCTTGAAGGACGGATCGGGGGCACCAGTTCCATGCTACTGGTATCGCTACCTGCTGTTGTGCTTCATTGCTGTCAGCTTAGACGGACGGACGTAGATCGGGAGCCAAAGGCCAGCGGCCAAGAACCAGTCTCGAAGAGGGATAATGTAACTTAAGTACGGCACAATGAATGCGGGTGGATGCTAGGTCTGTCTAGGGAGGCGGCCGCCAGCCGCTGGTGAAACTCTGTCGGGAGTCTTCGGAAGCTGAACCTACTTGACAAAGGATCATCGCCAAGTGCGACGTCATCAACTTAAACGCAGAATTCGGGCATTGGAATTTGGAGAAATTGGAAGAAAGCAACCAGCAGAGCGACGCTCACACGGCATGGTAAAAGTGCGAACGAGACGTTTTGGCGCTAACTTCTATTATACTTGGGAGGAAAAGACTTGGAAGAGTGGGCAGGAGTCAAACGGTGATCTGCCCATCGATGGGTGATACGGAAGGTGCTGTTGGAGGGGCCTCTCTCCAGGCCAACTGCAGCCTGCGCGGCCTTCGGCCCTGCAGAGGCGGCTGGGCGTTGTGATTCGACAGCTGAAAAGTCGGGGCCTTGGGGAGGGGTGGACCCCTCCCCTCGACACTGCGTCCTCCAACCCCCCAAACGCGGGGTAGAGAGATCAAAAGGCTGGGCTGAACCTTGTGAGCGATGGCCACAGTGGATGCCGATGGTAAATCTCGCTGTTTTTCGCTACCACCGTTTGGATCCGAGCGTGCCGGAAAACAAAACATGAATGATCGGGGGTTATCTCTAATGATGGGAGCGCAGTGGAATGGCTCGGGAACGCGGCATTCGAACCCACTAACACCAACAAGTTGACATATGGGGTGGTGGTGATCTGTGCTTAGGTCTTAACCGAGGTGGAGAGCTTCGCAGATAAGTAGGTAACTTCGACTTTGCACCAGGCCCTTTGGCCAATATCATGATATGGAGGAACTAAGTTCTTGTACATTCCCAAAGTCGAATTGACAGCGAAGCGGTCGATTGGTCCAATCCCGTCTCCATTTGCTACAAACGGAACGCATCCGCTCCCGCACGTCTTTGCATTTTCGGGAGTTGTGCATGCACAACTACGTCATACTGCTCCGGAGTGGACCTCTCCAGACTGAACCCTAAAGAACGATTCTTGGGCCGGAAGGCTAGGTACTTATGTTTTGGTTGTCAGGGCATCCGTAAATTTCGTCCCTCTTCTTTCTTTTCCAGCATTGTAAATGTGCTGTAGCGTGGATGATATGTCGAAGCACTCATTCAATCAGCGGGCCAGTGCACACTGCCATTCAAAGTTCTTCGCGGCGGCCAGAGGACGTGAGGACTCTAGTCCGTCTACAATACTTGCTTGGGGGAAGACTAGATATCATAGCAATCTAGTTAATCTTTTCCAGCTGTTTTTGCTTTAACGTTAATTTCCACAGTCATTCGTGAAAGCCTTTTTAAAGTACAGATGATGAGGAATGTAAAAGCAGCTTATGTAAGGCGCTGAGTCTTCAGTTCTTTCGAAGAGCCATCCCGCATCACGTGGCTCCGCAGCCCTCCAGGGGAGCTGCAGTGCCCCACCATAGGAAACCTCTGAGGGGCTACGATTTCTAAGATTTTTGCAGCTTGTCGCGACTTCAACGAGCTCAACGAGGATTACCTCGACACATTTTCGAGGTCAGTTGCTAAGCTTCCAATGCTTCTCTAGTATGGCCAATTAGCTTACCTAGCCCTCCACAATAGATACGGAACTCCAGCTAGTTCCAACGCTCCACTCTGCTTTCGCGTGTCTTCTCCAGCGTTTCCCCTCGATAGATTCCCCCTCAACACCACGTCTCGTATTGCGACAAAACCCCAAGAACCTAGGAACGAGAGAGGCGGGGACCAACGGGTCAAGCGCGCAATTCGCATAAGTGATTGAGATGGCTACTGGGGGCGGCTTCGGCGGGTTCGCGACATCCTCGACAACTCTTTCGTACATTACCCCTCCACCAAACCTCTCCGACATTCCCCAGGATGTCATTGTCCCCTTCAAGAATCTGCTCAAAAAGGACAGCACCACTAAGTTGAAAGCGCTAGAGGAGATTCTGGCCTACGCGCAGAGTCACCCCTATGAAAATGGAGGAGTTGAAGAGCCGGTGCTAGAAGCTTGGGTAGGCATTTAAATTGATACGCCTGGATCCTCTCCATTCCCGGCTCGACTGCTGACCCTACCTAGACTACGCTTTACGCCCGGCTATCGATAGACAACGCCCGCCGCGTCCGCGAACTCTCCCATACCCTCCTCATCGAGCTCCTGAAGTCTGCTAAGACCCGGATGGAGAAACGTGTGTCTTCCATTATCGGCCCATGGCTTGCTGGCACTTTTGATAAAGACAAGGGTGTTGCCCGTATAGCCACCGAGGGCCTGGCCTCGCTTCTTAAGACAGAAGAGAAGTTGAACCAGTTTTGGCGAAAATTGCAGTCTCAAATCCTAGACTTTGCTATAGAGGCTATTAGAGAGTCTCCCTCCACCCTCAGCGACTTGAGATCTAGCACTCCAGAGGATGCCAATGGAAAGTACTTCCGAGTCGTTGGTTGTAGCTTGTCTCTTGTTCTCGCCCTCGTGAGAAAGGCGGAGCCAACCAAGCTTCAGGGGCTCCTGGGTCGCTATTTCGAAGTCGACTCTATTTGGAGTCTAGCCACTGCCGAGGAGCCGTTCGTACGCCGGACACTCTTCCAGCTCTTGCAAACATGCGTTGAGACCAGTCCAGAGTCTATAAAGTCCCGTCTTCCTCAGATAGGGCGTGCTATATTTGTGGACGGTCTAAAAACTGCACAGTCTGGGTCTGCAACGGATTTTGTTGCTGTCATGGCCAGTTTGACGAAAACCTTTCCCCAGATCTGGGGTACGAAGCAGGAACCCTTGTCACGGTTGCAGCGGCTTGTCGAAAAAGGCTCGCAGGGTGGCTCTGCGGCGTACTGGCAAGAGTTGGACAGGTTGTTGGCAGCCTTGGGGAAGAAGCCGATATCTCCTGCGATGGTGAACTTTATGAAGTCACTGAGAACCGGAATCTCGGACCGGCTGGAGCCACGGGCAAATGCCCCCTATGGTTGGAGGGTCTATCTCAATATGCTCCAGCGGGCTATCGATGACTCTGTTCCAAGTTCAGACTTCCTCAACGAAGCCGTCTTCCCACTAACGCGCCAGTTTTTGCATCCGACCCCGGAGCTGTCCTCATGGACCGCACCTTCGGACCCTCCTGTCTTTCCATTAGTCTGGAGGATCTTGGCTCGTCACTCCAACACGGCTGTCCGGGAGTCCGCCAAGGAAGAATGGCAGAGGTTGTCTGCCTCCTTCTCTTCACGCATTGCCAATTCCGACGCTGAAGATCTAAAGAGCTCCGAAAAGTCAAAGTTCGGGCTGGCCGAGGAAGGCGATCGCTGGTTCAAGCTGGTAGCTAGTATCGTGAAGGAAAACCGTCTTGACGAAGATAAGCCCTTGCTGAGCACAATTACTGCGTCATCAAGCCAAATCCTGAAGGATGCTTCGGATCTGCTATCGAGGAGAGATTATCGGCATACTGCTCTGGCTTCAATTATACAGTCCGCGTTCAAACACTGCCCCGCCACTTTTGCGGACGAAAGCCTCTTCTCTAGTCTCTTCCCTCTCGATAACGCCACAAAGCTCAAAACCCTTGTCAACTCAGAATCTTTCCGCCTACTTGCCCCATGCCTCGAGGGGATTGCCGAAACACACGAAGACCAATTCCAGGTGATATGGAATGCGCTCATCGCGTCTTCAATAAACCCCAGCGATCCTCCCTCCTTGCCAGCAATTTCAACTCTCATATCAACCCCTTCCGGCGCAGGGCTTGCTATACATGCTGAACCACTGCAAGCGTTTCTCATCTCCAACTGGCTCCGTTGTGTGCAGAACCCGTCGTCTGACGCCTGGAAAGTCTCGGAAGCCAGCCTTGAGCACGGTGCTGTCGGTAGCGGTACACTGGAGTCGATAGCTTCAAGCCTTGTTGAGCGACTTAACGTGCCAACGATGTCTGGTCCAGCACTTGAAGCTCTGGAGATGATCATCCGCAAAGAAGGCGCTGTATTCTCGAAGGATCAACAACTTCACATTGATCTTATTACGCGTCTATTAGCTTTGACAGAGATTTCAAATCCAAGTGTTGTCAATAAGGTACGAGTTGTGCGGGCGCTTTTAGACAATCACAGGCCTGCTGAGCGCCACCCACTGATCGCCATCAACGAAAAGAACTTGGATGACGTTGGGCCATCATCCTTGGGGTACGTACAATCACGTATCAGGACTTGTGAGTCTCGGCAGCTAACCCGTGCCTAGGCTAGATGTGTTGGTTCAACAAGCTGTTGGGGTTCTCGAAGCCGGGAACCTGCCAGAGGAGGACCTCTTTCCCAACGTGAACGTGTGGATGGCCGAGATGCGCCAGTTTCTCCGTGATACACCGAACCCCTCCCTCTCACTTACTAGCACTTTGGGCGGGGCATACTTTCTAGTGAAGAAACTCTCCAGTCCTCCCCTGGCGGATGGAGGCCAGCTTGACGACACGGAAAGTCCACCAAAGCGAGACGGACAAGGCCGGTCAATTCCTGCAAGGATGGCCGTCTTCACATCTAAATTGCTCTCTCATGGGGTGAAACTAGCATCTCTACCCGATAACTTCCAGGTGGAGCTGCTGTACCTGCTCTGTCTTACAAAAGCACTTGCAGCCGACCAGTTGACAGTAATGCAGCCCGAACTGCTCTGGAGGCTGGACCAAGGCGAAGAAGGGTCAGCCGAGGTTGAGGAGTTTGTTGCACTCGTCGACAAGATCATGAATGATGTTGTCGCAGACGCGAGTGATTGGAGACAATTCCGCTCCACCGACAATACTCTAGTCGGACGTCTCATCGGACTCTTGCTCAGAAGTGCCGGCAATCCAAGCCCTGCTGCATTTTATAGCGCCAAGGTCCTCGGTTATCTTTTTCAGTTGTTGACTGAGGCACATGGCCCTCCACTGCATTTGGAGGCTTGGTTCGGCGAGCTGGGCGTCATGAAGGCAACTCCGAGTACGATTTTCGTGGCAGCAGCATTTCTCACCGGATTCGGGGAAGCTCTTACCTCTTCGACTACAGTCAGTTCTCTTTGCAATCGGCTTGTCAGCGAAGTGATGTCCTCTTCCCCCTCGTCCCCGAAGACCCTGTTTTCGGCCGTTCTCATGAACTCCTGCCTTTCTGTCTACCAGGGTGGCCAGATTCCGGTCGAGAACCGCAAACTCGTCTTTGTTCTTAAGCAAATGACTTCTTGGACAAGCACACCGGCCGAGGTGAGCAACCAACTAGCTGCCGAAACGTGTAAAGCGATCCAGCAGATCCACCCCCATGTCAAAGACGTGTATGGGCCGTACTGGGAACAAACTGTCGACTACTGCATATGGCTTTGGAATAAGGCCGCCAAAGATCGAATCGACATCCGACTGCCGTATCTCCATTCCTCCCTCAAGTTGATGTCCACGCTTGAGCTCTCCTGTGCCGCGGGAGAGGCGAACGAAGATCTGGCAGAAGTCCTTGAGCAACGCTCATGGGCCAAATCGAAGGCCCTGATAGGGTTGCTAAAGACGCCCCGCAATACCAACACCCAGCCTTGCCAAATTGTGGATGCCATTCTGTGTCGGGCCGTGGAGAATATTCCACTCAAAAACGTCGACGATCTCTCGGCTCTTTATGAACAGGTGGCTTCGGGGTCACGAGCTATCCAACAAGCAGCGTTTGGCTTGCTTCACCGAGCACTACCTGCAGCGCAGGAGGAGATTTCTGTTGATGTGCTCTTGGAGGACAAAGGTAAGGGCGCTCTGAGCCGGTAAAAGTTGGTATGCTAACATGCATAGTCGCACGTCTTCCTGATGAGCTGCTGTCACTGCTCTTGGAACCCCCGACCCTCGAGGCTTATCCGTATGAACTCGTGGCACAGTTCCCGGGCCCTGTTCGCACATACTTGCTCTCTTGGCATCTCATTTTTGATGCTTGTAGCAAGGCTTCGTACAAAGTCCGCGGCGACTATGCCGAATTGCTCAAAGAGCAGTCGCATTTCAGCCCTTTCATGACCTTCATGTTTGACGTCCTTGGCCACTCGGCTGCAGACGCAATCAACTTGGAAAAGGAAGGTTTCACTGTGGATCACATCCGCTCGTACAGCCTCAAGCTGGCCGAAGCGGAGCCCGAGGAGCGCAATCTGCATTGGCTGCTGATACATCTTTTTTACCTGACCCTCAAACATCTCCCGGGCCTGTTTAAAACCTGGTATTATCTCGTTTGCTCGTCTAAACAGACCAAAATTGCCATCGACTCGTGGATACCCAAGTACTTGTCGCCAATTATCATGTCCGAGGCGCTGGATGATGTGGTTGAATGGGCAGAAAACCAGCCAGAGCCTGGAGACGACGAGAAGGAGCTTGTCGTGCAGGTCAGCAAAACTTCGCGGCAGATCACGGCAGGTTACGAGATTGATGACGAGATCGCCTCCATTTTCATCCGCATCCCGTCGGAATACCCCCTCGGAGTGGTGGAGGTCGGAAGCGTCAGCAGAGTGGCGATCGCTGTGGATGACAGGAAGTGGAAAGCCTGGATAAAGGCTACCGAGGGGCAAATAATGTTTTCGGCAAGTGCACTTGAGCTACTTGTAACTGTTTGGTTGTCTGACACTAACTCTATTATTCTGTGCAGGAGGGAGGTATGAGCTTCACCGAGGGCCTGACCGTCTTCCGACAGAACGTGAGGGCGGCGATGAAGGGGCATACCGAGTGTGCCATTTGCTACTCGATCGTGTCGTCGGACAAGAAGCTTCCCGACAAGGAGTGCGAGACGTGCAAGCACTGCTTCCATCGCGTCTGCTTGTACAAGTGGTTTTCGACCAGCGAGCGGAACACGTGCCCTCTTTGCCGTAACCCGATTGACTACCTCGGGCCGGGCAAATTCAGGCGAAACTAACCGAGTCAAAAATAGGGTGGAAAGTGTAGAGTTACACAGTGATTGAATTGATACAATTAGCGGAAATTGGCATCCAACTTGGCGTTGAGATGAAGGGTCTTGCTTTAGTTTTTTCGTTCATGTTGATGGCGTGTGTTGGAATTATGGAGAAAGTCGCGTATTCCGCCGTCGTCGGGGCAAGGGAAACGCCACGTAATTCCATAATTATTACTTGGGCGTGTGCAAAATCCTGCCTCGTGGAGGGGAGCATATATCTTTATTTCTTCTCATGTTTTCGCCCAGGCCTGCTGATCTCTAACCACGCCGCTAGGGTCTCATGTCCCAAACGAGACAAGCACCTTGCCGTTTTGGACTTCGGTATACGGGGCGATGATGGCCCGCTCGGGGCTAGCAGCGCAGGCCCGGTGCGGTAGGACAAGACAAGCATATAGCAGTGTATACAGCCCTCCCGTAAAAGACGTCGGCTGAATGCTTGACCCCGAGTCCGGGGAAGATGCTGCAAGCAATACAGCCCAGTAGAGACTATAAAAAGCCCGTCGGAATCTCGGTCATGCCATTGAGAATGTGCTCGGATTCTCTACGCAGCGCGCGCACTCTTCTAGTCTTTCTCTTTGGTAAATTCTCAATCAAACTCCCCTTATAGGAATAGAAGCGCATCGCTCGTGCACGACTCGGAGCCAGCATGAAGGTCGTTCTCACAGGCGCGACGGGCTACATTGGCGCCGAGCTGCTCAACCAGCTGGCCCAGCACCCCGAGGTCACGTCCGTCGTCGTGCTGTCTCGCCGCCAGCTCCAGCAAACACCCGCCAGCCCTAAGGTGGCCGTCGTCATCGTCGACGACTTTCTCAACTACGGGCCCGCGGTGTTGCAGGCCATCGCCGGCGCTCAGGCCTGCGTATGGTGCGTGTTCTTGTTCATTTTTCACCGATCAGTTCACCGTCTCGTCCCTCCCTCAAGGGGCCACTGACCATGGTAAACAAGACAGGAGCCTCGGGAAGCCGTGGATACCCAACAGCGAAGTCGCCAGGACTGTCTCTATTGGCTACACCATGACGGCGGCGAGGGCGTTTTTGGCCGAGTCTGCTGCAGCTACTACTGCTGTTGCTCAACCTGGCGGCCGCCAAGTGTTCCGTTTCGTCTACATGAACGGCATCGCCGCCGAGAGAGACCAGACCAAGCGGCTGTGGTATCTGGGTGAATACCGCCGAATCCGGGTGCGTAATTACGTTTTTTTTCGTTTCAATCTCTTTTGTTTGACACAATAAGGACTGTCCATGCCCCTTCGTTGTTTCTAATCGCTCTTGTCATTGCCTTGTCACTACGGTACACTAATCAGGATGAACAATTAACGGCCCAGCTGACCTCTAATTCTCACAACAGGGCCAGGTTGAAAACGAGCTCCTGGCGCTCGCTGACGCAAACCGGGACGTGCTCGAGGCTTACATGATGCGGCCCGGCATGGTGACCGGAACCGCATTCAGCGTTGTCGACTTGGCCTACAAGCTCGCGCTCCCGTCTGTCGGCATCGTCGAGCTGGCCAAGCTCACTGTCGAGACGGCCCTGCACGGGAACAAGGAGGGCCACACCACCATTGACAATGCGGAAATCGTCGCCGAGGGCAGGAAGTTCTTGTGATTTCAGTTTTCTTTTTTTTTTTAAAAAAAAGAAAACAGAAAAAAGAAAAGAAAAAGACCAGTCTAAACCAGAGAACTAAAAGTGAAAGAATGAGAAAGAATGTGGATCACCCTAGCGTAGGGACAAGTCAGGGGAAGCTCAGGACAGATCAACCACAGCTTACCCCAGCTGAGGACCAATTACAAACAAAAATAGAAACTTGGTGTGCCCAGATTCGTCTCATACTGCCAGGCTCTTTCCCGATGCTTGAAATAACTATGGTAGAATTTAGCCTATCTGGGTTCGGTTCAGGGCTGCGGGCCAAAGATCGTCTCCCGAGAGATCTTCATGTGAGGGGAAACGAACCAACTACAAATTCCCAGGAAAATCGCCAACGTGAGAGAGGGCTGGCCAAGACACAAATCATGTAAGGTACTCGTCATCTTAATACGAAACACGGAAAAAAGAATCCATCATTTGCTATCCGTTGTGCGATCCTTCTTCTCCTCAAACCCATCGCCTCTTCCAATCTACCAGGCCTCGACGTCTCCTTACTCCCCATATTTGAAGATGCGCACGGAAACGTGACCGGCCTCAATGTCACGCTTCGCATCAAGGACCCCAGATCTCGCGCTAACCGGCCTCTCGTCGCCCTCGATCTCAACCACGGCCTAACGCCAACCACTCGTTATGGCGACGAAGCGCTGGCGGCAACCGACGCCCTCGGCCCGCTTCAGCTGGCACATGGCGATTCAACCGACACGGACGCTGTGCGCACCTGGGTAGTCAGCCCCACCAGCCGTGACCCAGTCGGCGACATCATCATCCGCTGCGTCGCGCGGCCGCGAGCGACAAGCGCCAATAACACCACGTCGGGCCCGCGCGTCGATCTTCGCGACGACCAGGGCGGCCTGGTCGTCATGGGCACCGGCTTCATTCCGTATCCGCTCGGCCCAGGCGTACTATACCGGGGGAACGGCTGAGCTGACCTGGCAGGAGGTGGTCGAGAGATACTGGACCGGGCATCTTGGGCAGCGACACGGCGGTGCGTGAGAGCTTCGCCGGCATGACAAACGGGAGCTTGATCGTGCCGTCTGGTGACGCGTTTGCCAGGTTTGGTTTGAAGATGGTGCGCAGGGATGCCGAGAAGCTGGATGTTGATTCCAGGTATCTTGGGTCCAGGGTCCAGGAGCTGAACACGGGGTCGAGGGCCGAGCAGGCTGGGTTGAGGGAAGGCGACCAGGTTGTTCGGTCTTGGGCGCTGTAGGGGGCCGGAGACTCCCTGGACAACCAGATGGAGATTGTGGTGCGGCGCAATGGCTCGGACGTTGCTGTGCGGTATTGGCCTAGGAGTTATGACAAGGTGGAGAATGGGAGTGGGTGGAAGATTCTGATTGATTCTTAGCTCGAGGCTCTGCGACAAACGAGAAAATTATTTTCGTAGCCTGCTTATATAATAGAGGTGGGCTGCTCCCCCTCCCTCTGATTAGAGGCCGGCATCGCTCTTTACCTTTGGTAAACTACAGGACAAAGGCGAGAACTCCCCCGAGCGGCCACCCCTCCTAACGCCCTTATTCCTTGCCGCCATTACCGCTGCTCCTTTCCGTCCATGGCTGCCGACTTTCAGCTGCTGCTGCTGCTACGATGCAAGCGAAAAACCTAATCCCACTGCTGATTACAACTAGTCTCTGCATCGTTAGCTTAGAAAGCAGTTTAACAGACTAATTCTCCGGCATTTTGTGTGAGTTCGCGCATTCCTCATAGACCACATCCCCTTCCACGTCATGTATCTGTGGGATTATCACCTGGCCACGGCTTGGGCGACGACTAGCGCCCTGGCTTATAGGACCGAGTTTTGTTTTAGGTGTGTACTTTCGGGTTTCTAGTCGCAGCGCCTACAGGCATCGCTGTTCTGGGTGTTCTGTCCCGAATGCCACTTCTTCGACGAGGGCGTTCCCGAGGCCGAACTATAATTCGACGTTATGTTAGAGGCCAACTGTTGCGGTAGACCTGGTCACCGATAAGCATCCCGAATCCCAAGAGAAATATGCCCGACGAGTTCCAACTCAAGAGTCACAGCCAACAACCATCATCCGTATAACGCATCCCCAGGCCTGTGTCTTCCACATACGACCATACCTGGCTGAAAACTCGGGATCCCGTCCGCTCTCCCCTAGATAAACAACCAAGGGCCAGACTAGTAGTTGGGTCGGTGACGACCAGCGAATCCCTGGTGTTGTATGTTCTTTTTGTTTTATAATTCCATTGAACATCCTATGGATATAGGAAGCGTTAAAGCCGTTGACACCCTCGTCAAAGCGACGCGCCTTAGCCCTCAGAGCTTTAATATCCCCTTCGAACATCTACCTACCTAGGTAGGCATTGAAAAGGTACTAAGTGTTTGCCAAAACATATATCGTCCGCCGTCTAAACACCTGGCGATATTACAAGTTACAATTCTATACGAAAGGCTCCCCAATCCCAATCCCTTACAACGGGTGTAGCTATTGGTGGCAGGAGGGCAATTATTCCTCAGAAGCAGCCCTCGGCCCTCAGTGCCACAAAAATTGATAGATACTTTGTGAACACCGCCAACACGGCAGGGATGTGAGTCCATAATACTTAACCCTTGCTAGTCTCCCTCATGTTTCACCAAGCAGAGTCTCAAGTATCCCTCTTGCCACAGATCTTTCATCCTCGGTCTCGTTCATCATTGAGGAGCGCACTCTGATGAATGCCTCCAGCGGTGTATATCCCTGCGAGTCACGAGAGTTTGGGCTGATTCCCCCGAGACCCTCCGCTTGGACCAAGTGGCGTAAGGCCGATGCGGAACTGTACCTCGCAGCATAATGCAGCACAGCCATTTTATTATCGTCGACGAGATTGACACGGGCCCCGCTTGCCAGAAAGAGCTAGACGATTTCGTGGTGATCCCAGTAGAGTGCAATGAATTGGGGAGGTCTATTTGCCGAGTCAAGATGGTTCAGTTTGGCGCCGTGCCTCAGTAAAAGCCCAGCATGTGCAACGTTATTGGTTCGCGGTGCAAAATGATCCCGTTCGTCTCTTATAGTCGACGTCCTCGAGGAACTGTCAAAAGAAAGGCTAAAATCAGAAATGTAGCCAGAACATTCATCGGACTGAGACTCGAGCGCGGACCCGGGTTCCCATTCTTCTTCCTCGAATTTCATTGCCGCAATCTTGTCACGCACTTCTTGTCTGAGGTTGTGGGGCCCTTCCAGGCTTGATACTGCTTCCAGGATTATTTGTAGACTTCTGTAATGACCAGTCTCTGCGGCCAAATGCAGAGGAGTCTGACCTCTGATGTCAGGAATGCGCACCGTTGCCCCATGGCTTATAAGCAACTGCACGTCCTGGTAGCCGTTCGGTTTCTGGCCAGCCCAGCATAGCGGGGCTCGTCCAAACGAGCACTGTGCGTCTATATCTGCCGAGCTACTTTGAAGGTAATCATCGAGGTTTGTCCTGGAAATTCCCAGGATAATGAGGTGTAGGGACGACAACCGCCGAACTGTTGGAGTCGATGGCTGGTCAACGTGGATAAGAAGTGAGAGAAGGATGAACCAGGGATAGAAGGATACTTCATTTTGTCTGACGTACAGGGAGTATTTATCTTCCAACTTCGTGTCTGCTCTTTGGTTGAGGAGAAACCTGGCCATTGCTGGCTGATTTGCCGTAAGAGCGAACTGAGGCCGTTTTAGTAGGAAGATACCCCACCGCGCACTGCGTATGTAGGTAGGGAAATGGAAATGGTAGGCCTTACGTGCAATGCCGAGCGGTCCTCACTGACTTTCACATCAAACACAGAAGCCTTTTTCTCCGAGAAAAGCCGTTGAACTCTTTCATTGTTGCCTGTCTGAACAAAGGTGAAGAGGTCGGCAGAAGCGGGTATGACACGCAGAAATTTAACGTAAAGTTGATGGCCATCGAAGCTGTTCCATGTATTGACAACCGAAATCATACACCCTGCGAACGGAGCCCACTTGGGGAAGTAATAAGTGGCCTTGAAGAGGATTTCTCGGTCCTCTGGCACAATTTTTCTGTGCAGGTAACCTTCCCTGCAAACGGCAGAGTCACTCCCGAGTACCCAAGAAACAGGGAGCCAAAGGCATTGGAAACCCAGGCCAGGGGTTGCGCATGTGATAAAATAAGCTACCTGACCAGTCAGGATGAAGGGAGCCTCGCGGCGAGGGTCTTCCACGTCGGCAGCCCAAGCGATATCATAAAACTTCTGAAGTAAGGACCCTGCCCAGCTGAACTTCGGGACAACGAATCTACAGGTATTCTAGCCCCTCAATACCAGAACAAATTCTCATGATAATTCGATGTTTCGATGTTCATGGTTTAATTGTTGGATCCCTAGGGGGCAACCCCCCTAGGAACCCTAGTGCCTGCGGCGCTCTTGGCCTGCGCGCTTTCCTTCATACAGCTTACGCGTTATATCTACTAATTGGGAAATTGCTCCTTCCTGGCACAACCACGACACAGCAAAGCGGCATTTCACGGCTTAACCTGTCCGAAGTTCATCCGATCGACCAGTCCCTCGAGTCCATTTCGACACGGACGAAAACTGGCCGATCGCTGTGCGGGAAACTTTCGGCACCCTCAAGGTAATATAGAATACAGCCTCTCTACGCCACCTCCGGCTCGCAATCTCGCCTACGGTGGCTCCGTTCAGCTGAACTATATGGCATTGGCAGGTGCATATCCGCGCTTTGCATGGCCGCGAAACGAATGTCGAGGTGCCGACCTGGAATGTGCTGTTTCCAGGAGCGGGGTTGGCTTTGGGAGGCGTGTTGGGTTTTGTGAATGTCCGACTTGGATTACGGCTGTGGACATTGCTGATTTCATGGTTGGTGCCGGATCAACTTCCATGCTGCTTGTTGAGGGAGTCAGGTGCGGTGAGTTTTGTAAGTGTTAGATTCACCAGGGTACCAGTACTCGACTCAACAGGGCGTGGCTACACGCCGAAAACTAGTGGTTCAAGTGATGGATTGTAGATGTCTGTTCTTCTCTCTAGCTTTCTGGCAGTGCCAGAAAGCCCGTTCTTATACTACTATTGTGGTGGCGAAGTGGGTGGCGAAGTCTCTATCTAGAACCTTCGAGGCCCTTCTGCTTGACAAATTCCAACAGTAAGATTGCGTCGGTGCGTTGCACGTGGGCATGGACGTCAGTGGCTAGAACCCGGATTTCGCGCAGTTCGCTGCGGAAAATAGCCATGAGAGACCAACTATTCGTGGGGTGCTCAGCACGGGTGTCAGGGTTCACGCAATTTGACATAATGCAAGCTCATTGAGACTCACGATGAGGCCGTGACCAATTCCCGACTTGGTTCGTTTCGGAGCTCCTTAATCTCTTCTTGGAGCTTACTGACTTCACGCTGGCGTTTCAGCCATGACCGTTTGGAGAAGGCGACACTCGAAGGCTCGTCAAAGTCTAACGAGTCGTAATTACTGATGATATGTTCTTGAAGCAGGATCTGGAGCCTGTCGACTGGTGCTGTCGCCCACTGGCACAGTTTCGTCAAGGTGGAAATATATGGCGCGCTTGCTTCCTCTTTTGCCAGCACCTCAATGATGAGGTGGGTCTTGGAAGTGGTGGCTTCGAAATCTTGGATCTACAATTATCTATGGATTTCGTCGAGGGCGGTCAGTGAATACCTTGATGGAACTAGTTGGATGTGGGAACTCGTCTCTTTCTCTCGACTCTGCAATTTCCTCTTTACCTCATTAGACAGCGGATCCATGATGCAAACTGTTAGTGCAAATGGAGTATATCGTCCGGTTCCGAGACCAAAAAAATCGCTGCAGCCAGGAATGGGCGATTCAAAACTAATTACTGCTGAATGGGTGGCAAATCGAGAGGGGTGGGAAGGGGTCGGTCATAACGTAGACATCTATCCAATTCCATTTCGCAAATTTAAGCAGCCTTCATGCCTACCTTGGGTCAACTTTGACTCTTTGGACTCAGGTAAGACGAGGCCGGGGGGACGAATGGGTTTCAAAGTGCAATACGCTGCGCCACTGAAGAGTGCAACCACTTCTAATAAAGGACCCATCCAATTTGTCTCGCACATTTCACCGATAGAGGAAGTGAAGCTACACTTGGTAGGTAGCCGTACATCGTGAAGGCCAAAACAGAGGGACGAAGCGTAGATATGGTTGGTTGGCAACAACCGTAGTATGCCTTCCGACGTGGGGAGTGTTATAGCACTTACCCCTCCTCGTGCCTCTCTCCGATTAGCGGTGGTGCACACATTCCTCTCAAGCCACCCGAATCATCATCTTCCCGCGTAGAACGAGGGGCCCCTCCACGCCGTCTTTTGGGTCATAAATTCCCGCTCGAGAGTGAGGGGAGTTCAATCTTCCTTCCTGCAAGACTAAAGCTTCTTTTTCCTCCTAATCCTGAGTTCGCCAACACGTGCTTCACATCCGTAAGATCAAGGCATTACGTACCTACGGCTGTTAGGTACCTTCCTGGTGGCTATTGAGAGCCGGCGTGCACCACGCTTCACTGGTCACCATTAGTCCCGCGCGCGCAAAATGTTGGATCTCCAACCACCGTTCACAAACCTTCAGCTCGTTCAGCGAGTCGACAGGTGAGCCTTGCACTTTCCTGACTGCTTCCTCAGAGCCGTCTAGCGGCACCCTCGACATCCGATGTGACCGTGGAAATATTATGACGATGAAACCTACCTATTAATCGTTCCTAATGTCCACTTGTCGCCAAAGAAATCATCTAGAAATGCTAATACTATTGGTATGCATAGCTGGCCATATTTCACCAAGGACCCTGAGGCCTACAGAACGCATATGAAGGATTACCACTACTTTCTCATTGATGGATACGACAAGCCGTTCGGATATGTGCATAATCACTTCTCGGAAGTTGCGTGGCCGGAATACTGGGAGATCGACGCGGAAAAGCGCTTCTTGACGCTGCGCGCCGCCGGCGCATCGGACTTTAAGACGCGCAGTGGCTTGTAAACGAAACTCTGCGATAGGGGCACGAGTCACAGAAGGTCCCCTCCCTTCGGCATTGGGCGAACGAGGAGTTTCCCGTCTACTCCTCTACAGGCGAGCACGTCTTGAATCTTGATGGCTGCGGCGTGGACATGTTTGGCATCGTTAACTACTCGGTTCATTTAATCAGCTGGGTTATGAATGCCGAGGGGATGAAAATTTGGGTCCCGCGCCGAGCCATGACCAAAATGAGCTTTCCAGGCATGCTGGACAACACCGTCGGAGGCAGTCTGGCTGCAGGGGAGAGGCCAATCGACGGCATCGTCCGAGAATGCTAAGAAGAGATCTGCTTAGAACCAGAGTACACCCGCTCAAACATGCGGTCATGCGGTGTCAACTCCTTCCAGCTCACTGTGACTGATCTGCTGGAGCCGGCATGCTAGCACTAGGTCTAGTATCTCTACGAGATGGAGCTCCGATAGGATATTGTGCTCAGGATTGGGGACGGCGAGGTCGGGGAGCTTAATCTTCTGTCGCTGGACGAGCTGTCAAAGGCGATGAGGAACGGAGAGGTCAAGCTGACCTGTAACATGACTTATCTTGCGTTCCTCATTCGGCGGGGCTTCATTAACGCCGAGAACGAGCCCGACTTTGTTCAGATTTGCTCTCAGCTCCACTGGTATCACGACCTTTTTATCGCCTAAGGCTTAACTTCTGTCGTCTTCTTTCCTATTGATTTCCGCTATCTCTCTGAGAATTTCAGACACCTCGTCTTCACACTCATCGGTCTCGACGAAGCCTTTCAGCCTGACGACGTCGGACTGAAGCTGGGCTATCGACGCGTCCGGGGCGTACTTCTTTAAAAGCTCTTTGATGTCTTCGAGGGCTCTAAAAGCGGGTCAGCTGTGTCAGGAAAACCTGGACCGATGCCTGCCTGGGTGGGCTAAATTACTTTGCTCCCGTTGATAGTTGATGCTAGTTTGCGGCGTACATCAAGCAAACCTCGGTTCTATAGAGTTTGATGGGATCATAGGCTTCTTAAATTGGTTCTGATGGTGGTATATGCCTGAAATACTCGGCGCAGTAGTTTTGCGTGTGCATCAGATGGTGTTTCGTCTTCCAGTAAGCCAGCTCCATCTCATTGTGCCCGTAGTATCTGTCAGACTGCAACAGCACTTCTAGGATTGTGTGCACCAGAGTGAATTGCTCTTATTCTCGTCCTCCAGTCTTTCCACAAAAGACTCTCTCTCTTATACTTCCTTATGTGGCAATTACATGACGAAACCCAGTGGCGAAGATTACGCACCATAGATTCCAGAACCTTCTAGGCCATTCCATCTGACAGTATCCGTTTGAGTCGAATATGAAATGCTTGCCTTCGGAGATGTCTCTGCCAACATTCCCTTCCCATAGATCTCCACGAATAAAGCAAGGCCTGAGCCCACCGCGAGACTTATCCAAATCACCGAGCAGCCTCGGGGCCACATGGGTTAGCGTCCGCGTGACAGCAGCCGTTAACAGACTTGTCAAGCAAGTAAGCCTGCCACAGCATTCGGGAAAATAAGACAACCCAACCCTTTTCCCATCCATTCACGTGACAGAGTATCCCATCGTACATGGGGATGGGTGAGCCAAAATTCTCGGATGAGCCTTGACTGGAGGTATGGAGGCGTGCAACAATCTTAGCTGTATGGGATGGATCAGGCATTCCAGAGCTCTCGAGCTCATAGCTTGCCGGTCTGACATGACAAGAATTTTTTATCACGTACCCTTATCGAGGAGATCCTTGTTTCTCTCGCTCTCGCCCTTGCCGGCGCCGCTGGTCACGGACTTGACCTTGTGACGAAAGAATTCATATTAATGATTTGTTGGTGGTGATGTGCTGTTTGAAGAGTTGTTAAAATAGCTAGAAATGTGCTTGTTGATGGAGGGAGAATGAGTTGGGAATTCGGAGACAAAGAGGAGCGACTTTTATGGGCCACAAACGTTGAGATGATGGCGATCATGTCCCTTGGCGCACATGGATCCCAGTCGTGCCAAGGCCAACGGATAACCTGCTCTGCTAAAATATAGAGTGCCAGTAGCACTGCAACCGGTTTCTGTACCGCAGCAGCAGCTCACACATGAGTGATGCGCCCATATGAGCCGAACTTTTTGCCTTGGGTGACAATGAAATCAGCATCATGTCGGTGGTAAGTTAGGGTCCAAGGGTTAAATCCTGTATCTCCGCCACCCAGCACGTGCAAATCTTTGGTTGATTTCAAATTCCATATGATTGGTATAGTCGATGAGAACTTGACGGAAAGGGGGGGTGCTCAGCAGCCGCCCTTTGTTAACCATTTTCCAGTTGCAAAGGTGTTTACATCGAGCTGCCCTCACGCGGCTTGATCCTGATAGTACAAACCTAAGAGAGAGAAAGAAAAAGACCAAATACCAGCTACTGAAGACAGGCAAGAAAAACAAAAATATCGCGCATTCCCTTTCTCTTCATCTCCTCGATTCCCTCACTGAAATTTCGCATTAGCCACGTAAAGACAGAAAGAGACAAGCAAAAACTGACGGTGTGCATTCTCTCAGGAGACGAGATGTTTAGAGGCCATTGTTGTTGTAGCCGATGCGGTTGGGCGAGCCCTGCAAGTCCGTCACCTGGTTGAGGGTGGCGGTGGAGATGATCTTGTTGGTGATGGCTGGGGCACCGACGACGCCCAGGCCGATGTAGTAGGCGGCCAGACCAGCAATGTGCGGGGCGGCTGATGGCGCGTATCAGTTAATTCTTGATCAATGGAAAGATGGAAAAAGAAAAGGGGGGGGTGGGATTGAAAAAGTAAAAAGAAGGACAAGAAGAAAAAAGGAGAAAGAAAAAAGGAGAAAGAAAAAAGGAGAAAGAAAAAAGGAGAAAGAAAAAAGGAGAAAGAAAAAAGGAGAAAGAAAAGAAGAAAAATAATAATTGCTTACCCATGCTCGTGCCGCTGAGCCAGCGCGTGGCAAAGTTGCTGTCCTTCCAAGAGCTAAGGATATCGACGCCGGGGGCAAAAATGTCGACGAGGGCGCCAAAGTTGGAGAACCAGGCGCGCCTCTCCGTCAGCGTGGGGATGCCGCCAGTCTCAACCCCATCGATGGCAGCGACGGTGATAGCGCGCGGGGCCGAGGCGGGCGAGAACCCTGCGACGTTCTGGCCGTTGTTGCCGGCCGCGACGACGGGGGTGATGCCCTTGTTGTAGGCACCAGTGACGGCAGCGTTTAGTGCAGGCGATAAGCCACCACCCAAAGACAGGTTGATGACACACTTGGACGGTATGCTGCAGTGGCTGACGACCCAATTGATGCCGGCGATGACGTTTGAGGTGAAGCCACTGCCGTTTATGTCGAGAACCTTGACGGCGACCACCTTGGCCTTCTTAGCGACGCCGAACGTGGTGCCCGCGGCGATGCCGGCAACGTGGGTGCCGTGGCCGTTCTCGTCCGTGTTGACGTTGTTGACGAAGTTGGCGCCCCAGCTCGCGCGGCCAACGACCTCGGAGTGGGTGATGCGGATGCCCGTGTCGATGACGTAGATGGTTGCGCCGCTGCCGGCGGAGCTGTCGTAGATATAGTCGCTGGATCCGTGCCTGACTGCCTTGTGCGAGATGCGGCCGAGGCCCCACTGGGCTCTAGTCTGCGTGACGAGGGCGCGCTTTTCCAGGTCGCTGGCCACGAGCGTGATGTTGACGATGGTGTCCTTCTCGACATACTCGACCAGGTCGGACGTGAGGATGTCCTTGAGCTCCGAGGCCGGGAGCTCGACCACATAACCCGAGAGGCCCTGTATGTCAAGCTTCTGGACGATGCCGGCCTTGCTACTCTTCTTGGCCTTGTCGGTGATCTCGTCTTCGTGCTGTTTCTTCTTGGTCGCGTTGGCGTCGTCCTTATACTTAACAATGTACTTATCGGGGACGCCAGAGACGCCGTTGTTGATGATGGGCGCGTCGGCAAGGACCAAGGGAACGGCGAGAAGAGCCACAAGGCTCGCGCAGGCAGCGGATAACTTCATTCTGGAAGCTTTTGGGGGGGTGCAATGCAAGGGGGGAAAGATAGGGGCTGACTCGTCGAGTGTTTACGTGTCCAAAGCGGTGGATGGTGATGAAGATGGGAACAGTCGATTTGAAGCGCGAGAAAGTCACCTCTTATAGACCGAGTTAACAGGCCCATTTGACATCTCCGGTCCATTATGATGCATTGCTTTCGGCCTTGACTCCATCCCCGACGGCTACGCTTTGGTGTAGTCACCTGTTGTCGCCACGAACCCTCAAGCTGGATGTATGTCCTCAAGCTGGATGTACGTCGTCGTTTGATGGAAATTGCTCACATTGCATTATGGAGGCGCAGAGGGCAGCTCTTAGGGTGTCCGATAGAGGGCAAGACGCAAGTGTCGGGCTGGGCAGCCCCAACCAAGCAAACGAAGCCCCAAGTGAGTCTGGATGCCGTCGAAAGCCTGGTGCGTATGGCTGAGATCCTTGACTTCTTGTCTTGGCACTTGTCTCGTCGATGTTTTGACGGACATGCACTGCGTCAGCCGAAGAGCTGAGCCAAGGCGGATAGGGATTGGATACTGCTCCGCTGGGCGACGGTGATCCCACCCGCGCAACCATAAAGAACGGTCCAGCATCAGATACTCCTCCTGTATGTAATACAAGTGGTTTTTAGGTCTGGCGGGTATTAGTCAAGACGGTGGGCTGATTGTGGCGTCTGGAGCGCCGAGTCCTGAAATGGTTCAGCAACGCTATTGCTCAGTCAGCCTTGCATATGTCGCAGTGGCGTTGGAGGAAAAAGGGGGAGAAAAAAAAGGAATAGCCTCCAATATACCTCTGTGGCCCTTCACTGTCGGTACTTGCCGTCAAATTTGATCCAGCCGCAGCCCCATCGTGTCCATCGGATTTGCTACCAGGTGGCTGTTGGAAAATCGACCGTTCAGACAGCTGCAGCCGTCGGCAGCCTGGCAGTTTTAGGTGTTGAGTGTACAACTGAAAGGCGGCGCGTGATTGGGTGGGCACGAGAAATTGCGGGCGCTTATGCTTCTCTTGTGTCTGGAAATTATCGTGATTCGCTGAAGACAACTTCAAGGCTGATTACCGACGTGCGGCTGCGCGCCTGCTGCAAATGCCCCTCTTTCCCTTCAGGTCTCGCAATTTCGTGGTTACCTACTAGGTACCTAATTTCCTATTCTTACACTGCACCTGATAAGATACCTTGGAGTTAGATTTGTTCGCGAGATTTATAAGTGCTAGACCTTGATGCTGTTAAAGAGGAAATACGCCTCCTGGAACGCCGACGGATTTCCCGCAACATAGGCATCCATATCAGGAATCCCTCTACATGACCTACGGAACGAAGAAGTGAGTTGTACATTAGATGAGCATGGATTCAAGTTTATCCGTCACGGGCAGACCTTCGAAGAGTTTGGTAATGGCGAGCTAATTGAGAAGGAATACATCCCTCAAGTAGAAAATGTCATACTAGACAATGTCCCAGGTGCAGAGAGGGTGTTTGTTTTTGACTGGAGGGTACGCTTGCCCTGGCCATCTCCTTGGCTAGACTGACTGGACTTGTACCGCAGATCCGAAAGCAAGCGACTACCGAGCAACTTGATCCCAAAAACCTGGTATCTCCACTCCAAATTCAAGACAGGACGTTTATGCTGGCGCCGTCACGGAACGCACATACAGGTAATTTACCCATTCCAAGCTCTTTAAATCTTGTAGCCTGACGAAGTATAGATTCAACCGAGTTTATTCCTGTGAAGAGAACGAAGCTGAACTTGCCAGATGAAGCGGAGGATCTCCTGCGCGGTCGCGTGCAGATGATCAAGTGAGAACCTCTCAGCCGCCTACCCCAATGGCCTATGTACTGACCAAAGATGGCTTCTGGAGACCGATCTCCCACAATGCGATCAACTGGCTCCTTGTTGTCTGCGACGGTTGTACCACCCCTTTCCAAAATCTCGTTCCGGTGGACCAGGTCGAGAGAAGGTTAGTCGGTGATGTGTACTACGCCACGCACAAAGAGTCAGAAGATAATGGCGATACGGAGATGGGTAAGTTAGACAGAAGGAAAGTGGCGGCGTGGTGGCCGGGCACGTTGGGAAGGAAGAGAGAAAAGGCGCCAAAATCTGTTTTCTGGAAACTGGCCCCACAAGTAATGGCAATTCATTAGAAATGGCCTGTTGGCGCTGAAAAATCCAGAATTTGCTTGGACCTATGTGGGTCCGGAAAAGCCCAGAATTCGTACAATCTAGGGCACACGTACGTAAACACGTGCCCCTGAGGGGTATTCGACTGTTGAATGCAACACCAAAATACCACATGGCCAGTTGACTGCCCTGACTGCCCGCCCTGCTTGTTGACAATACGATGCCCTACAACGCTCTCGAAAGTGCGTCACGAAGGAGGCTGCAACGCATGAGACGCCTGCGGCCATGTGCATTGCTTGTCCTCGTCCTCGCCCTCGCTAGGAAGACCAAAAATACCAACCACTCCTTCGTGACAACAGCGGGCATACCGTCTCCCTTATATTACATCATCGCCAGGGATAATTACCGAAGGTGACGAAAGGGGCATTTGTAGTACAAAATACACCAAGATTGGCCTCTAGCCGTATCTCCAAGACACAAGCGTGATGCCCCGCGCGTAAGGGACGGCGTTCGACGCGGATTACCAGTATTCCGGCGATAGCTTCCTTTTTTCTGGCTTTGGAGAAAAAGATCAACAATTCAGAAAGTCGCTCAGAAAGTCGGTCTGGAAAGGTACGGCCGAATCCCCACATCAGGGCGGAATTAGCCGTTCTGAAGGGTCCGTGCTGTTTTCCAGAAAACCAATTCTGGGGCTAGCATTCTGGGCCCCGATTCTGCGAAAAATATCATACCCTAAATGTGGCCGTTGCTGCAAAAAATCGTGTCCAACCCTAACCACAATTTCAGATTAATCTCTCTCAACAACTGCTAATAGAAAAGGCTCCAAACTCTCAATGGCAATCATCTACCAGGTGTAATACTTCTGGCAGTTTACTGGATTTTTCTTTCTTCGAGAGCCCGGTTGCAAGAGGTAAGTGGTGTGACAGGCCTGCGGAGCATTAAGCAGGGGCAGGTCCGGTGAAGCAATTGATTGATCTACGGGGAACGAAAAGGTGTCGCCGTGGTCCGGGCCATTAGGACAGGAACAAATACAAAAATACATGTGTGCCGCGTCCACTTCTCGGGGTGTGGCGGGCCTTACAGGGTATTGCGCGCATGTGATTCAGTGGATGCAAGAGCATGCTCCCAGCGGAGAAGACAGGTCCGATAAACTCGGGTGCTGTCCAAAGTGTTGACTAGTCCGCGTAAAGGATGACAGGGAGGTCCAAGAAGAATGTGAATAGAGCTGCGTCATCTTGTTCGCGTCGGGCATCCATGGTGTAGACCATGTCTGCTTCACGTTAGCCATGGCTATTTCTTGGCACTGACTAGTTTGCCCCCTGTGTCTTTACCTGCGCCATACCCGGAGCGAATCCTAAGTGGAGTGTCACCGCACAGTCAACTAGATGAGGCAAGGCTGCATTAAGGTCGCTGTATTCGTAGAATCTAAAGCTAAGGAAAAGAAAAAGGAAAGGAGTTACAAATTCTGTGCGGGGCTCGAAGAAGTAGGGTTGGTCTGTGGGTCACGTGTTGTGACGCCGCACAGGCCAGTACCCCACCCCGCACCTCGATCACCACCCAGTTGTCTTGGCACTTGCCAGCCAGCTGCCTTAGCACTTGCCAGCCAGCTGTCTTAACACTTGCCGTGACATGGAGCAACAGTGCGTTAGGAGTCCTTTACTTTCAGTGTATCTTCGCGATCAGACTCCTTGGTGTCGAGGGCGAGCGTTTTCATGGCCGAAGTGACCGATTGGTCGGGTTCATCTAAACAGCGGTTAGGCCTAGGTCACTCCTAGTCATAGGGAAGCTCCTTTTCAAGGGGGCAATTTTGCCCCGTGCGGCGAAAGGGAAACCGGCTAACATTCCGGCACCGGAATATGGGTTTTGCGTGGGCCACAACTGAACGCGGAGACGAAATTTACAAGTTCGTCACCGCCGATCTTGTTGTCGGAGATCTGACAAGGAAACTGGGCCCTGAGGATATGCTGGCAAACTGGGAGCAACTGCCTTTGAAGTCGCGCCTGTCACGGCGCGCAACGGCCGTAGCACACTATAACCCACTACAGGTTGCAAGTCGTCGACTTGCAATTCTGGCATCCTTTTGGGGGTTCTAGCGCAGCGGTAGTGGGTGCTGTGAGCTGGCGCCGTCACAGCGCCTGCATGGCATCGCTCAGCAGAACGAGGCCTACCAGGAACACACAGCTTAACAAAACTAAATAAACTACTTCTTCATTTAACTAATGCTGAATATAAAATAATGTTATAATAATTAAAGCTTTTTAAACTGGAAACTAATGTGCTTGTCACGGCACAGCGCATTTCGGGTTTCTTATCGCATTGCCGTGTGACGTCACTTCCCGATACGCCCAGTTAGGTCTAGCGCATTGGTCACGTGGCTGCGAGCTACCCCGCCCACAACCTTTTCTACTGATCGCACAATTCGCGATTCTTCTTCTTTTTCCTTTTTTCTTCCTTAGCTTAGTTTTACACTAAATCAATACGGTATATTGTTGGCAACATGTTACGATCCTGGCACAGGCGTGCAGGAGGCGCCTTCTTGCCCCCTGCAGATTGGCTGGGGCAGCCAGGCGGGGTAGACCCACCTAGGGGCTAGTGCAGCCAACCAGGAGGTGGTCAGTCGCGACGAGCCGCCAAGGCCCGACTGACCACCACTTGCAGGACGGCCAACCAGTCAGGAAGCGGTCAGTGTGATCAGTGCGATCAGTGTAGACTGACCGCAGTGATCGCCCTGACCTTTGGAGAAGGACTCTGATTGGTCCGCCTTAGATAGATATATACGACGACCGTAGCCACGGTCTTAGATAGTTCTTGCTTGGTTCTTCAAGCAAGCAATACACATTCACTGCACTCATACACTTTGAGTGGCATTCCGATTTGACTGTATTACCCGCGCGATAGGAGCTTGCCCTTTGTTCTATCTTCATAATTACCAACCCCAGCATTCTGTGGAGCCCGTGCTCCCTTACAGACAGACGACCCTAACAGTCGAGTGGTTTGTAATACAACAGTCCTTCAAAACCTATTAACCGTGACAGTGCTAAGGGAAGTAAGAAGCCGTAGCTGCAGTGAACTCTACACCGTAATAAAGGCCTAGTAGTGAACTCTGCACTGAAAGACGAAGGGTACTATAGTGGACTTTGAAATATAAAAGAGTAGCTACATTGTTGCTCGTTTGCTTGCTCGGAGAGAAAGAAAGTAAATCCAAGTATGATGAAGATGAAGGACAGGCAGGTCCTATTATGCCTCCCTATAATGTTTCTGGAGTTCGAAAATGCCTGTAATTGTTTAAGATGTCGATAGCTAGGGCCCTAAGGGTCTGTGTTAGCTTCCCTGCCTGCTCAAATACCTATCCAAGGTAGGATAACGAAGCTTACTCGGTGCTTTGATCAGACGAAAACACATCGATCAGTCCGGCCAGGAATCCATTAGTGCCAAGCATTGCCCGGCCCCCCCTCAGTGCTACCATCTGTAGCGCGGCATCGATGTGTTGCTTCGCACTTAGAAGGTCGCCAATGGAGGCCTAGAATGACATGTCAGTGCTGGAATCTCCCATGGAGCGCTCAAGTTTGAAAGCAAAACTACCTCATCTCCGGCCAGGATGACCGCTTTGGCTATCGTCGAATCACGAGGATTGTTCCCCTCCCTTGAAATGGCCTGGCTGAGAGACACGATGCAAGCCGTTTTATAGCTGAGAGCACACGTCCAGTACGCAGAGCGGCCATCGCCATAAAGGGAATGCAGGCTCCGGCAGGCGGGGGTGAGGAGCCCATCCAGCATGCCAGGGTCAGTCAGTGCAAGCGGTACCCATTGTGTCCTCAATCCCTGCCAGTATGTTTCAGGGGTCGGGAAAGAAGGTGTGGAGAAATTGCTGCGACGGGCCACAACGTGTATAACTGCTGTCATTAGTCGTTGCATAATTATGTATATGCAGTGACCTTCAGAAGGGGGGATTGCCGACCAATGACTACTGAGTGGCTGATGCTGAGTGGGCAGTCGATGAACAGGATGGGTGGCTTACCGTGGTCAAGGAGGCAGTACTCGAACTTGGAGATTGGCCTTGCAGCTGAGGCAAACGGGTCTATGGGGGCAGCCGAGAGCAGGGTTACGGGGCTTGCCGGTCGAACTAGACTGCTCGTCCCCTGCAGAGCTACAGCCGTGGATTGGCCCCGTTGGAGGCGAGATGCAGGCTCGGCGGCCGACTGCTCAGCTTCTCGCCTCTGAGCTTGTTGATGTTTCATCATTTGCTCTCGCCGGGTCTGAGCATGGGATTTCTTCGCGGCATACGACCTGACCGTCTTCTTCGAGGTCTCAAAACCCACGCCATCTCCATTCTCCAAGTAGATGAACTGAAACTTGGGCTGGGCGGTTAGGTTTGACGGAGCGTGAGGCTCGCGGGGATCCGCAGCGAGCGTTTCGTCCGAGATGCTCTCCCTTTTCGACATTTTCGAATCCTTGCTTTGGACCTGGGTGGGGGAACACCTGTGTTCTGTCGTGTTTGACACGCTTGGCTTCGGAGCCCGCCACGTTCAAAATGAGCATTTCTTGTCGAGAGAAAGGCCGCGTTGTGCTTTGTTTTGTGCTACGGCCCCCTGTACTGTGATAGGTCGGCCAATGACTGTGCCGCTCTAAATGCAACATCAACAGTGCGCAGGAGCGCGGCTCACCAACAGAGTCTCGTATTAAGAGTGACGCCAAGCTTTGCAATTCCTTGAATGGGTTAGCGTCCCCATAAATATGAAGGACTCCTGGGCGTGATTGGGGCTGAGGCTGACGGCCGAGGTTGGCTCAGTCTGCTGACTTCGCCTTTGGGGAAAAGGGGCAGGCCGGATATCATAAACGTCGGTGAATATAAATGCACGACTGGCAACGCCTTGCTTGCCTCCCGTGGCTGCAGGCTTGAGGTCTTCTATGTAATTATCGTCCACAGACGCTAGCAACAGCACGCCCCCTGAGAACAGCAACATGGCTCCACAATTCTACGAAGCGAAGAGATCACGTTGGTACGATCTGTGCAAATGGAGGCTAATACCTTGGGCTGCAGCGGCTACGGTAGTAGTTGCTATTGCTGTCGTGATTGCAGTTCCCGTCATTGTTGCGAGGCACAAAGCAAACGCCAACGCCGACGCGGATCGGTATCCGAACTACACTAAACTGAACTATTCAATAAACGAGACGTGTAAGTACAGCACTGCTGCCATGTTTAGCTTCAAGTGGCAAGGGTCGCTTATCATGCATTCCAGATTCAACCGCGCGCTTCTTCGACAACTTCAACTACCGCACTGGCGGCGATCCATGTAATTGCCCTCCCTTCTCGCCTGGTCCCTCTTTGATGGCTGATTCTCCCTCGCTGGCAAGCCAATGGACACGTCCACTATGTCGACCTAGAATATGCCGTGGCCTATGTAAGACGCTTGTGTTCTGGGGCGAGGTGGGGCCGCTAACACCACCCAGAACCTAACTCCAACCTTGATCGACTCTGTCATGGTCAAGGTCGACACATCTATCGGCCCCTCCTCAAGCCCAGACGCTTCAACGGGTCGCTTCTCAGTGCGCCTTGAATCAAAAAGACAATACAACCAAGGACTCTTCGTCTTCGACATCAAACATACTCCATATGGATGTGCGACCTGGCCGGCTCTTTGGCTCGCTGACCCGTACAGCTGGCCAGCCCACGGTGAGATAGATGTCATGGAGGCCATCAACCATGCGGCCCCATCCGACCCCAACCCGGGGAACCTGGTGACTCTGCACACAGACGCGTCCTGCAGCATGGATGTCAAACGCAACATGACAGGCTCCACGCCCGAGGTGTTTGGCTCCGGAACGCCGGCAACCGACTGCGACGTCAGCCCTGGCACAAACAACAACGCGGGCTGCGGTGTTACAGGCGGCCCTACGACTTACGGGGGAGCGTTCAACGCGGCTGGCGGCGGCATCATGGCTGTCGAGTGGCGCTCCGAGGGCATTCGGATATGGCAGTTTGGGAGGGCAGCCATCCCCGCTGATATCGGGGCCGGCAAGCCCGACCCTAGCATCTGGCCCCCACCGCTGGCTGACTTCCCTAATACAAACTGTGATATTGGCGGGCACTTCAAGAATGCTAGCATTATCGCCAATATTGACTTGTGCGGGGATGCTATCCCGGAGAGTGTGTGGGCTGCGTCGGGTTGTAAGTAGCTGCACTCCCTGGTCTTTGTTTGGTGAATCGAGAGGATCTGACTTGACTACAGGTCTTACCCCTTGTGTCGGTTCGCACAAGTGCGTTGGCGGCTGGACTCAGAACAACTGTACTGACTTCGTGTCGAATAATCCCCAGGCGTTTATAAATGCGTACTGGGAGTTTGGCGAATTCAAGGTCTATCAGAGTTCTTGAAAACAAGCTTGATACAAATGGAAAGTGGGTTCCCATCTCTTCCGTTGATCAAGCCATCCATCATTATTATGCAGCACGCGCGGGTTGTTAGAAAGGTTAGACTCGAAGCGAGTAGATCTCAATGTCATGCAGAAAAAACATATTTATATTTTTACTAGAATCCACTTATCAAGTACAGCTATGGGCCACCGACAGCTCGGTAGATCAAACCAAATGCCGTAGACGTCACAAATCCCGGCAGCAGAGTTATTCGCAACCAACAACAGTGGTGAAAAGGACAGTAACTATACCCGTAAAGAAAAAAACGGAAGTTATTGTTAGTATCCCAGAACTGGGATTAGTTTGGATACTGCAAGTATAGCCGGGATATCTCTGGGACTTAGCTCGGCTCAGGGTAATGCTCAGTGCGCCTTCAGCTCCTGCTCAGGCTCTAAGCATGATACGGATTAGGCTGAAAACTGTTGTCGGGGGTGACTATAGAGGTAGTCGGGATCTAAAACAGAATTCTCTAGGCGTCCGAGGACGGTTAGACAAGAAACAGCCTCGCTTCAGCCCGGATCACCTTCGGCTCACCCCGGCTCAGCCTACGCTCACCATGTCACGCAATTGTCAACTTTAAGCGACTCTCTCGGGGACGAGTTCTGGGCCTCGCTCTCCTAATGACCTAAAAGAGGGCCCAGTAAGCAGGGCCCATTCTATCTGCCTCGCCTTAGCAACAACCTTTAAAACGGAGGCCCAGAAATGGTCCCGAGAGTATAGCGTATTCACTCTCCGTTTTGAAAAGCTCTAGTTATCGTAATCTTATCTTACACTGAGTAACCTATAGGTGAGGAGGCAATTTTGCTCTGTCCTACTACCTATCGCGCGACTATTCCTTCCCCAAATAGATAAAAGACGCAGTTCCGCTCCTACCACCTACTACACGACTATTCTTTTCCATCCCACTAAATAAAGAGGCAGCTCGTTCTGTCCCTACCTGCTACGCGACACTTCTCTCGCATTCCTTATATCCGTTGTGTTCCTACTGAAGGATGATCGTCAACTAGATCACGGAATGCGGTAGGCTATTTGTGAAAAGGTAGGTAAAATGATGATCGAGGGAGGAAGCTCGGGAGCACTGCCCTGCCGAGGACCTTAATGTGGTCCTTTGGTGGGGCAGACGCGGTCTAACCGCGTCAGGCTAAGCCCCGCTTCCCTATGTACCTCTATAGTCACCCCCGACAACATTTTCGGGCCAAATCCGTATTAGGCTTGAAACCTGAGCAGGAACTGAGGCGCGCTGAGCATCACCCTGAGCCGAGCTGAGTCACAGGGATGTCCCGGCTATAATTGCCATGCCCAAACTGATCCCAGTTTTGGGACATCAGTCCATGACTTCCGTTTTTTTCTTACGGTTGTAATCGGCTACCGTTATGAAACCATATAGAGCACCGTTTATATTCAAAATGAGAATTAAGATATCCCGGCTTGTTCAAATTCTTGTTTTGAAAGAGGCGGAAATATACGAATATTATTTTATGAAATATCTAACTAGGACCAATTCTATAATTTGGGAAGTACGTGTCACGACCAGGGCGTGGCATTGAGAACTCAGTCCATTGGGTGCATCTAGACGAAGATTCTAAACTAGGGAAAGGAAAGGAAGGAAGGTTCAGAAACGCGTCGTGAGCTCGCGACCAAGTCGAAGTCTAACAGCGGGGCCAGCGGGGCGGTGAGCTGCTCTCTGATAGGTCCCCGGGTCTCAGTCGCTTACATCAGCCAGACCGCTGCTGAGAGGCAAGAGTAGCCAGCTTGAGGGCCTGTGGTGTACGGGTCCTCACAGTACGTAAAGACGATTAGAGTCTTTTTAGCTAGTAGTCCAGATTTTCGTTGGACTAGGGATAGTAGGCAGGCCTAAGAAAATAGGCAAGTGAAAAGGAGAACTGTTTTGTAAGGAAAGAGCACCACAAACGCCCGGCCCGGCCCAGGCGCCATCAGCTGGCCCCAAACACCCGGCCTAGGCACCCGCCAGATTGAACCACCCAACTATGTATATAAATAGTGGCCCTCGCCCACCTTCCTTTGCGAGGGCCAGGTTGAAGTCTTTTACCAATACCAGTCATTGCTCGCCCTCTTGTTCCCTCCATCGTGACCACCTTGATCAGGTGTACCTGCCTTCTCTTACATAAGTCTTCTATTACGCCGTCGCTTATCCTCCTTTTCCATAGCTAGTTCTCTTCTCTAGGCATCTTTCTGGTACTCTGGATTAGGGGGCCCAGGTTCTGACTGATCTAGTACGATAGTGGTCTACCAACTCGAGTCAAGTTCCTATTCTTTAGGGAATAGTAAACGACGGCGTCGTACGTCCGCTAGTACGTCATGGTAATCGAGCTATTTCCGGCCGATTATTATATCGTGAACGTAGTCTACGATAATTAGGTATTCGTTCCTAATCGTTCTATATTTAACGACCATGTTGGCTTCCAGAAGCTCCTCGATAGTCTGTTGGGACTTGTTGTCGTACCCGCCTATGTAAGGAAAGGACACCCCAAACACCAGCCGCGCGCACAGGGTGCGCGCTCACCACCTGCTACCAACTGGCCAGAACACTGCCAGTTGGCACAAGCCACTACGCCACGCCATGGCGCCCCGGGCCTGAGCCCCTGAGCATGTATATAACAATGGCCCTCGCCCACCTTTGAGAGGGCCAGGTTGAAGTCTCATACCAATACTACTCATTGCTCGCCCACCTTCTTTCCTGCATTGTGACCACCTTGATCCGGCGTACCTGCCTTCTCTTACAGCCTACTAGTCTCGGGGCGGGATCCGTAATAGGTTCGATATGGAGGAACCGCTGTATCTTTCTCGCGAAGTCACGGTGTCACGAATCCAAGAGCACTGGCTGACCTGCGTCCTGGTGGGGCAGGAAGGACAAGTGGGGCAGGGACAGCAGGTGGGACAGAGACGCATCGGGGCCTCAGGCTCCCATGCAACAGTAGGCGCGAAGATATGCAGGAAGCAGTTCGGGCCTGGGCCCGAACTGGGGAAGCAGCACTCTCGCGCCTGCCCTCATTGGCTAGCCGCACTTAGATATATACAACGACCGTAGCCACGGTCTTAGGTAGAGCTTGCTTGGTTCCTCAAGCAAGCAATCACATTCATGATTCTCATATACATTGAGTAACATACCCTTTGACTGTGATTTACGTGCAGGAGGAGCTTGCCCTCAGTTCAGTTCGCATTCACAAACCCTCGGAAGGCGCCACTGCGCCGTGCAGACAAACGACCCACCAAGTCAAGCGGTTTGTAATATCAGGCCAACTCGGAAGAACACATGAAAGTCATGCATCACCTATTTCAATACCTTCAGGGCACCAAGGACCTAGGCCTCGAATTCGGCGGCAAGGAACTCTCTGACGACAACCTCAAAATGCTCGGCTTCAGCGATGCCTCCTTTGGCGACGACTTACTCACAAGACACTCAACTGGTGGCCACATCGTCTTTGTGGCTGGTGGCCCTGTTATTTGGAAGTCGAAGAAGCAAAGCTTTGTTACGCTGAGTACAACAGAGGCTGAGTTCACGAACTTAACACCTTCAGCATATTCGTTGTTTTGGGTCGCCAAAGTGCTGAAAGAGTGTGGTGTAAAACAAACAACACCACACCTTCTGTACACTGATAGCGTCAATGCTAGGCTCGCAGTTCTGAATCCCCTCAACCCGGCACGCACTCGGTATATCGATATTCGTTACAAGTGGATTATCGAGAATGTCAGGAAGAAGAAGCTGCAAATTGACCACATTCTCGCCGAGCAGATGGCGGCAGATGGACTGACTAAGCCACTGATGAAGGAAAAACACCAAAGATTCGTCAAAATGCTTGGAATGAGGGCACAAAGGATCCCGTGGATTAAGTAATGTATAATGAATATGACCAAGATTAGATTCAAGCCTCAACACCATGCCAGACATCACGACTTTTGTTGTGTGTGCCCGTGTGTGGGGGTGTGTTGTGGTGGTTGTTGGGCCAGCCTTAGCTCCTCTTGGCGGCCAGGGATCCGGGAAGAGTTTTCCACCCGCACACACACACCTGTTTTCAGCTCCTAAGATGTCGAAGACCACAGTCAATTCCAATGGAGCAGTTTTAGCCTACCAAATTTAAAGTACAGTATCTCGTTCCGTTGTGGGGAGGATGAAGAATCCTAGCTGGCGTGAACAGCCTCGATCACCAACTCTTAGCAGCTGCAACACTAGCAGGCCCATATTCAGGACGGCATACTCGATTCTTTCCTGGAGCAAGGCACATGAAGCACAGCCTGCCGTAGCCCGCTCTGACATTTCCCCTACGTTAATTCGGCATGCCCAAGCCCCGAAGGAGTCCGACTGGGAAGGTTGAGGGTAAACGCATATTCAACAAGTAGAGGGACCGCCATCGTCGATGCATGGAAATCCGAAGTCGGAAACCGGTAGCTCTAAGGCGAGGGGCTCACCTCCCTCGGAGGTTGCAGTCAGTGCGACAAAGGAGGAAGTCATCAGAAGAAGGGTGCCGAGAAAATAGATGACAGCCCTGTGAGGGGTAATGCCCCAGCGAATCATTCAGAGGCAAAGAGGTTGTTGAGAATACGCAGTCTCTGTCTCATGACCCCGCCCCCAATGACAGTCTACAGGCCCGGACCACACAACACAATTCCATGATTCGAGTGGCATACCGAACTGAGCTCTCGTTTGCTTGTTTCAAGGTCTTGTAATCATGCTGCATATTATCGGCCTTGCGGCTGAGGTGATGGCTGCTTATGTTTTTACAATCAAAAACAGCCCTCTTAGCTAATACTCCACGTTTCTAGTTAATCTAATCCAGACCCTATCAACACAACTAACGATGCTGCCAGGGATGCTAATTACGACACTAAATCAATGCAGCTCAAGCAGCATCGCCACTTCCGCCCGGGTTGTTGCAATGTTGATCTTCAAGAAGACTATAGACTTTCGGCTGCAACGCTCTCGTAATGGCAGCCACCGCCATCCCGGTTGGCGTAACTGCTTCCTAGATGGCCGCCCCATCTAAACATCGATGCAGCCACAAACTATGGTGAGGGATTTTACGATTCGAGAGCTATGCAGCAGGGCGTGGCCGGAATCCAAAGTCACTACTTCTGAGCCTTGAATCTGCCTGACTGACATTCTTCTTGTGGTAGTGCTGGTGAGTGAAACGCCTTTTGCCCTCGCCCATTTTCTGCGTGTGACGAGCCAAAGCTTACGCCTAATTAGCTCCGCCCCCAGGGCGCATTGGCATGCTTCTGTGGACAGTGGGGGCAGCGCAGCACAGGCCGAACAGAACGTATTCCATGCCGGCGTGGGTGCCAAAAATCACTTCGGCCAACGGCAAATATGAGGATACGAACGGACGGCTGTCGGGTGTAGGGTGGGAGACTGGAGGGGTTGACAATCTCGTTCTAGACCTCGACTATAACATACGGCCCCGCACGAAATCCTTCGGAAGATCCATTCCTCATCCATCACTATACCCACAAAAATGCTCGTCTCCGCCGTAATAATGCAGTTCAGCCTCGCGTTCCTCGGGGTAGTCATCGGCCTAGCACCTCCCGCCGTACCCCAAGACGACCAGAAGTTTCGCTCCTGGTACCCATACTACCGTTATGTTCTAGACTCGACTCTTGAGAAAAACTGTTCGACCGAGTACGCAGCGTACCTCGAAAATCAAGCCGGCATATGCCAGTATTATTGCAACGCTACATCCATGGCCAGCGAACGCGTCATTGAGTGCCTGCTATCTTCCCTAGCAGACTGTGTCAAATCCAACATGCAGAGCGCCAGCGCGTTGCTGGGCATAATGCTGGTTGCGCTGCCCTTCTTCGGCACGGGTACCGAGGAGAGCGCCCTCCTCATGGTCATTGCGCAGCGGCCCCTGCTCACTCTCCTCCTGGTGACCGGTTCACCCGTCGCCTCCCCACTGCAGCCGTTCGAATACAACAGACCCGTCGACATTCTACACCGGCGCAAGGGGCGATTTCGCAGCCTCGGCACCCCCCCGCGGCACGTTGTTCTCGCGGCCGAGTATGCCACGGCACTGCTCGCCCTCGTCAACACACTACACGTTTCGTGGCAGCTCGGCCTCGGCGTCGTGACCATGATCTCGTCCGGTGCCATATACCTACCGAGCCTCTGGGTCGTTATGGGCGTCGCTGCCCACCTCGTTGGGGCTCTATGTCTGCGCTCCTTCATCTGCGTGAAGGACAACTCGCCGGCAACGTCATCGTCGTGCTCGGTTCTGCGCTCCGAGTTCACCATATCGTGCAAAAAGTACATCACCGTACGCACCCCCAAGGATGAAAATAAGCTGTTTCTTGTTTTATCCATGCTCACGTCGGCAGCCACGACATCGTATACTATTTTTGGCTTCCTTTGTTTTGCCAGTATACAGTTCATCTCTGTGTACGATGCCTTGATAGTGATTGGCCGTTACACAGTCTCTGTCGTGGTCTGTCGGTTTATAGCCTTGTATGAGCTGTCTGGTCTGGCCAACGTCGTGGAAGACGGTGACAATGAGCTGTCTGGAGTAACGTCGTGAAAGACGGCGACAATGTCAAGTGAGGAAGGAGATGATGTGAAGAGGCTAGAAGATTCTCGTCTCTATGGGCACTTCGTCATCAATGAAGTTGTTGTATTCGCGCATGAGCAGAAGTTATGCGGAGAGAGCAGCCCGGATGGGTCAACCCAACGCCCGCAAGCGGGTGATGTATCGGTGTGATATGTGATTTTTAGTGTGTTGCGCGGAGAGGGTTCTTTGGCTAAACCATCTCCAGTGGTACATACAACCATCATCTCCGCTCCATCGTTTGATAACTACGGCAAGACCCAGACCATATTGCTGACAAGGCTCCAGCCTCCCGATTCTATAGGGAGACTTGAAAGGCTGGCTGGCCGCCCGGAGCTTGCCCGGGTGCTGCCTACATCGGAGCGGCATATAAATTCTCCGCAATCACAATAGCATAACTTGTGCGTAAAACTATAGGGTCTGAGGAACTGAGCTTTTTATGCTCACCCTGGGACGACGTCACCCCGTCGTCATCAAAGGCCGCCCGTGCCTTGGCTAAGGTTCCTACATGCATGTGGCTGCACCCTCCCTCGGTTCCTAGCAAACTGGAAAGCCTGATCGCTGCAAAGTGTTCCAAACTTTCAATCACCATGGCTTCCGACTCCCGAGGGAGTGACCCGGAAGCCTGCTGGGCAGCCATTCTCGCCTGTGACTGGCGGCCTGGTTGCGAAACCAACATACCAAAGTCCAGCCTCAAGCTTCTCTACCTAGTCTCCGTCCAACGACAGCAGAGAAGCAAAGATGGCGTATGGCGATTGGAATGGCAACCCAACCACGACTCCCGTCGCCATTGCCCTGGCTGTGTGCTTTTGCTGGGTCCCGGTCCTGGCCGTTCTTAGCATCTTTAGGAAATGCCGAGTTCGTTTTCGTGCCTACTTTGAGGAGCGTGGGTGGGTTGCCCCAGTCCCGGACGAGGAGAAGCTTCTCGCCCGCCAGCAGAAAGCGCCCGAAATTTGCATACCCCCGCCCGTTCATAAACGTAGGAGCCATCAGAGATCCCACTCAGCCCTGACCTACAACTCGGCCGCCAGCAACGAGACGCTAAGGAGGGTAGACACCGCCTCGAGTTGGGACCCAGTACGGCACTTCGATCCCCCGGGGGCTAGTCCACCCCCGTCGATAGCGCCCTCGATGGCCAGGAATAATTCTCTACGATCCAACTTCTCTCGGCCCACACAGAGCCGAGAAGCCTCGGTGCGGTCCGTCTCGAGTACAACGACGCTTACGGCCGGCGTCCAGGGCCGTACTTGAAGGCCATCCACTTCGAATGGCCCCCCTATCTCCTTCCAAACCGAGACTGCCTACTGCGACACCACCCCACTACCAACACAGATGCCGAGCAATATCAAGTCTAGCTATGCCAAGTCTTTTACGGGCAGGTCACACGCCAGCGGGTCGCCCGGCGCTTCATCGCCGAACCGCCGAGGAACATCCCTCGATGCGGTAAGGTCACCTACACCGGCGCGAAGTCCGGAGCAGCCTCAAAGGCGGCGGGCCAGGACCAACGAGGAGCCCTGGTAGGAGAATCGGCCCCAAGAAGCCCATCCATTTAGGCCCATGTCACGGGTGCTTCCGAGAAGAGGGTCACTTAATACCACACAGACCTCAGAGCGTCCTTATTGGCTGGACATGCCATATGCAATGTGAATCAAGAAAATAAATAAAATGCCCAGTACAATTTCTTACCGTCTGAGTCCGGGATCCTATCTGCCTTACCTGCCTACCTATCCTCTAGCTGGACCTGTTGGAATGACAAGGTCATTCACTTGTAGCTAATGTGAAAGGAAGGCCTGGTTGGTATATTCTGTTCTCTGTTTTTTCTCTATCTATCTATCTAAAAGGATCGCGGGCATCGTTGACAGGAAGGGTGGACTTGTAGGGGGCAAGCGAGTCACGTGCGCGAGTCACGTGTTTACCACAAGCAGCCTGCACGGTCTACTCGGTGACCCGTGCGCCAGTCATCCTGCTGGCTGCCCACGCATGTGCCACAACCGCATGCATAGACTTCGGATTGTAGGCTGTTGTTCTCACAGGACTTTTGCTTATAATCACTGACACTGGCCGTCACATCGGTAGCCGGCCATCCCCCCCCACCCCTCTGGGCCCTGATATCTAGTACGATCGATCTTGACGGACCCGAGAAGGGCCGATCGCGCCGGACTAGGACGCTGGGGCAGCATCGGCCGATACGGAAGATATTGGGGGTTCATGATAACGAACAAGTTCGTCACCTTGCATTCTTCTAGGCACTGGGATGGAGAGGACGGTGGCAATGCGGTATTATGGTTACACTTGGAAGTCCGGAAAGGCGGCAATACGGTAATGATGTGTGTGTCAAAGTGGGGATTGGTTGATGTCTGCTGATTAATTATCTTGAATTGTCGCTTACCTTGAATTGTGGTTGTGAATTTAACTGTATGAGCGCCTGGAAAGCAAGTCCTAGGGGAGGGGGAACTGCACATAGATTACGGTAGAGAAACCGCGGGATTCGGTCTGTTTGTGGCAATCTTGAATGTTCCCTGGGAGCAATGCGTGGGGTCGAGTTCTGAGGTACTTGCCCTGGTTATATTAGTGCAACCCATGGCATATATCACCTATCAAGAAATTCATAGACGTATACACAAGTGTACACATGACCTAATTGATCTTTAGCGCGGGTTGTCTAGTATCTAGACTGCGTCTAAAATGCCGCTAGCTAGACCTAAGTAGTACTCTGGAACTGCGTCTTCCGAAATTCAGGAGAGGCGTAATCCAAAAGCAGCAGGGCAGAGTCTTGGCATACGCCCTCCGATGTACTAATTTTGTCTTGAAAACAACAATTAGAGGCCCACTTATTGTTGGGGAAAACAATTTTGGGGGAAAAAACAAAAACGACCGAAAGCCTCCGAAGTCAAGGAAACTACAGAATACGTACTGTGTAGTGGGTAACTACCGGCTCTCTCCGCCAGATGTTTCATTGAATGCAACGGAACAAGCCCTCACCTCCTCCACGCCTCCTCCGCCACCACCATCGCCATCGCTATCGCCATCATCGAAAGAGACTATATGAAGAAAGGTAGTATACTGCGGTTTTACGGCACTCACCCGAAGGTCGCCGCCAACAGAGAGGGTCATATTAATGATCCAGCGTTTGAACAGTGATGTGTCATTTTCGTCTGCTCAAGAAGGAACTTCCACATTAAGATATATCACGAAAGTGAAATGGCTTATTGCCATCGCCAGGCACACATTTAAAGTGAACACAGGCATTTGCCGCGGTGCAGCAAAAAGTCAGACAATTGAACGCCAGCGACAGAGTCATACCGGCCGACTCAACCTTACCACCGCCATGCAGTATCAAAGTTTTCGCCTAGGGGAACAGAAGTGCAAATCTAGCCTGGTCGGCGATTTCTTTGTGCAACAAGCCCGGAACGTGGTGTTTATATGCCTAGCTTAGCCGTCGCTCTACTGGAACACGAGTAATTTCTTTGTCTACCTGAATTTTGGCTCTACGCCTACAATGAATCCTAGACAATTCCATTCAATTTGGTCACTTGTTCATCCGCCTTGTCACAGTTTTCACGCTCTGTGGTTCTCGGTACTTCTCAGTTTTTAAACTGAACTTTATGAAGATCGGGCTTCGACGGAGCTCACTCGTTGCGGTAATTGGCTAGAATTACATCGGACCAGGTAAGCATCTCCCGATGCCCGTCCTGTTCGACCGGGAGGAGGATGGCTCCGTCTGCTACTATGAAGACAAGGAGGCCAGAGATAAAATAGACAAAGGCGTCGAGATTGCCATCATTGTGGGCATGACCATCGTCTTCTTGCTTTTCCTAGCTCTCTTCCTGTCCAAGTGCACTGCCAGATCTAAGCCTCCTAAGCAGATCTCGTACCAGAACAATCCGGCTGACAGGGATAGTTATGAAATGCAGCCGCAACAGGGCTGGGCAGGCGGCTACTATCCGCCACAACCGCGAGTAGCAGGCTACGTTCCGCATCCGCCACCAGTAGCATAATTACTCCTGTGCCGGGGTAGATATTGTTATTTCTAGTGACTTCCAGGGGGGTATGGGCAGGTTACCCAGGATTCGCCACCAAGTCAGCCCACTTCCCATCATTCGATTCTAAAGTCACTTTTCTACCAGATTATATAGTAAAAATACTTCAACTAAAAAACCGTGCATCCACTTCAATAGATCCACATACCACTTCAACGTACCGCGTAATGGCTTCTCGAGGTCTTGCAATCGCTCAGTTGCTCAACCCTTCAACACCACCCACCAAGATATTCAAAGATCCCGACCTTACACGTGATTAAAGGCTTCAATGCAAGACCCTAAATACAATAGGGGGCCTGACTTACCCTGAAATCGCCCGCCGTACAGGCCATACAGTCCGGCAGGTGCAAACCGCATGCACTGCAGAGCCAGTAACTCCCCAAAAGAGCCGGGTTAGGCGCAAAGGCGTAATCACAACCCCCGAAAAGGCGCGGCTCCGGCAATGGTTTGAGGCAGAGAGAGCCCATAAGCTCACGCCCTTATATCAACTCAGATATCATCTTCCGGAAACCCTCAGCCTCTCCTCTTACAGCGAGCATGCCTTCGTGCAGGCTGTCCACAATCTCGAATATTACAGCAGAATCCGGCCTTACGAGATCCCTAGAACCGAAGCTAATAAGCGTACGCGGGTATCATGGTGCCAGAATCAGCTACAGTTACGGCCAAATCCTGAAGATTGGGAGAGAGTATTTTGGTCTGACGGAACCTGGGCTCTCAACGACCCAATGTGGAAGAAACGGTCTACTTTCTGCTATTGCATATCAGGCAGAAGGAGGGGTAGCTTGAAAGATGCGTTAACTGAATCTGAACCATGCCTTTACCCTCGAGTAGGAATCTTTCGTCTCCTCTTCCATTCCCAGAAATATTACTGTCTTCCAGGCACTGCCACTCTCTACATCATCATTACTGTCCTCATCACTGCTACCTTAGTAGGCAACCCCCTCATCCGAATCGCTGCCCTCATCCGAATCGCTGCCCTCATCCGAATCGCTGCCCTCATCCGAATCGCTGCCCTCATCCCAATAGCTGCCCTCATCCCAATAGCTGCTCTCATCCCAATCACTGCCCTCATCTGAATCGCTGCCCTCACCCGAATCGCTGCCCTCATCCGAATCGCTAATACTCTCCCTATCAATCTCTTCGAATAAGTACTTTATGCCTCGGGCCGAACGGCCATCATCTGAGGAGCTTCGCAAGTCACTATAATGAGTCTGGCTTCTCAACCGCTACGCTAGGCGCTCAATTTCCCTCGGAGCTCGACGACATGCGGGCGGCCAACCCATTCCCGCCAGCCAGCCAGGAAAAGGGCCTTGAAGGGTTTTCATTGTAATTCAAGCCTGGCACCACATTGCCCATTAAACTTCCGAGCGGCATGAGGGGAAGCCGCGTACGACTCGGGTAATGTTAGCCAAAAGGGGCCGAGGTCGAATACCACCACACAGCCGGCTAAACGCTTTCGAACAGGGTAGCATTGTTTGCTCATGGGATACAAGATGTCGTTGCTTGTAATGGAGAGAAGGCTTGCACGACGTCGTTTCTTCTATTGCTGTAAAAGGCACTTGACCCTATCGAAACTCGAACTGGAATCGAGTTCTGGGTGACTTGCTAGCTATTACCACAACGCAACTATAACAGGAGAACGACAAGTTACCATGGGCCCGCAACAGACCAACATAATGGATCCTCAACTCCCCACGCACCACAAAGCCATCGTCTACGACAAGCCCGGTCACATCAGCACGCGCATCGACACCGTCGAGACGCCGCGCCCTGGCGTCGGCGAAGTTCTGGTTCACCTGACGCACTCGGGCGTCTGCCACAGCGACCACAGCATCATGATGAAACCGCCGACCCTGGCAGGCCAAGTAGGCGGACATGAGGGTGTTGGCACCATTGTTGTCCTTGGTGACGAGGCTTCGTGCGGGACTCTCAAGCTAGGCGACCGCGTTGGTATCAAGTGGGTGGCCGGCGTGTGCGGCACGTGCATGGCGTGTCTGGCGGGCCGTGACGCTATTTGTGCCAATGTCAAGATCTCGGGGCTGTATACCCCGGGGACGTTCCAGCAGTACGTGCTGGCGCCGGCGAACTATGTCACGCCCATCCCTGACGGGGTGCCGAGCGAGATGGCGGCGCCGTTGCTTTGTGGAGGGATTACCGTGTACGCGGCGTTGAGGAAATCTGGAGCACAGCCTGTGAGTGGGAGTCGAGTCGTTGTGGTGGGCGGGGTTATGCTGACTTGGGGCCGTCAAACAGGGGGAGTGTGTTGTGATTCCCGGAGCAGGCGGCGGACTGGGTCACCTCGCTGTGCAGATTGCTAGTCGGGGGATGGGACTCCGCGTCATTGTAAGTGACTCACTGATGTCTTCCAACCATTTTACCCGATATTCATCAAGCGAGAAAGACTCACGCGAAAGCAGGGCATCGACACGGGTGACAAGGAAGCACTGGTTCGATCACTGGGCGCGGAAGCATTCATCGACCTCACCAAATACTCACGCGACAAGGAAGGGTCAGACAAGCTGGTAGCTGACGTGCGGGCAGCAACACCCCGTGTCACGGGGGCCGCAAGCGTCATCGTGTGCACCGGCTCCAACACTGCCTACGGTCAGTCGATGAGCTTCTTGGGCTTCGATGGATCGGTAGTCTGCGTGGGACTGCCCGAGGGTGATTCTGTTCCGATCACCGGGGCGATTCCGGGTGCCATGGTGGCCCAGGAACTGCGTATCGTCGGCAGCGCTGTGGGTAACAGGAAGGAAGCGATCGAGACGCTCGACATGGCTGCTCGTGGCGTGGTCAGGACGCATTTTACGCTTGAGCCAATGTCAAAGCTGACGGACGTGTTTGAGCGCATGGAGAGAATGGAGGTACAGGGCAGGATTGTGATTGACTTGAGCAGAGTGGACTGACTCGAGTCATGAAACGGTCATGTGTCTTTTTGTAAAAAAAAAAAAAAAGTCGATAACACAATATAACCAATGCTGCATCTGCGTGCGAGCAAAGTGACTACGATGATCGGAAAAACAGGCAAGGTACTAATGTAACCCGAACCAGCTGCGGCTCAATGAACGCATGGTAGGCTTTTGGGTGAATGCACCATCTGAACGACAGCATCCGGCTCGCTCCGCCCCAAAGACTTCTAGCTCTCAACGATTGTCTTCGCTATCCCGAACCATCACACCATCATCTTCCTCGGATACTCCAACGCAGAATGCCATTCTGTCGACAACTCGTCCATAATCAGCCCCATCAAATACCTCCCCGCATCCCCAACCTGCCACATCCCCCTCGCATAGTAGAGCAGCAGCGCATAATACCCCAGCATCACCAACGCCTCAGGCCTCTTACCCGCCAACAGCGCCACCAACTCAGGCGACGCCATCATGGTCCACAGAAACACCCCCTGGAACCGATACGCGTCTTCCTTGTCCTCCTCCTCCACAGCATCAAACCCAACCTGCAGCCGCCTCGCTGCAGCACGACACGCCTCTCTCTCAGCCTCACTCAGCCCATCCGCACAATCCACCAGCTCTCTGAGCCCGTTGCAGTGGTCCCCCTTCCCCTCGCGCATCGTAAACAAGGCATGAGCTTCGATCCTCGGCCCTGCCTCAGGGTGCGCCATCAACAGCGGCCACGCGGCCATCGAGACGAGCATGACGCCACGCGTCGTTTCTATCGCCTGGACGTACCGGCTCAAGAACCCGTCGAGTGTCTCGTTGTCTCCTCTCTGAGTCAGTGCGTCGGTTAGGACATGGTGGGCCATCACCGCGGAAAAGAGCACGACGGCCTTGCAGTTGGAATGGTCGATTGCGCCATTCTTGGCGAGCGCGGCGGCGTTGAATAGGGAAAGGGCACGTGTCTGCAGGGCCGTAGCTAAGTGGAGATAGTCGGCTGACTTGGCCGGATAGAGGGAGGCGAGGTGGCGCGCCGAGAGGGCCAGGAGTTGGTGGAGTGCGTAGGGCGCGTCGAGGCTTATCGTGAGCGCGTACGAGACGCCGCGCAGGTGATCGCCTACGTCGAAGGAGAGGTTGAAGACGTCCTTGTTGGAGAGCATGTGGGAGACTAGCTCGATGTGGTGCAGGTTAAGGGGATCGTCAAGAGTCGCGGCTGCAGTGGGAGGAGGCGGGGGAGGAGGGAGGGCGGAAGACGTTGCAAGGGGCGTGGCAAAGCTGTCAGTCTCTGGGATTGGGTGCGAGCTGCTGCTGGGGCTGTCGTTGGCTGAGGGTAACGGGTTAGAGAAGCTGCATTGTCGGTTCGAGTTTGCGCAGAGGCGGCAGATGGGACGGGCTTCGTCACACTGCCACGCAAACGGCGATGCCAGTGAGTGCGTGGGTCGGCTACGGAACTTGGGTGTAAGAGCGTTACCTTGACATGGCGTTGCTTGCTGTTGCTATGGGTTAACAGGCCGAGCACCACACTCCCTCACTCAGGGGGCGTAGTAAAGGATCTGAGCCCCTCTCCGAATTTCAGAGAAAGGACTTACCATTGCACGCAACCAGTCTTCGACTTTTTGTGGCCACGGCGCATTTCTCATGGACTGAAGCCTGGCGACCTGAATTCCAACCTTGCTTGGACCCAGTTGGGCGGGAGAGTTGGATGTCGGACGAGGGGGAGAATGCCAGCTCTGGCCTTTGCCGGGACACGCGTGTTGGAGAATTTACGGGGTGAGCCTGATTGGTCACCTGGCCGAATCCGCGTGTTTGGGTTCTTCCGTCTCACCTCCTATTGGCTGAATATTTGAGATCTTGGACATGTCGGTCTGCGGCGTAAGGAGGGTAATTGGAGTCTCGGGATCCGCCATTCGTATTTAGGAAAAGTCTGGGCAGAATGACGCATGAACGATCGGAAATGTAGTACAGACCAAGACCTAAATCTCCATCCCCCTTGGTGTTCTCTGTTTTGCTGGAATTTGTGCGCGGCGCTTGTAGCCATCGGCCTCGGATCCTGTGGCTTGGCAGGGCAAAGCAGGAGGATAAGAAGGCCAAACTGCCCCCTACTCTGTATTCCAGGAGCTGTCGACCTTGCTCACCTTCATTTATTCAAGATTCACTCGTTCAATATCTCTTTGCTTTGTTCTGTACTAGATCATCTTCTCGTCAAGATGGCTGAAGGAGAACCAGGTATATGCCATGCACTTGTACCTTTCAGGGCCTCAGCTAACCGCCACCAATTAGTCCTGGGAAGCATCTACGTCTATGCTCCAAACCAAATTGCGCCGATATTCTTTGCCATTGCATTTGCTTGCTCGGCAGCTGGACACATATGGCAATGCTAGTATGTCGCCCTTTTTCTCGTTTCAGGCGTAACTGGAGGACTGCTGACATGCATTAGTCGGTACAAAGCGTTTCTCCTCGTTGGCTTGCACCCAGGTTGCGCCATTATCCTCACCGCCGGTTATGCTCTCCGCGAGTATGGATCCTTCAATTACCTCTACAGCCACCAGAACCTCGTCGCCTTTATCTGCAGCCAAATCTTTATCTATATCTGCCCGTGGGTCCCTCAGCAACCTCTTATTCCCCCGTCCATTTATCCAGTTCCCGCTCTCTGCAAGACTCTGCAAACGAAATTCTGACACCTGGGTATGGATAACTCAGACCCGCTCTTGAACTGGCCAACTACCACGTCCTCAGCCGCGTCTTTCACTACGTCCCACACCTCCCACCGCTCCGACCAAACCATGTCATGCGCACCTTTGGCGGTCTCATGGCAATCGTCGAGACGCTCAATAGTGTGGGCGTTTCCCTATTTGCCAACCCTACTGCTCCGCAATCGCAGTTGAGTTTGGGAAAGAATCTCGTCCTCGCCGCTATCATCATTCAGCTCGCCATCATCATCATCTTTTTCGTCATGACCGGCATCTTCCATTTCCGCTGCGCCAAGGCGGGGTTTACTCGCAACAAGACGCTAACGACGCCATTGTTTACCCTGTATGCAAGCATGGTGTTGATCTTTGTGCGGTGCATATATCGTCTGGTGGAGAAGACGGCGGTCAAGTCTGTGTGGATCCAGGACCTGGAGGAGCTGAAGCGACTGAGCCCGCTGCTAAGATATGAGGTCTTTTTTTACATATTTGAAGCGAGCCTGATGCTGGTCAATTCGGTCATGTGGAATATTTGGCATCCCGGACGGTTTTTGCCGCGCAGTCACAGAGTCCATCTGGGAGAGGATGGGTCAGTCGTTATAACGGAACCGAAAGACGGAAAGCTCGGTAAGCGGCCGTTATTGCTGACGGTGGGGAATATCTTGACATTTGGACTTCTAGACTTTTTTGTCCCGGGAGAAAAAGAGAAGGGTCGGGAATAGAGGAAGACGGAATAATTGATCTTGTTACGGAGAGACACAAGGACGGCTACCAACCTAGACATACAAAGCTCTGCTTGCCGAGGAATAATGATGGAATCTACTGAATACAAATACAACAAAATATGGACCATCACTCACCTTCTTTCCTATCTGCAACTAGTCATGTACCGTCTAGACGTGGCGACCCAACAAAGAAATCGCCCCACAACGAAATTGGCCCACGCCATGCCCACACCCACTCCACGGGCGCAAATTATCCATTTCTACACAAAATAACTAGCAAAAAAATACTCAATCCTCTTCTTCGGCCTGTCTATATTGTTCGAGCCCACGGGCGATTATTTCCCGGGCTTCTTCGACTGCATGTGGCTGGCTTTCTGCCCGAGCCGTTTTTTTCCGCTTTGGGGGTATTTGACTAGCTTTTTGTGCCTTGGCGATGTCCTCTATACGTGCAAATCGCTCATTTCCATCTTCATATACCCTCTTACGCGTGCGAGGCTTTGAAGCCTCTAATTCGGTTGTGAGATGCGTAATTTGTGCCTTCAAAGACGCGATCTCTGTATTCTTCAGATCCAGGGACCTCCCGACCTTAGTAAACAAGGCCCGCACACGCCGCTGAGCCGGACTGAGGGCATTCCGAATACTGTCCTGGTACTTCTTGATGTCCTGACTGCCGTGCAGTGTTTTGAAGAGCCTGTCATCGTCGTTCGGGGCCGTCGGCGGCGGTGTTGAAGGCCGGGCCGGGAGTGCCTCATTGTCCTTGACCGCCTCAGGGTCATCAAGTAAACAAGCCGGGTTGAAGGGCCAAATCCCGGTTTTACTGAAGCCCGACATGATGTTACGGGCACTCATGCCTTTACCCGAGGCATCTCTGTAGCAGTAAAGGAACCGAACCTTGTTGACAGGAGCTGACGATGTGAAGCTCGCGAGGGCCTTGGTATTTTCCCTAAAATAGGTCTTTAAAGGTGAAAAGACCGAGCGATCGAGAGGCTGAGACTTGTGCGATGTATGAGAAGGTAAATAGACGAACTGGACCTTATTTTGGAAGGCCGCTAACATGAATTTTTCGTTCATATGGCTCGAATGTTCGTCAAGGATCAGTATACGCCATTCGCCCGGCCTTTGGGGCTTTGTTTGGATCAGGTAGACCTCTTTGAGCCATTTCAGCGCAATACTGGCGTTGCTCCAGCCTGTAATTGAGTAATCGTACTTCCATTCCCGGAATTCCTTCGTCAGGTTGAAGTTATCAGGAAAGTGTTGTCCTTGAAGACTGGCCCCGGTAAATATGATCACGGGCTTCAAACGAACGCCCTCAGCAGTGCCGCATTCGATAACTGAAACCCAGGTTGTTGCATCAGAGCTTTTCACGTAGGTTCGGTTCGTCAGGGAGCTTCCTATGACCTTTCCGGCCCGGGTCTCGAGCTCCTGCATGCCGTGCTCATCCATGTTAGCGATGTTGGCCGGGATGACCTTTTTATCCTTGATTTGGAAGGCCAGGCGCTTGAAGAAAGCTTCATAAGCTTCACGAGTAGATCCGCAGACTCGAGAGGATTCCAACAAGGTTGAATTCTTCATCTTTACCGCCGGGTTGCGGCGTAGGAAGCGGTCCACATATCGCTCCCCAATGGTCTTTTTCGTGCCGGCCTCATTGAGTATAGCTTGAGCGAATCTCTGCACCTGACGACGGCTAGGAGCCCTGCCTGCAGCCTCCTCATTGAGGCACCAGTCGGCTAGGAAGCTTTCCTGCGCATTGGAGAGGTTTCTTTCGGCTTGTTTACTTTGTGCTCGATTTTCTGCCCCGTGGATGCGTTTGCAGAGGGTAGAAGGAGGGATCCCGAAGTCATGCGCGGCCTGCTTCTGCGATGCGCCCTGTTCAACTGCAAGTATTGCAGATTGAATTAGCTGCTCTCGACGGTTCGACATGATGTATTTTGAAGCTATTCGAGCCTGAATTGATGAAGTTGTGTTGTGTTGAAGTTGAAGGGCGGGAAATTAGATGACAGGGGCAGAGATTTCGTTGTGGGGCGATTTCTTTGTTGGGTCGCCACGTCTAAGACAACTATGTTCACAATACCCCGCTAGACGGTGCTCACAAACGTGCCGTCCTGCCAGCGCAGTGTGTGTCGGGTATGTGCTGGTTTAAGCGACTTCAAGGAACCTTCAGGCGATTCGCCCACAGGTCTCCACCCCTCTTCGTTGGAAAAGTCGACAGTCATCAGGCCTGAAGCAGGCATGGGCAGCTTCCATGATTCATGGTCGTATCCAGTCCCTTCTAGGTTTCGCGCCGTGGTGACAAGTGTGTCCCTGATTCCGTTAAAGTATTGATAGAGCTTCCCTCTCTTGGTGCTTGATGACCGTGGCGTGGGGCGCTGTGCCTCGCGGGCAAGACTGAGCTTGTTCCGGTGTTGGACAAAGAGGGAGCGGAATGATATGGCGCAGGCGGCGACGAACGCTACAACCGTGTATTAGAAAACGAGTAATATCTGACCCGAAGCTCTTGCAGGCGGGTAAAAGACCGAAGAATTCCGGCGCGTACATGTAAGATACTCGACGGCGAACCAAAATATCCAGGCAATGTTGACCTGCTTCCTTGCAACTTTGGGATCGTCGATGTTGCTCCTCGAGGTGGAGCCCCTGATGACGGCCATGGAGATAGTGAGGCCCACAAGAGCAAACACAGCCGAAAAGACAATCTTTTGCCGGATCGAGAATCGCGTGTTCCACAAGACCCACGAGGGGAAGATGATGACTAGAGGAATAACAATCAGCTAGATGTCGGCCTTTGGGAAGAACTACATGAAGAACCTACGGAGAAGGTCAGAGAAGGCGTCCAGTACGGCCGCCGCAACGCCTTGGTAAAACATGCGGGCGCGCTTCTCGAGCGTCATACACCTTTGAACAATGTCTTGGGCTCTCCCAAACATACACTCGTACTCGTTTAGACCTAAAGCTACAATGCCACAAGCCATGACTAGAAACGAGCAGGCCCACCAGGCCCACAGGTACTTGGGAATATTGCTGCCGAGGCGGTGGAAGAGGACCAGGAAGTTGGTCTTGATAAGCCAAAGACCGATGATGACAAGGATGGAAGAGGCGCCCAAGGCCCATAGCGCATGCTCTGAGTCTTGGAGGAAGGTTAGTCCGGGAATATAAGTGCCGTCAGCCGCGTGCGCAATGTTAAACAGACTCTGCAGATAGAGTTGCCAGACGACAGGCACGGGTATGTATACTACCAGCACGCCAAGAACGAGGCAGTCCTCAGAGAGGAGCTTGCCAAAACAGAGGATGCGGGCCCAGGCACGACCAATGAAGACGAGGGTCATAAGGAGAAGCGCGCTCCAAATCATGACCTGTGTTGTTGAGTGAAGTATGTTAGCGGGCTGGTTGATGGTCAACCCAAGACCCCTTTCACCAACAAGAGCAGGGCACAAAGACCAGTGATGGCAGGCAGCCCAAAGTAGGGGGTGGGTCGACATGTTGGAGTCAGCACTTCAACTTTTTTCATTTATCTCTCCTCCTTGTTCTTTTTGGTCCTGCCAGAGGGCCTCTATTATAGTTGTAAATTGTGGCAATGGTGGTGGCAAAAGTAGCCACACCAGCTGAACTGGCCACTTCATTTCAGCTCCCCTGAGCCTCTTTTCACCTCGGATGACCACACCAGAGCTCAGCTGGGATGAGCTCTATTCCACATGCAACCCTTGTCCATCTGACAATAGCCAATCCAACACGACACTCGTCGAACACTCTGCAATCCACCGATTTAGCATAAACTCAAGCTTACCAGCATGGTCTGCCAGGGCATCATCTCGTCCATGGTGAATAGCGTGTGTGCTGGGATGAGCACAACCGTGCTCGGAAAAGTGTCTGTGGGCTGCAATGGGTGCAAGAAGTGCGAGATGATTAAAAGCTGACCGGAGATTGGGGCTGCCTGAACGAGATGGGCCGTCGCAGGGCCCCTTATCAAGCGCTGATGAAAGCTCAGCACCCGGCAGAAGGGTCTGCAAATCCTAAGTCCAGCTAGGATAAGACAATTGGTAGTCGCTCCTGTCTAGACAACTCAAGCAGAGCAGAGCTCATTTAAACCACGATTTACCCCGCCATGAGGGGGAAGAGTCGAAAGAGGGCGACGAACGGGGCTATTTACTCTATAAGGAATCTCCCTTACCTTGACTGGGAAGTGTGGAAAGAGAAACGGGAAGCCTAGGGAGTCTTACTCAGCGCAGCATAGCTTGGAAAGTAACGACGCCGGTTGGCCAGGAACTAGAATATGGCTTTGGGGCCTGAGTAGAGTGGCTGTGTGTGTGAGAGAGCGGGAGGTGTTGGAAGGACAGGAAAGGTGTGTATTAGAGCATTGCCTCCAGTCACCGAGTTGGCCCATCTTTGCATCCCGAGGCAGTTATCTGGCGGAGACGAGGCTCCAGTTCCAAACATCCATGCAAAGAGACCTCTTTAGTCCATTCAGGGTTGCCAGTCATTTGCAGATCGCCGGTATGTGGTGGTACTCACGCTGACTGCAACCACCATCTCGGACCCAATCGGACCTCCTCAACGCTCATAAAGAGGTTCCAATCCCTGAAATGCAATAACTTGAAACTTTGATGACTGGTTAATATCTGCTGCAACGCGGCGCGGTGCAGCCGCCGAGGAGCATGCAGCAACCTCGGCAGCCCAGACCAGCCAACTACCGAGCTACCACCAGTTGCTACCACAGGATTCCTCCCGTTTGACGCTGCGATATTGATTCCTGCTCATTTGAATGCTGACAACGGCGGCTAGGTGAGTGCTGGCGGACAAAAATTGTTTGCCTAGAAATCTCCAGGACCGACGAGCCAAAGCTAAGATAGCTGTGAATATGCAGTCAGATTCCAAAAGAAAAGTATGTGCGGGTGCGGCGCAGCTACAACCGAGGTGGGCGAACTAGCTGCGATAGGGGGTCGAGCCGCGGTGAGACAGGACAGTTCGGGCGGACTGATGACCTTTGAGCATCCTTATAGGCCAAAAGCTTGGCAAAAGGGGGGGGGGGGGGGGGGGGGGAGATGGAGTGTGGTGAATATAATAATATGACCCAACAGGGAGGTTACAATACCGGTAACCACCAGTTACCGAATGACATGAGCTAGCTGCATATCATAAACAGGATGTGATAGCCGTCGGGGGCAAGGTATTGGGGCTCAAGATAAGCAACGCTCCGATCTCAACTTACCACACCAGAGCCGCACCCGGTTTCTCGCGTTCGCCTCTGGGCGTGCTCGGTGTTCTAAAGAATACCTTACGCTCAGAAACCCACCTACCTTCACCACACCAAATCGTGCATAAACCTATTCTAGTGGGCAAAGTAGTTGACTACCTGACTATGGAAGCTCTCCTGGATACAGGAAGAGAAGGGAAAAGAAGGACAGACAGCGTGTGCGCGGGTGCAGAGGCCCAGGACAATCTGTAGCACCCTGCACGCTCAGCAGTCAGTCAAGACTGCCAACCTGCCTTGACATACATGTGTAGGCAGGATCCAGGATTCCGACCACAACTCTCGGGGTTACCTGTGGCTTTCGCTAACGGCGTAACTGACGCGACGAGTGACGCCGTGAAGTATTAACGGCCGCAGTCTTTGCCTTCTATTCACATGTGCCCACATGCATCGAACTTCATAATGGCATTTATACTAGCAGAAAGGTTCAACGCTAAACGCCGACTGTGGTAAGATTTTTTTTTTTTTGGAGAGCAACACACATCAATGAGCAACGTTTTTACCTCCTGCCGACCGCTCAATATGCCCTCCGTCTAATCCCTTTTTTCTCTACGCGCTTATTATCGTCCTGTCTATTGTCGTTCCCAAACATAGCAAGAATCGCAACCCCATACATTATTCACAGATATCACAGTACGTCTCCTCGCCCTGTGGTAAAACAAGCGTCAGCATCACTTCCTCTGAGAGACAGGCAAATCACCAGAAAAAGGCAACTCACAAGATTCTTGCCCGGTTTAGTGCACCCGGAGATTGGGAAATGTCTTTGCAGTGCCGACAGCGTACTGTTTGCGTTGTAGTTGAGAAAGATTTGCGCAAGATGAGCCCGGTCGCTAAAGAGCTGGAAGATCTCTAAAGAAAACAGACATGTTAGAACTTTAACCTTGTCTAGAATGACTCGGACATCCCTACTCTCCAGATATACTGTCGCTTCTGGCTTGGTCGTGACCCTAATGCCGGCGCCGACGCCGACTCCGTCCCATCTGCCGTCGGCTAGACGATTGGCTAGGATGGAAGAGTTTTGTTCGGGGCCCATGTAGACGACTGATGGAACGAGGCGGTTAATGCTAATGTCAAAATACGGTCAAAGGGGAGGCCTGGACATACCTCGCAGATTATAGCCCGCATTGCGAATCCCTGCGGCCTCGGCCTTCAGAGCAGCGTCGACTACCTTTGGATCAAGCCCCGGGATGTCTCTGACAAGAGGATGAAAGGCCGGCAGGCCGCTGTAATTCAGGCATAGACGGTCAGCATTTAGTTCGTCCTTGAACCGTGCAACTTGATCTAGGGACTTGCGTGAAGAAAACGTTGACTTGTCCGCATCCAAGCTAGGGAGAACCCGGGTGCGAGATGCGCCGGTGATCATGGATGCCGGCAGCGCTGGCTGTTACACCGAAGGAGAGCAGATGCTTCAAGGCCACCATGATTACCGTAAGTTGAATAGGACAATCGGGGTTTGAGAGCTCAGAAGTGACTGGTCGTGTTGGCTTTGTTCGCGATCTCGGGTTTCAGATCCGGGAAAGACAGGGAGGCAGCGTGCGCGTCGTATTTATACCATGAACGTATGTTATTACAATTAGAATTGCGTCGGAAGGGTGCACGCTGAAAAGGGAAGCCTCAGGGCAAGAACAAAATACTTATAGCATTTCGCGCTCTTGCTTCGGGACGCATAAGAGATCATTCCGACGGGACAGCGTCCGTCGACATCGGGGCCGAGCCCTCGACCACGAAGCTCCCGGTAAAGAGATGTAGGCCGCAGCAGCTAGGGCTTCCCCCAGTAAAGCGGAGAAAGTTTGCTTTATTGGGATTCTCTCATGTGGCCCAGGCATCCTGCATGCTCGGGCCATGTGGTTGGAGGACTGTGCCGCAGGGATCCGGGCTACAACCTGCAGACTATAGCAACGTCGCATGGCATTCTGCTCGCACTGATATGTAGCTGTGATGGTTGGTTTTAATCAACACGAGCCGTGAAAGAGACCCGAACGACAGTGCCCTCGGTTCCATTCTGCTATTAACCCCTATTGCGATTAGCTGATGGCTTCTCGGGTTGGTCTCCTGATTAGTCGAGGAATATATCGAGACATCAGCCTGTATTTGCACAGCTATGTACGCGCCCAATCAGGAGCCGGCCAGCAGACGCCCGAGCATGGCCGACATGGGCTGTCTAATCAAAAGAGACAGACGATGGTTTCGGGGACATGCCAAGACTTAGCTGACTGTCTACCTAGCAAATGCAAGGTAAGTAGCTATTGACTGTCCTAAGTATCTAGGGGTATGCGGGCGATAATAACGATTGTAACTCAGCTACGCGCTAACGAGGGCTGGAGAGACGCCGAATGGTAAACGGTGGAGATACTCGATATTAAATGCTCTCGGCAGTCATCGACGGGCCAAAGAGCTATCATATACAGATTGGGCGACATGGTCGTGGTGACTAGAGTCCGTAACAAGTATAAGGAAGCTGTGTCTCTATCATGAACGAGCCCACTCGTCGTGCATGGTAATAATCGGTGAGGCCCGTATCTATCGCCATATGGACTCACATTTTTGAGCAGGCTTACAATTCTTGGCGGCAGAAGCAGACCAGCAACAACACGGTCACACAACACTCACCAAAGCCCACCATGCAACTCGTTATTGTCGCTGCTCTCCTCCATCTCCTACCCCTCGTGCTCTCCCTCTCAGCCCGGCCGCGAGCCCGCTCGGCCTTCATCCCTCATGTCCGCTCGACGCACCTAGACTGGGACGCGGCCAGGCCCGATACCGCCTTCACCTCGCCTCGTCTCGACGGCCACTCGGTGCACGAGTTCACCACGGGCAGCACTCGGCAGCAACAACAACAACAACACCCGGCCGACTCAGCCACACTCGCCGACCACGCGGGCACGGCTAGCAGCGGCAACCCCAAATGGGAGAACCTTGGCGGAAGCGTGGCGTCGTACCCGTCAGCGTGCTCGTGGGGCACCGGGCGGCTGGACATCTTCCACATGACGCGCGAGCGGTCATGCCAGCACCGCAGCTACGGCGGCTACAGCAGCAGCAGCAGCTTCACCGGCTCATACAGCTGGTCTTCGTGGCAGACGCTGGGCGGGTCGCTCGACGGCGGCGTGGCCGTGAGCAGCCATACCGAGGGTTCCTTCACCATCGCCGTCAAGGGCACCGACAACCAGTGCTGGCAGCGGGCTTATACCGGCGGCGGCGGTGGCGGCGCGTGGGGCGACTGGCAGACGCTGGGCGGCAACATCAGCCACGACGTGGGCCTCGTCAGCCGCGGCGGCGTCGTGTCCGTGTCGCAGAGCACCAGCGCATCGCTCGACCTATTCGTGTCGGCGCCCGACGGCCAGTGCTGGACCAAGACGTGGTCCTACTCGTCCAGCTGGAGCACGTGGACGGCGCTCGGCGGCTACCTCGACAGCGCGCCGCGCGCCGTGTCGTGGGGGCGCGACCACATGAGCCTGTACTGCCGCAGCACCGACGGGCAGGCCTGGTGGCGCCGGTGGAACGGCTGGACGTGGGAGAGCTGGACGAGCTTGGGCGGGTCCGTGATAGGCACGCCGTCGGCGTTTGCCTACGCCGGCTACGAGTACGTCGTTGTGCGCGGCACCGACGGCGCCTGCTGGTACCGCAGCTGGCACGCCGGCACCTGGTCGCAGTGGGCCAGCCTGGGTGGCAGCCTGCGCCACGAGCCCGAGGTGGTGTCGTATCTGCAGTGGGGTGGCGGCGTCGACGTCTACATCAACCATGACGACGGCGGCCTGTACCGCAAGAGCTGGGACAACCGCACCGATGCCTGGTCTCAGGAGTGGGAGCCCATGGGCGGCAAGGTCGACTCCAAGCCCGGCGCCATCGCCTGGGACAACGGCACGCGCACCGATGCCTTTGGCCAGGGCAAGGACGGGTCGTGCCAGCGGCTGGTCATGAGCGAGGGGAGGAACGACACCGGGTTTACGAACGAGTCCTGACTGTGATTCCCGAGGCGAGTAGGTGGCTGGCTTGAGTGGATGGCGCTACTCAGGTACAATGAGTGACTTGTTCGCTCTTGAACAGCTGGCAGTGGCAAAGAGACAGCGAGAAGTGGCGAGACATTTACGTTCTATGATTTACTGATGCGCAAGGCTAGTTACTCACCTTGCTGTCCATGCTAGCCCCCTGATTCTTGCACCGTGTCCAACCATTCCGCATTCTTCAATGGCCATCAAGGCGCTTCTATTGTCAACTCTATTGAACTCATCTCCACCTTGCCGGCCGCCATTTGAGCCCCATACAACGGCTGAAATGTCAGGCGCCGTCAAACTTCTATCCCGAGCTGGGGCGCGATATAATAACGACTCGACCTCGGATAGCCAGTCAATGGAGCGACATGCTGCAAGATGATGCGGGAAAAAAAAAGGGACAAGAAATTATAAAACCCTCATCTCAATCTGGAGGGGAACTCATAATTAGAGTGAATGCCACTGACTTCGCGCTTGGTCATGTTGGCATTGTTACGAACTTCCTGCGCCAGCCACTGGACTGACTTCTTGTCATTGTTTAGTTCGGTAGGCCGGGCGATTCGGTACTCAATGCTGCCATCGGACAATTGCTCCGAGCTCAAGGTTCTGGACAGCCGGTTAAGATCTGGGTCAGGAGGGGATCCTTCTGGTGGCGCCGACATAATAAATGATGGTCGATGTCGAATTCCAGACGGACCGGCTTTCTCAAGGTAGATTTCCTCCTCGAGTTCGTCGAGGGTTTCTAGGAGTTGAGCTTGGCGGTATGGTATGTCTTCGGAGTCAGTGCTTAGGTCCGCTGCGGTACAGTAGGTATCGTCAGAGTCGTGGGGACCCTGTACCATACCACCTTAGCAATGAACAATTGACCAGATCGATCGTGGTGTGAGAGGACGACTGTGGAGGGTTGGAAAAACTGGCGGCTTTGTCAAGCGTGGCGGCCGCTGGATCCAGGTGTTGAGATGCCTCCGGTTTGTCAAGCGCCCCGGTGACCAAAAGAGTGATTCGGAATCAGGATGTGATCCACAGTCCACTGGACCAATTGATTTCGTGACAAGAGGAGAACCACCAGCGATTTGACAAGCGCCTCGCTGATGGGTTGATCTGTTTCTGGATTGACAAGCACCCCAGATTGGATCGGTTGGTTCTCGCGATCGGTTTGACAAGCGCCCCGACCGTGAGGCTTTTCGCAACGGTTTGACAAGCGCCCCGCCGCAAAAAGGTGCCTTCTGCAACAATCTCCCCGGACAAGAAAAGACGTTGCGGAAGCTAGAAAAAAATGGTTTGGCTCTACTCAGGAGCAGTCGCTGCTACCATTTGAAGGGTGATCGTCACCTAGATCACGGAATGCGGTAGGCTATTCGTGAAAAGGTAGGTAAATTGATGATCGAGGGAGGAAGCTCGGGAGCACTGCCCTGCCGAGGACCTTAATGTGGTCCTTTGGTGGGGCAGACGCGGTCTAACCGCGTCAGGCTAAGCCCCGCTTCCCTATGTACCTATGTACTTAAATTACACGTGCCGGTCATATGACCCTATCTTGGCGCTCCCTCGCTCAATCAGGCATCACCTACCTTCTTTCAAGCCAAACCTTCTTCTCCTATATTTCTCGTATACCTTGCACCATTTCTGTTACAATCTGGACAACAAGTCCACGGAGCTAGGCCAGTACTACAGGGGAATCAGCGGTCCCGGACGACACTCGTGTCGCATGACCCCCGCCGATGCCCAGTACGAAGTCCTCTGAGGAGCAGCAAGAATTGCTGATTCTGTTTTCCCGCGTCCGCTAACATAGCCTATCAGTGACGAGAACCCTGAAAACTGGGACCCGCCATCGACAGAAGAAATGCTTCTCAGGGAGGCAGCCGCCGCAGGGACCGTAATGACAGTCAAGGAAGCCAGAGAGGCGGCTGAGGAGGAGAGGAAGCTTGGACACCGGGCGTACGATGATATCTATCTCAAGCCACCTCACGCAGCCCGCTGGAAGGGCACGCGCGAGCCTGTTCAAATCAACCCCCCGCCTTTTTCTGAGAAAGAGATCAGCTATAACGTTGGAAAGGGCGAATCCCTACGACGAGAGGAATACGCGGGGAAGGGCCTGCAAGTCATTGTCAAAATGGCTTCCATCGAGCTCACCCCGGAGAAGCCCGAGTTCGCGCCCGGCGGGTGGCACGTCGAGGGCCAGATGAACGAGCACATCGTCGCCACCGCGATTTACTACCTTGACTCAGAAAACATCACCGAGAGCCACCTCGACTTCCGCGCCATGGTCTGCTCGTACCAGGATGACTGGGGCGTTGAACGGGATGGGTTTGGCTGGATGGAGCAGTCGTACGGCGCCAGGCTCGGCACCATCTCCGGAAGCTCCTGCATGCAGCACTACGGCAGCGTCATCACGAGCGAGGGCCGCCTTCTGGCCTTCCCCAACGTCTTCCACCATCGCGTCTCGGGCTTCAAGCTCGCGGACCCGACCAAGCCGGGGCATCGCCGCTTCATCGCTCTGTGGCTGGTCGATCCCTTGACCCGGATTATCAGCACGGCAAATGTGCCGCCCCAGCAAGGAAAGTGGTGGGAAGACCGGGCGTTTGGAGGTTTCGAGAAGACGAAGGACTCGACAATGCCACCCGAGGTTGCGCAGTTGCTGATTGAGCGGGGCCTGGGCCGAGGTCTGGGCGAGGCAATAGCGGCAGGCAAACTCGGTGGCGCGAAGCTTCCCGCCGAGGTGCTAGACATGGTGAGAAGTGAGGTCAGCAATGATGAGGTTCTGATGACGCGGGAGGAGGCTGAGGAACACCGCCGCAAGTTGATGGTGGAACGGTCGGCGTTCCAGGCCGAGGCCAGGGACATGTTGGAGAACTCCGATTACGGCTTCTGCGAACACTGATGGCGGGCGCTGCGGGCGGATGAACATCATGTTTGACTTGGTGGCAGGCTTTGAGCTGCTAGCCTGTTGGACCACATGTTCAGGTGGGTTATATATCTCAGTGCTGCCACTGCGCGGCCTTATTTAGGTGGGCAGGTTTTCATTGGACGTTTTGAATGTGTCATTGCTGTGGGTAAGATAGTGCTTCACATCCGATGTATGCACAATTCAAGGCAGATTTCCAAAGGCTGCAAGCCCATAGCTGAGGAGATATCCATCCGTATACTGCTTCCGTCGGAACGGGGTCAATGAGAGTTCTATTCCCAGTGACTCGATTCAGTTCTTGCCGGGGCATATGTTGAATTGGTAGACTTTGTTTGTGTTGTAAATTGACGTGGCCATCTTAAACATTCAAGTAAAAAGATTTGCTGGAAAGGGTGGCTACCTCCATGACCGGTCTGCAAGAGGGTCTGCATCGGAAGGTGACATCCATCGCCCCGCATTAATGTAACAAAATGTGACTTGAAATGGACAATGGGACCGAGTTACCTCGTGCAAGGGAGGGTCAACATAAGAATGATAAGATGGATGAGTGGGAGGAGTAATCATGCACCGGACTATATCGAATGCTCCGGCCATTGTCAGTTGGATGTCACTGCGCGTGTGCCTGCCTACCGAGGTGACATTAGAGGATGGGCAGCCGACAGGCGGCGTTAATGACCCAGAACACACACTGAGAGAGCCTGGGCCTGATAGCTGGCCAGTTAGCCGCACAATAATACAAGGTCATATAAAGAAAGAGTTGCAATGATGGCTTGTCCCATTTGCGAAAGGCCGTCGCACTTGGAACTGGGGGATAAAATCAATATATGTGAGGCTCCATTCTTCAAGCACAGTTACACCAACAATGCAGTGGGCAAACTTCCTTCCACAAGTGGTTTGTTGTTTTCGGCACGAAACCACTAGTTTGGTTCAATCATCCAGAAGCTGGCCAATAAATACCCGATCAACGACCCTCAAAAGCCAGGGGGGTGGTACATGGCGGGAACCGCGCGAGGCGGAGAGTAAGACCGCTCGAGTTGTGCCGAGACGAGAACTGAGTTGCATCAGCTCTCTGGAAAGCAAGGGTGTGATAAATATTCAAATACAACATTTTTCCAGACTATTGCAACATTGAGTTTTGTTGTCTTTGGTACTGGTGCCACTCCAGTGTTCTCCCACGTTAATCGAGACGGTTTACATCAGTGTAGGCCACGTGACTTGTACTGGCGCTAAACACCCAGTACCTGGTGCGCACCCTACACACCCGCGAACGTTGCTTCGCTACAGGAAAAGTGCAAATTACTTCAACTCTAGCCGGAGGAGTATAAAACGGACACTAAAATTACAAAGGGTTACAAACGACCTCTAGGGAATCCAAAATAAGATTACTATATAACTTAACCTTGTACGATAATTTACTTCTTCTTTACTTTGCGTTCTTCTCAGACTTTTTTCCTGTATATCCTTAGTCTATTTTCTTATCCTTTTTATTACGACATACACTTGATACTACCGGAGTAGGTAAGGTTAAGTGTTACAATCCACACACAGAGTGTCTGAACTGCAAGGCCGTAAGCCTGGGAGTTTGTCGGGGTGGATCACGTAGGGAGGGTAAGTCTCTTGAACAAGGGTAGGTTGTCTGATGCGCAAAGGTGGAATGCCTTCACAAGTAATGAAGCAGATGAATGTGTATTGCTTACTTGCCGAGTCTCATAAGGAGGCTCGGCCTAGACGTGTTTATATAAGTGAGGTGCTCTGTGGTGCTCTGTTGACAAGGCTATAGAGCGTAGCGGAGCACCCACTGCTCTGCTGTGCTCTGTCCCTGGCCCCACAGAGCACGACGGAGCGCACCGTTGATTGGTTCCTTGCCCCAACCGTCATAGAACAAGCCCAGATAGACTTTACACTAAGCAACGACAAGCGGCTGGTTTTCCACTTCCGTTGGATCCAAAGCAGCTCACTGAAGAGGGCGCTCACAGAGGTTTTCGAGGGGTCCGGAAAGGGGGTGGCCTGCAGCATCATGATCGCTCAAGGTTTATGCCGGCGGCTGGCTACCTACTGCCTCTGGATCATTCAACCTAATGTTACATTGCTGTGAATTTAAATAGCCTCTGACAACCTTCGGACCACTGCTGTGTTCCTTGATTCTCTCACTTGCCCTTACCCTTTCGCAGCTCCCGGAACTTGTTGGCCGAGTCATCCCCGGTAAACCCCGGAGGCAAATCCCTACCCAGCAGCCACTGCCCCTCGGCATGCTTGGCCTTGGCCAGCACCTTCCTCGCGCCGCTGTGCACGGCGGTCCTCAGACTCTTCGCGATACCAGCACTGGGATAGGCGAACAGCCCAAACATGCCGGCGCCGCTCTTAGCGACGAGACTGACCGCTCCCTTCCCTATGCCCTTGACGGCCCCCAGCGCGCCCTCATCTCGGGCGCCTCGGATGGGCTCCATCACCAGGTCGCTCAAGCCGTCCGCAAACCCCCAGGCAAATGTCTTGCCGGCAACGGCCGCGCCGCTCTTCGCATCGGTGACGGGACCGTGGTGGCGGACCTTGGTCCCAAAGAGCTGGGGGACGGACTTCATGCCCTCTGTGATGGCGAGGGGGAAATCGACCAGCATCCCTTTCGCCGCTGTCGGCCCGAGCATGCCGATGCTCTTGGCCGACGCCCCCGCCACCGTGCCGGCCATGGAGCGCGGTTTTGGCTTCCCGAAATCGTCCGTCGAGGCCGCCCCTGACGTGCTTGATCCTGCCGGGCTGGAGCGCCCATCTGCTACGTCGAGGGTATCGTGATGCGCGCCCTGCCGGGCTACATCTCTCTTTCGCTCTCGCTCGCGTCTTCGTTGTTCGTGTCGGTACTCGTCCACCGGCTTGGTCACCATGCCGGTGATGGAGTCGGTCATGTCGACTGCGGTAGCCATGACGGCGGAGGCGCCACCGGTTATCGGGTCCCATCGCGTCACGTCGATGGTCATCGGCTTGGTGTGGTGGCTTCAGAAGCTCACGCGTCAGCATTTGCAATGGAAAAAGCTGGCATGTACCAACTGGGATGGGTTCTTTCTCACTGCTCCAGTTTCTTGGCTTCGATCACTTTACGAGACACGAGCTCTTCTGCCGCAATCTTGGACAACTTGATGGGTTTCTTTCCTTTTTTGTAGACCCACGCCGCAGGCTCGCTAGGAACGAGGTCGCATCGCAGACGGTGCTTGGGCAACTGACGGAGCCACGACTGTGCGGCGGCCTGGACACCCTGTTCGGACTTCATCTGCTCCGCGATGGACTGGGCGGCAGACCGCGCTTGGGGTGTCAGACAGTACGCAATACCCTCGGCCAGCTTCTGCGAGTCTAGTTGCTTTGAGGGGATTGGCTTTGGTCCTGCACCGGCGTTGGCGACCATCTCGCCCCAGAAGGGCTGGCTGCGCAAAGGTTAGACTGCCGCATTGGCTTGGGGATTCGCTTTCTGGACACACTCACTCTCCAAAGAATGGCACAATGACGGTCGGCACTCCATTTCTCAAGCCACAGGCCGTCGTGCCCGCGCCACCATGATGGACAACGGCAGCGACATGGGCAAAGAGCCACTCGTGAGGGCAGTCTCCGACCCAGTATATGTCTTCGCTCGCCGGCCCCGCCAAATCGGACCATCCCTTCGAGATGATGGCCCGGACACGCGCTGCGCGGACAGCGTCGAGGATGGTCCGAACGACGCGCTCCGGGTAATCAAGCACGATGCTGCCGAATCCAATGTACACGGGTGGTGGACCAGCTGACAAGAATCGCGCGAGGTCTTCAGGCGGCGAGTACGACGGAGGGCTTCGGAAAAAGAATCCACAGACATCTGTGCACATCCCAAGCTTGAATCAGCCCTGGCCTCCGCAACACAGTGGGTTAGGTAGCTGGTGTCCTTACCAATCTGCGGGCCCCAGTCAGCGGGTTTGGCGACCAAGGCTGGCGACCAACAGTACGTGAAGGGAATGCGCAGCCTTTCCGCCAGCAACGGGCCGTCGAACATGGCTACGGTTTCCAGGTCGAGGGTGCTTCGCCACCTGTTGATGACATCGCCCAGGCTGTATCGCACATTAGCCTCCACCTTTCTTTTATCCTGCACCGTCATGGAACGCCATACCCTTGCCATGTCAGGTACTCAACGATGGCGTAAGACGCGTAATTCGCCACGGACTGATTGCCGCTGTTGTTGCTGAGATTGGCCAGCGGGTGCGGGAATGCGCTGGTGCTGGTCCACGGCATGGTAAACATGATGTGCACCGGCACTCCGAGCGCCTGGGCACAGTGGACGTGTGCGAAGGAAGGGGGGTTGGCGATGATGGCGTCGGCCACGAACGGGGCTTCGGTGGCGGGGTCTGGCCGGAAACAAGAATACCAGAACCCCTCGAGCATCTCCTCCACCATCTCGCGTTTTTGCTGGATCTCGCCTGCTCGTAGACTCTCAAAGCTCGGGATCAGGCCCGGGTTCTTGACCATGTAGGCCATCAGTGCTGTAGGATCGCCGCCGACGGGGTAGAATTCCAAGCCAGCATCCCGGACAGACTTCTCGAAAACGTCGTGCGTAGCGAGACGGACACGGAAGCCAAGCCTCTGGAGCTCGTTCCCGAGCGCAATGAAAGGCTGGACGTCACCGCGGCTGCCCACGACCTGGATCAGGACGTTGAGCCTCGGATACTGCGCGCCTTGACCGAGGCTTTCCTCGTACCCTGGCGGGCCGGGCTCATCTTCCGGATCGGAGGGCTCGACCGCTTGTTTCGAGGGGGTTGGGCGGTACATGATGCTGACGGCTCGGGCAAGCTTGGATTCGCAATCGATCTTCACACGCCCATCGTCTATCGGTGCATGTGCCGGTCAGCCACTCGCGCTCTCCCTGCCCAAGGCGTGGACAGGCTCCCAAACTTACCACCAACTTCCACGCTGCTTCCCATGAGCTCGTAGACATTTCCCTTCGGACATCCTGGGTCGGTGGCGCCTCCTGGCCTTTCGGCGCTGTCGGCGCCCCAGGCTGGCATGCCGGCTACCCCGGGGCTTTGGAGTGGCTGGACATCTTCAGCTGGCAATTCGTACCGTATTGTGCGCCGCTTCTCTGCCATCGCAGTAATGCGTCCCCCGGAAAGGGAGGAGAGTGCTGTTTGTTTGAGTGGGGATGGCGAGACCCTCAACCGGGAGGGTGAATACTAAGGCGAGTTGGCGGGCGGGCAGCCCTGCGAAAGGGCGAATGAATAAATAAACAAATAAAAAGACGGTGTGCGGGAAATCCAAATGAAAGGCGTGGTGTTGGATGAGAAGCCTGCTGGTTTTGAGGGTGGGATGTGACAATGCCTCGACGCCTAACAATAAACTTTGGATGCAGATTCGTCAGACCTGCCTGCCGAGTTGAATTGACCTTTCCGGTTGCAGCCAGCGATAGGGGCAAACTGCGTGGCGATCGGGTCCAGAACCGTCCGGTGTGGTAATGGAACCCCTTGGACCCTGCACTGCCCAATGTCGCACAGCCCAGGCGATACGTGCTCTCTGGTGGGGAGTTTGCGTGTGTGCCTGAATCGTGTCTGTCGCATCCATGGATCTTGTCGCGGGGTTCGTTTAGCGCCGAGACCCACCAACTAAATCCTCGCTCCCGCTGTGCCCGTAAACGAAGTGTACGCGTGCTGTGCTATACGAGTATTCGATCTCTCGAGCTTTGTTCCTTTATTTGTTTAAACTCCGGATCGCTGCATCTTTTTCAGCCCTTCCCACAAGAAACAGGCGATTCCACCAAGTCACCGAATACACTTTGCAGACCAGCAGCCCTCAAGCTCTCGGCCGACACATTCATTCTCGCAACATTCCCTTACTACTCTTTTCTCTCCGCTCTGGATTATCGTCACAGCATGTATCTCCTCGCCAGACAGGATACTGCCGCCCAAGAGCAAAACCCCTTCAAGCTGTACCACTATGATCCGACCATAGCGGGCGCTGTCGTTATGCTTCTGCTGTTCCTGGGCACAACAATTCTGCACTTCTGGCAACTGGTTCGCGCACGATGCTGGTTCATTCTTCCTTTGGCCATTGGAGGTATTTGTAAGAGATTTTCTCTAGTCTCCCCCCTCGGTCCCGGAGGCGCTCACAGACGAAGGTTGGCTGACAGGCATATTTTCATCGGCACTACAGTGGAGTTCATAGGCTACGCTGCTCGTTGCAAGTCCGGTTTCGAAAGTCCCGATTGGACTCTGGGCCCGTACATCATCCAGGCGATACTGCTCCTGGTGGCGCCATCACTCTTCGCAGCTACCATCTACATGCAACTTGGCCGAATCATCGTGCTTCTGCATGGGGAATCGCGCGCCCTGATACGGAAACAGTGGCTCACCAAGATCTTCGTCACTGGCGATGTGCTGTCGTTTGTGCTTCAAGGAGGAGGTATGGGACCTGATTCGCGGCCCGGGCAAGGGCAGGGAGACTCGTGCTGACTGCGGTCTTGACAGGTGGCGGCTATCAAGCTGCTGGGACCCTTGATGCGCTCAACAACGGATCAAAGGTCATCATCGGGGGCTTGTTCGTGCAGCTCATCTTCTTCGGCATCTTCATCGCCGTTGCCGTTGCATTTGACCTCTCCATTCGCAAAAATCCGACCCAGCAGTCAGGGACACACGCGGTCTGGCGAAAACATATGTGGGCGATGTACATCGGCAGTGCGCTCATCATGGTCCGATCTGCCTTCCGCGTCATCGAGTACCTGCAAGGGTTCAATGGCTACCTCCTTAGCCACGAGGCCTATCTCTACATCTTCGACGCGGTGCTCATGTTTCTGGTCATGGCCCTATTCAACTACGTCCATCCCTCCGAAGTCGTGGCTCTCATTGTCCAGGACGAGCGAGAATATAAAATGGGGGCCTTGACCCAGAATATCCACCACCATGAGCGTCTGCACTCCGACTACCCGTGAGCCAAGCCGTGGCGCCAGAGACAACAGGCAGGTTCTATCGCGCCGCCCACAATGACAAGTTCAAGTATGGCATGGCATGGCATGGCATGGCACTAATTACATCAAGAGCAGCGCGCTGGGCAGCGTTTGCAATAAGAGGGGGGGGCACGGCCGCTTGAGGCGGCCAGGAGGTTGGATAGCAAGGTCGACAATCGTCTATCCACTTCGGTACATAGAGGGGTATCGCATGTATTAGTTAGAATCCACGTGTCTCATCAATAGAAACATTTTGTCACGGTCAGCCAGGCCCAACAACGTCCAGCGGCCACGAGATCCACGGCCTCCAGTAAGGCCCAAGCAAGTCAACCACCACCTCCACAATCTCCTTGCCCAGACCGTCCATGAACCAGTAGCTCGTGATGCCATGCAGAAGAGCACCGAAATACGCAAACAAGACCAGCGCCGGAGGCTGCCGCTGGCGCAGCAGGGTAAAATACGCGTCGGGGGCAAAATGCACAAACATCAACGGCCCCGACCAGGAGCGGTTATACCCCCACGTCGCCAGCGTGGCCGCGTCCATGGTGTCGAACTGCCGGATGAACATCCAACACTTGCGGAGGATCCGCAGCGCCCGGTCGTACGTCTCGGCGTCGCTGCTGTTCTTCCACGTCTCGCGCGTGCGACAGAGATAGCCGTCGGGCCCCTGGGACGCGACCGCGGCCGGCTCCAGCTCGTCCCAGTTCCCGAGGCCTATGATGAACTGCATGCGGCCAAGCCACAGGTAGTTGTGCGTCGGGTATAGCACGGCCTCGATCCCCCGGAGCATGGGGATCCACTCGATGCCGAGCACCAGCTCCTTGCGGGACACGTGGGATGCCCCGCCGTTCGTGGCGGCAGCGCCGCAGCGTTCTGTCAGGAACCCAAAGACGTAGATCATGCTCAGAAGCGACCAGATGAACAGCGCCTCGCTGTTGGCGTCCGTGATGTCGGCCACGGCCTGGCGGAAGCCCAGGAGCGCCTCGTTGTGGTGCGCGGCGGCCTTGGCCAGGTTGGCAACGCCTCGCGCCGCCCCGCCGCTGCTGCCGTGAGCGAGGTGCAGGGAGGCCAGGCTCAGGATGGCGTGCGCTACGAACGGGTGCTCGAAGCCTACCTCCGGGAACACGCGTTGCCACATGTCGGCGCCGCTGGCCTCGCGGCAGATGCTGAGGCTGGTGGACAGCGTCCAGTGGTGGAGGAGTGCCAGGTCGCCAATGCTAAAGGTGGAGGGGGGTGCGGACGTGGGTGCGGTTCCACGGGGACACGAGGCAGCGGAGACGGTCGAGACGCCCTGTGAGCGGGCGGATGTTTCGGCAGGGGGAGGCTCCGTGACCTGCCCTTGCGGCGGCGGCGGCGGCGCAGTCTGGAAGGCGGGCGGTGCTTCATGCGACAGCAGCCGCGAGGATGCGCCATCGGGCCGCGGTGGCGAGGACGCGGAAGCCTCCGTGACGGCCGGCCGGCTGCCGGCGTGGTCTTGCACAGTGTAGACGCATTCCGCACGACGCCGCACGCACGAGTGGCAGCTTGGCTTCTGCTCGTCGCACTGGACAGCGTTAGCCCGCCGCTGGACATGCAAGGTCAGAGTCGAAAGGGGGGGCACGAACCTTGACGCGCCGCCTCCGGCAGTTGACGCAGCCAGCCTTGGACTTGCGGTGGGGGCGGCGTCGCATCGTGGCCGCCGCCGCATGCGGGCTTCCCAAGACCGCTTCGGGCACAAGGGACGCTGGCGACCCGGCCATCTGGCTCAGACGAGAGCCAAGGCAAGGTAAATCAGCCCGCGGAGGAGCGCAGACGGAGATTTGGAGAGGCCAATCGGCAATTCCGATGCGACAATACGTGGATGCGGAGTGGTCGCACAGGTGCGACAAGCGAGGCTTGAACGAGAAGACGAGGCGATGCGAGGTTTGAGAAGAATTCAGATTGATGTATTGAATGCGCGTGGCGCAGTTCCCGTCATAGACCCTGCATCGCCCCATATTCTAGGTGGGACCGATGGAGAGCGACAGGGCCTTGGCACGCTAGCTTCGAGTACATGTACATAGGTACATCCGATTCGTCCAGTTTGCCTTGGTCTCCTCCAAGTCCCCTCCACGACGATTCTCTTTTTGTCAACGCCAACCCATGCCTCTTCTCTGGATTGTGAGCAGATCGGCTTGGAGGCCGGGAAGCGGAAACTGCTGGTTGAGGCTGTGTGGCGTTAGTGTAGTTAGGTAGGTAGGCTCCTCCTCTAGTGTGCACTACTACGGCGCTCCTCGTTCAGGCCCAATCTTCCCGTCGCCATCGCAGAGTTACTTGATCGTCGCGCACTGCTTGCATGTCTGGTGGCTAGTACGTTGCGCCTGAAGGCGCTTTTCGTCCAGATGGAACGAGAAACTCCCTCGTCTTGTCGTGGTGCATTGCACACTGTCTTCCCCCAGAGCTGTCCATCTCACGCATCGTAACAGAAAGGGTTCAAGTCTCCCTCACTGTTTCCCTCCGTGCGCAAGGTGAGAGCCTGTTGTCCCACTGGAGAGTTTGTTTCTCGTTCCTCGTTCTCGTACCTCGCTTGGCAGGACACGGGTCATGACGCAGCGAGGCTCCACTTCACTCGCTTCGTGCACGTTGAGCGATTGGCTGAGCGACCATGGAGGCCCAATTGTCCAATTGCAAGACAGCAGCCACAGTGCATGCAGATTGGGTGCGTGGATACGGTAAGGTACAGGGCACTTTCTACACTTTGCACAGTATTCCGTGCAGGCGTGAGTGAACTGCCAGTGCCGCGCCGAGGCCCGAGGGGCGGAATACGCAGAATGCGCGACGTAAACGAAGTGGCGTTGCCACAAAATGAGGCAAGCGGCCCCCCCCTCCTTGCCTTGCTGGGATCAAGCTCAGTGTTCCAGCAGACAAAGTCGGGCAGGGTCCGGCCGCTTTGGGAATGTATTCCTTGGTATCGCCCAGGGTCGGGCATCAGGACACACAGCCATCTCCGATCGGGCCATGGTATACTTGGTGGAGTCATGCGAACCGTAGCAGAACGGACCCAGCCTGGTGGATTTGTAAACAATTTGATGCTGGTGATAAAGGGGATGAAATAGCAAGACAGCAACGTGCCTCCTCCCAGTTTCCCGTCTCCCGCGCCATAACTGCCTTACTCGCCCAATACAATTCCAACCCGACGACCGATGGCCTCTTCGGACAGCGAGGGGTGCAGCATGTGCACCACTTACTATTTTGCGAGGCCAGCCCAGAACCAGCATGCGTTCACACCACAGCTCCGACCACGGCTAGTCACCCAGATGCAGCAATTTGACGCCTGGGGGAGACTGCAAGAGACCGTCGATCTTTTCTCCGTCGGGTTTCTCACGTCAAGGCTGCGCAGAGACATCCGCAGCTTCGTGACGGAGAACAACCCCCCTCCCAACCTCATCATGACCAGAGAGATGATCCGATCGGCCCAGAACGGGGCACCAGGCAAGGATGAGCCGGAGGCCGCTCTGGCCGGCGCCGCAGCTTGGGAAATGCATCGCTGCCGTGTGGCTGGGGCCTCCCATGCCGCAATCTTCTGGACGGATGGTCGCTGCTGGAAAGCGATACGGAACGGGGAAGGCATGTACAGCATTACGGAGGATTCGGCCACTGAGACCCGATGGTCGTGGACCAGGAGCACACAAGTAAACGCCCTCCGGCATTATCCAAGTTTTCCAGTCATCCGAGTGCTGACAGCGGTCTGTACAGGACAGCAGAGAGTTGGAACTGAAGGCGGCCAACACTGCTCCTGCTCTAGCGCTCTTGACTCCGGGCAGCCCGGGTACACTGCGCGTGCTCTAGCATGGCGGACTTGATATGGGACATGAAAACATAGTGTTGTTGACGGCAGTTTGGGTTGCATATGCAGAAAACTGGCTACGTTTCCAATAACTGAACCTTTTGCAACACTGAACTTGCTCCATGTGGTTTATGTGAGTTTAGCTGAGCGTAGAAAGTGTGGTTTTGTCTCACACACTCCGGAGAAAGGCATGCCTCTGGTTGAGGTTCCGCCTGGTTTGTCAAGATTTGCGGAACCAAGCCACTTGATCGTTTGCCAAGGAGGCCTGTTTCCCACCGACAACGTGGAAAACCTGCGTCACCTGAAGAGCGCTGCTTCGGGGAAAGTGGCTTTTCACATTGAGAACATGCCATGCTCAACCGAATACGAGAGGGGAGCAAGACGCTGAATGAGGACCAAGAAGCCAGCAGCGTGGCAAACGAGCACATGCAAGCGCTTGTACAGGAGGCCACGACGTTGCACCGAAACCCGGCCAAGCACCTCCCTCAAGGGACGGCCGTGCAGATGATCATGCTTCCCGTCGTCAAGAACTACAAGGACACGTTTGGAGCGGCATACCAGACTGTGGAGCTCGAGACTGAGCAGGGTCGGGAGAGGTACGTTTTCATGGCAAATTTGGTCCAAATCACACGCTAATGCTGATATCGTACACAATGCGGGACGTCGAGTTCGCCCAGTCCCAGCCTCGATCTAAACCATTCCGCACATTGGGGTGCTCGAGGCCTTGGGGCTACAACCTGACCCTGGCGCGCCTTCTGGGCTCCATTGCCAACAGTGCTCGAGCCCCCAATTAGGGAGCGCGGACAAAGTCCGTCAGGGCAGTGTGAGTGGCATAGAACGCAGCCTTGGCGCGATAGTTCTCGTCGAAAAGCAACGGCTTCGCACCCGGCAGCCAGGTGTAGGCGTGCTTGTCCGTGAAGCCCCAGAAGGTGATGTCGGTGATGCCCGCGCTCAGAGCCTCGCTGATCACGGCGCCGTAGATGTCGGCCTGGAGTGTGGTGTTGAGCGTGTGGACATCCATTTCAGAGATGGCCACTTCCAGGCCGAGCTCCCTGTAGGCGTTGACCATGTCGGTGATCACGCCTGGTGTGGGGGGGACTTCGGTGATGTGCATCTGCAGGGCGACCCCGTCGATCGGGACGCTGTTGGCCACGAGCCCGGAGACCAGGTCGTACAGGTCCTGGCGCTTGCCGGGGAGCGACTCGACGAGATTGTCGCTGATGAACAGCTTGGCGTCCGGGACTGCCGCTCGGGCGATGCGGAAGGCCTCTTCGACGTAGCTGGGGCCGAGCACGTTGTAGAAGTCGTTGGCTTGCAGGCCGCCGCCCTGTGTTTTGAGGGCTTCGGTGACGACATCCCACCGGTCCACCCTGCCCTCGTACCGGTGCATGACCGCCTCGAAGTGAGCCGCCATTGCAGCACGGAATGCTGTGGGATCGGTGATGCTGAGCAGGTAGTCGGGGTTGCAGCAGCTCGAGATTAGCCCGTGTCCCTTGACCATCATGCCGTGGGCTTCCGCGAAGTCAACCAGGCGGTCGATCGTTTCCCAGGTAAAGCTGCCTTCGGTTGGGTGAATGAACGACCACTTCAGCTCATTTTCGGGAGAGAGGCTGTTGAACTGCTCGGCAAGGACGGCCGCGAACCGAGGGTCATCGAGGTAGGTCGGATTGATCGCTCCGGAGCCGATGAGAATGCCCTTCTTGCCCGCCTCCTCCCTCAGCTTGGTGGTTCCGGTGCTGGGGATTCCGCATGTTGCTTCGGCCGTAGCGAGCAGCGCGATGATGGGTGTCACGGCCTTCATGGTTCTGGTCAACGAAAAAGTCCTGTCTCCTCGGTATTCAGCGGTGAGTGTCGTGCGACTTCTGTCCCAGCATCTTTGAGGGCTTTATAGATCGTAAGAAACTAAAGACGAGGCAGTGGTTCGATGTCGTGGACACAGCCGTTCCTTGATCGCCGGTAATCATGACGTAGAGCAAGCGACGGGTTGGGATCTTTGGAGTGGAGAACGAGAAACGAGGGCGGGAAAGACCCTGCTCTTCTCCACCGAGACTCGTCCAGTGGTGGAACCGACGGATGGCTGGTTATTTAAACCCACGCTGACCTTGTCGTAAGACTGTGGTAAACAAAAATGCGCGAGAATGAACATGTGCTGTTGTTGTCGTTGTGGGGTTGAATGAGAAGAGCTGGCGGATATGCGTAAACGAGACCGGAAACGAGAAACGAGAACGAGAAACGAAAACTTCTCACTGTCACCTACAGATGTGGGCTGCCGCGTACTGTGTGGGCCACAGTCAGTTCCGAAACTGGCCTAACTGACAATCTTTGAACACTGAAAATCTGGACACTGATTTCGGTCTCTACTGTATTCGATGTCTATCTCATGGAGGTTGGAGAAATCCTGCATGCAGCAACGCTGGGTTGCCCGGAGCGCTCGAGCTAGCTGGCCCTGATAACAAAAGCTGTGACTTGCAAACACCATTTCAAAATCCACTTTTGGCGCTAAAAATCGGTGTGCCACCACTAAAAAGGCCTTTTTCAACGCAGTTCAACCGCGCAGGTATGCACGCACTTAGCTTTTGGTAGCCTAGTAGAGCTAGGTGCGCGCTATCCAGATTCGAAAAGGGCGCGATAATACGAGCGAAGGGCGTTGAGATATTAATGAAAATGCAAAATAGCGGAATATTACACGATAGTACAGTAATTGTGTAATTACTGCCAAGATTAATTGAATAGGTGTTTGCAAATTCGCTTCGCCTCGCTTATTCTACCGAATATTCATAAATGCCAAGCCTATGCCAAGGCCTAAACAGTTCAAAAAAGATAGTATTTTATAGATTCATCAATATCTCAGCGCGTATAGCTCGTATTATCGCACTCTCTTCGAATCTAAATAGCGCGCGCCTCGCTCTACGAGGCTACTAAAGGCCAGATGCGCGCATGCCCGCGCTATTGAACAGCGTTGAAAAAGGCCTTGTTGGCCTATTGACCAAAATACTAATTTTTACCACCGGGTGGTGGCCACATCGATTTTAGCGCCAAAAGTGGATTTTGAACAGGTGTTTGAAGTCACAGAGGCGACTAGCCGGAAGCCCCGCTGAAAGGAAGGGCAAAGGGGGCAAGGCGACGCGAGAGGCACCGAAAAGCAGGGCCTGCGAGAGCGCCGCACCAGTTTACAGCTTCGGCCGCTCGAAAATGAGGTCAGCTAACTCCCCCTTTGTGTAGGCCACGCAGTGGTGAGGCGACGAGAAGGGCCAGTGGCGAGCAGCCTCCTGCCAAACGCTGGGTAAGCAGGCAGGCGACTGCGGAACTGCGGCCGTGACAGAAGGACCACCGAGGAGGAGCAGGCGCCGCGCTGCCGTGGAAAAACTACAAGGTGTGAGGAGAGCGCCGGCCGATATCGCACGGCAAAGAAAGAGAAGGCTCATCAAGCCGGGCCGAGGCAAACTCATTGCAACGCCGAGTCACCGCAGGACGATTTGGCGCGCCCCGCGAGGGCGTAGAACGAGCCGCAACGAAACCAGAGGGGTGGCGCGCTAGCGGCAGCACAGGGGCTGCTTCAGGCCCTGGACACAGCTAACGTGCCGCTGGCAACCAGGCTGTGATCGATCGCCCACTAGCTTCTATCAACCTGTTTCGTGATAGCTATTGCAACGGCGATGGTGGAGTTTTCTTGATGGGAAAGGTAGCATTATTATACTGTATAGAAATCAACTCAGCGCCGTTGCCAAGCAATAATTATATTAAAAATCGCCTCGTGCCGGCTCCCTGCGGCGATCGATAGCGCCGTTCGGTCTTCATCTCTCGACTTCAGGATCAAGCCCACCTTCTCGGACAACAAAAAACAACAGATACATGTAGAAAGGTCTTCGTTGCTACGCCAACCGAATCCAGGAGTTGAACTATGACGCCGCGCCGGATGAGCTTCCTAGATACAAAGCCTAGCCAAATCGTTCTCGAGATCCCTCACGGTGACCTAGTTCCCCGTCCTCGCCAATGTTCGGTTTGTAGAAGTCGCATCCTCCCAGCCTACACACATAGTGTATCCCCCCTGGAGCTTTCTTCTCCCGGCCCGCCACCTGTGTCTTGCTCGAAGCGCCGCAATGGCATGGCGGGTTGTTGGGATCGTTGCCTCGGTCGTCCACAAAACAAAGAAACTTGCTGCAATGCTGGAATTTGTAATAGGGATGAACCTTTTTTCCCCTTCCCATTCGACTGTCGAGTTACGACCGTCTTGCTAGGCCCTCCGCATAGCAGGATGGGGGGTGCATGGGGAACGGGGCGAGAACGACTGTACGTGGATTGGAGAAGTCGAGAGACGCCTGGTCTCGAGTGAGCGCTGCCTTGGCTAAAAATGATGGGTGCCTACCATCTTCAAGATAGATTTGCGTAGTTCACCATTCATAGAAGGAGAGCTTGTTTCTTGACTAGCCCAAGAGACAGACGTCAGTAAAATGAAATATCGTCCAGGTGGATAAATCAGCTCACATATGTAACAGTTGCAGCGTGCGTCTTGCGACAGACTATGGACAATTCTCCAAGCATACCAAATCTTAGGAAGAAGGAAATGGAAAATTCGGTAGCACGAGAGAGCTTTTATCTGTCCAGATGGAGAGCACTATTGCTAGTTGGTTGGCCATGTCTGTGATCTGGATACTGCCCAACGCAAACAAGGCGCAGAGCGTCTGCAAATCATGGCCGAGGAAGAGAAGTAGTAATATAGTAATAACGACTTAAAGTAACATTGAAATATAACGTTTCGGAATTGAAATGTAATGTCTCGGAGTTATTCTAGTCTTCATTTAGTCTTCTGATCTACCTTTGTCTTAGGAGTCCTGCCTTACGTTCTGTCTTAACCTTACCTATCTCGACAGTATTGGGTGCAGGTCGTAAAAGTATATCTCTCTAGAAGAGGCGTAAATTGAGTGGTCACAAATTGTCCAGAGACTTTGCGGGATGTATTTTGACTGCGTCTCATCCAAACTGTATATATATATAAGTGGACTAATGAGACACGGTTTACACGCCGTCACCTGATTCCCAAGCACGTTTCTCCACCTCGTACTCTTTCGAATAATCCCCAAACTCGTTGAAGACCTCCTTCATCATCTCCGTGTGGCGGAGTGGCCACCCCTCAAACCTCGCCTTGGTCGCGTCCCAATACTCGGGATAGTACCCGGCAGTCTCCCAATCCACAATGCCTCTCACCGCCCACCCGCCCCTGGTTCCGTCCCGGCGCACCACGCGTTCCACGAGGATGTTCCTCGGGTTGAGATCTGCGTGCGTGAACACAATCTTGTGCCCGTGGCGAGCGGGGTCGTCTGGATACCGCATGAGCCGGCTGAACGACGCCTCATCCGGGAACGGGCCGATGGGAAACTCTCCCTGGAGCCGAGGGTCACGGCATGGCTCTCCAAGAGTGTTGCAGATGGCCATTTCCGGGTTGACCGACTTGGGGATGGCGCGCAACTGGGCCATGTAATCCTTCAACTGTGTCGCGATGTGCTCATTGTCCCGGTCAGACGTGATGTGGAGGCATTGCTGCAAGCGCACACCAGGCACCTCGGTGATGAGGAGGTATGCTTGATCGTCTGGCCTGTAGCGATAAACACGGGACTCGGAACTAACGGGAACGTCGCCATCTGATTCCGTCTCTTCCCACACCACGTCAAGTGGCTGGGGAACGGGAATCGACGTGTGTTGACGTACCACCTGAAGCGCGTTGAACTCATTGCGGAACCGGTCCGACTCTCCCATGTACTTCAGATAAAGCCCAAACGGGAGTTTCTGCACGTTGGTCGCGCCGTAGGGCGGCCCATAGAGGCGCTCCCCGAGCACACGCAACTTCTTGTAGACCGCAATCCGGACCTGACTTGGAAACATGAGCCAGACCGCAAGTATGGGTATAGCGAGAAGGGCCGTGGGCGAGAAGAAGAATGCTTGGGGCCGGGCCGGTAAGCGCTGTGGCGCAGGTGACTTGTCTAACGCGGCAATTTCTTTGGCCAGGTTGTGGAATCGCATGCTTAGGCAGAATCGGGCATGAGAGCCGACAAAACGGGGGTCCACGATGTCTATTTTTGATCGGGAATGGTCGCCTAGCAAGGGGAATGAACCGTTGACAGTAACGTATTCCTTCTCAGGTCCAATGAGAACGTGTTTTACTTGGTACTGTGGTTGCCACAACGTTAAAGGCGCTTCGACATCAGGTGCCAGTAATGTAGACAGCGCGAAAACTCACCTCGACCATAGACGGTTGTAATCTTTCTAATTTGATTGTCCCTTGCAAGAGAGCCCTTGCCGTCGATGTACGGACCAGCCAGTGACTGCGGCAAGAGGGCGTGCGCTCGGGGTTTTTGATGTAATTACGAGAACCACCAGTCCCGGTACCGGGGGCCGAAGAAAGCGCCGAGCATATCGCGATTTTGGGGCTGTGAGATATACGATTAGCGGACAACGTGGATTTGCTCAACGAATAAATACCGTCACGGTTGTCGTACCTTGTCCGTAACCCAAGCCGACGGGATTGGAAGGATGGGCGCAACGACGAGAGGATCCCAGTAAGTGCCAGCCTTTCCGGTCACACAGCATTTACCTCCGTCTCGCATGGTGATGAGGCGTTGTGCCTCGGAGTCGGGTGACGGCGGGGCGCAACCATTGTGGGTTACTTGAACTTTGGTCAGAAGCGTTTCGCTCAGGAAGAGCAGGAGGGAGGGCAGAGAGAAGGGGCTTGCTTACTACATTCAACAATGTAGGACCAATCCGACACGAGCGATCGGGCGTCGCCTAAAGCCAGCCTGCCTTTGACATAACGGGCAGCTGAGACGGGGGAGAGAGCGTTCTCAACAAATGCTGAGAGAAATCGCCCCGAAGAGTGGGGAAGGCGAAGTTTCTCGATAAGATCCACCGTAGCCATGGTCTCCTTGTAGTCTTCACTGAGCACTGGCATTTTAAACAGCTGGGGCCGAGTTGTTGGCAGCGATGTGGAAGCGAACTGGCGAAAGGAAGAAGATTGGAGTTGGATGAGGTTCGAGGGGGGACCACAGGTTTTACAGGGTTGAATAAAGAAATGATGGACGCCCCACAAAAACTGGTACTGCTGCTTCCAGCTCTTGGCTGTCTCTTACATAGTGCGGATGCCGTATCCACTCATGGAATCCATAACGGATAAGCAGGAGGCTAAATGACCTTTTCCCGCTGTTCAAAGAGATTTGGGCAGTTCATCGGAGCTTGAGATCCTGGGAAACTCTGTGATTTCTTTGAACCCTTGCTTAGCCAATTCTAGGTTCCTGTCCGTTCAAAGAGATTTAGCAGTTGGTCTGAGCTTGGCGTGCTAGAAAACTCTGTGATTTCTTTGAAACCCCTGTGTGTTAGCTACCTGCAATTCTGGATTCCATGAGTGGATATGGTACTGAATGCGACATTCACGAACAGCAAACGACGGGCCCTGCAACAATAGACCTTGGGCCTTGCTAGATTGAACTATAGCTGCTCGTGGCATGTTCCAAGGCTGCCATCTAATTGTTGGCGAACTGTTCGCCTCCTTTGATACGGCCCCGGATCCCCTTAAGCGTTGGCTTCTTGGCAGGCCCACAATTACAATTCCGAGACCTGACGTCCTGAACGCCACCACTCTGTCAACGCCTAACCCCTTGTTATCACGGGGTTTGCGAGGTAACTAGACGGAGCAGTGACGTATCTGATTGTTAGTGTGTAGGACATATCCGATTAGTGCTTAGAGAAATTCAACATGTTGCACGCTCAAAAAAGATTTCTAGAGGCCGACATTACTTTACCTGCCTCATAACGTGCTTTCAAACGAGTCCTTCTTTGAGATAGGGGCATGGATATAGCCTCACGTATATAAGTTAGGTGGGGGAGTAAGCGAACGCCACTGATCCAGAACATTCTAGATAAGCGAGGAACACAACCAACCCTCTTATATAAAAAGCCCATAACTCAACCAATTCTTTTCCAATTCTCTTCATCTTCAATTCGTTTTATTCTTCTCTTGACAATGGTTTCATATACAGAAGAAGATCTCCGCAAGGCTTGCGAGGAAGCCGTCAGAACACATCGATTACGCAAAGTCGCGCGAAAATGGAACGTTCCACCCTCCACCCTTTATGGCCGTCTACATGGCTCCCTACCTCGAAATGTTGCTCATCAAGATGAGCAAAGGCTTACACAGACCCAAGAGGATCGTTTAGTCGAATGGATTCTTCTTCAACAAGATTTAGGATTGCCCCCTACACATGCACAGATCAGGGAGCTTGCACGCCGTATTCTAGCTGAAAGGGGGGACTCCTTACCACTTGGAAAGGGGTGGTGCCGTGCCTTTCTTAACCGCAATCGAATTTTGAAGACTCAGAGGGCCAAGAGAGTCGATTCGGTCCGCGTCAACTGCGCTACAGAGTCAACAATTCGACCTTGGTTCAACCGTTTCCAAACACCAGCTATCAAGGCGATTAAGCCAGAGAATCGCTGGAACAAGGACGAATCTGGTATTATGGAAGGCAGAGAAACCAACGGCCTTGTCATTGGAAGCCGTGCCTTTAAGGCGCTTCAAAAAAAAACAGCCTGGAACCCGCACTTGGACCACTTTTGTCGAATGCATCTCAGCAGCTGGCCGTTGCCTTCCTCCTTTGGTCATTTTTAAGGGGAAAAGCGTTCAACAACAATGGTTTCCTTTGGATATGAAGCCATTTCAGGATTGGTTCTTTACAGCAACTGAGAAAGGATGGACTACCGATGAGACAAGCATCAAATGGTTAAAAAATGTGTTCATTCCTCTCACCAAGCCAGCAAACTCCTCTGAGAAACGACTCCTTATTATTGATGGCCATGGCAGCCACACAACTGCCGATTATATGTGGGAGGCATTCACAAACAATATTCACATTATTTATCTGCCTCCCCATACTTCCCATGTCCTCCAACCCCTAGATTTGGCCATATTTGGCCCCCTAAAACGACTTTATCGCAGACGGCTTGAGGACCTTCTTGCTAACGCCTTTGACGACTCTTCTGTAGCCGGAAAACGTGCGTTTCTGGAATGCTACCAGATTTCACGCACAGAGGCAATTACTAAGAGTAATGCTAAGTCAGGATGGAAGGCATCAGGCCTTTGGCCCTTGAATGTCAACAAACCGCTAAGAAGCCCACTCCTCCTCAAGAATTCTAATACTTCACGCCCCTTAAGAACTACTATAGTTACCCCAGAGGTTCGCACACTCCGTATGCCAATCCTGGAGGATTATGGAGACGATCGGGTGCAGTGGAGGACTCCTAGAAAGGCACGTGATTACGTTGAGCAGGCAAAGAAGTTCGCACGCATCATCAAAGCAATGCCAGCGGATAAGCTCTTCCTCAGAAAGATTGGTAAGGCTTTGGATGAACAGGCCTTTGAACTGGCTATTAGGAAGCGAAAGATTGAAGGTCTAGAACACACTCTCGAATCAATAAGAGCCAGAAAGAAGAAGAAGGTTGAAGAAGATCCAAATACCACCTTTGCGAATATTCAGACTATTCGTGAGGCCCAGAGAGCTGTAAGGCGTGCAGCAGAGGTTTTAGAAGATGCGGAAGAAGCGGATGATTCAGAGGATATCAAAGATTGTATTGAAGTTTTGTAAATAAAAAGATCACCCTTTCTTTTGTTGGAGGGTTAGTTGGGACTCCTGCTTATACAGAATGTTCTAAATCAGTAGTGTTCGCTTACCCCCCCACCTAACTTAATTTATATCTTATAGATGTTAGCAAGTTCAGCCCATTCAAGAACTTTCGTCATTCTTCTAACGCATACTTTGCCACTCTACTATATTCCCGCAAACGATTTGCCCAAAGAGCCTTGAGGAACGAAGCTACAAATATGGGCAATCTTCAACTTTGTTTGGGTTGATCATAGCGAAAGAGACGCTATTTCCTTTTTAAAATTGCTTATATCAGTGCGATTTTCAGGAATGTCGAGACCAGTGCACCCTTAGTAGCGCAGGCTTCCAGCTGGAAATGACCCCGCACCGCGCCCCAGTTGCCTCTGGCCTTCAGTACCTCGAAAGCACCCGTGCCGCTATGTCACTATTACTGGATGCCCATGTCCACACTTACAGACTGGCTCCTCCGCTGCATTCCCCTTAGCCTGCTCCGCGCTGCCTGGGACCCACTTTGCGGCTCTTTTGATCCAACTCGTGCTGCAGGTTATTTGGCATGCGTCCTCGACGCTCGCCTGCGTGCCGAAGTGGAGCCAGACACCCAAGGCTGCTCGCACGAGCTGGTGAGAACGGCGAGTTACGATGTGCCGACATCGTCCTGCTAGCAGTCGTTGATAGAGTGGCCCTCTGAAGTTGATAGGATATTTCCACCCTTCGAGGGGGTCTCTGTCAGTCTTTGCTTCTGTCACGCGGGGCGTTGCTTTCCTCTGCCTCGTTTTTGGGTCTCTTACATCCTTCCAATCCGAAGCACTGGGAAGATCCACAGATGGGGAGACGATCTTTGTAATCCTGCCTTAAGTTCTCGCACTCCTGCCGCAAGCTCCCGACCTGCTCCCTCAACACTCGTGAGTATAGGTGGGATAGCAGGGCATTGGACACCCGGCTATTAGCTATAGTGTTGGAGACCATACGACATTCAAGAACTGCCAGAAACTAAATACATATGTGCCATCGCGTCCCAAGATTCCAGTTTGTTGGAGAGCCGCATTTCAGCGAACAGATCAGCCCAACAGTCAATCTTAGCTTTGAAAAATTCCCAGGGACTAATACGAGAAGGGGAAATACAAGCAATAGCGAGACATAAAGCGCGAAGACGGCGGGCGGGCCGTCGTCAGAGCAGCAAAGGGTGGGAGGGAAAATGAGGGAAAAGGAACCTAAGACAAATCAAGCTTGATGCATTTGCTGGGGTCATTGTAATCAAGGATTATTTCCCGAATAGCCTCATCTCGAACTCCTTGCGACGGCCGTCACTGTCAGTTCGTGATTTTCTTAGCCTTTTCTATAGTTGCTAGGTGGCACACCTCAGCCCCTCGAAACCCTCGCTAAACTCTTCGAGCGGCCAGTCCCTGCCTGCCCAGACTTTGAAATCCCTTGAGGTTTCGCACCCTTGACTACTGTTGGCTTCTTCGACAGCCGACCGTTGCTTATACCATTCCTCGCCGAAGTGTTTTCGACCCCAAGCCGCATACGTCTCGGCATCATACAGCTCCGGCTCCGGCGTCTACGGCATTAGTCTCAGTACGCGTGCTCAACGGCTGAAAATATGTGAATATCCCTAGGAGACCTAGGAGACCTAGGAGATCGGGTAGAGAAAAGTTCCTAAGAATGGTGATGAATAACCCTAATCCATTAATGAGAACCTATAGTAATTCAAGTACGTCGTGTGGGGTTTCAAGTCCATCACGTGGGTTCTTAGCGCCCCATATTCTGCATCCAGTCTTCCGTTGTCGCCTGTCCCTTCCAGCCCTGGTAGAGCAGAGATAACTGCACCTGGGTATTGGGGAGCACCCCTTGAATAGGTGGGGAATGCACAGTTCAGAGTCGGCCTCGAGAGATAGGAGGCCCTAGAGAGAGCAGGAGTCTGTCTAACGCCACTTGACAGAGCATGCTTCCCCGCCGGCGGGTCGTCCGGCGCCTTCCGTTTCCGAGCGCCTTCTGTTGCTAGACCATGGACACGTGGGACTGAGTCCATATTAGAAGCTGCTAGTTGATGGGGATCTGGCATTTCAGATACCGCCTGAGACGTGAGAGCCTCAGGACTCTCGGCATCCGAACGAGGTCCACGGCGTCGGGATTTGCTACTAGGGATATTGAGCGATTTCGTTGCCGATTTTTCGAAAGAATTTCTATGAAGCTTCCAAACAATGTCTTCGAAATCTTCGCTTCCTTGGACGGTGTTGAGGTAGTGCATGGTTGTTATGATGCTAGTAGAGCCAGGGAGGAAGAACTCCAAGACAGAGACTTGGGGTAGGATCGACGAGGTCGGCGAGATGGTGTTGTTGAATGTCGCCATGTTGGGCTGTGCTGTATGACCCCTTGTGTGGACCATGTCCTCGTGTCCGTACGCCTCACGCTTCTCCCATTCCAGGAGGGTCACTGGCCGGATGGAACTGCCGGTCATGCGCTTAACCAGCGCCTCGTACTTGTCGGTGTCTTCGAGCGCATCTCTTGGATATCGGGATCCATGATTGCTAGTGCTCGATAGGTCGGCAAGAACGCGACCGGCCGGTCGGCAGACCGACTTACCGGTGACAGTGATCCCTGATCGTCGGGTTGACCTCCAGTAGAAGGCACTGAAAGATATAAGCTGGGTCAGTCTCTCTCTTCTTAGCCTGCAAGAGTTGCATCGTCCGTCCGCGACGCGACCAACTCACTTGGCCAACCTGTAGCTCTAGGAGCGATGATCTTGCGCGCTGTAGTACAAGAGTGCAGGGAAGCTACGGTCTAATGATCGCGTGATTGTTTTATAGGTTGATCGGTCGGGTTGCTGGGAAAGCAGGCGACTCGGAATCGGTGGGGTGGGTGGAGGGACCGCCACAGAAATACACGTGGTAGAGGAGCTTACCCCACCACAACTCTGCCACTGTCAACGTCACAGTGGAGCCGTCTCCCTCTGTCTGATTGGGCACACCCTACAAGAGCCCATGGATCCCTCCAAACCTTCAAGGAATTGGCACTCGGGAGGAAGTGCCCCTTGGTCAAACAGGAAGTGCCCACTTTTCCCCCCCAGACCAAGGGTGAAGAAGTTAGTAGTGCCTAGCGATACTTTGAATTGGGAGCACGTGACTATTGCGACGACATGAAGAAGATACTAATCTATCCAGTTTGATCGATCGTACATTATGAACAGGTGCGTCGTAAAGAGTGGAGACAGACCAAATAAGAAAGAAACGCTCGGCATAAAAGCGAAAAACCACGCCAGGCGACGATTGCGGGGGAGGACAACATGTCGGGGCCAGGCGGCTCGGCAGTGGGTGCTCGTACCCAGCCAAACACGATCGACACCTCAATCCTTGCGACGCCCTCCATCACGTACGACTGAACCCTCACAGGTCGTGCACCTGAACAGTCCCATCCCCATGCACTCCAATGCCCCCCTGGTTATGGAGCCCCGACATCGTGGTGGGGGGGGGTTTTTTTTGACCTCGCAAGACCGGGCTCCGCGTAACGCCCGGCCTAGGTCGGCTGCATGGCACACACAGCCCCTTGAGCCTTGTAATCACCGGTACATAGAATCGAGAGAGAGGACTAGAAGATAGGGATTAGCATCATCCTTGCTCCAGTACATGGCAGAGGCCTGGGGCGTATGGAAGCCCCACAAAGGGGGGCATCTTATGTATCAGGGGTAAATAAACAAATAACCTTAACCAGAGAATTAATTATCATTAACTCTCAGCAATGCCCCCGGCGCTGTAGGTTGCGCAGTAACGTATATCATCTATAGTTTTTCACTTCTACTAGTTCAGAATTAAACAAAAAAGGCAACAAGACGACGGCCGATGTTCTAGGACTTCCACAGAATAGCGCCTACAGAATGAAGACTGACATGTCATTAGCTTCCACAAGCCTGCTCAACACCCATCCCCGCAATCGCCTCGCAGATCTTGGAGTCTATCATCTAGTCCGGCATCACGGACCGATTCAAGACGACGCTAGTCTATCCTTATAACCTATCCAAACTCTCCACCTATTGCAATTTATGCAAGAGGTTCCAGTCCATTGAAGGCACAGACCAGCTCCTAAGGATAAAGAATCTCCGCTGCTTCCCCTCCGCTGCGTCCTCTCTTCCGCTGCGTCCTCTACGCCTTCGCTACCTCGCTCGCCTTCTCTCCTGCAGCATCGGGAAGCTCGCCGTAATCTACACTATCGGCGCTTCCAGTAGGTGTGGAGGGGATAGAGTCCAGTTCAATATCGTACTGCGGACTGGCACTGAATTGATGGGATTTTGAATTGTACCTGAGCCACTTACTGCCCTACGCGGCAATCCGGCAGCCTAGACAGAGAGCACATTCCTCTCTGTCCTCGCTCATAGAAGGGATCTCGAAATACTTCTCATCATTCGTCAATCCTCTCCTACGACGAGAACCACTTATCGGGGAAGTACTTGTCTGTCTAGAGAAGACCCCTCATGGCGTTGTCCTCGGGCAGTGGCCGTTTAGACGCATTCTCGGCTTGGGGGAAAGTCTCCCCTTCGATACGAGAGTAAGTTTGATATAGACGTCACAACCTAACAACGAAATCGCCCCTCAACGAAATTGACCCACACCATGCCCACACCCACTTTACGGGCGCAAATTATCCATTTATACCCAAAATAACTACAGTAGCAAAAAAGTCCTCAATCCTCTTCTTCGGCCTGTCTATATTGTTCAAGTCCACGGGCAATTATTTCTCGCGCTTCTTCGACTGTATATGGCTGACTTGCTGCCCGGGCCGGTTTTCTTCGTTTGGGGGGTATTAGGCTAGCTTTTTGTGCCTTGGCCATGTCTTCTGTATGTGCGAACTTCTCATTTCCATTTTCATGAACTCTCTTACGACTGCGAGGCTTTGAAGCCTCTAATTCGGTCGTGAGATGCGTAATTTGTGCCTTCAAAGATGCGATCTCTGTATTCTTCATATCCAGGGACCTCCCTACCTTAGTAAACAAAGCCCGCACACGCCGGTGAGCCGGGCTGAGAGCATTCCGAATGCTCTCCTGGTACTTTTTGATGTCCTGACTGCCGTGCGGTGTTTTGAGAAGCTTGTCGTCGTCGTTCGGGGCCCTCGTCGGCGGTGTTGTGGGCCGGGCCGGGAGTGTTCCGTCGTCTTTGATCGCCTCGGGGTCATCAAGTATGCAGGCCGGGTTGTACAGCCAGATCCCGGTATTCCTAAAGCCCGAGATGATGTTCCGGGCGTTCATGCCTTGAGCTGAGGCATCTCGGTAACAGAAAAGGAACCGTTGCTTGTTGATAGGAGCTGACATTACATTCCAGGAACCTAAGGTTTCTTTTTTAAATATTGCAGCAAAATTTATTGGTTGTAGTCCTTGCCAGACTCCACTGGAGTATGCAGCAACGATACCCGTTGAGCACCTGGGAACTAAATGCTAGCCCCATCCCAGCAGAACCAGCAGAACCAGTCCTCCCATCCCAGAACCAGCGCTTTCATCCCATGAACGTCGCAGTAGCTGATTCCCCTGCTTACTACCCTTGGGCCCCGAGCCAAGAATCTCAAATCACGACTAAACCCTCACAGGTCGTGCACCTGAGCAGTCGCTCCTTAAGCGCTCCAATGCTCTCCTGGTTTGATAGTACGGGTAGGGAGTTCTATAGCGCGGGGGCCGCCAGACCCTGACTCGGAAGCAGCTTGGACAGCGAGTACTGTTGTTGAAGACTAGAAGCTTGGTCTTGCACCTCGAGCAATCTGACTCGTTCTGGGTGGCCTATGAAGGTTGGTCAGCCTGTCTGCTTGCCCTAGGGGGGGCACTGGACTGACTTGGGATATTGCATCTACCAGCGTCGTTTGTCGGAGGTACCAGGAATGCCGATGGTAGAACCGGCAATTGTTGTAGATGGTTGGTTCAGCACCTATCACTACTTTATAATCTAGCCGCTGGAGAAACTCGACCATCAGGGCGAGCTTTACCACGACCAGCACCTGTCGGCCCAAGCGACTGTGGGATGCTAGTATAATGAATGAAGCGCGGGAAATCTCAATGTCCGCTGTCCCAAGCTCACCAACCCCTGTCATCCCACCCCCTGACGGTGCGGGAGCAAATGGCTCCTGCAGTTCATGAATCTGGTTTTGGGCTTTGGTGAGTCTTCAGCCCGTTGAAGTGCCTTGAAGCGCTAAAATTCGAGCCAATGAGTGCGTAAAACTTCTCAAATCTACCGTACCTTCAACGGAGTGACTGCACCCACACCGGCACGATACAGAGCTGGCATTTGTATAGGTGACTATGTTTACTTACTCCTGAATTTCTCGTCGATGCGCAACATATATTGTATTATCACAACGCCTAGCCCATCAACCTACCTACAGCCATCCAAAGGTCAAGAATAAGGGGATCAACGACGAGTGCCAATGAGGTGAAAGTAGCAAGATGTAGAGCATAGGTACACCAAGGCTGCTATCTATTGTCATATTATATTAGAAATTAATAATATGGATCAGTTGGTACTCGATTAATAAGAAGAAGTAGTTGCATAAGTACTCTACTAAACGCGCCGAGCAGCTTGACCACCATCTAGACACTGCAAGCCATATACTGCAGGCTGGCTGCAACTTCGCCTGTGATTCCTTCAATCAGTAATACTGAGGCAAACCACTCGCCCTACCAATAGCCTGGTCTTTAGCTTCAGATTAGGAAGGATGCAAGAGCCCAAAAAATGAAGCGTTGCGGCGCAAATACACGTGAAGGCAATACTCCAGAGCGATAATCGGCCCAAAGCAAAGACAAACCCACTCGAAGGGTGGAAATCTCCACCCAGATTCAGAGGGCCATTCCGTCAACGACAGCCACCGCCGATCTCAGCCCAGCCTCCTACGTTGCAATTGCCAGATCAAGGGAAATTGGGCTCTGACCTGAACGGCGGGCGGAGAACCGCCATGTGACTCTTTCTACATGTTTACTTACTCCTGAATTCATCCCTGCACGCTTCTTTACAAGATTGCATTTACGATTCAAGAGAGCTCAAAGCATCTTTGAGATATTATGCAGCGTTTCACTCAGATCAGATATATCTATCAGATCGATCAAATCGATCAAACAGATAAGGCCCTTCCGGTCATCAAACAGATCAGATATCAAGGTCATATTTGTTTGACTATCTGGCAGATAAATGAGGGCATTCGGAGCCCGGATTAACTAGTAATTCCGGCCCCGGCCGGATTTGTGACCCGGATAATTGTTGATCCGGACCCGGAAGGGGTCGTTTCCGACCGCCGCCCCCGAATTCCCCCCCAACTTTACTCCTGCCGCGCCCTCAGCCGCACCCTCACGCGTGCCCTCAGCCAAGCCCCGGCCCCCACCCGAGCCCTCAGCCAAGCCCTCCCGATTGAAGCTATCGCGATGCATCGATCCCGGTCACGGAGCCCTGCAACAAGCGTTGCTGCCAGACGCTCGCGATCTCCCGGCCCGAGCCGTCAGCAGTCGCTATTCTCCCAGATACAGTCACGGCCTCAACCCATCGAAGAGCAGGTTGCCGCCCCCCTCAGTGCCGCGCCCGTCATCGAGGGCTACATCGAAGACCTCTATCGTATCAGCTGGGGCAACAAGCATTACGTACTGGCCTCTCAGATCTACAAGAAGTCATCTCGCGGCCGTACAAGCTGGGTCAAGGATCACGGATGGTTCCTAGCCGCCATCACGGCCAACGGTGCCCTCCAGCCCGGCGGAGAGGTCTGGTGCTGCATGTATTGCGACCGTCGGAAGAAACACACTACCTTCGATGCTTCCTCTACATCATCGCCATCTACACATCTGGCTAAGGAACATTCTGTTTTTCGGCAAGGGGAGAAGCATGCTGATCGTCCTGATGTGTTCGCGATGCAGCAAATAGCTTCACGGATCCCCACGGCCAAAGATCTAGCCGCAAAGCACCTTGCCGTTGCATTCATCGTCAATTCCGACAATCCCTTCACTACCTTCGAAGATCCCTACCTCAAGAGCTTCCTGAAGCTGTTCAACCGAGAGCTCGCCGCTACTGTTGCCTTGGGGAGGAATACCTTGACGTCGATAATGATGGAGATATTCAGGGAGCAGAAGACGGTTATTCAACGTGAACTTCAGGATTCCCTTTCCTCCATCCACATCAGCTTCGACCTCTGGACCTCCCCAAACCGCCTGGCATTCGTTGCTGTATTCGCCCACTTCCTCAACAGCAAGCAACAGTATACGAGCCGGCTCATTGCGTTCCGACAGCACCCCGGCGTACACAGCGGCGAGAACATCTCCAATACCCTCTATAACATCCTCCAAGACTGGGATATCCCGCCAAAGCTTGGATTGATCGTTTGCGATAACGCCTCGAATAACGATACATGCCTCCGGGCCCTATACCCTCGGCTCATCCCTAGGATAGACGAGATGGATGTCCTACATCGTCGGATGCGATGTTTCGGCCATATCTTGAACCTGGTTGCGAAGGCATTCCTCTTTGGCGATGATGCCGATACTTTCGAGCTCGAGTCAGATTCGTTGGAGATCTTAGAAGAACACACACAGGCCCTCGGCCATTGGCGCCGCAAGGGGCCGATCGGCAAGCTTCATAATATCGTCAAGTTCATCCGGGCCTCACCTCAACGCTCCGAAGCCTTTCGTGAAGCAGCGGAAGCTGAGGATCATGATGACCTTCACGATTCTTTCACGCTGCATGCCGAATCAACAGCCGAACTGGAGCTACGGCAAAACAACGCCACAAGATGGAACTCGACCTTCCTTATGATCGACCGTGCCTGGAAGAAACAACGGGACCTGAATGCCTACATCAACCAGCTACAGCTCAACCCTGCCGTTACATCAAGGATCGATCCTAAAGATATCCTTAATGCCGACGATTGGCGTTTGCTTGCAGAGATCCGGTTGATCCTCGAGCCGATCTATCTATTGACGATGAGGGCTCAAGGCCAAACCGAGGGCAACGGATACGGGCAGTTGTGGGAGGTCCTGATCGGAATGGAGTACATCCTGGAACAGCTCGAAGACTGGAAGGCACTTTACCTTCCGGATTCCGAAGATCTAGCTGCAGAATCGATCAGTTTGCAGGCTAGCTTGGCCGGGCATCCCGAGCCCGATCCATTCGATTCACCGCCCCCGCCGCCCCGGCCTACGTACCGTCGTACCCGTCGCCAACGTACATCCCGGCCGGCATCACGGCATGAAGGCCGGGCATCGAGGTATCAAGAAGATGCCTTACCTCGGCATGCTGCAGCCGAGTATATCAGGGTCAGCGGCATCGTGAATATGCAGCCCGACGAGAGGGCATTCATCCGGGCATCGATCAACAACGCCTGGGTTAAGCTCGACGAATACTACAACCTACTCGGCGATTCACCCTTATTTGCAGCCGCCGTCATCCTCCATCCCGAGCTTGGGTTACCCTTCCTCGACGGGGCCTGGAGCTCCCAAGAACACTCGCGGTGGCTCGGGCCAACGAAGCTGGCCGTCAAGGCTTACTTCGAGAATTGGTATCCAGACCCTCAATTGCCCCCCGAATCCCTGTCAGCATCACCGTCACCAATGCCTTCACAACTATCTTCGGCTTCATCAACAACATCACAACATCCCAAACGGGAAACAGGCAGGCTCAAGCAGTGGATCAATACCCGAATAGTACGACCTTCAGATACCCAGGGCGAGCTGGAGAAATATTACCAACTGGCCCCTCAAGAATGCCCCGATCCCATCCAATGGTGGCTGGATCACCAAAGCAGCTTTCCCCGGTTGAGCCGATTTGCATTGGACCTTCTAGTCGTCCCGGCCATGGCAGATGACCCTGAACGGGCTTTCAGCCAAGGGAAGTTAACGGTGACATCCCAACGGCACAGGCTCGGTGAAGGACGCATTGAGGCTCTACAGATGTTGAAGAACTGGCTGAAGAACAACGTTATCCAGCTCGGAGGGCTCAGCACGGGTTGAGCCCGGCCGGGAATGCCCTCACTTACCTTTTTTGATCAGATATCTGTCAAATCTATCAAATCAAACAGATAATGGTCCCGTATTCATCGGTCAAATCAGATATGGGCCCATATCTGCTCTGTTTGATCTGAGTGAAACGCTGGTCTGGCGTTGATGGAGATGTTGCACTCGGCGGGATCGTCGCCCCAGACATACGACAATGCCTCGTAGTCTTCTCCCCCATCTGCCAGTCTACGGTCTTCAAGGAGGCAGATAATTGGGTCGCTGGCGCGAGGAGACGGCTCAATTCTCAGCAGTCGGATCCACTGTGTTGGTGAGGGGAGAGTTTCGTATTGGAATGGCTCGTCATTCTCCGACTCATCCCGTCTTTTGGCGGAGAGGTTTCGGCAAAATGAGGGGTTGAACGTCGATAACCTCCGAATTCTTGGGCTCCAACTGGCCCGAGAGCCTAAAAGAATAGCGAAGAGAGGAATAACACGCCATGCCATGCTTGGTAGGGTCCAGCCACACAGTATTGGGTATATGGGGCAGTGGCTGGCTCATGAAACTTGAACTACGATGATTGTTGGCTGATGTTCTTGGCAGGAGTAGTTGGTATTTGGCCCCCTAAATGGTCAATGCCAAGAACCGCCGACGCTTGTTCATGCGCACCCCTGGCACAGCCCCACGTGGGATGGGACCATATAAGACCAGGACGCCAGGTTTGGTGATCAGCGAGATGTCAGCAACAACTTGACAACAGGTGGGTGGCAGGAGATGAGCTGTTCTACAAACTCGTCAAAAACGCAACTATTAACACTACAGCATTGAACGTCACGGTATTACACTCCGCCACCTTTAAGCTCTTTCCTTTCTTCATGTCATTATAGTATTTTCTTCAAGTTTCTTTTCCTACTTATTATGATGCGGTTGTTCCTAATTTTGTCTTTCGGTTATGCTGTTTATTTCCTAATTAAAAAAGAAACATCCACCTCATAATTTGCTGCAGCAAAAGTGGAATCGTCGGCTTAGGTCAATCAACCGCTCCTCGTCTCCATTCTTCATCCCGCCATTTTTAAAAGGGCATCGTATTCGGCCTTGTATTTAAGGACTTCCTCTAGGTCAATATCTGGTCAAATGCTTCGCCATGCCGTATGCAATGGCGGATGTGATGACGCAAATCTTTTTCGTCATTGGGGATCACAATACCCATGCCCTCAGCCTCAAACTTGAAGAAGTCTCCAATCCTGTCCCACGGCTCCCAGCAAGTCCCAAGGCTCGAGGAATACGCAGAGAAGGCTGCCAAGCGTCGGCGGCAGCTCTCCCTCGCCAGTGTCGGCTGTTTTATGGCCGCCTCCATGATGGACTCAGGCTCTTTCCAGCAACCCCACGACCTGAAAAAGTCGAAAATTAAGGGTTCGCAGTCGGCGCCCTTTTGCACGGAATGTCTGCTTCCGGTACTTCCCGCCGAAGTGCTTTTTTTTTTGCACTGGAAAGATTCGTCAACACAATATCATTGTGCAAGAAGTCTCCAACGTGCCCGAGCAAAGAAAAACCCATTTCCGCATATTCAATTTCTTCTAGGGGCTCCCAGTCGAAAACAAAGCTCTTCCCTAACTGCACAATGGGCGCAACTGGCGATGAGTTGCTGTAAATCCCACACATTTGGGTTTCCAGGGTTAGGGTTACTGTGGTCCCGCCTTCTGCTGCAACCTGGGAGGCCGCCATGCCCACAATCAGCCCCACCCAAAAATGGGAGCCTGAACGGCTGCGGGCCTTTTTCTCAACCCCATTTCATCAATTGCCACTCGATTGTCTACATACCCACGACCCTGGGTCCACAAAACGATTCGATCGCGGGTGGCCATGGACGCCCTGTCCCTAGCTGCCAGCGTGATCGCTGTCGTCCAGATCTCGGGTCGCCTGATCAAGCTGTGCAAGGATTATATGGAAGCCATTCAGGACGTGCCTGCCGATCTTCGCACCATGCTGGTTGAGATATCGACACTCAAAGGCTTGTTTGACTCGCTGCACATTCTCATCGACACTGTCACTCTTTCTCAGGACAGCGACTCGCTGCAGGCTCCTGTCAATGCATGTCGCCAGGTTTTGTCCGATTTGGAGGAGCTGCTTGACAGCAAGGGGATTCAAGGTTTAAGCAGTAACGGTGCCAGGACCAGCATGTCCACTGCCTGGGCAGCTCTTGCCTGGCCGCGGAAGAAATCGAGGGCCAAAACCATGATGGGCCAACTTGATATCTACAGAAGCACCATCAACCTCGTACTCACGGCTGATATTGCGTGCGTCAATTGTCTCGCATCCGCAGCTCACTGAGTAACGCTAACCCTCTTTACAGAAACGAAATCAAGGCTCTCAGAGTGCAAGTCGAAACTTTAGATGACAAATTGTCCAGTTCGTTCGTCTTTCTTTGCACGACATTCATTTCGCAGGACATTTAAACTAATCACTTCACCTTCTTGCCCAGGTTCCGAACGCCAGGATATCCTCAAGTGGCTCGTCAGAGTGGATTCAACCTCCAACCACAATTTTGCCCTTCAGCTACACGAGAGCGGCACAAGCGATTGGGTGTTCCAAACAGACCAGTGGCGATATTGGCTCACTGGTGGCAAGCGTCTCCTGTGGATCTACGGAATCCCGGGAGCCGGGAAAACAATTCTGGCATCCTACCTCATCGAGACCATCAAGGAGCGTTGCAGGAAAAGCACCACCATACTCCCGGAAGCTGCCGCTTTCCACTACTGCTTCCATGCAAGATCAGACGGCGATGAGAGGACCAAGTGTATTTCTTCACTCATCGCCCAACTCTGCCGACAACTTCAACACATCCCTCCATTTTTAAAAACCGCCCACCAGCACAACTCAGCCACTCTTGGAGACTTGATGCAGGTCTTCAATCAAATTGTTCTCCGGTTTGAGACGGTGCATATCGTGATAGACGCTCTCGACGAGGCTGGAGAGCGAGGCCGGTTTTTGACTCTCATCCACTCACTTGTTTCGAGCTCGCGATACACAAACGTCCGTGTCTTGGTTACCAGCAGAGACGAAATCGACATTCGGCGGACTCTGGAGCCGATATCTTCTCATATTTCCATGTCCAATCCCGTCGTCGACGATGATATCCGGCGCCATGTCCACAGCGAGCTTCACTCGGATCCCAAGTTTCTACGCTGGCCTCCCGCTCTTCTGGATCAGGTGGAAAATGCTCTCATAAAGGGCGCAAAGGGGATGTAGGTCTACCAAGTCTATTTCCTCGTGTAGCAATTGGCTTGTTCTGATAATCCCCGCTCTAGGTTCCGATGGGCACATTGCCAACTGCTTATTTTGCGGAAGCTCAACCAACAGCGTGCTGTGAAAAGGGCCTTGAGCGAGCTACCCGAAACTCTGGATGAGACATATGAGCGGATTCTTTGCAGCATCCCCGACGAATCCAAGCCTCTTGCCTTCCGGGCCCTCGCGATACTCTGTTCTGACATGAAACATCCTGGCCCTTTGACTGCCAACCTTGTCCGAGATGCCGTGCTTTGGGGAGATGCGGAACACGAGGACATGAGTAGCAACCCCGACGACGAGCTGTTCGATATCGAAGCCCTGCACGAAGTCTGCATATGCCTCATAACCGTACATCATTTTCCCGACACTTATCAATCAAGATACGATAAGCCGATATACTCGGGGAAGCCCATTGTGTTGGCACACTACACAGTCAAGGAGTTTCTCGTCTCTGGCCGGATAAAAGTGAGCCCAGCATCGTATTTCCAGCTAACGACAGCACAGGCAAGGCTTGAGCATGTTCGGCCATTGCTTCTTGCAGCGCTGCACGGCAACTACGATGCGGGCCAATCATCCGACGTCGCCAATGAGTTTCCCAAATTTGCTTCTGGGGCCCTGCCCGGGATACTACTCGAAATTGACCAGGATGTCGCCAACGATCATCGCACCCTAAGCCTTCTCACCGACCTCCTGAACCCCCGTAGTTTCCCAGTGTCTGCATGGAGGACTCAGTTTTCCGGCATACAGACAGAGGACGATGCTTTTGTGACAAGGTCTGAACTGAGATCCGCCAGCTCAAGTCTTCCCGTCTCCACCATCGGTGCTACGGACATGAGAAGCTTGCCATGTGACGACCGAGCCATTATTGCCGCCAAGATGATGGCTCTGCAGCTCGAGAAGACATCCCTAGCCTATCTGGACCTGCTCTACCGCACCACCCCGGATGGCATCCCGCCCGTGCTGTCCGCGCGAGTCACCTTTGACTGTTTCCCCAATTGCACCATCCTCGACATCGCCGCCGCGAGCACCTCAGAAGCCGTCTGCCGCTACCTCATCGAAAAAGGCGCTAGCATCCGGGACGCAACAAAGGCTCTGATTCACGCGTGCAGTTTTCACGGCAAAGACCTGCCGTCTGGCGCCCTCGTGCCGCTGATCAAATACCTGTTGGAACAGGGGGCAGAACCCAACACGCGCGTGGGGCCCCTCACCCCGCTCAAAGCAGCCGTGTGTGTCGGCGACATCGCGAACGTGATCGCGCTGCTGGAGGGGGGCGCAGATCCGGACGGCGCCGGCGATGGCGCATACCGCGGTGTCTCTGTGCGGCAGAGCTGTTGGATGGACTTGTCTGTGCACGCGTACGATGCGTCCCGGACACCAAGGACGATGCCTTCCTACGGCCGCATGAGCGAGGCAAATGAAGAGGAAATTATGCTGATACTCGATCGATACAGCAAGTTGGTGTCGTGATGGTATGATTGGCAAGGAAATGTGGGGGAAGTGAGTTCCTCCACTTTAACTAAGAACCCGAAACGAAGTCATTTGTACAAATTAACGCCAATTTGTGAATCCCCCCCCCCCCTAAGAGCACCACTTTTTTATTATTTGAACGATAAAGATGCCGTAATTCAATAACACGAATGTGGGATGGAGCTGTGTTTGCATTTCAGCGTCTCAAGCATTGAACGGCTTCATCAAGATCGTCAAGATCTCACAACGGCGTCTAATCCACGAAAACGAGTGAATGCTGGCCAGCGAGTTTAATTTGAAACCCTGCAAATAAGTTTAAACGAACGAAAACGAAATAGAACACCCGGAAACCGTTACAAATCTCCACAGTCCCACTCAACAACGATGTCACAACGACTTCATGTCCCCGTTCCAGTTCTTAGGGGTCATGTCACAGCTTCAAAGCCCCTGATACCGTGTGACGCGGAGGAGAGTGCACTGCAACCGGGCACTACCTAACCGCAGTAATCGTTGAACGTGACAGCGGGCTGGCATCCCTTGTCGCAGAGCCACTTCCAGATGATGGTGCCGTTCTCGCGGCAGCCGTACAGCGAGTTGTAGACCAGGTTTCCATTGTTCGGGTCCTGGCCGCCGGCGATGACAGCCTGCTGCAGCGTGAGCTGATCATAGCCTGGATTTTTTTGTGTGAAAAGTGTCAGCTTCTTTTTGAATTGACGTCAATGAGGGGGCAAGAAACAGTTCCTTACCAAACTTGCCACTGGTCAGAGTCCAGCCGCACACATCGTAAGGCTGGTTGCAGGCCTTCGTGAAGGTTGCCTCGGTGGTCACGGCGGCAGCCATGACGGCAATGGCGATGTTGGCGATGTTGACCATTTTGACGGTATTTGTTTTTGGGTTGGGTGGGTGGGTTGAGTTTTGAAGGTGGATGGCAAATATGGTGGCTTAGGTTGAGAGTGAAGAAAACTTTCCCATTTAGGCCCGTGTCTTGGAGTTGGCGTTGTTGAGCTGGTAGTGTTGCTTGTTGTTGTTGTTGTTGCTGTTGTTGCCTGCTCCAAGTGTTCGACCGAGGGGGAATTCTGCCTGCACTTATACACGGACAGAGGTTCAACAACAAACAAAGCGATTCATATGTCCATATTTCTCCTGTTTCTCCTCAACGTTCGTCACCCTCGACCCGCGTCGCTGCCACGGCCCGTCGTCCGGCTTACCATACGTGTCACAGCGCACGGCCCGATGCTGTTCAGACCAGTGAATAGCTTCACCTGGACATAAATGCCAGGGGGCGCAAAACAAGCGGCCCGTTAATCCGTCTGCGAACCAGTGTTGGGCAGTTTGGTCATGGCGGGGGCCAGGGTTTTGGATGAGGCTTGCGTTTTCGGATGCTGACTTTGCGAGCTCTCCGGTCTATTGAAGCATCTCAACAGCCTGTCGTAAGGCTGACGGGGACCTGGTTCCTGGCCCCCGGGAAATGAATGCGCCAAGCACAGACTGTGCCTTCCGAGGTGAGACGGCACAGCTGCATACGCCGTTTACAGACACGAGGAGTCTGGTGATGAACAAAGTGGGGGTCGCGCTTGCTCCACGTGGCCTCCCAGTTGAGTGTCCTCGATGCTGTCCATGCGGATTGCAGACGATTTTCTACTCCATGTTGTGGATCCAAGGCCATCATCTGTGCATGTTCAAGCAATCTTTTGCGTTTTTTTCTTCCTTCTTCTTTTTTTTTTTTTGCTTCCAGATCTACCACCGATCGATACAAGAGCATCTCGACTAAGAAACCCAGATACCTATCAATTGGAAGTTACGTCCTTTAAGTGCGGCGGGATGGCCCTGGAAGCAGAACCGCACGTAGACTTCGTGGGTTGCGTGGGGGTTGACAGGTGCGGCCAGAAAGGTAAAAATCCGTCAACCAATATGCATCGGGAATTCTTCATCGTGTCAGACTTCTCCTGCAGCAGACACGCTCACCGGTTTCAACCAAAACTCACATCCCCCTTTAAGCCAATCAAATGGGAGCGTCGCACATCATGGTTGGGTAGCATTTTGCGGCGAGGCCGTTACTGCTCGTTCACCTCTGGAATAAGCTTTCCATTCGACCGGGTGGCTTGTGTCTCTGTCAGCATTCTTGCCTGAAAAGGCTTGATGGATGGGAGTGGCGCACCTCTACCAAACTTTGACATTACGTGGGTCACCAACCGACTTGGCCTTTGTTGGATGAGGAATCCAAACCCCCTATCTCTTGACCGGGTTTTTTTTGGGGGGGGGGAATCACAGCGGTCCCTGTGCCTTCTATTATCTTCTTCATGCTCCCGAGTACCCTGTTTACTTGACTCCCATAGCCAATGGCAATAACCGCATTATATGTGGCTAAGGCAAAGCACTGCTGACCATACATAAAATTGACTTTTAACGCCCCTTGACTCGGGAAGACGGGATGTATGACCCGAGAGACACGCTTTCAGGCAATTATATCCTGCCACACAGCGACGGGGAAACCAAACTGACTCAGTGTCCAAATCCGAGCACAATTTTAAGCCTGCTGTTACCCAATGATGCCGTCCGTGGTTGGGGACTCCAGCAGATCTCAGTCGACAAAGCACCACTCTCCCAGGTCCTGCTTGATGGGGGCTAGCGTTAGGTGCTTGTCGGCTGGCAGGTCCGTCCCGCCAGGATCGAGTTTACCAGGAGTTCCGTCCAACGTCGTGTTGTCTCTGTGACAAGTAAGCATTCGTCTCGCAAACGCCCGAGCCAGACAGTTGCACGTACAGGGGGATATCATCGTGTTTGGCTTTCCCAGTCACCAGCCTTTCCCATGCACCTGCACAATCCTTGATCACGCCATTCGCATACCTGGAAGGCTGTCAAGTCTTCCGTATTGACCAAAAAAAAAATAAAAAAAATCCGCGCACACGGTCGGATAAAACAGACTTCTTATCCCGAAATTCTCATCCCGAAATTCTTATCCCCCAAGGGCATACTCATCAGGCGGATCCCCATCCGGCGCCTTGCAAATAAGAAACTAGTCGCGTGTCGCATCCAGAAGACCAGGGAGACGCTTCTCGGCGTCGGCAATGTCGTGCAGCTTCTCAGCCAGGGGGTTCGTCACGTCAACGACCATGACCTTCCAATCTGTCTCGCTGTTGTCGAGCAGGCCCAGCACGCCGAGGACCCTGACTTGTTTCACGCCGCCCATTTGCGCGATGGTATGGCCGATCTCGCAGGCGTCCAGCGGGTCATTGTCGCCTTAGGCTCCCGTGTCGCGGTGTTTGCGGCGAGGGTCTTTCTCAGGTCTATTGTTTGTGAGCAGATCTCCTCTCAAGGAGAATTCCTTTTGGGAGAGAGGGACTCACCTGGGAGAGAGCTCCGTACTTCCACAGATAACCCTTATGCGGAAAGCAACCCGTTGTGAAGCGAGGCTCCCTGTCGAGGATATCTTGGCTGATGGGGTTCGGGCTCTTGGACCTCGATACCTGCTTTGTCAGACGCACTTGGTCTCAAAATGTGGAGCACAGCGAGTTTCGACCCAACCCCAAACTTGGCATTCGTCCATCGCGGAATCTCAACCACCATGTTTAAAAAAAAACCTTGCCCTCATCTTTGTCGGCGAAGAGCGGGATGTCGTGAAATGGGGAGACCGGCACGCCGTCGTCCTCCCGCTCGAAAGAACATACGGAAGTCGTTGGTGTAAGGGCGGCCGACTTGTCTGACACCGTGCCTTTTTCTTTTCAGCATGGTGCTCGGCGCTGTGGATTATATCATAAGGTTGAAGGTTTAATGTTTGCGAGAAAGGGAGTGGTTGGGGTTGAGTCCCTCATGGCGTTAGGTACCTACCCAGCTGGTAAATGACGGGTATCATAGTGATGTCGTCATGGGTAACCCCATGCAACATCTTGAATTTGATTCATGGCACTGATTGTACGTGATACGCAAGAGGCAGCAAACAAATTTGAGAATGGGTTCATCGTCGTTGTGTCGTTGGACAATGTTAGAGCTTTGCCGACATTCCCGGTTAAGCTTCAAGTTAGTTTTATCGCCCACTTTCAACTCGACAAGATGAGGTCAGATATACTGATAATCATGAATTTTGCTTTTGAAACCTGAATAGCGTTGAAATGGCAGATAGGAACGACGGTATCGTGAACACAAAATAGGACCTTCAGACCCGTGTCTAGTACACATAAACAGCATTATTAAAGGAAGGAAAGTCCACGCACTTCCAACAAACTTTGTCGGGACAGACGATGATCTTTCTCGCCACGGTCTTGCAGTGTTGGGCCAGCACCGACACCAGTGCCAACCGGGCGACCCAGTTGCCGTGTGACTTTGTAACAACGATCCCATCTGGGCAGTCAAGTATTTGATCCCACGTCTCCAGCGCCAGAATCTGGCGGCCGGGGGGCTGGGGGGTTGAATGTGGGCACTTTTCCTCTTGTGAGCGCAGGAATTGCACGTCGGCATGCGTCAAGGCCTTCATGATGTCCACGTCTGCCACCCACTGTCCCGAGTCGCGGACCGATACCACGGCTTCCACGTGCATACATTGAGTATCGCGCTGGCCGACAGCAGTTTCCATCCACAGCGGTGATTTCCATTCCGTGAAGGAAAGGTGAAGGGTTGTTTGGTTGAAGCAATTGTCCTGGGTTCCCGTGTAGTTGTCTGCTGCCTTTCTCCATCCCATCAGATCGACTTCTCGGGCTTCTGGCGAGGCAGGACACGTGAGCACCGTCAGCCCAGGGTTTCCGATATTCCCCAAAAGCCGGCTGAAGTGGATTGTGGTGGTTTCGTGGGAGGTAGACGGATCCTCCGTCAGCTATTGAGACGGAGAGTTAGTTGGAAGCTCTACTGAAAGAAACGCTAGGTTGGTCACCTTTCCTGGGACGTAGATCGAGTCACCGATGGATAACCCCAACACCCCATCCATGCGACTTCGCACAACGTCGAACCCTGACTCAAAGTATGCAACAAGCGCCAGGTTATGATACACAGTATAAGAACTCCCGTAGGCAATCCCTAAAAATGCTAGATTTTCCGACCTTGATTCAACATATTCCGAGATGAGTTGTATGCGGAAAGGCGCGGAGAAAATTCGGGGTGAAATTGTCGCGCCTTGAGGCGAGAGGAACGAGTATAGCAAAGACGCGTATGTGAGCAAGAAAAGGGACTGGATTATCGGGCTCTTATTGTCCAAGATGTGCCGTTGTAGGCTGTCTTGAGAAAACACATCGTATTGCAGACACCATCGGACGTCATCGGTTGTGATTGTTGGCCCGGTCCGTCCAGCATAAAAAGTGGTCTCGCGGAGAACAAATACAGCCGCCGAATTGGCGTCCCCGAACAGAAAGTCAAACTCCTTTTGTTCATGGGGCATATGGAGGGAGGTAATTGAGTCACGGCTGTGACATATGAGCGGGAATGTCGCGCTCAAGTACAAGACATGCTCCGAATGGGGATTGGGAACTCGATCCCCAGCCGTTGCCATCCAGTGTGGAACCCAACGGCGGTGATGCCGTGGGCGGCTCTCGCCTTTTGTTGAATCGGACGGAAACACGGTCGCAAAACACCACACATGGTCCAAGTCGTCTACATCGGCGGCGTCGGCGTCGGCACTGTCCACTTTGTCCAGACGAAATGCAATCCAGGCCTCTGTGTCCTGCAGCCACGCAACTCTCTGAGCCAGCCTGCGGAGAAATTCGACTCGGAGTTCTGCGGACTTTATCTGCGGGAAAAGGCCAGCCATGTCAGTCAGTCCGAAAAATGGTCTCTCGGGTCCGTTGGGGGGACTGGGTATGAATCCACGCCGGCGCCTCCCAAACGAGATCGGAATGGTTCCGCTCTCCTCATCCTGGAAGTAGCTCAGAATGGGCGTTGTGATCATCTCGATCCACCTGTCTTCGAAGGACAGTTGGTCAAATGGCAATGACGAGACAATTTGCAGCAGAAGCTTGAGTGCGTCTGCCGTCTGGTCCGGAAGCACATTCCAGTGCGCGAGAATGACGCCCAGGACGGCCTGTTGGAGCTCGGCAAAGGTCATTCGAGAACCGTCGCTGTCGAGCTGGCCCAGTTTGTTGATCGCCCGGCCATAGAATTTGTGGTGTGCAAGCGACAAAGACCAGTAGACGCCCTTGGTAGCTCGATTCCCAGAGTCGGAGATTCCCAGTGAGAGGATGCCTCCCGGGTGTATGAGAGGGTCGTTCATCAGGATCTCCTTACTTCCGTCTGAGCCGCTGAATATGACCATATCGGGGTATAAATGCCAAGCTGAGAGAGCAATGAGCACAGCGCCATCTCGAACGACGTGTGGGGCGCCGGATATGAGCAGTTCCATAGTCTCCAAGGCCGACGTCCAGGCGGCCATGATGCTCTTATAAGGGTTGTTCTCGAGGTTGACCGGGATGCTGATGTTTTTGACGATAAGAAGGAGTTGCTTTTGCTGGAGATTCTTGACGGTGTCGGCGGTGCGGAGCCAAGAGCGGGCAGAGGCATCCCACTTGGACAGCTGCTCCCTGGTGATTTCGCCTTGCATCGCGGCGGTGGTTTGGGCAATGGGAACCTCGGCCCCGCTCTCAAACTTGGCGGCGACCTCCTTCCTCCTCTCGGCCACGATCTCGACCCAAATCGACGTGGCCTCGGATTCGTCCCAGATCCTGGCGAGCAAACACGCCAGGAGGTGGACAGGGAGAGCCGCTTTTCTGGACGTGGCCGCGGCCCAGATGCTCGTGGCATCGATGCCTGCGTACTCGGAGAATATCCAGTTTGAGACCTTGAGGCTCCCCCGCGCTGACACGTCGTTGAAGATGTCGGAGGCCCTTGTGCCATATGCGCTGATGAGTTTTGGGGTGGGTGGCGGGATCCCATCAAAAAGTGCACCAAGTCGCCGAGCTGTGACATGCGCTTGACCGCTCTCGGCATCCTGCCTCCGTCTCTGGGACAGACTTTGGTTCAGTGCCTGGTACTCGGGCGGGGCTTCGTATTTGACCATAGTGAAGTCGAAGTTGATTTGCGCCGCTGTTGCCGTGAACTCATTTGTTGCCGACATGAGCGCCGACTGGATCTTGCCAATAATTGAACTGTCCGCCATGATGCAAAAAAAAAAAAAAAAAGTCCAGGCTTTCGACTACGGGGCAGATCCAGCGCAGGTGGAGTGAGATGCACAAATGCCTCGTTGGATCGGAGTGAGGCGGGGTCCTGAAAAAGATTGCTGAGATGGGAAGCTGCGCCGCAGCAGTGAGTGGGCTGACTTCCCGCTTGGGTGGGCTTTACTAGCGAAGCTGGCCAACCACAGACCTCGTCACACGGCAGTGCGGTCTTTCCTGAGTGGGGCTGGGGCGATGGGCGACACGGCAAGCGTGCGGCTGCAAGCTTAACCACACCAAGCCATCTGGAACTAAAGGGAATCTCACGCCGTTTTAAGTTTCTTATTATTTGACGCTCACTTTATGAACGTGGGAGCCACGCTAGTTCGAGACACCATCACCAACGGCTTATTGCCTCGGGCACTCCCAGTGGTGCAGATCCGTAGCAGATTGGCATTTGAAGTTGCTGTATCGGCAGGGAGACGGACGGACAGGAACGGCCTCCAGAAACGAATCCAAATCCAGCTTTTCCCCCGCGCCCCGCCTCGATTCACCCATAATATCTGGCCACCACATCCACACACACTCAACATGACCTCCACGTGGTATTAAAAGTCACCCGCACCTGCTGCCCTGGGCCGTCGCCGCCGACAGACCCCTCGTGCAGAACTGCATCATCAAACTCGATCTCCTCGTGCGAGAGCGCAATCCACAAGTCAAAGTTGACAGCGGCTCTGTTATTCGAGTTGGTTGAGCAGCTGGACGCAGCCAGCGCGGTCCGTGGGCCTCCCGGCGTCATCCACACACCCAGCTTGAACGCGCCCTCGTAGCCGGTTCCCTGGCTGCCGTACGGCCTTCTGACTGTGCCAGTATCTGCCATTCCCGCTGATGAAGATTGCTGCTTCTCGTTATTACATTAGCAAACCAAGAAACAAGCGCGGTAAAAGCCGCGCGCTTACTGGATCATATTCTGCCCGCACCTGCACCTTCTCCACAAAGCTGCCCCTTTCCAAGCTGAGATATCCGGCCACTTCCACTGACGATATGGAAAACGCGTACTCGGCTGGCAAGTTTGCGAACGCTAGACGCGTCTTGCAGTCGATGAAACCAGCGGGCGAGCGGGGGATTTTCGCGCCTGGGAACTCAAGACTGGATTCTGAGACGACGAAGGCGCAGTATGGCGACGAGTTGGAAGATGAACTGAGCGAGGTGTCTAGGTAGTCAAGCAGGTTTGCTGTCGGCGGAGAACGTATTGTGATGCTGCCGGCGGGGAGAGGCGGGAGTGCGAGAGCCAGCACGCCGTTGGTGGTGGTGGCGAGGGATAGAACGATTCTCGCGAGGGAGATACTCGGAGTCATTTTGCGTGATGTGCTTTGTGAGGTTTATGTGATGTGGGAGATGTTGAAGGACTCAGGTCCGGGGCATTGTCACATGCTGGACTGACAATGGTTAAATATCCCATCGCCACCCTCGACCTCCCTCTTGTGGTGGCAATGAGGGGTCGAAACAGAACAGCCTGAAAGCAACGAAAGAGGTCCGTTTCCCTGTTTTGGGCATGGGATCCGTGGTTTGGCCAGCATCGCGACTTTATTCCGTTGCTAGAGGGATGGCGCTGCACACCATGGGGTAATGTATTTTAGATTAACTACTCTGCACACTTTGGCTCCTCGATCCATGTGGCTCGAGCTTTGTGACTGAACACAACCACACCCATTCATCGAGATCCCTCCGCGATACTACTACAAACAACAAAAGGAGATTTCTTTTCTTGCTTCTTGCTACATCATTGAGCTGTCAAAGCACTGGAGCTGCCTGCCCGGTATAGATCCTGCACGGCTTCTTCGGTCGAACTTCATGCTGCGTCCATGTCAAATTGCGACATAGGGAAGGGCTCACCAGGCGCCTACTGCATAATCAGAGCGTATGATTGGTGCCTGCATAATGGCGCAAAGAGGGCGCCGGAACTCCTTTCAGCGAGCCGCTCGGTGGCCCTGCAGTACCCTCAGAAATCTGCCCTGGGCGGTTTTCGTGGGCTGTTTGCGCGGGCGTTTTCTCCTGCATAAACCAACAATTTCGCCACGGAGCCATTGACACGTTTCTTTCTCGTGTTGCTTTCTCGTCAACTTCAATTTCATTCGACCTGAATGGCATGTATCCACACACCAGGCAGCCAAATTAGGGCCGCTTGGACAAGTCCCGGTTGTTGCCAACAGCGGATAAGCAGGGCTCGCAACGGTCCTGGAGACCCGCGACCGTCTCGTTTTGGTTGTAGACGGCCTATCGACTGCCCCGGCGATTTGAACGGCACAACAGACACGGGACTCTCTCTGGGCATCTGGCATTGGGCCGAGTGCAACCACGAGTCGTGGGTGATCCGATGGTCAAGTGTTAAGATAGCATCAAGGTCAAGACTCCCTATGTCGAATCGCGTGCAGATGCTCATGTTGGCCTCTTTCCCCATGATATTCCGCAGATAATCACAGTTGCCCAGTCTGCAAGATTTGAGGCGAGGGCGTGGGTACCGGGAAAGCGAGGAGATGGTTGGTCACAACCCCCGATACATCCACCTTGACCCGGAACATCGAGAAGAAATGCGCCTTTGTGCATAAAAAGCATGGTGTCAGGGGCCTGGCCGTCATCCGGGCCCCGCTTTTCCGTCAACCAGACCCGCCATTGTCAACCGATTACGCCCGCCCGCGCAGGGGGGTAGTGCATGCCAAGCCCCCCCGTACTAGGGCCCCTTTTGCCTAGATTACGCGTCGGATGACTGCGCTAGCCCTGATGTCAAGAGGTCTGTTTTGGCCCGCACGCGCCGAATGTGCCCTCTTCCTACAACCACAACGCGCATACAACCAACACCGCTCTCAACAACGCCACTACGCCCTAAGCCGTAGCCCCCTTATGGCTTCCCAGCTTGCCAACGCCTTCCTGCAGGCCGCGCAGGGCTTCCTCGCGGCGCCTGCCCCGGCCCTGGCCTCGCCTACTGTTCCCGAGACGGGTGCCCTGAGCCAGGAGCTCCAGAGGCGCATCGAGGCCGCGCGCGATGAGACCCTCGAATACCACCGCACACATCGGCCGCCCAACACGGTACGGAACTATGGCCCGAAGCAAAAGGAGTGGAAGGCCTGGTGTGTTACACAGGGCTTTCCCCCTGGGGGCCAGTACCTTCCTGGCGACTGGGTCGATGAAGGTAAACTCTTGCTCTTCATCAAGGAGGAGGTGGTATCGCGCCCCCCGCGTAAAGGCATGAGGCTCGCCGAAGAGAAGAAGCGTAAGGCTGCAAGCCAGGCCCAGGGCCAGCCGCCCTCTAAGAAAGGCCCTGGCTCTGGCCCTCGCTCCTCTAATCACCTAGTTATTGAGGGCGAGGACGACGAAGAGCAGTCGGACCTTGTACTCATGTATAACACTGTTCGGGGCTACGTTTCTGCGGTCAAGGAGCTTTGGTCTCTACAAACCTCGCAAGGACTTCACAATGCACCGCAGCCGAGCCGCGTTGCTTTGAAGGCTTTGGAGATGTCGATCATTCGAGGCGAGCATACTCGCCGGAGGGAGGAATTCACAGACCGGGGGATCTCCACGTTCCGTGATGGCTATGTTGCCTCGCAGATTCCCGACCTCCACCACCAAGTCTGGAGCGAAGGCTTAGGCCGGGGCACAGTTGAACAGGCGTTACGGACCCAGGTCGACTTTTTACTGGGGAATTCGATGCTTTTACGCTTGAGTAACCGTTTGCCGCTCGAGCTTGCAGACCTTTTCTTCATGCCATTACCTAAAGAGGGCACTAATGGCGATGGCTGGTGCTTAGTAGTAGTTATGGACCAAGGCAAAACAAACTAGCACGGGCGGCTTGAGTACGGCGCTGTTCTCCGCCACCGGAACTACCAATCGTGCCTTATAGGCGCTCTTGCGGCATACTTCTTCTGGCGTTGGCACATGTCAGGCGAGTCTTTTCCCTGCTTTCACAAAAGCCAAGACTGGTATAATATCAAGCTCCTCAAGCGTGACAACGCCAACCTCGATAAGAAGCTCTCGGACTCAACGGCGAATTCGTGGACAAGGAGGCTATATACTCTCAGCGGTATCCAGGGCTCTAAAGTCTCGCATATGCCACGGTCGTCAGGGGCACGGATTGCTGAGGCGAATAACGTACCTGAGGCGCAGATTCGCCGTCGAGGACGTTGGAATAGCGATCAGATGACTGGCTGTTACCTGACCGAGTTGCCGCGCCAGTTTATGCGAGGTGTAGCGGACTTTGAGCCAGATTACGCCTCCAGCTACTTTGTTCCACGCGAAACGATCAAGCCGCCGCCTTCTCTACGCCGGCAGGTCTGGCCACAGCTCGACCGCTGGCGCCAAGCACATCTTGACCTCCCTGGTGCTAGCGAAGTGGTTGAGCCAAACCTAGCCGCAGGCGGATTCCTTGAGCTTCTTGATAGGCTCCGCGATATTTTCCTCCAAGATTCGGTATTTATCCGGCAAAGCCATCCAAGCCATCCCATCTTTCGTGATAGCCTCTTTGCCACGGCCGAATATGCCACCTTCGCCACCGCAGTTATAGCAGCAACCGATACGCTCTATCACGAAGATCCACACCTAGTTGCTATCCAAAAAGCAATCCCTTCGGTTAACGAGCGTTTACGGGTAATATCGAGCATTATCCAGACCGGGCAGGCCGCCCAAGCAACCTCCTTGGCTCAAGTAACGAGCTCGCTTGACCAGCTTGCCGCCAAACTCGACGACTTTCTTACAGGGTCCTTTAGTCTTCACTTTACACCGGGGAGGAGCCGGATGTTACCCCAAGGCCACGATCCTACAAGCCAATACCGCCATCAACATACACCACCGTCTCCGCTCAACCTAGATATAAGCCAGCCGCAAGCTACCACCCTCGGTAACCTGATAGAACAAGCACCAATGCCAATACCGTCATATAAACTCTCACGCGAAATAGCCACAGTCCCTGATCTGTGGAGGGAGTGGACAGTAGGGCTGGCGGGCCTTCCAGCAGTTGCAGCGCTGGATGCAGCACACGGGAGCCGTTGGCGGTCTCCATCAGAGCGGCAGTACTACTCGATGCGTAAGGTCATCATTGACGAGATCATAGCCATGGCAGGGAGCCCAAATAATACAGATGGAATAGCGGTTGCAATAGAGACCCTAGAGCGGCGGCGAGCCCAGGGCAAGGCATCGTTGGATAAGCTCATCAAGCAAATAAAAGGGGGCCGGAAAGGCCAGAGTAAATAGATTGAGGGTTAGGGTTTTGAGGGTTTTGAGGGTTAGGGTTTTTAGTTAGTTCATGGCAAAATGACTGCATTCGCTCAATTATGGCCCGTTTGACCTCAAAAAAATCGGCATCTAGTACTCTTATAACTAATTCTTCATATGCCCCGATTTTAAAGCCATCACAGGCTCTATTGCGTACGTAGTCGCTGTGTAAAGTCGGCGAAGGCCAGTTTTGGTGATGTCAGTGGTTGGAACAAGCGAGACATGTCTGTTTCGAGGGGGAATTCGCACTGTACGCCATGCAGCCGAGGCTGTTGTCACCAACTGGTTCAGACAGTGGTCTGAAAGGATCTGAGGTCGACGGGTGAAAAATAAGGTTCTTTCGAGGTAGCAAATAGCAGGGGGAAGGAGGGTTAGCGGCGAAAATAAATGGTAGTGTTAAGTCAGGTGGGGGACTTTTGGAACACCCCTGCCTATGGAACAGCCCCTGAATCGGACCCCGCACAACACCACAAACTTCAATTGCCAACAACTTTGTCAATTAATTAGCTACAATGATGAAGTCTTCAGTATCGGATTCTCCTGATTCTTCTCTTTCAGAATAACCAAGGTCCTCTCTGCCAGCCTCTCTCTGTGAGGCACGAACCTCCTCAATTCCAGCGAACTGCGTATTAGGGTCGACTTGGACCTTCCTTCTCTTTCGGCCTCTTGTGCGTTCTAGGCTTTTTTCTGCAGCCTCCAATTGATGCGCCGTATTGGCTAGTTGGAAAACTACGTAATCGAAGGCTTTTGCGGCCTTGCGTATGAACAGTCGGTCGTTGGCAGTCCGTTTCTAGCCGGCTAGAAAAACCTGCCCCTGAATACGGAAATCCTTCGGCTTTTTAGGGGTAAACCATATAGGCCGGCCCTCCGAATTCTTATTTAGAATGGGGTTATGGACCTCTTGAAGGTCTATAGAAACCGTAGAGGTCAGTTGACCAACGTCGCCGTTAGAATTCTTAATAACAAGGCCGTTGCTTAGGGGCTTCCTGAGGCTGACCGGCCAGAGGCCTGTAGCTTTCCAGCCGGCTTTGATATTAGATTCAGTCATTCCATAGACCCTGGCTTGCCGGTAGCATTTTAGGAAGGCCCTCTTTTCAGCAACAGTGCCTTCGTCGAAGCCGGAAACAACCTCGTTATGCTTGGCTCTGTACCGGGCTTTTAGAGGGCCGAAAACCGATAAATCCAGGGGCTGGAGAACGTGGGAGGTGTGGGCTGGTAGAAATAACAATTGTACGTTATTAGAAAAGGCTAGCCACATGAATTCTTCGGTGGTATGACTACCGTGGCCATCTAAAATAAGGAGGCGCTTCTCCGAGGGGGTAGCTGGCCGAGTCTCTGGAAGAAAGATATTGCGGAGCTATGCGACGGCAGTATCATCGTCAGACCAGCCGTTTTCAGTGGGTTTCCACTTCCAGCCCTTAAATGGCTGTAAATCGCGTGGATACCATTGTTGTTGAAGGCTTCCACCTTTGAAAATGACGACTGGGTTCAAATACCGGCCGTCAGCGGAAATACATTCGATAATCGAGGTCCAAATTCGGTCTCCTTTCTTCTTTTTCTGGAATTTCTTTCTTTCCTTAGATCCAACAACCAGGCCGTTATCTCCAATGCCAGAAGCAATGCCAGTTTCATCCATATTATACCTATGCTTGGCTGGAATAGCCTCCACGCCTGGAGGCTTCAAATAGTCAAACCAAGGCCGGATAACGGCCTCACAGGCTCGATCAGCACGGTTTGCATGGCTTCTCCGAGGCCTAATTGTAGAAATAGATGGATTTCTAGCCAAAAACCGGCTAGTCCAGCGTTTTCCGAGGGTCTCGTTATCTTCGAGCATTCTTCTAGCTAGTTTCCGAATTTGGGCGTGGGTTGGAGGGTGACCGAGCGACCCTTGGAATAGAATCCATTCGGTTAAGCGTTCTTCCATAGCCGGAGAAAGCTTTTGATTAAGAATTTGGGCCTTGGAGGCTGGCTCGGAACCACGAACCCGATTAAAGAGAGTAGTAGGGGGGATGCCGTGATTTTCAGCAGAGCTACGGAGTAAGCCGGTTTCTGCATACTCTGCCAGCGCATTCTGCAAATCCAACTGAGTATATCGCTTCATCTTTCATTTCTCAATTGAATGGAGAAAAGAAGATAAGTATTGAAGCAGAATTGGTCGAGTTGCAAGCGATTGAAATAGGTGAGTTGGGTGGCGAGCGGCAAGTCCTTGATGACAAACCTTGTTCCAAATCCAGGGGTGTTCCATAAGCAGACCACCTGACTTATTAGCGGTAAAGAGTCCGGCGACCCGAAAGAGCATACGCCGGGCCTGTTCTACCTCATCGAGAAGCGAGGTCCCGAGCAAATTGCTACTAGCAGAGGTGCCGAGCTGCTCTTCCTATCCCTTATCCGCCTCGTAAGTTCTATCAAGCCTTCTTGCATAGACGCCGCAATACTATTGACAAGACCTCTTATAAAACCCCAATAGCAAATTGTAAGAGAAGGTAGGTACGCCTGATCAAGGTGGTCACAATGCAGGCAAGAAGGTAGGGGAGCAATGACTTGTATTGGTGTAAGACTTCAACCTGGCCCTCGCAAAGGAAGATGGGCGAGGGCCATTGTTTATATACCTGCTCAGGGGTTCGGCCCGGGCATCAGTCTGCGGTCGTGGCGCCACGGCGTAGCGTATGCCAGCTGGCAGTGTTCTAGCCAGTTGGTGACAAGTGGTGGGCGCGCACCCTGTGCGCGCAGTTGGTGTTTGGGGTGTCCTTTTCCTTACACAAATCCACTCCTTCCTACACGAGACAGATACGTATGTCAATCCCAACTCTATCGCCACGGCTTGGGGCATGTTCGACCCCCTCCTACGTGCCATGTCCATTGTCACGGCCGGCTTGGAATGAGGGCGGAACTCCTCTATTGGGCGCTATAGACGAAGATTCTAAACTAAAGGGAAAAGGGAAAAGAAGCTCAAAAGCCTCCCCTCGCGAGATTCTTCCAGGACGTCTCAAGGTGGGGCTCTGGCTGGTCGGGTGGATCCACCCAACTGGCGTCTGATTAGTCAGAGCGTCTGGGAGGCCTGGAGGACCAGGCCCTCACATCCATGATGTCTCGTACGCTGCCGCTCTACTATAAGCTGCTCTTGTATTCTACAGCGCTCGAGTTACGGTCACCAATACTTGTCGGCAGCCATCAGAGTAATGGTGGATTTCTCGGTGCCGCCAGCCATACCCTCAAGTCTACTGTGTGGTCTCAGGATGCCTCGCCCTTGGCTGTATCTCGCCATCGTACGAAACGTTGGGAGAGGAGTATGTGTGCACAAGTCACGTGGGGCTTCTGGATGAGCCCCTAGGCGGACCTGTGGGAGAGGCGGTTTCCCGCTATGGGAGGTACAGTTCTTATGCGAATCATTAGCCGTGGCAATGTAAACGACAGAAACGAAGGTCAAAAGCAGCCCTATGGATAGTCATCAATTACAAGACTAGTTCCTTTCGATGTCTCCAACTCGGTGTGGGGAGACTCTAGCAGGGCCGAAAACGGGCCTAGGCCGTCGCATAGAGAGAAACGACCGCTCAGAATACCCTGCGAATGAACAACTTTGCCCGAGCAGTTTGAGCCCTCAAAGTAGGCCACGGTCGGGTACGCGCCCTCGGTTTTCTCGCGCCACAGATAACCGCTCAGAAGGATCTTGTCCGAGGTGTAGCAGCCACCGAGCCAAAGTTGACGGCCGACACATCGGGCGCGATCGTTGGGGCAGTTGGAGCTATCAAAGCCCACCCAGCGGTTCTCTCCGCCTCGGGCCTCGAGCTTGGGCACGCTGATAAAGTCGGTCTCGCCAAAGGTGCAGTGCTTGATCTTGGCCATGGGTGCCCAGCCGGTGGTGTTGCTGAGTGTCATAAACTCTGCGTATTCCTCGGGCGTCCACGGGCGGCCTTCAGTGCAGGTCATGGCGGCCGCAAGGGAGCCGAAGCCGAGGGCGAGGATAACGCTGCTATGCATTTAGATTGGGCTGCTTTGCAAAATATTTGATATGGGAATGTATCAATGAGTGGATAAATCAAAAGCGATGCTGGACAAAGTCTTGGTTGTGATGAATGCGGAAGTTACCTACGGTATTTATCTTCTGTATTATCAGCAAAGTGTTCAAAGTACGATTTGGACAAAAATAGTTTACATCAACTACAGCCGAGGGTCATCTGGGCACGCCGGGTATTGTAGGGTGGATGCCTAGTTACGAGCTTATGCCTACCGAGAAGGTTAGGTGGGTAGTATTATGGTCATCAGTAAATGGCAAGACGCATGGTAAGCACAAAGGAGCCCTTGGCACGATATTCCCTAACTGGACGGCGAGAATTGCTGTGGCGGCGTCATTTAATACTCAAGGACTGGAAACTCCAAGGCACAGGCAGCAACAATGACCACCGAGCCTCCAAAAGAGAGAACTAAGTTTTTTTTTCAATCGGTCATAGTTACATCAAGGGATGAAGCGTATACTTGGATAAGTGCTTACGACCACTCTCATTAGGTCCACAATATGATCCTGGATCTTACGTGACCCAGTGTAAAATATACACTTGGCCAGCTGAAGTTCAGGAGTGCGGCATCTTGAGCCTCGGCATCTTAGTCTTATCAACTCGCACGACAACACTTCCTTCCTCTATTAGAACATCGTAAGCCCCGCCGCCCCCGAGAGGCGGAATCTAAGTTGAAGGTGCATCCAGAGTCCCAGACAAGGGGTTACATTAGGCAACTTTGACGCAAGGTATTTTGAGAGAAATACTTGCCCATTACTTCGGAAACCGTGATACGGTACTGCTTCTCATGCTCGCCAATGAGCGGCAGAGTACCCCTTCAATCACTTCGACCCAAGCACGTATTCCACAACCTACACACCGCCACAATGCAGCTCCAACTCACCCTCGCTCTTGCCTTTCTCGCGGCCGGCGCCCTCGCCTGGAAATGCACCGAAGGCACTCCCTGGACCCCCGAGGAGCTCCACGAATACCTGACGCTCAATGATACCACTAACTGGGCGCCCATGGCCAAGATGCCGCAGTGCACGCCCGAGGCGTCGGAACTTCTCGCCGCCAACGAAACCAGCACACTCGAAGCCCGCCGAGGCGGCAACAAGTTCATTGCCTATGGCGTCTACCACTGCGGCAGCAACGTGCTCTTCTCGGCGGACAACTTTTGCTGCGGCGGCTGCTACTCGGTGAGCCGCGGCATCTACAGTGGGCTACCTCTGGCGCGAGAAGATTAGCGGGAAATACCCCACAGTTGGCTACCACAACGATCCCGGCAATATCGATCCAAGGGTATATCGAACCGCCCAATTTGCAATAGGACTTCATGACATCATGATAACAACCTGGAACCCAAACCCCAAACACCAACAACATGATGCACTCCTATATGCCCAGCCCTAACCCACCACAATAACCTTGACCTCGATACTCGCTCTCCTCACCTTTGTCTGCCTCGCCTCCGGATTCACAAACGCCGAATGCGGACACACTTCGCTATCATCAGCACTCCTCTCGCCAAACCTCACCGTACGAGTAAACTCACCCGTCGCCTCTCCCTTCAAGCTATCAAAAAGCTTAAACACCACGACATCATCCTGTTCCATTCCCTTCTTGTAGAACCACCGGTGCGCCGGGTTGTACTGCACTTCATATGCCTCGTCCACAAAGTGGGGATACACAATGTCCATGGGCACCAGGTCAGCGTGGTCGACGGTGCGGAAGTCGCAGAGCGCCAGGGGGCAGTCTTCGACGGGGGCGGGGGAGATGGGGCGCCAGATGCTGGCTTGTGTTAGTTTGTTGTTTACCTAGTCACTTCTTAACCCAGGGTGAAGGCAAGGGGAGGCGTACTTGAGAAACCGGACGCGGGATTGCAGGATGGTGGTGTAGGAGCCGGGAAAGTAGAGTCGCAGGCGTTCGAGACAGGTTGCTTCCGATGCGTCTGGTTGGGTTGTGTGAGTGGATTGTGACAGTGGTGGTTGGGAATGTGGGCAGCTTACCACAGTGGACGCGAAAGAACGGCGGCTTGACATCGTACGCCAACCCCTTTCCCACGGCTTGGAGGTGGTCGGTTCCGTGCCGGCGAAACTGAGTAGTGCCACATCATCATGGCGGTTTTAGTTTTCGTCTCAGCTAACAACCGTGTCTCCAAGATATTAAAGACGGGGAGAAGAACCATGTCGTTGTTGCTCCCCCCCCCCCTCCCTGCATGGTACAAAAAGGTACGCACATTGTAGGCGTAGCAAAAGACGTCGCGACACCCCAGCCGCGTCTTCAGCCACTGCGCCAGGTCGGGCAAATACCCGTTGACCACGCTGTCGTCGGACCACTGCGAGTCAACCCCCACGCCGCTGGCGAGGGAGCATCGGGCAAACTCGAAGCCCGACTGGTCCAGCGTGAATAAGCCCTCGTGTCCGGCCACGTTGGAGATGACGGTGGGGTAGTTTTGCGATACCAGGTTGTTCATCCGGGCGTCCTTGCCGAAACAGGGCCCCGGCAGCTGGCATTTGTACGGCTTTTCCCGTTGGTACAGGGACAGCGGGGCGAGGTAGTTGAAAGAGTCGGGCTGGACGGTGGGGAGGTTGAGGGCGTGGATTTGGGAGTCCAGCAGGGTTCGTGCAGCCTGGTGGTCTCGTCGTTTCTCTATTGGGTCTAGAGTACACAGTGTAAGTCATGCACCCCATGGGTTCAACTTATGTTGGGAACGCACCCGGAGTTCTACTTCCGCACGGAGTGCTCGCACTTGAGCTTGGCGTCGACGCAACACGCTCTTCGTGGGATCGGTCTGTCCATTGTCTCCAGGGCCGGTCGAATGGTCGGGTGATGTCAAACTGCCATGATAGGACCTCGGGGTGTTGAGTCAACAACCTGGCATGCGCATTGCTTCCGGGCGCAGGAGGCCAGAATTGTCTCCACGGTTGGACTCGACCGAGCGTTGTGAGTGGCCGGTTTCCACCGGGATCCAAGCCAGGGGTCTGTATCGCCATGGTTGTTGTCCAATGGGCATCGAAACAATACGATTTGGCAAATTGTCTTGTTTACGAGGCCGAATGAGAATGGAAATGTTGATCTATCACAATCTGGGGGCTCTAAATGGTACGCGAGGGATCCATGCCTTTCCCTCTCTCCTCTGGCATGCGGCTCTGCGAACCCAGATTGCACCCCGCGGTGCTCATGTGGATGAATGCAATGGCGGCGGCCATGGAGGGGTGCTGCCACACACACACGCACATGCCGGTGGCCGACTCTTCCAATCATGTTGAGCGAGAATTATCATGACATGCCGCGCGCCAACCATGAGCACAAGGCTCTCGCGGCAGCCAAAATCTAGGAAAGATGATAGTCTGCCGGGAATGAAGCCATCGTCATGTCTCTGACAGTGCAGCGAGGGTAAAAGCATGTTGTTTGTGCAAGCGCAAGGCAACAATAACAGATACGCGAGTAGCGTCAGGCCCCAAGGCGGAAAATCGCCGGGGAACAAACCAAATAGCCAAGCAGGAGTGCTCCCGGGCGAGGAATTGAGCCAGGAAAATACAGGTAGCGGTACCACTTGCATCGATGATTTCAGCGGGGTGGCTCGGTATTTAGTACCGCATAGAATAGGAAAGACGGCGACTAGACCGGCCCGTCTTAGCACACCTGCATTTCTGAGTTTCCCCATTGGGAACCGGTCTGGAAGCGGTGCGGGGGTGGCGTGGAGGAGGGGTGGTGCGGCACACCCGAGAGCCTTGCGATCCCAGTTGAGCCGCCCGGTCGACGCCCAACCAGCAAGGAATCTCCCATGTGCAACACATCATGCCGGCCGCATTTCCCAATTTTCACGCTTGATACCACATCGTCACAGGCCGTGGCTAAAGAGGGATATATTGGCACCGCCGCGCCGGCTGTGATTTGTTTGTCTCGTGCGCCGTCGCACTTCCTGAACACTGCTTGCGCGACGCTGATGTGATTGTCTCACCATGGTAGGTTGCACATGTCGTGTCCTCTGCCCTGTCGCGTCTCGGACCCCCTATACCCGACTCGGTGTTCCCCTGGTACATAACCTTCGTTGCCTCTAACTCTAGCCCCATTTCGAGTCCTGCTGCATTGTTGCCGCATGGTTGACTTCCTTGCGCAGAACCGAGCAGCAAAACGACCGTATCCTTTTGCGGATGAGCATAGCAGCATGGGACGATCCAAGATGCCCAGGGTTCCGAACCCATCCCAGGACTTGTCCGAGGAGGCGCGGAGAGTCCTAGAACACGCCGCCTCCATCTTGAACCTCCCTGTGGCCAACCTCCTGTCGGCATCTTCTCGGTCTGCCAATGATGGGCCACAGCACCTGCAGCAGCAGCCTGTCCTCCGGGCTGAACCGGAGCATGGTAGGCAGCCTTCCGATGCTGGGTATCTACGGGATCGACATGGTCTGACAGTTTGTTGGTTTAGATGCATGCAATCAGGACCCACCATCTCCACCAGAAGATATTGGCAAGGCGGACTTGGACGATACTGTGGAGTGGCACTCATCCGCTGCCGAGTTTGACGGCATCGACCCCAATCTTGCTGGGGTTTATTTTGACTTGGATTGCTGGGTTGATGGGCACTCTCATGTGGGTGCAGCTCCTACGGCGACGGCCGAAAGTGCCAACGGCTCTAGGGATCAACGGCAAGTGCCATCGGGACCTTGGCAACCGGCCCAGCAAAGACCGATGCCCCCCCAGCCCCCGAGTTTATCGTGGGAGCTTGTCGAGACCGCGGTAGATCCGACTGCCCTCCAGACAGCCCGTAACCCCTCCGAGTGGACAATGATACAAGCTCGGCCTAGCCACCCGCAGCTGCCAAAATCGGCCGACACTCCGGCCGTGGAAGAGCTTCAGATTATCTCAGTCAACCCAAACCAGTCTCAGCCTCGACCGCAACGACGGAAGGCATTTGGAGACCGTGAACGCCAGGAGGAAACAGGTCAAACACGGGGACTCAAGGCCTGTGTTCGGTGCCGAATGCAAAAGATTCGGGTATGAACACACGTCTCTAGTATCAACTTCAAACGTCAAAAAGTCTAACAACTGTCATAGTGTGCCATTGACAAGGAGAACCCCAACGGCATCTGCGGCACCTGCCAGGCCCTGTCGGCAGACAACATGAAGGTGCATAATCTGCCCTGTCTCCGCCACCGACTGACCGAATGCACGCTCTACCGAACCGGCAAGGCCCCTGGACTGGAATTCACCTTTCGTTGGCCCGTCATGAAGCTCAAGGACACTGACAACTGGGCGGCCCCCGAGGTCCGAACCATTCTTGTGCAGTCCGACGTGTGTCCGGTTCCCCTCCAGCTTGCCGTCCGCAAGTTTGTCCCCATCCCAGGCAAGGACTCGCTCACGCGGGCGTGGATGGACCACAAGAAACAAACCAAGAAGTACCTCGAGACGACGCCGTACGCCATCTATGACATGCAAAAGGCCGTGCAGGACATGCGGGATTATGTCACCACCAATGTGTTTCCCTGCATGGATTATTTCCTCAAGGGAAGTGATAGGTGGGTCAAGGAGACGTATGAGTTTGCGAGGAAGCACATGCAGCGGACCGATGTCAGTCTTGCTTGATACACAACCCGGTGCACATCTGACACGTATCTAGTCGGACGAAGAGCGAAAGCTGCTCGGCAACTTCTTCCGCCTGTGGTTTGCCGTCCGCCGCACCGCCACCATGGAGCATATTGTGGGCGACGACACGCTTGACATGACGCCGGAAGTGGAAGACCAGTCCTGCCCCTTGTTCAAGAAGGTCCCGCTCCCGCCTGTCATGATCCAGCAGCTCGACATGATCTTGACGCTGGGCATCCTCCAGCCGCTCCAGAAGCAGGTGCTGGAGGACTACCAGAAGCTGGTTCTGGCTAACAACCCCAAGAACTGGATGACGGTGTATCTAGTTGCGTTCATGTCGCTGCACAGCTGCGCCAAGATCTCGGAGGAGAATTACAACAATGCGAGGAAGCACGGGCTGTTGCGGCGATACGCAATCCCCAACTTCATCCAGGAGCGCCACCACAGCGCCAACGTGTTCCTCTCGCACTACCACTACCGCACCGAATCGGCCAACCCGTTCATCCAGGACTGGAAGCGGCGGCACGCGACGCCCTTTTCGCACACGTCGGTAGACGAAATCCACTTTCTAGAGCAGACCAAGGCGATGGTGAGAGATAGAGGTGAGGCCATACCCAATCCCAATTCCGTGCGAGAAATGAGAAATTCCTAACCTTGTTTTACGAACACAGAAGCGGTAATCAAAATCAACAGGCAGACGGACCTGTACGAGCACGAGCTGTACTTTATTGCCCAAATGTTTGAGGAGAACTGGCAGCCGCGGGATACCATTATCGACCGGACAGAGGGCACGGTCAACAATGTTGGGCTCAAGAGGTATGCGGGGAAATGAGATACTTTTCTTGTGTAGAATGAGGTAGGTTTCTCGATTGTCAAGATAGGGATGGAATCTTCCTCTCGGTTACTGTCGACGGAGGTCATCTTGCTACCCAATTCAAAAGTTATGTTGAAATCCCAGTCTACGACATGAGTCACTAAATCATGGCGTCGAGAAACACCACATTTGTGTGTGAAGACTTCCTCCGGATTTTTGGATCCTTCGGGGTGGCCCTGAACTCCAGGGGACAGACATTATCAACTTGGTAAAATTTCCACCGAGGGTAAAGCCGCGTGGCGGCTGTGAGGAAAGTGGTCACACTCTCTCTCGTCACATCACACACGAAAATGATGAAACCCCCTTCTCTCGCAATCCGAAAAACTCCCAACGGCCTCCGTCAGGCACGAAAAGTGAACATTCAGCATACGACCGGTCTGTATGCAGCCCGCAACCAATGCCGCCAATCAGCAACGGCGCTGACGTCGCCCTGCGTACCCCCTTTTGGCCAGCCCGGTCGACCAAGCCGGCCTGGCGGACCTGCATATTGCGGCGGATATGTGGGACCGGTCTGGGCCGTATTTCAGCTGAACATGCACGATCCGTGTTAGAAACACACCCGGGTGAGGGACGCCCCTGAAGCATTGAGAGCTGAGGGCATCGACGTGCTTTACTTTGCAGTAGACATTAAACAAGAAAATTAGAGCAAAATGCAAAAGAAATATGCTAGTTTATTGAAACCAAACTGGCACTTTTCTCCGCTTCAATTTCGCTCAGAGTATGGGGCACCGACATGTTGAACCCAGCATTTCGCTACCCTCTTGCTAACGACACCACCACCACCCCCACAGCCCAGAACTAGGCAACCCATCAACCAACATGCCGCCATGCCTGCTCCATCCACATGCAGCTCCCAACTTGTCAGGTACGCGATGCCGGTCTGGAGGCATGCTGGTGACCAGCGACATCGGCTGCTTCGATATATCGTCTCACCAGCACCAGCCCAACGCACCAAATATCAGAGCCACTGACCTCCACTCTTCCCTACTCACGACAGACACCCACTGCACCCTATCTTCCGCTGTCGGCCACGGCGACAGCTCAGGCCGGTGTTCCTCTCCCGGTCAACCACGTGGGTTAGCTTGGTGGGTCCGTTTTCGCGGTGATGACAGTAGTTAGACCGGTCCACGCGCCTACGTAGGTGCGGTCCAGCCTACCTTGCGGTCTCCCATCATCATCCGGCAGCCCGCGTTGGTCGTGGGTTGGGCAGCAGCCGATCGTCCCCGTCAAGACTACCGTTCGCAACGGATGTGATGAACAGATGTGATGAACCAGAATGAAAAGTGCACAATGCCTGGGCAGGACATATATACCTGCCCGCCTAACCTCCTTTACCTACCTAAGGTATCTTCAAGATCCGAGACAAGCGGTGTGCCCAATCTTACTTCGTCACACAAACAAACATCTTTGCCTCCTTCTGCTCCCTCCACTCCTTCCCGCCGCAGCCGCTGCCGTCCACCCCGCCTCCTGCATGCAGATGACCGCACCTGTCCCACACCGCTTCTTCAACACCGTCTCCAACGATCCGCCATCATGGGTTCGTCCTGTGCCACCACCACCACCACCACCACCACCACCACCGGCGTGGTCTCACCGACGCGTGAAACCACGATCCTGTTCTCCGGCATGGACAGGGTGTGCTCCTACCCCTCCTCACTAGATCACGACTTGACCCTAGATGACTCCGTCACTGTAGGCCGGGAGAATTACTACACAGCCCAGTTGGTGTTTGAATGTTTGTCCACTCACATTGATCCCCCCCCGCCCCCCCCCCCGCACCGCACCACATCCGATTCAAGGTGAGGCTGTGCTGACTGTCAGTCATATACAGGGCCGGACCATGACAGGTTTGGCTATATTGAAAACACGCCAGCGTACGAGTTCAGGGCCAGTGATGTCGGCGCGTCCTCGCTGGAGGTGTCGATCGATGAGAGCGACTTGGCGGAGCGGGATGTCGAGAAGGAGAAGTGAAGCTGTTACGAGTTGTGGAAAAAACACTGTTGGTGGGCTGGGTGGGGCGGCTGGCTGTATGTTTGAGTTGGTTTGTGCGAATAACTTGAGGGAAACAAATGTACGGGGAAGGGAGTTACTGGGCAGGCGAACTGGCGTTGCTATACAAAGTGGTAAAGTAGTGTATTTGGTACCGGTGTACTTGGCAAGTTGACGGGTGTTTTGGTATTTTGGCGTTTTGGTTGGGTTGGTTCCTAGCGGGAGATGGGGGGTCTGAACCGTAGCCTATCGGGAGAAGGGAGGGGTCTTTGACCTAGTATCAACGCCATGTCAACAGCATAGCAACATTACTACTTAGATACGTATCTGGATAGTGGGTCTGTGGTCCTATTGCCTACTTGGCGTCCTAGCCATTACTCTACATCGAGCAGTGCTTATTCAAGATATTCACCAGCAGTCTCCCATCTTGCGCTGTATCAAACATTTCCGCATGGTTTGCATAGTCGTACCATAATAACCCTATTCCGCGATGTCCCAGGACACACCATTCTTCCTTGTAGTTCTTCGAGTCGACGAAGCGGACTTTCAGCTCGGGGTTCTCGAGGAGGTGGCTGTCGGTCGGTTGTTTGTGCCCGTGAAAGAAAAGAAATCGACACAGGCCGCACGGGCACGCAGGAGGTCTTGGGCTTTGGGGGCCATGGGCGACACAATCCTTGGCAGCGCAACCTCAAGGCTCCGTAGCACAGTACTAATACTGCTGGTACACACCGATGCACGTGTCCGGCGTGCACATCGTGGACCCATTGCCTGTCACCAACTTTCTTACACGACATGTTTCGTGTTGGCTGTTGCCTTTCAGAGGCGTCCAACAAGACCATTGTGCAGAGGCGTGGAACGAGGGATTGACACCTGGTAGGTCGTCACTGTCCGGTGCTACGTTCTTTCCGTCTAGGAAGGGAGGTACGTTGATGGGTGAGGGCGCCGGCGATAGGTAAGGTAGGTACTATATAGTTACCCCGGACTTCCATAACAGCAACCTTCGAGGGATAACCTTTAAGGCGACAGGGAGCTGGAAGCACAGAGTGGTTTACTTTGTAGTCGATAAACCCCCGCAATTCTACCGCGCCGAGGCCCTAGGGCACAAGTCCGCGCAAATCACGCATATCACATCCGTCAAGCTTAGAGGTCGACTCGGAATACGGCATTGGAACTTCTAGGCGACGGACAAAAGATATTGCAGTGAGACCAACTTGGGCTGAATCTCAACCATGATCTCTCGATACTGCCAGGTAGGGGTTACACAACTTCTGTACAATTGCAACAGCTACGACGTCCGACGAGACAACCATCTTTCTCGAAAATTTGATCAGTTCCATCAAGAAGACCGATAAGCTACACCTCCGGATTTACGCCGAGAGCGTCAATAAAATAGGCCGGGATATAAACACATATCAAGTTCGAGCTCTTCGGGAACTACACTTGATCAACTTTGCCAAATTTTCCAACTTCACTATCACGCGGCGCCGTCCCCTGTCCATCCCAAGCCTCCCCAAATATACCTTTGCTCAGCAATTCGACCCAAGACATTTGGAAATTGAAGCAGCTCGAGGAGATACGGAGCCTGTATCTCTTGGACTCTTTCAGGTACCCACCCAAGCAGCGCTGGCAGCAATCCAAATATATTCAATTCAATTAAATAAGGAAATCCGTATTTGCAAGTAAATAAGCCATTTTTGAGGTCAAATACAGGCCAAATTGAGCCCGGTTATTTGGCATATTTGCAAATATTTCCATTGGTTAGGTCATTTTTAGGCCCAATTTTCCGGGTTTTCCTGGCGCCAGGGCAGTCCCTGACCAAGGCCAACCCTGCATTTTTTGGCCCCAGGAAAATCCTCGAATGCCCTGAATTCGAGTGCAGCGCTGGCACCAATCCAAATATATTCAATTCAATTAAATAAGGAAATCCGTATTTGCAAATAAATAAGCCATTTTTGAGGTCAAATACAGGCCAAATTGAGGGCCCGGTTATTTGGCGTATTTGCAAATATTTCCATTGGTTAGGCCATTTTTAGGCCCAATTTTCCGGGTTTTCCTGGCGCCAGGGCAGTCCCTGACCAAGGCCAACCCTGCATTTTCTGGCCCCGGGAAAATCCTCGAATGCCCTGAATTCGAGTGCCGCCGTGCCGCTACAATGCAACTATCGCCAACCGTTGTAAACAAACTGCCGAATCCTACCGAATCCTACCTTCTTGCAGCGATTTCCCTACTTCCTTGGCTCCCGAGTCCTCGACAAAATGCCTGCCTCCACCGTTGATGTCGCGACCCTCTCGACAAGCCTCCCTACCGCCGGAAATCTTCCTCCCTCCCTTCCTCCGAAGCTATCACGACTATCGAGACAGCACGATGCGCTCCATGAAGAAGGAGTAGATGTCAAAGATCTTTCCGGGGTTCCAGTCAAGGATTGGCCGAAGATAAAAATACCAAGAGGGTCCTTTATACCGGAAAAGTGGGCGGGAAAAACACCAAAAAGGACATCGTGGATTCGTGATCACGGCTACTGGGTCGCCCAGATCATCAACAACGCTATCATCGAGGGAGAATATTTCTGGGCATGCCACTATTGCGAGAGCCTGTTCAAGGCGGATTCAACAAGCTCGGCGATTATACATCTGGAAAAAGAGCACGCAACATTCGCACCCAAGTCATCGTCTACTGGTATGAATAGGCCCGGAAAAAGGCAAGGCACGCTTCAAGTTGTCAATACAAAGCGCGCGAGGGTTGTTTTACTGCCTCACAAGCTCTCTTTGGAAGAAAAGCTCGTCGATCTAGTCGTCGGCTCGAACCTGCCTTTCAGCATCGTTGAGCATAAGGGATTTCGGGATTTTTGTATGGACCTGAATGCCGAGAAGACAGCTACCCTGATTCCTTCCTCGCACAATACCATTCGAGAGCATATTCGAAAGAGGTTTGAGGCTGAACAACAGGCCCTACGTGAGAGGTTAGCCGCATCGCCATACAAGAAGCATCTCTCGTTCGATATTTGGACTTCCAACGCGACAGTTTCCTACCTAGCGGTCTTCGTACATTACACTGATGTTGACGGCGCCATACAACAAGACCTGCTTGGAATGCCCCACCTTCGAGGCT